AAAGAATTAATTGTTGTTTTTGTTAATGTTGTGTTCTGTTTTCATGGATGCGAGATACAGAAGTGTGTTGAGGCGGAGGCGTACGTGCAAGGGAGAATTGGTAAACGAGATATGTGGGTGTCATTTTTCAACCTCTTTTCGCCCAAAGGCACTCTTGCCCTTGCAGTCGTTCGTGATGCATTTGCTTTCATCTGTTCTCTTTCCTCAGGGTGGAGGTCAGGTAGGGTAGGAAGGGTAGATCAATAAAACGAAAGCATAAGAACAAAAATAAATAGGACTCTATAAGGAAAGTTGTCCGACTCTGTCGCTGCCGTGATGGCTTCAACAAAGCGGCAGCTATACGTACGACACACACACACGCAGAGGTACACGCCTTACGCGTAGCCGTACAGGATGTGGCCGCGCTTACGGAGCGCGTTCACGACGTCCGACGCCGTCACCGTCTTCTTGCGCGCATACTCGGTGTACGCGGTGCTGGAGCGCACGACGTCCTCGACGTAGGCCTTCAGCACGCGGCGCACCTCCTCGTAGATCTCGCTCGAGATGCGCTTCACGCCGCCACGGCGGGCCATGCGGCGGATGGAGCCGCGGGTGATGCCGCGGATGTTGTCGCGGAGCACCTTCTTCTGGCGCTTCTGGCTGCCCTTGGCGTCAGCGGAACGCTTTCCCTTGGCCATGTTTGCTGTGTGGAAGAGTGTGATAGGTAGAGGGTTGTTGCGAAGTACTCACAGTAGTGCGTGTAGATCTTTACAGCGGTGGATGCGTTAGTTCAACAAGGAAAAGAAGGTGTTGAGGTGTTCGGAGGAGAAACGTAGTGAACGATGCTCGTTAGGCAGGGAGGAAAAACCAGAAGTCATTTCGGCATTCCCTCGGCAACAGCAGATAAGATATGTACACACATATACAACCCTGCACGGCCGCTTTCGGGAAAAAACGAAAAGGAACCGTGTGAAACCAAACATCACCCTTGGCAATTGAGCTCTAAATTCGAATCATTTCTTGTGTGTGTGTGTGTGGCATTAAGATCAGTAAGATGATAACCTCGCCCCCTGTGATTGGAGATTACACGGATGTTTTTATAGGAGGTTTAGTGTTACAAGGAGAAAAATAAGATGCAGTGGGATGTAGCCGCCGTCGTTGTCTTCCGTCGGTTCTTTTCTTTTGTCTTCTGGGGATGCGTTCCTTTCTACGCGGGCGAGTCCATAGAAAGGCGTAAGCTGATGCCCATGCCCTGTAGTTCCTGAATCAGCAGCTTAAACGCATACGGCATGTTGACCTTTGAAGTAGTTCCTTTCGCCTTGCAGTAGGTACACCGGTTGTTGTACCCGAGGTTGCCGCAGACGTTGCAGATATCCGCGGCAAACATGTCGGAGCTAATCAGAAGCCGCTCGTTCAGCAAGTTCGACGCCCCGTAGCCCACCATACAGTCACGCTCCATCTCGCCGACGCGCAGGCCGCCACTGCGCGAGCGACCCTCCGTCGGCTGCCGCGTCAGCATCGAGCGTGGCCCGGTGGATCGAGCGTGCATCTTGTCCGTCACCATGTGTTTCAGACGCTGATAGTAGATAGGCCCAAAGAAGACGTAGCCCTGCATGAGCTCGCCGGTGATGCCAGAGTAGAAGACATCCTTGCCGTGATAGTTGTAGCCAAAGGAGAGCAGCTGTTTGCTGATGACGTCGGCTGAGTCGCCTGCAAAGGCCGTTCCGTCGCCCATGGAGCCCCGGAGAGCCGCCACCTTTGAGCAGACCAGCTCCATCAACTTGCCCACCGTCATTCGACTGGGGAAGCCGTGCGGGTTCATGATCATGTCCGGACTCATTCCCCGCTCGTTGAACGGCATGTCGACGCCGTTGGCGATGAGACCGACGACGCCCTTCTGGCCGTGGCGGGACGAAAACTTGTCTCCCGGCTCTGGCGGGCGCACCTCCCGCGTGACCACCTTTATCTTCTGGTCCACATCTAGCGAGCGGTCGTAGTCGCCGGGAGGGGAGACGACAACGTGGTCGACCACCGCCGGCTGGGGGTACTTGTAAAGGAGCGGCACCGGCCTCGGGTCACCGCCTGCGACGGGCGTGAACTTGTTCACGAGCACATCGTACTGACGCACAATGGCACCCTTGCTCGCTACTCCGTCCGGGTTCAAGGCTTTAAACTTACCGCTGCCGTTGTTTTTCTCCGGCGGCAGCACAACGTCGAACTCGCCCCCGGCAAACTTCTCGAGATCCACCTCGTGTTTGCGCAGCACTACGCACCGGCCGTAGCCGCGATCTAGCGAAGACTTGTTGTACACCTGCGCATCCTCAATATCGTAGCCGCTGTAGCTCATGACGCACACCATCGCGTTGATACCGGCACCCAGCTTTTCGTAATTCGTCAACGACATTGCTTTGGTGCGGCACAGCGGCCGCTGCGGGTAGGCACCGAGCAGCAACACCGTGTCTGCGCGAATATACTGGTTTAGCGCCACCGTACCGAGTGCCTGCTTACCCATGGCGGACTGGAAGGTGTTACGAGCCGCTTGGTTGTGGTGCGGGTAGGGAATGATGCCCGCCACCACGCCCAGCAGCGACAGCGGCTCCACCTCGAGATGCGTCGTGTAAGGTCCGATGTCGGCCGGGTAGATGGCAATGAGGCAGTCATTCGACTCGTTTACATCGACGTACTCAATGAGACCGTCCGCCAAGAAATCGTTTAAGGTGCAGAGGCGGTCGCGCAGGCGGTCGAGGTGGCGAGACGTCACCGCCGGCTTGCCGCCTCGCACGGTGATGAGGAGGCGGACAATGCGGCCGCCATCGCTGCCGATCTGCACGGTGCGCTGCCGCGGCTGCGTGGAGATGGACACGTGCGGGTGCAGGCGGCCGGAGCGGCGGAGCGCGCGGATGCCGGCGCAGAGGCGGTTGGGGTAGCGGTGAATGCCGATGAGGGTGCCATTCAAGAAGACGCTGAAGTAGTGCAGGAAGTCCGTCGGCGTGACCGTGTCGATCTCCTCCACACCGAGGGAGTGCGCGGCGGCACGGACGTAGTCGTCGTTCAGGTCGAGGGTCACCTGGCTTAAGGTGGCGAAGTTCTTGACAAGCCCGCAGCTTTCGCCCTCCGGGGTATCGCAGGGGCAAACCATTCCCCACTGGCTCGGCTGCAGTGAGCGCGGCCCACTAATCTTGCGCGTCTTCTCGAAAGAGGACGCAAGACGCGTCATCATGCCGAGGCAGGCAATGTAGGAAAGACGCGACAGAACCTGCGTGATGCCCTGGCGATTCATGTTGAACCGCTTCAAATCCCACCGCCCGCTGCTGATGGCCATCCGCATGCCGTTCTGTATGACCTCCATTTTACTCTCCATGAGCTGCTTCAGATTTAAAGGACGCGTCGAGTCCTTCTTGGACAGCTGCTGATCCATCGCGCTTTTCACAACGCGGTTGAACTGCTTCAGTAAGTCCTCAAACAGGAGGGCCATGAGCGTCCCGGTGGTCTCAAAGCGCTTGTTGCCGTAGAAGTCGCGCTCGTCGAGGAGGGAGGAGTCGAAGCTCGCCTCAATCATGCCGCGGACCATGAAGCAGACGTAGAATGCCTTGTGCCGGAAGTTCCAGTCCTTCTGCACCTGCGCCTCCCGAATGTGGCAAAGCAGCACGTTGGCTAAAAACTCCGCTGCCTTGTCCGCCTTGGACTTGTGAATTTGTCTCTGCTGGGTCTCCTCCATCTCCCAGACCGTCTCTTTCCGCTTCTCGCCGATGTACTGCAGCGCGTCATTCTGCGTCACCACGTTGAGCAGGCGGGCCTCCTCAAAGCAGGGAAACAAAATCTTTTGAAACGCAGGCGACGTGCCGATGCACTGGGTGATGTGTTGGTCGTTCTCCAGGCCCATCGCCTTGAGCACCACAATAATTGGGATGTCCTCGGTAAAGGAGCGGTGCGTCAGCACAATGCTGCCCTTTTTGAAGGTGACAGCGCACTTGGAGATCGAGTAGTGCGTCTTACTCTGCACGTGAGCCGAAATGTTTCCGTGCTCGTCTGCCTCGATGATGACGCGGTTCTTGCTCTGCTGCTCCTGCACCAGACACACCTTCTCTACGCCTTTGATAATAAAATAGCCACCGGGGTCCAGCGGACACTCCCGCATGTTCACCAGCTCTTCGCGCGTCTTGCGATACAGGTTGCAGCACTTCGACTTCAGCATTATCGGGATGGTGCCGATCTTCACATCCTTCTCCACAAGCATCGCACGAGAGCGGTCGCGGCTGGTGTAGAGCACGTCCACGATCATGTCACCGCGGTACGTCATGTCGCGGGTGCGGCACTCCTGCGGTGTCACCGGCTTTGGCACGTGACCCTTGCCGACGATTTCTTGCGGGCGACAAACGCGAATGTTTTGGTAGCGGATAACGAAATCGGGATCGACGGAGCTTTTTATCTCCACATTGGAGTCATTGAGCAGAATACGCTGCAGCTCTACCTCGATGAGGTGATCGAAGGACGCGATGTGGTGGTTGAGGATCCCGCGCATGCCCATCAGCGCCGGCAGCATCTCCAGCTTTTTCTGCTGGTACTCAAGACCAAAATCTGTCATATTTGCAATGACCCCTTTTGCATGCATAGAAACACACCCAACGCAACGAATTACGTCCTCTCTTTCCAAGAAAGAAGTACGTTTCTCTCTTCTCCCCGTGCGCACGCCCGAGAAAAAAAAATGCTGCCACGTTTCTGGCAAAGAACACACGGAAAGTAATGGAGAAGGCATCGGAAAGCATCGAAAAGGAGAAGTGGCGCTGAAAGGAAGTAAGCTCGGCGGCACACCAAGGGTTGCATTCGGAAATACAACGTACAGATTTATGACAGCTGAACGGGTGCCCGCAGCGGGGTCGCCATGAAGACAGCGTACACAAAGGGCAAAGCAGGCGCAACAACGTGCAACGTTCAAGAGGCGAGGCACCCCTACAAGAAGTATTCGTTCGTGCACCGCACTCCTTTGAGCAGAATATGCGAACGTAAACTGTTGTATTCTGTGTTGTCTTATTTTCTTTACTGACACTCCTAGACGGCCTTAGTTTACGCGAAATTCATTTACACTGTTAGAGAAGAAGGGAAATAGAAGCTTCAAAGGCAGCATCACAACGTGTACGGCAACGTTTTCGTCTGACATCAGGCCGCGGTGCCCACACAGCAAGAGAAAGAGCCCGCCCTGGTACGCCTTCCTCGTCAGCCCCTCGTGGCGGCCGCTATCTTTTCCAACTGACGCTGCAGGCGTGCCCGAAGCCCCTCCAGCTCTGCGCTCTTCGCCTTGAGCGTCTTCAGTTTCTCCTCCACTTCGTCTTCCTCAGCGGCAGGAGAGAACGAGGCGCCTGCGTCGGAGTCTCGTGCGCGCTTCTCGCCCCGACTCACCGTGCGCGACGCGACGGACTGCTGCGTGACGTGGTAGTTGCCGCTCGATGGATCCACCGGGTTCTTCTCCAGCGGTGCGCACACGCCTTTCACGTGAAGCGCGGAAGCGGGGACGAGGCAACAGCTAAGCAGCCTGCCCTTCTGCGACCCCACGCACTCCTTCACCAGCCGGCCACTACGCATGTCGTACCACAAAACGGCGCCACCCTCGCTCGCCGTGAGCACCAGCGACGGACTTGCCGGGTCGCTCTGCAGAAACACCACAGGCGAGTGGTGGCCGTCTGCGCTGGGCGGTCGAAGAATGGCCTCGCGGCCACCGACACCACCACCGTCGCCTCTCTCCACAAATGGAAGTCCGTAGGAGGTCGAGTAGAGCCCGCAGAAGTACAAGAAGCCTTTTTGTGTGCCGGCGACGAGGCAGCTGTCGTCGGGGCTGACGGCGAGGGCGGTGACGGCGTCGCCAACCGCGATGGAGTGCAGCTGCTCCCCGGTCCCCGCATCGATGAGTCGACACGTGCGATCATTCGACCCGGTCAAGAGCATGTTCGACCGCTGCAAGAAGACACAGCAGTTGACGCTCAGCGAGTGCCCGGTGAAGACGCAGCGCGGCACGACAACGCGCATGCGCAGCGAGGCCAAGGTGGAAAGACTCCACACCTTGCACACCGAGTCCTCAGAGGCGGTGGCCACGAGGGAGTCGTCCGAAGAGATCGCCACAGCCTGAATGGAGCGCAGGTGTCCTTTGTAGTTCTTGATGAGCTCCCCAGAGAGGAGGTTCCATATCAAGACGGTGCCGTTGGTAGTGCCAGCAACCATGAAGGTGCCGCACTTAGTGACTGCGCAGCTGGTGATCAGCTCGGGTGTAAAGCTGCGTTGCAGCGGCTGCTTTGTGGAGGCGGAGAGGAAGAGCGCGCAGTTGCGTGTCTGATGAGCGATGACGCTCTGACTAGCTGGAGAGTAGACCAGTGCATTGCGTGCCACTTCGCCTAGCGAGTAGTTGCGCACCACCGTGCGTGTCTCCGTCTCAATCAGCTGCCCTTGCATTCCATCTCGCGCTAAAAATAACATGGAGCTTCAAGATGTCCCCACAAAAACACTTTGACGCTGTTCCCACTCTGTGTTCATCCGCGTTCCGATACAAAAAGAGAAAAACGAATGGAGTTCATGAAGAGAAAGTTGGCCACTTGCAAAGACAGGAGACACAAGTAGCGAACTAAACGACGGAGATGGGGGAGCGCAGCCACCATGGAGTTTCGGTGCCTCGGGCAGGACAATGCACCGGAGTGCGCGCTGAACGCGTGTCATGCCCATGACACCTCTACCGCATTTGCTCACCGCATGAAAAAAAGATCTAACGCCTCACACAAAGAACTGGAGCGGCGAAAGTCATCTCGACGCACACCCCACCCGTCCATTTGGATCGCCGCCGACGACGTCTTCTACGACCATGTCTCCGCATATTACACGCATCGGGCCTTCATCCAGTATATCGCGAGGGAAGAAGAACTCCATTGAGAGAGGGTACAAACACACGAAGGGACAAAGAGCTGTCATGAAAGTGTACAAATCGAAATATGAAAAAGAGAGTTAATTGTACAGGTGATATCATAGCTGAAGGAGGTCGGGCAAAGCCCACGAACACACCGGCAGCTGTGGACGGGACACATCACTTTATGAATCAAGCCACAACAAACAAGAACGAGGTAGCCGGCAACACATAAAAACGGCGGTCCTCCATTTACCGGCATTCCCGCCAAGGAAAAGAGATAGTCGGCAATCCCGATTCTCAAATACGTTTCTCGTACAAGTAAAAGGATCCGCTCATGGAGCACCACTCCACCGTCTCTGGTTGCCATTGATAGTCATGAAAAATGAACCTGTCGAAGGCGTCCGGGTCACGGATACGAGAGAGCGACCGCGAGTGGGGGTACAGGTCTTCAAAGCACAAAACGCGTGTCCCTTTTGGCACACTGCGCAGGCGCTCTGAAAGGAAGTGGTTCACCGGCCTAGGCAGGAGGAGATTTGCAGCCCAGATCACGGACGACGAAGAAAAATACAAAGGATCACGCAGAAGCTCGCAGAAGTCGCCACAGACAATCTGCACCTCTAGCTTTCGTTCGTATTTCTTTTCTAAGATCGGCTTCATGTACGCCCATGCGTCGTTCGCCAACCGCGCGTTGTGAGGGTTGATCTCAACCCCAACACAGCGCGCGCCAGTCAGGGCGGCTACCTGAAACAGCACGCTACCGTTTCCACAGCCCAGATCATAAAAAGTGTCGCTTGGCGAGACGCGTGCGATACGAATGAGGCGAGCCACAAATGGCGGCAAAATTGACTTGGCGCACAACTCCCGCTTCTTTAGGCGCTCGGTCTCCCTTTTAAGGGACAGTGAGGCGTAGCAGCGGTCAAGCTCTTCTGCAAACCACCTGCAATCACACGTGTCCGCCGTGCAGTGGATGCACCCCCTCCGGTTTGGCTCCGTGCGCAGCGGAAGTCGAAAAGGGTTTCGGGGCGAGCCATCGCCCACCTCGCCCTTCACAACGGAAACCAACGACGCATCGATTAGCTTCGGCGCCTTCAGTGGACTCAGCCCAACGTCGTCGGTACGACGTAGACGTTTCTGCATTTAAAAATGCGATCGAAAGAGCGAGACCAAGACCGGAGAGACGGGAAAGAGCCGTGGCATTGGCTGTTGCGGCTGAAACGTGCGGATGTGGGAAAGACGCACGCAGGGAGCAAAGCAGGCCGTACGCATCGAGCAGTGGCACAAAGGCACGTCATGAGGATCAACAAAAGAAGAAGAGAGAAAGAAAAAAGGTAGAGGGTGGTTCAAGTCGGCGTAACACCAAAAACAGAAGTAGCAACGAGAACGAGCTGCTTTTGCACGATCAGCAACGGTCTCCGAGAACGTAGAGAAGCACCTGGCAAACGACTTTAAGGGGATGCCACCGCGATCTAGCACGACATGCATCGAGACGCTCGTTAGACAGTAAAACGTTCTCGACAGCGGGTAGCGGCACCACCGTTACCCGCATAATTGTTTTATTTTTATAGAGTTTTCAAATGAGAATTGCGTTTCAATTTCGCTTTGGACACTTAGGCAAGAGATCTGTTGAGGAGATATGATGTACTTCCAAGGGAAGAATACTGAGACTGCGGAGCAACGACGTGACAAAGAGAAAAGAAAAGAATCGGAAAATGAGAAACGTGCGGAAGTTGCATTTAACTTCGTATACAAAACAGGAAACATTTTCATGTGTTTACACAGACACAGCATTACGGTTATTAGTGCATCAGCTTCTCAGAGAAAAGATGGAGCAGTGTAGAAGTTTTGCCATTTCTCCTTCTTTCCGTTCTTTGCTGGACAGCGACGTTAGAAAATAAGAGAACCAAGCAAAAGACAAAAGTCGAAGAGAAAACTTCTTTACGAGGTCGGAAGGGGGTTTTAATGCGGAACAAACGCGTTCGTCTGATGCGCAATAAACGAAGCTAAAGGCAAAAACCGGAGGAAAAGTTTTTTTCGAGAACTCAACTATCTCATCCAACTGCGCCTCATCAAGCCCTTAGCGGATTGTTCGCCCCTTTCCCCTTCATTTAAAGTATTATGCTGGCTACCATTGAAACTACGGAAAGGAAGGAGGAGTCGCGCCGTCACCAGTAGCAAAAACAAAAGGAAGAGAAGACGAAGAAAAGACACTTTTTTGTTTTTTAAAAACCCACAGCCGCTCTCCGTGAACCAAAAAAGTGTCGGGACATGTGTAGAAATTTTAAAGGCAGCGTAAATGAATTCTGCAGGCGAAACGGTGGACTTCAACGAGAGAGGAAGAAATGGGGACTCGTGCGCCTTCAACGATGTATTCCACACCCGCAGTCGTGGCGCCTCTCTCCTGAGACGCTGGGCGCTGATTTCCAGTTTTACAAAGACGGGGAATTGATGCCCTGCGCGAAGAAGGTGGCGGACATGATGGCTGTGATGACCAACGTGAACACCCACCCACCGTACATCTTCAGCACCATCATCCACCGCACACGGCAGACCCCGACGTCCATCATGCTGATCGCAATCACCGCACCCGTGATACAGTGCGTGGAGGAGACGGGAATGCCGTAGCCGGAGGCGAATGACACCACCAGCGCCGCCGACAGCTCCGCCGAGAAGCCGCGGCTCGGCGTGATGACCGTCAGCTTCTCGCCCAGCAAGCGCATGAGGCGGATACCAAAGGTGGCCAGGCCCACGACCAGACCTGCACCGCCCAGACACAGCACCCAGACGGGAATGGAGGAGGAGGAGGCGACGGTGCCGGTGGTGTACACGGAGTAGATGGCCGCCAGCGGGCCCACCGCGTTACTCACGTCGCTGGCACCGTGCGCAAACGAGGCGCAGATGGCGGTGAAGATCTGCAAAAAGCGGTACACCATCTCGGCGTGCGTGTTGAACATCTGCACCTCCAGCCCGCTCGCCGTGGGTGGCTGCGCCGGCGGCAGGGACACGTTGTCGTCGCTGTCTTCCGCCGCCTCGTCACGCACAACGTCGCCCGTCGTCGCCTCGCCCTTCTTGCGCCCCTCGTCCATGCGCGCCGCAGCGGGTTCCTCATCTGTGCGTGTGAGGTGCGAGACAGGACGGCTGGTGCGGCCCTCGTCTTCGTTGTCGTCGTAGCCGCTGCGCACCAGCTCCGCCTCCACATCCACCATCGGTCGCCCCTCCGCCTGGGCGAGTTCGGCGGCCTTCCTCCCCATTCGGGCGACACGGCGCTTCAACAGCGGGATGAAGGCGCATGAGATGACGCCGGCTGCCACGGCGATGACGGCCGCCACCCACGCCGCCTTGCTGACGTCCCAGTGCAGGCGGCTCTTGGCGCCCTTGTAAAGCACAAAGAAGGCCTCCAGGAAAAACGCAATGGTGACGATGATGGGCAGCGAGTAGATGGCGCGCTGCACCGAATTGGCGGGGCGCAGAACGAGGAAGCGCACGGAGCCGTAAATTATGGCCGCAACGGCACCCGTGAGAAGCGGCGAGATGAACCACGACGCAATGATCGGCACGACGCCGCCGACAAACGGGAATTCATCTTGGTGGTCCGCCCAGCTGACGGAGCCGCCACCGCCGTAGACGAGCGCAAATCCGATCACACCACCGCAGATGCTGTGCGTCGACGAGACGGGCAGCGTCAGCCACGTCGCGAGCGCGAGCCAGCAAAAGGCAGCACCGCATGCACACAACATGCCATACATGAAGATGTACGGGTGGTCGGCGAAGTCACTGGGGTTCGCGATGCCGCCCGAAATCGTCGCCGTCACGGCGCCACCGAGCGAGACGGCGCCGGCGAACTCGCAGATGGAGGCCAGGATGACGATCTGCGTGAGTGTCAGCACCTTCGCTCCGTAGGTGGTACCGAAGGCGTTACTCAGGTCATTCATGCCCACGCCGGCGCCCGTCAAGAAGGAGACGAAGGCGCCGACGATGACGATCCAAATGTATGGGTACACAGTCGCCATTCTCTCGCGTGGGGGGTAAAAATACAAAAACTACAGATGCAAGACAATTAGGAAACGTTTGAAGACAAGAAGTTTTTAGTTTTTCAGGGTTTTAAGGGCAAAAAAGAAAACTGAAGCAATGTGACTGTAAAGTGGGTAGGGCGGTGCTGTTAAAATGGCGGCGAACGTTACCTTCGAGCGTGTATTGAGTTAGGAAGCAAACAATGTGCGTGGTGGTGGTGGTGGTGGTTAAACAAAAGAGGTGGACACGAGAGCGAGAATTCAAAAAAACGAATACACCAATGACGACCCTCCCAAAAGAGGTTAAAAGATGAAGATACTTCGAGAGCCCCGCCGCTCGAGAACAGCAAGAGAAATATACGCACCCCTGTTCTTGGCGGCACAAAGGGTGTCGGCCAGTATTCTGCCGTTTCTTTTTCATTGACCGTACAACGACGATGTGCAAGACGGCGCCAAAACATACGAACAGCAACAAGTGCCAACAGATAACCCGATGCAACGCCGTTCTCTCTGCGCTCAGTGCAGATACTTCGTCGTTGCGTGAACATTTTCTTTGACGGTGGAAAGCGCAGGCTCATCTACGTAGGCATTCTAATGTCCACCGAAGCACAGCAAAAACATACGTTCAGCTCTCTATGACGAAGGAAGTAATACAGTGTTCTATACGTGAAATAACATCAAGAAGCCGTGGTGTGCGACGATCATGAGAAACGATCGTGTTAAGCCACCTCTACGTGATACGGCGCAGCAGCCGCAGCTCTTGACGCTTGCAAACTGCAATCTCCGCCTCCAGCGTCCTCAGAAACTCGACGTAGGCGTAGCGCTCCAGCAAGTCACGGCATTCCTTCTCGTCGTTCAAAATGCGGCTGCGAACAAGTGCTTCGGTGTGAATAAAATGGCAGTGTTGTTTGAAATGGCGACGGGTCATGCCTGTCAGACACTCCTGCTCGAAGAGCATCGCGGAAGACAACATGTCTTTCCCTTCCTGCCATGCTCTGAAGAGGATCCGGCGGTCGTTGAGTTCGGTTAGAAGAAGCATGTTCATCGCTTCGTGGAAGAAGGCCGCAGTGAGGGCCCGCCAGTGTGTCCTGCACGCCGCCGCAATCTCTCGTCGATCCTGTCTCTCTAACTCGACGAATTCTTCGTTGACGCGCTGCATCGCTCGCCGCCGCTCGCGTGCACGAAGGGCGGAGACCGAGCGGGTCGGCGGCTGCACCTGTTTGGGCGGAGATCGCCGTCGATGCAGATTACGCGCCAGCAACTGCTGCAGTGGGTCGGCGACGGCGCCATCCGTCGCGCACCGCACACTCGTGTCCCATCTTTTGCGTGGGAGCGTCGAGCGCGCAAGCGAGGAGGTGGTGTTGAGGCCGTCCGTCAGCAACTCCGCCCGAAGCGAGTTCGAAAACCTCAGCGAGAAAGCGTTGTCGCTCGTGCCGCGACGGAAAATGAGCCAATTCGCCTCTCTGCTGGAAGTCGATGCAGCGCCGTTGCAGTCCTCTCCAGTCGGCTTCTGTGCGGCTCTGCGCCACGCCCGCTCATCTCGCAGCAGCACATTCAGCTCATTGGATGACAACATCATTCACAGCGTGCGCGTTGCGGATATTTGAAAAGGGAGAAAACAGCGACAAGAAAAAAACAGTGCGCCGTTGCGAGATGTGGTGGAGCGATCGAACACTTCTGTCGGCGCGTTCACTGAACGACAACGTGCAGGTACAAGGGAGAAAGGGGGCTTGAGAAGAGGAGGAAAAAATCCTAGGAGAGGCGTGACAGATCCGCGTTGTGGCTGCGATTGCACTGCACGAAACACACCGTACATCACGCAGCGAGACATTTCAGAGCAAAAGGACTTGCAGAGCCCCTTAAATAAAAAAGGAACATCCAGTTTTTTGAGGCGTGCGTAGCAGCGACATGAAAACGAGTTCACTGCGGTACCCCAACGAACGTTCTACACGGCAGTGGCGTCTGATATCACAACGCAGTTGCCACAGCCCTCTCGATGCTCTCACTCCGCGCAACCGCGTGCGCCACAGTGCGTACATACAACAGAAAGCTATTATTCGTTTGTCTACGCACAAACATCAACACACAGGTGCACTGAAACACACTTCAGGAAACAGATGGCGAACGTCAGACGGTGCCAATGCAACGTAAAGTAATAATAATAATTAAAAAACGAGAACATCTATGAAACTGTGTCGATCAAACTCTTCCGCCTACCAAACAAAAAACAAGGGAATATGCAGAACGACGCGCAGAGCCCCCGCACTTGCTTCTATGAAACGCCGCAGCAATAAGAGAAACACGCACCTGGACAAGAACCGATCACTGCACCCACAAGCGCCGCCCCTCCGGTACTCTTCTTCATACAAAAAAAAAGGCCTCGAATAACTCCTGCATCTCACACGGGAGAGAGAGCAAAATAACGTCGCAAAGTCCAGCAGTGTGATTTGCACCTCAGCCAAACCTCCACGGCCCTTTACAAATGCGTACGTGAAGGCGGTCCCGCCGGGGGAAAGTGAAAGCCCTGCATCCTTCATCTCATTCTACTGACTCCATTCGATCGGGGTGACGGTGACCGCGGGCTGCGGCATGGCAACGAAGCGACCTAACAGCTCTTTTTGCGGCGTCGCCGGTGGATTCTGGTTAAGCTGGGCATCGAAATACGCCACCTGCGTGTAGTAGCCCACCCGCAGGAACTCTTGTCCGCGATACTGAAACGATATCAGCAGGATGGTGACGCCCACCACGTCATCGGTCGGCACCAGCTCCATCTGCGGGGCGTCGCACTCCAGCGTGAACTCCGTCGTCCCCTGCTCTAGCGGGCCGACGTCGAAGTCATCGAGCACTTGGTCGTACTGCGAGGAGGAGGCGCTACCGACCCAGACGAAAGAAACGGAGACGGGGAATGGTAAACTCTCCGCCGCCTCCAGCCGCATGCGCCACCGAAGCGGATTCGCGTAGGCGTCCGGGTTCGCGCCCAGCAGCTCGATCTCCAGCAGCTGCACTAAAGGATCGGCCATTACAAAAGTAGGTATATATATATATGTGTGTATCTTCACTTAAAAGGAAAGACTGCACAGCACGAAGGCGTTAGAGGGGAATATAATAAGCAAGGTTCTAAGGATACGTTGTAGAGGGAAAAAACGTTGTTGTTATTTTGGACTCTATGTGTGAAGACCACAAGACCTGAATAGATGCAGCGCTTTTCTTCCTGCCTTTGCAGACACACTTGTATTTCTATCTTTGAACCCCTCAACTAAACAAAACCAAACCACGAGAAGAAGCTGTTCCTTACGTGTCCCTCGATGGAGGCGTGTGTGTGTGTGTGTGTGTGCGGTTGATTTCTCTTCTTTGATGTGTCCTCTATTCACTGTACTTAAATAATTTCTTTTAACGTTAAAAAGAAGAAAAGGTATGCTGTTTACTTCGTCCTTGCGAACGACAGCGACGTGTGTGCGCCAACGTACAGAGCAAAACAAGAAAAAGAAAGCCACGCAAAGTTCAACGGAAAGTGCGAAGAAGGGGTATAAAACCAATGCTTTAAAAAAGGCTACTGTCTTTCCTAAGACAGAGGAAAACAACAGCAAGTTCAGCAGTGCATTTCATCGCTGCAGCCGAGCGCTTTGGTAATTCCCTCGCAGCGTGCAGCGGGTACGCATGACGAAAATATGCCGAGCCACACCTTGGGCAAGACAACGTTGGAGACGGGAAACGTGGGTGAGCGGGTCAAACACACGCAACACGCTCCGACTTGTGCACACGTCGCCGCCACGCAGTGTAGATCATCCCGCCTTCAATCGAAGCCCCCTCACTCAGGGCGAACCGTAAGAAACCTGTCATAGAGCGTTTTTGCGGCGTAAATGATCACAAGTCAACCCGCCAAGATAAGCGTTGGTAGAGCAGATGCTTTTCAGTGAGCAAATGAAGCGTAAAAACAAGGAAAGTTACGCATCACGAACCAAGGCGTAAAACACCTTCGTGATGATCGGCCAGCGTCGCCATACGGGGTTTCCACCATTCCACGCGAAGCGCTGTCCACTTGCGTGACCCCTCTGTCCCTTTCGCTTTCTTTCTCACAAATTCAATCGTGCGGAAGTTCTCTGACGTCGCAGCTGTCAGAGATGAGGCGCGCATGGCGGAGAGCATCGCTGTGAACCGAGAAGAAAAAAAAATGCCGTTCTTAGTTTCGCACTGATGGTCCTCGTGGCTTCCTCCCACTCGCCCGGCAGCCACCACAGAAAGGCCTCCGCGCCGCCACTCAGTTCGCTCGCCGACGTCAACAAGCGCGACTCGGCGAAGAGGCGCCACCACACGTCCTCGTGGCTCTCTTTGCGCCACCGGGCGATTCGCTCGCTCCGCTGCAGCGAGACGTCGATATGCCGCTCATCCGCTATTAGCGAGCACAACTCGTGCAGGGGGCACACCGCCTCCATGAGGTTGTTCAGAGTCCGCCTCTCCTCCACTCTGCTCGTCAGATCGTCTGCGGAGTCGGCCGACACGGACCAGCACAGTTGCACGTAACGGAAGTCATCGCGTTGCCGTGTGCTGCTAGATGGCAGAGGCAGAGAGGCGGTCGGATCGGCTGGCAAAGGGTCCTCCAGCGGGTGCCACGCCCGGCGGTTCAGCCGTGGGTCGTACACAAACATGAAATCGCTGATGTTGCCGTAGTGACGACTGCTGCTTGGTCCTCCTCCGCCGGCAGTGACCACACGAGCAGATGGCGTGGTGGACGCCACCGCTGGTGCGGCCGACATCGGAGTAGCGGTGGTGCTGGCGTGCGGTGCGGAAGGGATGAACACGCCATGCAGCCTGCGGCCACCGTTGCCGTTCCCTTGGCGGAGGTAGTACGGAAGTCGCCCCTCCTTGGACAGCACAGAAGCTGCCGACGGGAACCCGCTGCGGTCACCGCCGTCGATGCTGCCGGCACCCGTCGTGGGGCTGCCGACGGTCTCGCTGAATCCGCCGTCCTGTGGGACTTCGGTCGAGACGTACGAACTTCGCGGTGCACAGGAGGCGGTGCCGCCACCGGCGCCTGCCTCGCCCTCGTCCAGGCAGCGAAAAATCTCCGCCTTGCGAGCCGCGTACTTCTGCGGAGCGGCCTCCACCGCTGCTTGAAGGGACGCGGCCCGCTCCATCGCCTCCTTCAGATTACTCTGCGTGCTTCGCTGCACCACCACGGTGTACTCGCTCGCAAAAAGACGACAGCAGTCCGACCCGGCGACGGAGTCCTCGGTGGTGAGGAATGTTGTGTTGAGCAGCAGCAGCGGCGTCCTCTCGGTCGTCGGGATGGGAAAGGACAACTCACGGCCCACCGACGGCACGGGTATCTGCAGCACGGCGTACGTGCTGTCCTGCAGCAGCAGCAGCACAAAAGAACCTTGCTCGTTTTTGTGGTGGCCCACAAAGAGCCCGCACACGTCGGCCGCACAGCCCACGCTGACGGCGGTGCTCTTCCCCGCCGTCGTCGCCCACACCTGCCGCAGGTGTTGCAGCGGCCGCTTCGACGGCACAAAGTGCAACGTGCGAGCAGAAAAGAAAAGTTTTGCGTGGGGGAAGGGCGCGGCGGCGGTGCGCGACTTGGCCGGGTTCACAGCGTACAGCGTCACCCAGCTGCCCTCCATTGGCAGCGACAGGCCCTCGTCGTCCTCGGTCAGCAAACTGCGCTCCTCTACAGTCTCCCACTGCTGCACCAGGGCCTCGGTGCCGTCCTTCACAATCAGCAGGGATGTTATGCGGGAGAGCTGCCGCGTCTCCGCCGCACTCTCGACCCCCTCCATCGTACGGTGCAGGCGGTCGGTGACGTGGAGTTGGGCGTGGCTGCTGCGAACGGCCCGAATGGCGCGCTCGCGTGCAGGTCGGCCGCCGTCTTCGGCAGCGGCGACGCTCTGGTTCACCTGCGTCATGTAAAACGGCGGCAGCACGCGTGCGACGACGCCTTCGATGGCAGGCACCAAGCCGCCCAGCGGGTGCACGAGCGAGAGCGGCAGCGGCGGCGGCTCGCCGTGGCAGACGCCCAGCGGTACCTGCGGCGACACCGCCCGCACGCAGTTGTAGTTGATAGCGAGAACCGACTGCGTGTCGCACTCGGTGGGACTGTACTGACCGTGTAGCAGCGACTTCGCTCCACACACCGCTAGCTTCTGTCCAGGGCGCAGGACGCCTTCACGGAGAAGGTTGCTGAGCGGGACGTCGCACGTCACCTTCATGTGATAAATACCATCGGAGAGGGTGACGAGGCGCGTGTGCGGGGTGCCGCGCTCCTCCCGAATCGAGCTGAGGTACAGCACCACGAGGGAGGCGCTGGGCATGTCGCCTTCGACCATTCTGCGCAGAGACGGGCGCTCGCCGTCCACCATCTCCGTGTTGTACGCCTGCAGGAGACACAGCAGCACCGACTCGGCGCTGAAGACGTTCGTTGCAGCCGGCGCTGAGCGAGACGCGCACGACACGCGGAACATGGCGGAGAGAAGCGCGTGGCGGCACCAGTCGACGGTGCAGTGTCTGCCACTCGCACCGAGCTTCAGCATGCCGGCGTGCCACTGCGGCACCCGCGCCGACTGCGTCTCCCGCACACCCAATAAGAGAGACAGCGTCGGGCCGCATTCCTCTGCGCTGAAACAAAATTCCTCTGACATGATCGCCGCTAAGGAAGGGGCGGGAGAGATGGTGGGGCACGCGCACGACCGACACGTGAAGCGGAGGGGCTCAAGTCGTGTGCTCGGAGGAAGTACGGCGGCGCTCGCAGAAGATGGAGCGACCATTTCGCGTGGTCGTGCTGTGGGGTCCGGGCCGAGACGTTGCTGCGGGGGCACAAAGCCCCTTCGACGCCCAGCCGAGAGGCCCAATAGCGGTGAACTCCTTCGGTTGACACTGGGCACGGAATTGTCGGACGGGGTTTCCGTCTCGTCTGCGGTGGCGGTGTCACCTGCCGAGGCCTTCAGCGAAGCGGTGCAGTCCTCTGATGCTCCCCTCTCCCCGTCTTCGAGTTTTTCGCGTGCCCTGCGCAATGACGCCTCCGACACGCGCACCGCGGTTCCCGCAGCTGTTTCGAAGAGCGTGGAAATGGTGTGAAGGGACTGCGCCTCGGCCTTGTCAGCACTCTCAAACGATTGCCTCGCCTTCTCTATGGAGTCCTTGTGGACGGTGACCCTCTTCCCACTTGCCGTTTCGAACAGCGTTGCGACCAGCGGCTCGGACGCCGGCGGGGGAGAGAAGGACGTACTCTCCAGCCGCTCCGCCGCCTTCTGCAGCGACTCGCGCCGCACCGTGACCGCCTTGCCGGAGGCAGTGAAGAAAAGAGTCGGCACCGCAGACGCCGGCGGAGGGAGCAGCGATGGAAAAGAAGGCGGAGCCGGATCCGCAGGAGCTCCATTGGTACTCTGCGTTGCATCCGATGGATGCAACGGTGGATCGTCGAGCTGTTGCCGCTCTTCCTGTGTCATCACCGCTGTCGCCTCGTGCGATTCGCCGTCGCCTTCACCTGTTGTTTCCTTTTGACGCTGAGAAGGACCGACATCGCTCTGTTGTGTTGACTCCGCTGGTGAAGAAGAGGCAGCCGATGGCGAGGACACGTTTTTGGCTTTGTCGGGGATCTTTTTGGCCTTCTTTGTGTCATTTGTGTTGGCGGAGCGCTCGCGCTTGCGCAGCAGCCGAAGGCACATGCCGCACTTTATTCTGCTCGGCGGGTTGATGAACGTGCAGTGAGGGCACGCGACACCTTTCATGGCTGCGGTGTGCGATCGCGGTAACAAGAAACACGGATGTATGTCTGCTTGTCTGCGTGAACTACATCATGCGTTGCATAGTCTACGGAGATGTGCTTCTCGACCGACCTGTGCAACGCTTCCCCGTTGACCTGTTCGTTTGTTGTTGTGCTGCTGCCGTTCGGCTTCGACGAACAGCAACAGGTTCCACGCACCCGAGGCTCGTACCTCTTCGATTCAGCGACTGATAAAACTGAGAAAGAAAAAAAGAAGAGAACCGGCAACGCCAGAAAGGGAGGAAGGGCGCCCGTTCAACAAGCGAAGGAACGAGAAGGCCGCAGAGATGTTTGCGGAGCAAAGATGAATTTTAGTTTTCGAGGAAGAAAGACGGTATTGTCAAGGGAAATATCCTCACGGCAGCTACACTTTCCACCCGAGCGAGCGGGCTTGGCTCAAGCAAGAGCAGCACGCACAGTCACTTTGTAGCGCACAGCTTATCGAGCAGAAATGAAGTTTGGAAAGCGTTTCTTGAGTGTGTGTTTGTTTCGGTGTTTCTTGTTTCTGTTTTGCGGATAGGAAGTGGTGTTGTTTTGTGAAGCAGGAAAGGCAAGGGCTATTCCCAGGCGCTGCGATGTTCAGCTCAAAGCTCGCCCAGCGCTGCAGCCCGTTTACCTCCCACTCCTTCTCCTGCACAATCAGCTCCGACGCATCATCAACTTACAAAAAATAAAAAGAACGGAAAGGCCAGCAGCAGCTCTCTAGGAGACCAACAAGAGCGACGACTCGTACGCACATAGACGTGCTGGCAATGTACCACAAAACACAGGTCTGGATTTCTTTTCATTGTCTTCACATGCGCAGCAGCTCAGCGCAGAGGAACGTAGGAGGTGATGGGCGAAAAGAGTCGATTATTTGAGCTCAGCAGCCGCAAGGAGATATTAATGAAGCACCACAGAGGAGCCGTGGCGTAGCCCGGCATCGCCGCACTACCAAGTTTATCGTAGTGCTCTAAAATCATCGGGAGAGAGACATAGAGGCGCAGCAGATACTCGAGCGTCAAGACACGCGCATAGCGTGACTCCGTCGCGGCTGCCTCGTCAAGGCGGCGCCGCTTCGTCTCCGGCGCGGCGGTGCGCGATTTGCTGAGGCGCTTCTCCACTTGTCGGACCGTCATGGCGATGATGCGGCGCTCACGCGACAGCAAAAACGAAAGCGCGCAGGCCTGCTCCAGCACACCGATTAAGAACGCGATGCAGCACTCCGTGACGGTTGGGTCGTAGCTGCAGGTCCTCATCTCGCCCTCGAGGGCGTCGCGGTGGGACTCGAAGAACTCGTAGATGCTGGGCGAGGAGGACGGCATGGGTGGGATACTCGGCGCCACGGCGTCCTCGACGTGCTCCAGGTGCCGCCGTACAACCAGCAGCAGCGACGGGGGCCACTGGACTCCCTGCATGTTGGCTGAGGAAGACATGGTAGAGTGCCTTCTCAGGTTGGTTAGGAGGATAACACTGTGAGTCAGATCGGAAACGCTTGAACGGCAGCGCTCTTCGCAACGAAATCTTTGGAGTTGTGCACGTAAACGGGCACCTTCATGCGTTCGGCGGGTGAGTATGCACGTAGAGGATTGCAACAAGATCGAAGAAAGGGAAAGAAGACGAGAAGACCGGAGGACAGCGATACATATATCACTTCGCAACGCATACAATGGCTGCAGTCCGAAAGGGGGGGGGGGAGTAGGCGGTTGTGGTTCAGTCGCTGTCGCTGTTGTTTTTCGCAACGGTGCGACCACGTCTTAAACTGTGAGACACACCGGAGCCGCGCTCGAAGACCTCCTGCGTATTGTCCAACGCGCTCCCGTCGCTTCAAGCAGAAAAAACGCACGTGGAGTCTTTTGCCTGTGCCACCTCGCAGCAGTGTTTACTGCGCGAGAGAGGAAAAGAAGAAGAAAACGGGCGCCACAGTTCTGTCACAGTTCGCATTGAAACGATGACGCTGAGACAATTTCTTTTGGTGGAGTAAGAGGTGAAAACACGGAAACATGAAAAGAAGAGAAACGAGCTATTGACGCAGGACGCGGCAGCCGCCTGCTGCAATTTCAGTCGCCCTGTGACCGGCACATTGACCTTTCCAAACGCACACGCGCCGGCAACAACAACAACGAGAAGCAAATTTAAGAAAGCGAATCTCAACAAGCTGGGCAGCACACGGTGTCACATCAAGCACCTGCAGGGAAAAAAAAATGGTCAGCTTCCCCCCGCCAGGCGGGCGAGATGCCATCTAGGAAGAACACAAATCAGCGTAGCGCGTCACCACACACGCGACACGATGGTATCAAACGGGTAAAGTACAGAAAAGGAAACCCCAACAAAGAGACAAAGAAGAAAGCACACACACACACGCGTAGAGAGCAGCCACACGGAGACAGGAAAACACAGACTCGCTTCACATTCTTTCAAGCATTTTTCTTTGAGGAATCGAAGATGTAACTATAATAGTAATAAACATGACACGAGGGCCTCTGAAACACCACCAACTTCTTCCACTTCCCTCTCCATCGTTTGACACCATACATCACACACATACGCAAAAGCAAAGCTGCGTAGTATAATCCCGCTTTGGCACAGCAACAAAAACAGCAAGCATACACCTGTGAAAACAGAACGCGAACGGAAGCCGTAGATACAACAAGAAGAGAAAAGATAGGGAAACCTGTCGAGCTATTTTCCCCGTCGCGATGCAACGCCAACGTCGCAGCGATCATCACGCATTGCTCATCGTCCGCCCTCAAACTATTACACAAAGGAAAACCATAAAAACAAAAGAAACTGCGGACTGAGCCCGAAAGGTGTCAGCGTCCTGCGTGCGACCACAACACGCAAACGTGCGGCATTAAACATGTTCCTCTCCCTCCCTCTCAAACAACCATGCGGCACGCAACGATGTCACACGGAACGTGTGTGGCGGCAATCAGCCAATACCCCTGGCGCTCCACAGAGAACAAAAGCGCGTAGTCGTAGGGGTAGTCGTGCAGCGGGTTTGTTTCCTTCGAGGTCGTCTTGGCGTGGTTCAGATAGTGGATCGCCTTCTTCAAGTTGTCCTTCCCCAAGCCGATCGCCTGCGTGACGTTGAACTTCATCTCGCGTGGGGTAATCTGATACACAATGACGCAGCAGGACTCGCTCCATTCGCGACGCACCGACTCCTTCAGCTGGCGCTGGAAGTTGATGAAGTCTTCCATCTCCGTCCGCGCCGTCGACTTGGTCCACTGCTTATCCCCCGTGTGCGCCGCAGCAGGTCCTGCCGCAGCAGCGACACCGGCGCTGCCCGCCCCAGCGGCCGCAACGGGGGTGGCTATCGGGGCTGCCGCCGCAGCCGCAGCGAAGGCGGTGGTGGCGGCCATGATCTGCGAGGTGAGGTTCATGTTCGTCTTGTTATCGCGCACGTAGCGGCGGAACGCCTGGCGATCGCAGTGGGCGACACTGTCGGCGCAGAGGACGGTGTTTTGCACCACGCAGAACTCCGCGGGCCAGTTGAGCGCCTTCGAGTTGAGCGCGTCGGTCGCGTCGTTCGGGTTGGCGAAGTGCGGCGAGACGTCGTAGAGCGCCTCGGTGGAGGACAGCTTCGTGTCGGTGCCTTTCAGCACAAAAGAGTGTGCCGCCTTCCAGCGCTGCTGCGTCGCCTGCTGCTGCCGCATGAGGCGCTGAATGATTTCCGTGGCCGAGGAGTTCGGCTGGGGGGAGGGGGTCGTCGTCCGCACCGTCTCGGCGCTGAGGATGGCCGGGTCGGCCAGCGGCTGCTGCGGCGTCCCGCTGAGCGGCGTCGCGCTGGGGCTGCGGGTGCGGCCCGACTTGGCGCTCCGCGGCATTGGTATGGCGATGGTGGAGTTCGGGTTTGCCTGCCCCCGCACCCCGAGCGTGGTGGACAGAAAGCGCGGCTCCTGCCCGACGAAGAGCTCTGCTGTGGAGGCGACGATGCTGTACTTGGTGCTCTTCAGCCACACCGTCCACGGCGTTGTCCAGTTCGATGTGCGCTCCATGCCCTCCTCCATCACATCCACAAAGCCGGCCGTCGCGCGGTTGGACTGCAGCTCGCGGTACGAGTCTCCGTTGGGGTTCATGCCGTCCGTCACGTTGCTAAGGAGCACCGCGATGTCTACGTTGGGGTGGGCCCGCAGTAGTGCCATGGCGAAGGTCAGCCGGCGAGAGGCGCCGGGCTCCATGTGGAGCACCGTGATGGAGAGCGACGGCCCGTTGGGGACGCGGATGTTCACCTGCACTAGCGCACGAAACGCCTGTTTGCCGTCCGTTTTGGGCACCTCGGTCGGCTCACACTGCAGACCGAGGCGGAGCAGCGCCATGGTGCTGTCCTCCTGTTGCTCACAGCGGCTCGTCTCCATCACGGCATAGGCCTTGCGGATTTGTGGGTAGGTCTTAATGCGCGTGAGGGTCGCCGGTGAGACGTTCTGCATCACCACGGCGGTCGGCGCACTCGTCGCGACGAGGTCCTGCAGCCGGTCCACGTCGGCGGGCTCGAGGTGGTTCATGTCCACGTTGGCCACGGCGATGTTCTTCGCCGCAAAGACGGCGCTGGCCGCCGCACCGCTTTTCCTCTCCGACCAGCCTCCATTCTCGTCAAAGTATTTAATCTTCACCGCCACGCCACGATTCATTTTCTTCTCGTTCTCGGGTGTGAGGGAGGGGGGGAGGGGAGGGGGATGACCAGGGCGAAAGGGGGCGGTTGTCGAAGCAGGACGTGTGCGTGTGGCCACCGGGTTGTCGCCGTCGTACGTGTCAGCAAGTCGATTCAGAAGCTGCTTAGGTGACTCTGCGACGGGGGAGCGTTGGGTGCAAGGGAAGGAGCAAAGAGAAAGAAGAGGACAAGGAAAACAGTAAGGGAAGAAGATGCAAAGTGCGGTGGAAGGCGCAGCATCAACTCACAACACGCTTGCACCTCTCGTGATCGTTTATCCTTCTTCGAACGACGCAGAGCATCACGAAAACGCCGATAAGAACTGAGGTTGCAGCTCAGATTCAATTGAAGTACAAACAGACGAGCAGTGTCTGCGCGTTCGCCTGCCTCGCATGAAAGGGTCGAAGAATGCCGTAACCGCTTCTGTTCGTGTGTGTCATCTCCTTCACAGCTCAGCACTTACCTTTCCGCTCCGAGTTCGTTGCTGTGCTGCTTCGTTTCTCAATCGCAGCGGATGCATGAAACAGGAAAGCAAAGAAATAAAAGAGAGGAGTAAGGACGATTATTTTAGTGATGTTGAGGGTTCCACCGCCTCGATGCGCTGCGTCCTGCTCGACAACAAGTCCGCGTTGCTGGTGCATACACACATCTATATGCCCTCTCTCCTTTGTGTTAGCGGTACGACAACAAATCAGACGCAGTGTTCGCCAACTTGACGAACGAACACACACAAAAAAAAAATATATATATATATATATATGTATAGAGCCACCGCGCAGTTCTACAACTACCCGAAAAGCCTGTGGGAGTGCTTGCTTCGTGGACACAACAACGTCAGAAAGAGCGGGAAAGAAGAGAAGAGAGAAAAGCGCGTCAACGAGGCGCTCTCAGGCATTAAAAGGTCAGAGGAACGCAGAGAGGGAGCACAGCTGCCATCATCCAACGGGTCCGCTCGCCGTCGACTCCATAAGCTGCAGAGAGGTGAAAGGGAAAGAAAAGGGAAAAGAGAAACAGATACGTCGACTTCCGTCGCCGCGTAACCGCTGCGCTGCAGCCCTCACGCACGCGCGACATTCATGCCTCCATCTAAGCAGTAAATGATGTCCTCCACGAGCAGCGGCATGCACATCGGCGGGTTGGTGACAAAGTACCGCGGCGTTCCGCTGAGCATCTCCGATGCGGGAAACAGACGAAACACGCCAATCGCCACACACTGCCGCTTCGAGATCAAAAACTCGAAGGCGTCGCCGAAGGTCTGGAAGTGAAGAGCTTGGTTACCGCACAGCTTGAAGAGTGTCTGCGACTCTGCAGTGCGGTTCGTCCAGACAGCCTTGTCGAACATCTCCGCCGTCGAGGTGAGGTTCAGCACCATCTCGAAGAACTTGATGATGCGCGAGTCGCGGTGACTGTGGATGAGCAGCGTCAAGAGCATGTTCGATGAGAAGCAGCGGCCCATCATGAAAGCTAGCGCATCTTGGAAGTTCACCTCACCGCGCGACCGCCAGACGGAGTCCGTGTGGAAGGGTGAGACCTTAATGGAGGAGAGAAAAGACTGCAGCTCCGCCACGATGTTCTGCTCCGTCATCCCCCGCAGGCCCTCTCGCGCCTGTTCGTTCCAGTCCAACAAATCACGCACGCTGTTCTCGACGGAGAAGATTGGGACATCGCCGAAATCGCGCGGGCCCATCTGCGAGCAGTAGAGCAGGATGCCGCGCACCTTGACGACGTCTGTGTCCGCGGTGAGGGCGTAGTTGAGGTGGGAGTCTAGCGAGCCCTGGCCACGAATGTAGCGCAGCGGCGTGCCGAAGATCTCCTTCCACGTCTGCAGGAACTGGTTCGGGTACTTGCGCAGCGTCAACAGCGTCAGCCGAGAGTGGGCGTGCACGGCGCAGATGCACTGCATCATCACGTACAGCTCGTACTGCGCGATGGTTTGCGAGATGACGTCCTCGTACACGGACGTGGTCGTCTTGCGAAGAATTGAGCTTGTCTGGTCAATGAAGAGAAACACCTCCTCGTCTTGGTGCTTGCCATCGGTCAGTGCGTGTTCCTGCTCCGATGACGCCAAGAAGCCATCAGCCGCCTTCAGCAGCGCGGCATTGATCTTGTTTGTCACCTCCTTCAACGCCTCCTCGCGGTCCGCGGCGGACATGAACGGGTCCGACACGAGGCCGTCGTAGCGGCGCGTGAGGTACCACAAATGAGACAAGACCTTACCCTTTAGAGGCAGAGCGTCGAGTAGGACTCCACGAGGGTTGCGCGCGGGGACCGGTATACGGTGCAGTGCGCGTCGCACCTCCTCCTCTGACACGGCCTCGTCCTCCGACTCCGATTCCTCGTCGCCGTCGCCTCTCTCCCCGTTTCCGCTGTTGGCCCGCTGCGCCTGCGTCACATCGCCCAGCGAGGTGGAGCTGTTGTAGGGATAGAAGACGAAGGAGGTGTTCATGTTCTCGTGGAGAAGCTCGTCATCGTTGAGGCCTTGGCGGAAGTGTGCGCCGTACTGCTCCCGGCCCGACTCATTCAGCGGCCCGGCAGAGCTGAACTCCTCCAGCGCCTTGGCGAGGCTGTTGCGAGTGCGCTCGTACACCGCCATGAGCACGTCCTGCTCCTCTAGGCGGTAGCCCAGTTCGTAGCGCATGACCCGGCGGGTGTTCTCCTCCACGCCGACGATGAGGACGTCGCGGTATTTAAAGGTGGAAACGACGTGGCTCAGCGCCGCCCCGACGAAGCGCTGCGGCACGGGGCAGGTGCTGAGCACGTTGCGTCGACTGTACTCGTACTGGCTCTTCCAGTCCTCCACGCCGTCGTCTCGCCACAGCGCGGGCGGCTCCGTGCCTTCGGCCCACGCCGTACGCACCAGGTTCACGAGAAACGGGACAATGCCAGGAAGCAGCAAGGCGCTGGCCATGATGTTCTTCTTCATGTGCTCGTCGATCACACACGAGCGCTGGCCTTTGAGCAGCTTCGCGTGAAGACCGTAGCGGAGCCAGACGTACTGCGGCACACGGGGCACAAAGCGCTCGAAAATAATCGCCGACAGCATCACGTCGTCGTCCACGCGCGAGGAGTAGCCTTCGCGGACGGGCAAGATAATCACGCCAGCCGCGTCCTCTGCTTTCATGCGGCGCAGCGCGAAGGAGTCAAGCGGGTCCACAATGAGGAAGGTGCTGCGCAGGCGGTAGGTCGGGTGCCGGCCAATCGAAACAACGTCGGGGGAAAACTCCCTATTGCAGAAGCACACCGACTTCATGGGGTAGAGGCAGAAGACCTCGTCCAGGATGGAGATGACCTCCTCGCGAGTGACGCAGCCGTACACGATGAAGTGGTTCTTCCGGCCGGTGTAGGAGCGGTACGCCTTCAAGATCTTCGCCGTGGAGCGAATGACTCGAATAAAGGTCGGCATCTTCGCAATGAAGACGAAAATGATGACAATGGTGATCGCCTTACCATCCGGCGTCTTGGGCGTCACATCGCCAAAGCCGACCGTCGACACAGTAACCACCACAAAATAAATCGACACGGCCACGTTCATGGGGATGCCTTGGAAGCACTGATCAATGCGGAAAAAGCCAGCGGCGGAGAAGACCATGCAGATAAAGAGCGTCAGCGGACCAGAGGCAAGACGCAGCAGATCCAGCTTCCGGTTGCGCGGCACCATCAGTGCGACGGAGTCCAATATAAAGAGGAAGTACTGCCGCATTGGCCAGCATCGCATGAAGTAGGGCACGTAGAGGCGACTGACCCATCCGAGGTTCGGCGCGAGCGAGACAAAAAAGATGAGAATTTGGTAAATGGACGTGATGAGCACGACGATGATGGTCATGAGGCTGAGCGAGTAGGCGAAGAAGAGCTGCACCAGCGAGACGACGGACAGCACAAAGCGCGCGTAGAACCACGCACTGTACTCGTGCGTGTCGTAGGAGACCCAGGTGACCTTGTAGCTCACCGTCGACTGCACAATGTAGACCACCACCATCACCAGCTCCACCAGAAACAAGAACGTCCAGACAAAGAAGGCAGCGATTGGGTACTGCCGAACAAACTGCTGAAAGAAGTACTTCGGGCCAGAGATGTAGGTGAACTCGTTTTCTTTGTTGTCCGTGTTGCTCGTGGCTGACCGCGCGACCATCTTGGCCTTGTGTGGATCGCCCTTCACGTCCTCCATGTCCGCGGCCAGTGCGTGGTTGCGTCGTACACTGCGAGTGCGCCAATAGCGCTTCATGGGCGGCAAGTTCTGATTGCGCGAGCGGTGGGAAATGGTGAGGTCGACGGGGGCGGCGACGTCCTCGCCGAGAGAGGCGTCGTCTGCATTTGCCTTGGCGATGAACGTCGGGCTCTGGTAGCGGAGTGGCGAGCTCGCCACGTTGGACTGGTACGCCATGGCTGCCGGGAGGGGGGGGGGGAGTGGGGGAGATGCAAGACGCAATTCGAGTCGACGGTTCGCACAAGAGAAGAGAAGAACGGCAGAGTGCAACGAGCCAGACAGCTTTCGTTGTGGTGTTAAAGCACGTCCGGCTTCGTCACACACACGCAAAGGGTACTGTTGATGAAGAAGCAGCTGTTTCAAGAAAGCTGATGAGACGACGTAAGCTAGTAGCACAACACCAGTTTCTGACGAGGAGTTGCAACACATGTAAGTAGAGATCAGAAAATTGATGAGGGAACACAAGGGCACGGAGTAGAAGTTGCCGAGACAGACCTGAGTTTTTCTCAACGATTCGTTGTCAAGGTGGCGATGAAGGGGGACGCTTGATTAAACAAAACTTGCATGCGAAAGTGATGGTACAGGTTCCACCATCGCAAATACGCGAATTTCGGCGTTCCGATCCGATTATTTTTCCATGGGCAAACAAACAAAAAGTACGGCAGGTTGATGGTGTCTGGCCACGATGTCTGCGTGCACAACCTCCGCCTTCTGGTAACCCTTGCCGTTTGCGTGCGCCGTTGGCAAACTTGACCGCAAACGGACTTCCACGACGAGTCTATATTTGTGCTTTGGGAATAAAAATTAGTTGTGACTTTTAACCTCAGCTTGGGAGAAGACAAAAAGTTGCCGTCGTTCGTGCTGCTTTCGCGATTTCATGTCTTTGCTTCGACCGCGAACGCAGCAAGGAGAATTTTTTCAGGGCTTCTTCTGCCAAGCTTCCGTCTCACACATACGTACGCTTATATAGGGCGTAAAAGTAATCTATGCTGCAGTTGTTGTTTTGGCTTTTTCTTTCTTTTTGAGTTCCGCGACTGTTGCAAGCTCCCATGCGCAGAACTGCCGCAGAAACCTGAGGGGTTTCTCCGTCGGTCCACTTCTGTATCCGTTCTGCGTCTTCTTTTCGAAGTACAAATAAAACAAGGAAAGACATGCTTGAAAGCGAAGAAGACGGTCCGTCGGTGCTGTCTCACCTCTGTGGGCGTCGCCTCTGCTGGCATGCGAGAAAGCCCAGGTACTTCATCTTCAAGACGCTCGAAAGACGCTGCGGGATACGGAAGGAGAGAAAAAGGAGACGCACCAGTGCGCTTCTCCCGCCCGTGAATGGCCTCCCATGTCGCCCCCACGTCGCCAAAGCTGAAGAGGAAAACGGCCAACACGGCAGAGCAACAGAAACAACACAAGCTGAGACGACAGAAGAAAATCTCGCAGGTGGAGTGCATAGAAGCACAGCGAGGCGTCCACGCGGCCACGCTTCGTTGACTGTCGGCCGCAGTCGAGGAACTTCTCTTATTCAGAAAAATTATAATTGAGAAGAAAAAGAGCGTGGAAAGGAAGGTTTATAAACACCGGAATATTCTTTTTAACAGTTTTTTGAATGACATAACGTCGGAAGTTAAGAGAACAAGGAAAGGAAAGAAAAACGCTGGAGCATCGTGGGAGGCGAAGAAGCGCAGTCGCAGTAGTCACGCACAACTGTTTGAATTGTGAGACGTTGCGTCCTCGCACCATCGAATCCAGCGGCACCGCAGAGCCGCATTACCCCCGTCTTCGGTGAAGACCGGTTTGCGTAGAGGTGGACATCTGTGACGACGCAAACCCGCGCGCACAGCGACTTTACTTCAGCAACTTGGGAGCCATACGGCGGCCAATGACGATGCCGATGAGCACAGCAGCGAGTAGCTTCAGGATTTGCATCACGATGCAGGTGCAGTCGAATTTGGCGGGAGCGCCGCTGTCGTCAGCGCAGTGGCAGTCGGTACCGCACTTGCAGGCATCACTGCGTGTCGCAGCAGCACCGGCTGCGGCCGCCTTGTCGGTGAGGACGGTGACGCCGGGCAGCGACTTCCCCTCCAGCAGCTCCAACGACGCACCGCCGCCGGTCGATACGTGCGACATGTTCTTCGCCTCCCCGCTCAGCTCCGCAGCGCTCGCGCTGTCGCCGCCGCCGATGATGCTCATGAGCCCGTGCTTCTGCGTGCCCTCGCCCATCGACTTCGCCACGGCAAACGTGCCCTTCGAGTAGCACGCCATCTCGAACACGCCCATCGGGCCGTTCCAGATCGCGCTCTTGCACTTCGCAATCACGTCCTGGTAGATCTTGGTCGTCTTCGGCCCGATGTCCAGCGCCATGTAGCCCTCCGGGATGCTCACGTCCTTCGTCACCAGCGGCGAGTCCACCGCCTTGAACTCCTTGTTGCACACGTGGTCCACCGGCAGGAACACCTCCACGTTGCGCTCCTGCGCCTTCTTCAGCAGCGACTTGGCGAGGTCCAGCTTGTCCTGCTCGCACATCGAGATGCCAATTGCGTGGCCCTGCGCCTTCTGGAACGTGTACGCCATGGCGCCGCCGATGATAAGGTAGTTGATGCGGCCCAGCATGTTGTCCAGCAGCTGGATCTTGTCGCTAACCTTCGCGCCGCCAACGATGGCCACCAGCGGACGCGGCGGGTTGTTCAGCACCTTCTCGAAGTAGTCGATCTCCTTCGCCATCAGGTAGCCGGCGTAGCCCGCACCCAGCACCTTCGGGATGCCCGTCATCGTCGCACTGTCGCGGTGCGCCGTGCCGAAAGCGTCGCTCACGTAGACGTCGCCGTACGACGCCAGCACCTTCGCCATCGCGTCGCGCTCCTCCGTCTTCTTGCTGCCCTCCTCCACGTAGAAGCGCACGTTCTCCAGCAGCAGCACGTCGCCGGCCTTCAGCTTCGCAGCGTACGACGCAGCGTCCAGGCAGTCCGGCGCAAACTCCACCTGCTTGCCCAGCAGCTCCGACAGCCGCGCCGCCACCGGGCGCAGCGTCGCGGCCTCCTCGTACCCGCGCACGCCCTTCGCCGGCTTCGGGTCGCTCATCTTCGCACCCTTCGGGCGGCCGAGGTGGCTCATCAAAATGCAGGAGCCGCCCTCCTTCAGCACCTTCTGGATCGTCGGCAGGGCGGAGCGGATGCGGAAGTCGTTCGTGATCTCGCCGTTCTTCACGGGCACGTTGAAGTCCACGCGGATGAGGACCTTCTTGCCCTTCACTCTGACATCGTCGATGCTCTTCTTCGGCACGAGAGACATTTGTGAAGTCTGAGGTAGGCGAAGTGAAAGCTAGGGGGTGGGCAGCGAGTGCGGGAGAGTAGGAGAGGGGACACCGACAGTATTTTTGCTAAGATGTTTGTTAAAGCTGGGATTTTGATGGCGATGAGTAGGAGGCGTTTAAAAATCTGCGGCACGAGACATTCGCCGGTGCAATCAAAGGCGCAGGGAAGAGAGAGGAAAAGAACGGGGGAGGTGCGTCATCAGAATTCACCATAGTGAGGTAACAGCGCAGCGGCAAGAGGAAATCCTCCCACCGAGACGACAGAGCAAAGGCAGGACGAGTGCGCTTCGGCCGGCTTCCGTTCTCGCTGCACAGAGAGAGAGGAGCACGAGAATCAGAGACGGTCTGGGGTGTCCCTGCGAGCACAAACCGGCCATCCACGACGACGTTACTTGTGTTCAGAGGGTCCAATGCGCACGACGTTGACACCCGACGAGCAGCATCGCCAAAGCGCAAAAGCCTCCGTTTTTCCTTCCTTTCCACCACGACGTGTTGTGCACGCTCCGGCGATGCGTTGAATCCAAGATAATAAACTTAAAACAATTGTGGAGCGCAGGAGGAGAATAAAGAACAGAGGAAAGCACCGTACGTTTTAGTCCGTTACGTCTTTGTTTTGGTGGTGTTGCCGTGCGCGATGAAGCGCCGAACAACGCACGAGAGAAAATTTTTAAATTGAAAAAAAGCGGGCGACGTGCTTCACTGGAGCTCTGCTGTAAACTTGGATATATGAAAAACATGATCAACGAAACACTGAAAAAGGAAGAGAGAAGAGAACACCGCGCGGTGATGATAAAACCCTTCGTGGGCTCGATCAGTAAGCGTGCAACGACGGGTGGTATCAACAGAAAGAAAAACAAACAGAGGTAAAGCCAGCCCGATAGCACCACATAACCTGCGCCACTACTCCTTGTTGTCCAGCACCACCACGGCAGGCATCACCTTGCCTTCCAGCAGCTCCAACGACGCGTTGCCACCGGTGGAGATGTGCGAGATGTGCGCCGCCTCCCCCGACTTCATCATCGCACTGGCCGTGTCGCCGCCACCGACGATGCTAATGGTGCCTTTGGCCGCCGAGCACTGGCTGACCACGCGTGCCACCGAGAAGGTGCCAAAGGCGTAAAACGGCATCTCAAACATACCCAGCGGCCCGTTCCAAATCACACTGCGGCACTGCTTCACCAAGTGGGAGACGGTCTGGATCGTCTGCGGACCAATATCCAGCGCGGCGTACCCGTCCGGGATTTCCGCACTGGTCGTCGTGAGCGGTGCGTCGGCCGGACGCAAGTGGGCGTGGCAAACGTGGTCCTCCGTCAGCGTCACCTTCACCTGCCGCTCCGCCGCCAGCAACAGAAACCGTTTGGCGAAGCACATGCAGGAGTCCTCGAAGTGCGAGGAGCCGATGCTGTGGCCCTGCGCCTTCAAGAACGTGTACGCCAGGGCGCCACCGATAAATAGTGAGTCAACGCAGTCCAGCAGGTTCTCCAGCACCTGCGTTTTATCGCTCAGCTTCGCGCCACCGATGATGGCCAGAAGCGGCCGCGGCGGGTTGTTCAGCACCTTTGAAAAGTACGAGATTTCCTTCTCCATGAGGTATCCCGCCGCACCTTGCTGGAGTACCTTCGGGATGCCCGTCATGCTGGCGCTGTCGCGGTGCGCCGTGCCGAAGGCGTCGTTGATGTAGACGTCAGCGTAGGAAGCCAAGATGCCCGCCATCTGCATCCGTTTCTGCTCGTCCGGCGAGTTCTCGTTCGTGTAAAAGCGCAGGTTCTCCAGGAGCATCACCTCCCCGCAGCGCAACTTCGCAATGTCGCTCTTCGCACCGAGGCAGTCGTGACCAAAGTAGACGTGTTGATCCAGCAGCTCCGCCAACTTCACCGCCACCGGCTGCAGGCTGAGCTCCTTCTCGTAGCCCGCAGCAAACCCCAGCTGCGGAAACAGTTCCTCCTTGCGCTCGTTCATGAAACGAAGAAGCAGACGGCGCTTCTCGTCCTCGGGTAGGCGCGCAAAGATCGCCGTCTTGCCGCTGCCGTACGCGGTGGACAGCGAGGCCGCCTTCTCGTGCTGGCTCGACCACGCCAAGATCGTCGCCTTTGCGTCTCCGTTGAGACCGGAGAAGAACGCCGTCTTTCCCTTTGTGTTGGGGACCAGTATTGGTGCCCGGCGCTTGTCCTGCTCCGCCGTCGCCGCGTCGTAGTCGACGCCGGTGGGTCGGCCCAGATGGCTGATGAGGATGCAGATGCCCCCCTGGTCCACGATGCGGCGAATCGTGGGAATCGCACTGCGAATGCGGAAGTCATCGTCGATGTCGCCGGAGCTCGTCGGAACATTGAAGTCCACGCGGATCAGCACGCGCTTGCCCGCCACCGGCCAAACATCATCCACGCTCTTCTTGATCTCAATCGACTGATTGGAGAGCAGCATCGCGGCACAGAGAAGTGGTGGGGAAAAGAGAGTTCGAGGAACAAATAAATACAATTGTCACGAAAACAAGAACAAAAACGCCGAAAAATGTTTTTCAAAGGCTTTGCGGTACCGCAGCACGGTGTGGTTCGTTCTCTCGCTCCTCCTTTGATTTGCGATATGCAGCAGAAACGGCAGAGAAGAGTAATTTATGAAGGGTGTTCTTTTCTTTCTTTGAGATGTATTCGTCCGTTTGCAGACGGTAGCGACGTACGAGCTGCACACGCACCACGCACAGAAGGGAAAAATAAAACGAAAGAGGTGATGATGAAAAGTGAAATATCAAGAATCACGTAATCGCCGTTGTTGGCGATGAACGCAAGGGAGAAACAGCGCTGAGGGATTGAGCTGCGAAGTGCTCGGCAGGCTGCTGGGGTGTGATGGCACGTGTTTTGCTGACAACTATCCAAGAGACGGCTTCACATATGTTTCTGTTACAGGTCAACGAAGACACCTGCAAACGTGCAAGACACTCCACGCCTACAAAACCACAGCGGAAACGCTGCGGAAGAATCGCGTTTGTGGGGAGAAGTTATGCTTTCTTTCTTTTCTCTCTCTCTCACTGTTGATGTTCTGGTATTTCTGAATTGTGTGGTGCACCGCCGTCTGAACCGAGTTGTGATTGGTCGGGTACGACGACCAACACACAGCGGTCATTGCCAAAAAGAAAGACGAAAGGCACGACAAATCTCACCCCCACAGCAGCTGCTTGGCTAAAAATGTGAACAACAACGATGATCGATACAACAACAGAGGAGAGCTGAGACACGTCAAACGAGGAAACGAAGCGCACGGCTCACCAAGAGAGGAGAACACCTGCGAGAGAGCGCGACGTGCAGCGTACCGGCTGCCCTCGTGCTCCTTCTCTCGCCGGGTTTAAGGCGCCGTCCCGCCGCAGAGCACGTTTCTTCACTTCACCTTCTGCACTTCCGCGTCCGCCCGTTCGAGGGCGCGGTGAAGGCCGGCCGGAATCTCCAGCCCCAACTCCGTCATGTACTGCCCTTTGCACATGAGCAGCACAAAGATCGTCTGCCACAACATGCGCACCTCCTCCTTGCCCAGCACCACATCGACGGAGGTAAGATGGGCCTCCAACACCGCTACGCTCTCATCCACCAGCGCCATGTTCGCCGCCGTTGCCAGCAGGTAAGGTGCGAGGCAGCCCAAGATAAGGGCCGACTCTGCGGCACCGCGGCCGTGCACCGTCACACTGTCCTTCCACGACCGCTGCAGCACCGCCTCCGCGCGCGCGTCCTTCAGGAAGTGCAGAAGGCGGCCGCACTCCCGCAGCATGCGCACGCTCTCCGTCGACGGTGGCCGCTGCTGCGCGTCATTGTCGTGCTGAATACGCAGCCACATCTCGACCGCCACCGTTAAATCACGCGCCTCCACGTGCGCCAGGAAGATCGCGCTGCGGTCCATCGCGGTGATGAGCGACGGCGTGAACGGCACCTGGCACTCGATAAAGCGCTGACATATCGCGTAGGTGTGCCAGACGAGGTTGTAGGCCGTCTGACTGCCCATGCCCCGCCAGCGCCGCGGCCACAGACCCAGCAGCGCCTCCGCTGCTCGCGACAGCACCGACGGCGACAACGTCCCCTGCAGCGTCTTCCGCACCAGCGGGTGCAGCGCAAACGCGTTCTCCTCCCACTTGAGCGAGAAGATGCCCAGCTGCGCCGCATCGACGGAGAAGCGGCCGGCGGGGTCGCCCACCACCGCATCCACTACGGCGTCGGAGATGTCGCCGGCGTGAAAGCAGCTGATCACACGCAGCAGCTCTCGCGCATCCGGGTACGTCTTTTCCATCTCCGCAATGCAAATCTCGAGCAGCACAGCGAGCGCGCCGGAGATGCTGAGGGTGTCGTTCTTCCGCACCTCCTTTCCTTCGAGAACACGGCGCAGTTGGAGCGGGCTGCACACCTCGCCGGCAATCATGAGGGAGGCGATGTGCATCAGCAGCGGCACGTAGCCCAAATTGTGGAAGACGCCCTCCAGCTCGTCGGAGAAAGGCAGCTCCGACACAAACTGCTGGCTCGACTGCGGCGATAGCGCAGACGGGCGCAACGAAGCTAATTTGGTGTTGCTTGGCACCTCGGCTGCGTTGGTCGTCATCAGCAGGTACACGTTTGGGTGTTCGGGAATCAGCGCAATCACCGCCTCCGGCGTGTCCACGTCGTCCACCACGAGCAGCACATCCTTCTCCTTTCTGCCTTTCATGGATGCGAAGAAGTGCTGCAACTGCGACGCCAACGCGTGCTGTCCGTTGAACCACTGGATGCAGGAGAAACGCTGGCTGTGCTTCACGGTGTCGCAGAACTCGGCGGCGATGGTGGACTTGCCGATGCCGTCCATGCCGTACAGGACTTGCAAGTGGCGCCCGGCGAGCAGGTTCTGCCACAGTGTGCGCACCTCCGCCTCTCGTCCTACCGTGCGCGACGCCAGCACCGGCACGTGATACAGCAGGGGGTGCGCCTCGTGTTCGGTCGCCTCTGTAGAAGCCGCGAAGCTGTTAGAGATGATGTCACCAGTTGATACGCCGCGCACCGCAGCCGCGGTCACCAGCCGCGTAAGTCGCCTCATTTTTGTTCTTTGTTTTTTACTTTTCGTGCTACTTTGCGCTGAATGCGGATGCTTCCGTGCGTGTCGGTGGAAGTGCGCGTATGTTGGCGTTTCGGGTAGCTCTCGGAGGCAACGATTAGGGGAATAATAAAAAGCAGCGGAAGAAGTTCCAAATATATATGAACGAGACACGAAGCACGCAAGAACCGAGAAAGCCAACAGCGACAATGAAATGACAGTCATAGCGAAGGGAAGAGAAAGTCGCGAGCAGCTCCTCCTGTGCCGTGCTCAGCAAAATTTGTTCTGCTCGTCAGTTTTCTTTTTGTTCTGACGCCTGCTTTTGGGCCACATACTGATGCAATGCTCCGAAGTGACTGCGCCTCGAACTCTCTCCCGTCTACGATCCGAGCGGCAACGCTTCGGCGAAGTACCAAACACGAACTCGGCACGCTTACCTTCGGACAACCACGTTTCCGGCGGTATTTCTTTTTAAAGCCGTTAAGGTATGTAAAGAAACGCGATGCGACATCAGTCCGCAATCCCCAGCACAGCCAAAACAAACGGCACCATGATCCACATCACTTAGGCGGCGTGAAGCTCTTCCACGGCGCGTTGCCGTCGATGTTCAGTCTTTTCTCACTCGACGCCGGCACGCCAGAGTTCACCGTCGGTTTGTCGAAGTCCTTCATGAAGCGCTCAAACTGTTCATCAATGCGCTCCGAGGACAGCTGTTCGGCACCGATCTGGCGCGTAAATTGAATCTTCGCCATGTTCTCGTTGATCTCACCCACAATGGTGCCCTTCACTCCAGCCGCGACGTCGGCGAAGCCTTTCACCCGCTCCGACAGCTTCTCCTTCGACGATTCCATGCCGTCCATCTGCTTGCGCTGTGCCTGCAGCACCGCCTCATTCTCGTACGAGATGCTACCCTCATATCCGAGGTCCAACTTAGTCGGGTAGCGGCCGATCGACCTCGCCACCGTCTCCGCGTCCTCGACGTAGCTGCGCTGCATGTCGCGGTGCATCTGATCCGCCTCCTTCAACCTCGCGCCGCAGTAGCTATTCACCGCCATGCTCTGCTCCCCATCGCCTGTCGGACCACCCAGCACCTTCGCTTGCAGTTCACCGTTGTTCTGCCAATCCACCACGCAGCCGTACTCGTCGTGGCAGACGCCACGCACCAGCGCACCGTTGCTCCACACACCGGTAAAGATCAGACGCGGTTCGTTAATAAGGTACGTCTGCGCACCTTCGCCGTGTGCCCGACCGTGCTCGTTAAAGTCGCCTTCGTATGTGTACGTGGGGGTGTAGAGGGTACCGCGGCGGATCTGGCCATCCATGAAGTCGCCCACGTACACAAAGCCGCCTTCCAGCTTCATCTTGCACTCAGTCCCGTGCAGCTTGCCATTGAAAAACGTTCCCTCCTGCTCCGCGCCAGTGGAGAAGACGAGTTTGCCTTTGCCGTGGGGTTTGTTGTCCGCGAACTCGCCCTCGTACACAAAGTCGCTCTGCGTAAGTCGCCCCTCTACAAAGGACTCATCCCGCAGCGTCCCCTCAAACACCACCTCCGTCGTTCCGTTGGGGATGCGCACCACGCCTTCGCAAAGCGCGTCCTCCTTGAAGGTGCCCTTGTAATGCGTACCGTCTGCGAGCCAGGCCTCCCCCTTGCCCTCTCGCTGCCACGCCGCATTGAACTCACCTCTGTACAGGTCACCGTCTTCTTCTAACTGGCTGCCGGCCAGCGGGAAGCCCGCCTGCGCGTCGTAGGACCCGCTGTAGACCCGCCCATCCGGTAAGATGGCGATGCCGCGTAGGAGAAGATCCTTGTGTAGTGGATTGAGGTCGCCTTTCAAGACCGTGCCGTTGGCCAGCGTGACGCTGCACAGCAACCTCGCGCCAACTCGGCGAAGCATGGAGAAGAGAGACTCACAAGAGTCGTCTACCTTGTCCAGTTGTTGTTTACTTATATGCGTGTGTGCGTGTGTGTTCTCTGGATTAAGCAGAGGTGCGACGCTGAGACTCAACACGGACACCGTTGAGCACTGTATTCGAAGAGGTGAAGAAAACCTGGATGAATGGAAGAATGACGGAGCGAAACAAAGCTGGCAACAATGTATCGTCAAACGGATCAGCAGCCGTCTCCACCAAAAGCGGTACTCCTCGCAAGGCACTCCGTGTGCGTGGCGCCCAGCTGGATCCGTTTCGCGGCGCTGTCGCAACGGCAAAAGGCTCGACCATCTCTTCAACTGTTCATCCAAAAAAACGTGGCCCGGCCAGCCTGCCTTCCTGTGAACGAACCCTGTTCTTGTTCGCCGCTCTCTCCCGTGGACGTACGATATGTTTCCTTCGTTGTTTTGTCAGTATAGCTCCAGCGTGCGAAACACAGTAATAATGAAAGAGAGAAAGAGAATCGTCGGCGCAAATGTGTCGGCGTGTGAAACTACGCGTACATCGGGGAAGAAAAAGACATATATGATAATGAGAATAAAGAAAGATGTTAGACGAATGCAGTTCGTCTGCTCGTGCGCACCAGGCGTTATGGTGGTGTTGTCCGGCTGAAGCAGCAGAAGCACACACACACACACACACATGGCGGAACCGCACGGCAATAGTGCTTGTCATCCGCACCAATGCCCACGCACCCACATACACACACGCGCAGAGAGCGATCAGTTCCCCGAATAACGCGGGCGGTGCAGCGCGTTGAAGTTGTACTTGTAGACGTACTGCACCTTCCTGTTCGGTGTTTTGCGAGACGCAGGGTGTCCCCCTGTGAGGGATGGAGTCAGAGGTGGAGAGGGGGTAAGAGGGGCGGCTGGCGCGTCGTCCGCCGCCTTCCTGTCTGCAGCCATCGTAGGCCGAGATAAGGCTCTCTCCACCTTCGTGCCTTCAGGGACACCTCCAGCATCCGATGGTGGCGGCGGCGGCATGAACTCCCTCGACAGCGGCGATGGCAGCGATGCGTGCACGCCATGGAGCGGGCATAGCGGGAAAGGGAGCTGACGTACATAGCAGGCGTGCGCCGCCGCCACGCGAACCCAGCCGACGAGCTGCTCTAGCAGAGCACGTTGGGCAGCACTTGTTATCCGCGCGAGCAAGCGAGGATTCAAAACGGACCAAGAGAGGACCGTCAGCGCAGGCAGCGAGAGTTCGGTACGGCCGTCAAAAGCGCCCATCCTGGTGTACAGCATCGCACCGACGCGACCACAAAATTGGTTGACCAGCCACGTCCCGTAGTCCCCGCTGAAAGAGGCGGGTGCGAGCAGGGCCCCCATGCAACTCAGCAGAACAGCTCGGCAGAGCTGCTCATCCTCCGTTGCTCCCCTCACTTTTTCACCCCTGAAGTACGTCTCCAGTTCTGTTGGCGCCATTGTCTTGCAGAACTGCAGCTGCGCCTTGCGAAACGCCTCTCGCCACACTCGTTCGCCCAGAGGTGACTCTCTCGTTTCGTGTGCGGGTGCGGTCGTCAACACGCCGTCAATGCGTGCCGCAGCCAGCACATCCAAGACAATCGATGGTGCCTTGTCAAAGGCCGCTTTCCATTCAGACCCGGTTGTCGGCGTGGCGGCGTTGGCAGAGGTCGTCGACTCCTCTCCGACAGGCTTGTCCTTCCCTGCTGCGGTGTGTTCTGCTAGCTGGAAGAGAGAGCGCAGAGCCGCCGATGTCACTTCGGTTGGTTGGTGGCCGAAGGCAGCTGCAGCCTCCGTGAAGAAGTGAAGAAGAGTGTAGTCGGCATTGCAAAGATCTGCGCACAGCAGCGAAGATGCAATATCCTGCAGCACCATTTGTGTCTGCGGTGGGGGGAGTGGGAGATCGGCTAGCACCCGTTGCAACCAACCCAGCAGCGCGGCGGCCGCCGCACCATCTCTCTCTCGGTCAGCCGGCGATGGAAGCAGGTCCTGCGTCGACGGGGTATGGAGGTGTGCCAGAAAGGTCTTGAATGGTTCTGCGGTGGCCGTATCGCCAAGTAAAGAACGCGCCAGCGTGTGAACCTCCGTGGTCGTGAGAGGTAAACTCACCGACTCTAGTTGGCGCACAGCTGCGGCGGCGATAAACCGAAGAGCTGCGTCGCCAGCAGGGAGTGCGGTATCGTTGGGAGACTCACCGGGCGGAGTGGGAAGCGAAGCTGGTAAGGCAGGAGATGTCACGCGCAGCTCCGCACTCTCCACGCACAGGTCCGTGGGGAGATCTTTGATGAGCGTCGTTTCCGTGAGCGGCAGCGATTCTGCTACGCCGGCCTTCATGTGCACCAGCGCCATGGTCAACGCCGGCGTCGGTGCAGCGCTTTGCGTCAGGTGATCGGCAAAACCATCGGCAACTCCGCGACACACATCATCGTAGAGGTGGTCTGCCCGCACACGGCAGCGTGCCATGCGCTGCGCCGTCCCCCACCGAATGGTGGCCTGGAAGCGATACAGCTCCGTACTGCTGCTACCACTGCAGCTGTCAACTTCACAAAAACACGGATGTTGCCGAGTCGAAGAAGAGGGGATGGGGGTGGAGCAGTGGGAGGGCCCTGGTGTGGTTGACATTACCGGCGAAGGGCCGCCTTCGTCCTCCATTCCCGCTGGCGCAGCAGCGCTGGACTTGGAGGAGGCTTGTGCGATTGTCGCTGCTGATGTGGCCTCCTTCTTCGGAGGGTGCGGCGAAGATGCGGTGTTGCGCGTGCGTGAGGAAGCGGAAATCTGCTTCTTTGCGGAGCCCTCGCCGCCGGCCGCGGCGCTCGTCGAATCGCCCCCGCCGACGGACAGCCTCGGCAGTCGCGGCTGTGAAGGGGCAGACGGTGACTTGACACTGGAAGACGCGTTGCCGCCAGTGTTGCTGCTCTTGCTTTTGCTGTTGAGTTGGTGCGGTGCGGTTCCCACGTTCACATCCGCTCCGCTGCCGGGTGTAGGCTTCAACGCAGCCCGATTTGACGCGTCTTTCACGGGGGCAGCACACTGCGGCAACGCTGCTGTTTTGTCATTGGCCCGAGACGGATGTGGCTTTGAGGGGGAGCGGAAGCGCAAACGGGTCCGCAGTGGCTGCTGGGCCTCCCTCGCCAGTGCCAGCAACTCTCGAAGAACGCCGTCGCCGTCAATCACGGCAGAGGGGTCGTTGGACAGGGTCAGCACCGGAGTGCCAGTTGTAGCGGCAAAGAGCGCGCTGCACTCTGCGAGGAACCGCCGGCACAGCTGCACCTCCGTTCGCAGGTACGAGAACGTAAAGGTCTGGAAGGTCTGGCTATCCTCGAGACGCACCTCCACCTGCACCTCCGCCGTCGACGTCGGGACGGTCGGCTCACGCAGAAAGGCACGGTAAGGAGTGCTTGCCGGCGAACTCGGAAATGAGATGTGTGTCGAGCTGCGTTGAGTGTCGGGTGTCTCGGCGGGGGCCGGGGAGACTCTTGGTGGGTGTGGCGAGCTATTGCTGGGCTGCGTAGGCGTGGTGGCAGGTGCGTGGACCTCGCTCCCATGGAGGGGCGGGAGCTTGGCGCTTGTTTTTCTGCTGGCACGCGGTGCGACACCATCTACAGGCGGGGGCGGCGAAGATGGCTTGCTGGTCGACGCAGTCGCTTCGTTTTGATGTTTGTGTTGTTGCTGCTGCTGCTGCTGCTGCTGTGGTGGTGATGGTGATGGCGGTGGGCTGACATGGCGTGCAGAGGGAGACGGAGCCGCTGCAACGCTGTAGGTCAATCGCGCGGGTTCACGCCGCTTCGCTTGCCGGTGTAAAAAGTCCAGCGCGGCGGTGTCGTCCATCAACGCAACGCCTTCCACGTCGTCTTGGGAGCTCATCGCGTAAAGCGTCAGCAGTGAGTTCTTTTTAAGCGTGCTAGCGTTCAGCGTGTCCTTCACGGCACGTATCAGACCATCCAGCACAAACCGCGTTGGCACAACAAACATTTTTTCTTGATAGACGGCGCCGTGGGAAGGTGATGACGGTGCTGATGACGCTGCCGATGCTACTGATGCCGCTGCTGATGCGGCTGCGGCTGCTGGACCGTAGATCTGAAGAGTTGCGAGCTCCAAATCGACGGCGTATTCCGCAGGAATGCAGCTTTCCGCATCGGGCTGCGCCACTGAATCACTGGGAAGGCGGATGTGAAAGGTGGCCCGATCACCCAGCGTTCTCGCTTGCGCTAAGAAGAGACGAACATCGGCGTCGGTCTTCAGCTGACGCGCGTCATCCACGCCGTCTAAGCTCACGGTGAAATCGAAGTCACCCGCCTCCAAACGAAGGTCCTGGCTTTTTAAGAAGGCGACAAGTTGATCTCGCGAAGTCAGCTTCTCCGTCAATTCGCGGGAACGCTGGCTACGCTCCTTGCCGCACATTACGTTCAACGTGCACTTCATGGCGGTGTTCTTTTAATGTTTCTTTAGACTGAAATACGTTTCTCCCTCTCTTTGCGGTTCTGTTCGCGATTGCGTCCGTCTCGACTGGCGGCACCGCCACGGCTCACCAGAACAGGGACAGCGAGAAAAAGGAGGTGGAGGAAAATGAGCGGGAAGTATCCAGCAGTTTACACCCCGCAGTTCGTGAAGCAGTCCGTCCAACATCACTCCAAACGACCACGAAAAGCAGCAGCTGCAAAAGCGTTGAGTGAGTGAGCATCACCCTCTCCCATGCCGTCACTAGGCCGGCCTTGGGGAAGGGAGTTGTATCGAAGGAGGCACACAGATGATGAAGGGCATGACGCAATGCGAATCGAAGTGGACTTGTACGCCGAGCCGCTCATGCACAGGGTTCGTTGCCGCGCTGCATGAAAGATGATGAAATCCTCAGCGCCACGCATTCTCTCCACTTTCGCCCACCGATGTATTTAGCGCACTAAACGCTGACGGTGCTTTGTCGTCGTCATCGCCTGCAACGGCCAAAAACAACCCCGAAAAGTCAACGCAAACAATGACTGGAAAACACAGTATATATATATATAAGCCTCGTGCGACCCACGCACCTCTCAGTTCTACGTACTCACAGAAGACGCTGAGGTAACGCCCAGAGACGCCAGCGCCGTTCAGTGAGTAAGGTGGAAAATAGAATACCTTTGCGCAACGATATACGGAATAGTCAAAGAAGAGCGAAACAGCTGCGCAGCGCTCGGACGGATCCCTCCTCAGAAAAACAGCGGTGCAAATACACGCGCATGAACTGCGCATGCGTTCAAACCTGTGGCGGAACATCAACGAGCGTCCCAGGGGGAAAACAGAGCCGTTTTGCTGCCCAGAAAACTCTTCCTTTCAGCGCCCCTTGCTTAGAGATACAAGAAGCTGAGGTCATCGGAGCACTTGCTGGTGGCGAGGATATCGTGCAATTTGGCCTCCTGGGTCGCGTTGAGCGACTGGGTAAGCTTCAGTTCGCGCCGCCATGCGCGCATCTGTGGCTGGCGGCGCTGGCGGAAGCCGGAGAAGCCCTGCTCCAGCGAATGCAGCTCATTGGGATAGTGGCGGCTGACACGCTCTCGCACCTCTGCGTCGTGGATCAGGTCACAAAGATGGCAGTACTCGCGGACGGAGACGTCCAGCATGGCGAGCAGCACCGCCGTCCGCTCCGGTGTGTCGCGTGCGGTGAGGTTTAAGTACCGCTCCATTGAGAGCGTCGCGCTGTCGCTCAACGTTAAAAATTGGGTCATGCGAAGGGAGTAGGTGGGGCGGTAGTACTTCGGCTCCTTCGACACGTGACGCCAGTCCGTGCCACACAGGCGCAGCCGGTCAGCGATCTCCACCGCCCTGCGCGCCGCCCCGGCGGGGTCGGGCCGACCGGGCGTCTTTCGGCTGGCAAAGGCGACGACGAGATTCGCATGGGCCGCAGAAGACGCCGCGTCTGCGCCGTCGCTGTCGTCTTCCTTCGTCGACTCCTCACACAGCATCATCGACTGCGGGTACCAATACATTGCGTTGCAGTAGGTGTCCTCGCCCGGCGTACGTTCCACCCTGCTCGAGATCCAGTACACCTTCGAGGTATTCCACTTGTCCAGCGCGTTCTCGAGTAGGGCCTCTGCCAGGCATGGCTTTTGCTCCTTCTGCAGGGCGTAGATGGAAGCCTGACGGAGCGCTACGGCCTTCTGCGCCTCCTCCACCCTCAGCGAGGCGAAGTCCACAAGCTGCTCCACCTCCGTCATGGCCGGATACATGATGTCCCGCAGGCGCATGTACGCGTCACTACAGGCCCTGCTAGAAAACGGGTCACTCACGCACATGCGGATGTACTCGTACGCTTTCCGGGGGTTCTTCTTGTCGTTCACCTCGTGCAACGCAATGTAGTAGTAGGCGTCGCGCAGGCCCGGGTCGAGCTCCACGGCGCGCTCTGCCAGCGCCAGAATCTCCGGCGTCACCCTGCTCGTCCGCTCCGAAAGCAGCGCCGCGAGTTGAACGTGTGCCTTGCCGCTGTTCGGGCACGTCCGGAGCGCCGCCCGAAACAGCAGCTCGTCGCTGCGCCAGTCGTTGTTGCGGCGGTGCGAGAAGACACCCCAGCCGACGCAGAGCAGTAGCAGCGCGTAAAAGTAGTAGGAGACGCCACCGCGGCGCAGACCAGGGGCGGCGACGAGAAACGTGATGAGCAGCACCGCACCGATCGACGGGACGTAGAGGCAGCGCTCCGCGATAAAGGTGCCGACGGCGATGAAGATGTGACTGACCGGGGCGTACGGGATCGCAATCCACAGAAAACTCACGAGACCGACGACGGCGACACGCGAGCGGCGCACAAAGGTGCCGTGTAGCAGGTACAGCACCGCCGCCATGATGACGGCGGTCACCGCCGTGAAGTACGGCACTCGCGGGTCTCGCAGGTCGTACATGTGCGGAATGCAGTTGAAGCTGTACTCGCAGCACAGGGAAGTTGGGAAGAAGAGTAGCTCCATGTTCTTCACCTGGACCACCCAGCGAAGGCTGAGCCAGTGGAAGAGTCCTTCCGGCACAAAGTACTGCGGGTTCTCCGTCTGGCGCAGCAAAGGGCTCTTCTTGAGGTCGACGTTGCCGACGAAGTTGCGGCGGAAGGCGAGGTAGCTCACCAGCTCCACTAGCGCTACCCCGATGACAACGCCCATGCGCCGCCTGCTGCACCGGTTGCAGGCGTACATAACGCAGGCGTGCACACCATACACGGCCGTGAAGGTGATGGCGCTGTCCTTGCACAGGACGCTCAAAATAAGCGCGTAGATGGAGAAGACAACGTAGCGGAAGGTGAAGACGCGTGCAGAGGAATGCGCCCCTCGTCGACGGTCCTCGACCACCGCCTTCGCCGCGGCGGTCAGGCTGTTACCACCACCGTTTTTACCCACCGGCGGCACGCCAGGACGTCCGCCGTTGCTGCTGGCGGGCTCCTCAACCTGGTTCAGGTACCGATGCACGCAGAAGAAGCCGACGAGACCGAATAAGCAGTAGAGCAGCTCGCACCGGCCCACGATCGAGGTGACCGCGTCGACGTGCACGGGGTGGACGAGATACAGCAACGACGCCACAAGCGGCACCGCGTGCAGCGGGGAGGTCAGCACTGCCGTGAAGGACTGCACGTTAGCCTTCTCTAGTGAAAGCGCCCGCGGCGGCACAATGACGTAGACGTAGAGGCGGGCGAGGTAGTATACAAGGCAGACGTTCATAAATGCGACCACGTAGTTGAAGCAGTGCAGAAACGCTGGGCTGTGGCGGTAGCCCATGAGCCAGTGCTGGATGCGAAAGGTGAGGACGACGATGGGGCGGTACGACCCGTTGGACTCGATCCGGTCCAACGACTTCCCCCAGAAATCGTCGAAGAACACATCAGATAGCGTCGTCTGGTTCGCATTGGCGTCGTGGTTCTTCTCGATGGCTAGGTGATCGTCAAAGGTCAGCTCTCCGCGAATGCCATTGCTAAAGATGCACGACGCGATGAGGAGCAGGAAGGAGAAAACCTGCACATCAATGGAGAAGATGAGTTTCCACGTCAGGCACTCGGTAGGCTTCACCTCCTCTGACGCTGCCGCAGTTTTCGCAGCGTCTGTCGCCGCCTTTTCCTTGCTCTTCGAAGCCTTCATCCTGTCCGGATCAAGTCTCTTTTCCTGTTAGGGGGAGGGAGGGAAGGATTTTAATTCCTTTGCTATGATGGGTGGGAGGTGTGTCACCACGCTTCAACACAGAACCCAAAAACGAAGAGTAGGAACGAAGAACAACAAATATGTGCTTTGGCGTTACCTACTCTGTGAAAACAGACACAGAAAGTTGATCTTTATCTCTACCGTTGAAGTTGGCGTTACGACAGGCCCACAATTGCAAATTTAAAAACAGCGATCAACACGCGGCAGCGAGGCAGAGAGAGAGAGAGAGAACAGGCTGTGCACGCTGCAAACGAATGTCGCCTTCCGTCTCTCCTCCTTCACGTGTGGGAGTTTCAGCTGATTTAACTGTCTTCGTCGTTTGTGTTGCTTTCCCCACCCCCCCAAAGGATCTCCTTTTGGGCAGTTCTACGTCGCTATGTTAATAATAATAATTACAAAGGCCTATGCACCCTCGCCGCGGACGGTGAGGAGGGCAGGACTTTATAAGAAGAGGAAAACAAATATATATATATATATATGAAGGGCGTCGCGCTACAGACAAGTCGGTGTGGAGCCGTTGGCGCAATCGAAGCTGTGGTATTGGTAGACCTCACACACGCCGATGTGAGAAACAACACGAGAAAGAAGAGAATTGAGGGAAAGAACAAGAGTAACGTGAAGAGAACGCGAGGGGGGGGGGAAGCGGCATCTTTCGCTCTTCCGTCGATGCGCTGGACGACGTGTTGGCATTTCTTAAAGCAATGATGAGTTATTTTGTTTATTCATTCCTTTGCCAGACAGCTGCAAAAAGGGAGAGAGGGGAGAAGGTCGTCTTAGGCGGTTGCGCTGGGGCCCCTGTAGCTCCAAAAGGACGTGGTGGACCGCAACGCAGCGACAGAAAGCTGCCTCACGAGTCCATCCACAAGCCCGGAATTCATCCTTGATATCAATGCTCTTATTACTATTATTATTATTTGAGTGTTGCACATGCGCTCAGATTATCCAAGAAGGTGCGAGGACAAGGTCAAACCGGTCCAACACCTTCGACTTCTATGACGACGAGTGAAAACACAAGCAGGTTTATAGGAGCTTCTATAATTCGCACATGTATATTCTATGACGTCCCCGCACAAGCGATGGAGAAAGAAAGAAAGAAAAAACAGCAGATCGTACACCCGCTTATTCGCGCCCCGCACACACGGAGGAAGAAATATTTTTTATGCTACATCACAATCGCCTTCAGCTCGTTGGAGAGCGTGTGGAACCAAATCTTCTGCTCGCGCAGGCGGGACTCCATCGACGTCTCCAGCGCGTACGTTTTCTCCTGAAGCGTCTCAAGCAGCCCCTTTAACGGCTTCGACAGATTTGCGCGCTGCCCCTCCCTCACATCGACGATGTTTTGCTCGAGCGCCTCTGCAAAGCTGCTCACGTCGTCGGCCATCGCACCTTGCACACGCAGCACACTTTGCATTGCCCCTCTCGCTGCCTCCTCTTTGCGGCGGAAAACGTTTATTTCTTCCTCCTTCGCCTCCGCGTCCGCGAGCAGGGCGTCTACCTTCGCCGAGAGTTCTGCGATCACCGTCTGAGACGCGTGCAGCTTCGACTCCATGTCGAACAGAGACGACACCTCCGACGCCGTCACTTCCGCGGCGCGCTTCGTGGCCAGCAGAGACTTCTTGGCGTCCTCCAGCTGCCCCTCCGTGTCCTCCAGCAGCCGCGCAAGGTGCTTCTGCTGCTCCACGGCAGATCGCGTTTCCTCCTGTGCCTCTTGCAGCTGCGATGCTAGCTCCTGCCTCTGCGCCCCTGCGCTGTGCAGCGCCTCCTGCAACGACGCTAGTTCATTTTGCAGAGCGGCGGTGGCCTCTTCGGTGGCGGCTGCAATGCCGTCGCCCACGCTGGGCTGCGCTGCGTCCTCCAGCGCGTTCGTGAGCTCCTCGACATGCGCGTAGAGACGGATAATCTCCTCCTGCGCGTCCTCCATCGAGCGCATCGACGCGTCGCCACCGCACGTTGTGCTGAGAAAACTCAGAAACGATTCGACCTCGTCTCGCGCGTCGAGCCGTTGCTGGCAATCGCCCAGGAAGTCTTCGAGCACGACGCGAATGGATCGGACACGACCGCCACGCACCCGCCGGTCTACCGTGCCGAGCCGATGCAACGACTCAAACGTGTCCTCCATCTCCTTCACCAGACCCACAACGTCCTCCACATCCTTCAAATCAGTGTCGATGCACTCCAGCGCTGCCGCCATTGCCTCCCCCTTCTCATCTCCCTCTTCGCCCGACTGCGTCCCGTGCTGTGCGGCGCGGAAGTCGCGAAGCAAGCCACGCCAACAGCAGCGGTAAGACTCTAGCAGCGTCTGCTGCGTGTGCACCGTGCGCACATCGGCGCTGCTGCACACGTACGCGTCCGTCACGCCGATAGATTCGCTGGCCTGCAGCAGACACGGCTCCCCTGACGCGCCGTCGATCCCCCACAGTGCCGCACGCAGTTGGGCGACGCCGGTGCAGCAGGACTGAATGCCGGACTGCGGGAAAACGAAGGACCCACGAAACGCCGCATCGGCCGCATCCCACACGTTGACTCTTCCGTTGTCCGCCGCCCAGCTCCAGACGCTGGACTGCAGAGACATGGGAGTGATACCGGTGACGGGCGAGCCGTGGCTGCGCAGAAGCAGTCCTGCCGAAGCCGCCCCCGTCGACAGAGACGACCTCGCCAGCGAGAATACCAAGAGCTCGCCAGAGGTGAGGCCGATCCACAGCTTCCCCCGGCAAACGCGTGCGCAGGTCGCGGAGCCGTGCGTCGCCGCGTCCCACGCCGGAGAGCCGAACTGCGCTGTCGCATCCCTGCCACGCGCGACGTCCCACACATCCACGTTGCCGGCGTCGCTGACGGCGATGAGCACCTCGTGCACGCTGTCGTACACAACACACAGAATGCGTCCTTTCACACGAAACAGCCCAGTGGCCTCCACTTCGCAGGTGCAAAGGGCATCCGACACCGGCACGTCGCTCAGATGCGGACACCGCAGTCCCGCAGATGACGCTGCCGCCGCCACCACCTGCGCTCGAACCACCTCCGTAAACTCACCGTCGAAGCAGCACAAAATGACGTCGTTGGCGGCGGTGGTCGTGGCGGACACCCGCAGCTCTAAATGCACCTCCTGAAAGGGCTGGAGAAGCACGGGTGGTTCGTCATTTGCGGTTGGCACGCGCAGAAAGGCCACGGTACCACCCTCGGTCACCACACACACGTCTCGGCGGTGCTGCGCCGCGGTGCCTTCAGGCGCCTCACCGTCGAAGAAGAGTACGGACAGCACGTTGTCAGAGACGTCGGCTGCTGCGGCACCCGTCTGTTCGCCACATCGAAAGGCCAACGTGTGGGGCGTTGGCGGCGACGAGGTCAGCAGCGAAGACGAGGCGGATGGGGAGACGTAGGGGGGCAGTGCGGTGGGCTGTGCATCCATCGAGGAAGCCAGCGCGTGTGGGGTGTAGTAGTACACCTCCTGCGCATCGGCCGACACCACCCAGACACCGCCGTAGTCATCTGCGTAGACAGCAGCCCCTTTGCGCTCGTCTGGCATGCGCACCCTACCTTTATGAACGCATTGCAGGTTGTGGAACATGATAAAAGTTAATATACGCCAGCATAAACTTATCCGTTACTGGGGCGCGCGAAGTGCCTTCGTGAAGAGATTGCCGCGATAACCACAAGCGTGTGGATCGTTAAAGAAGACAAAGGTGATTCTCGGGTGTATTATGTATGTGTTTGAAAGTACTAAGCGCTGAAAGATGGCTCGATCCGTGCACCGTCAACGTGCTCAGCACACCAAATCTGCCTGCAAAGCCAATGTGGGCCTGGTGTGGGAGAGACCAAAACGAAAATAAGAAGAATACGAGACCATGGGAATTGTACACCTGTGAATGCGTGCGGGAGCGGTTGCCTGATGTGGAGGCCAACGCCTGCTTCTTCAGCATCATCCAAACAGCGGGCCCGACAGCAGCAAACGAAGCACGTCCCTTCGCCAAACAACAGCTACGAACTCCCCAGTGCCGCCTCGCGCCCAGTGACGCAGAGAAACGGGGGGCAGAATTCTGCGCCCCACGCTCCCGATGCTTTCTCATCTCCTTCCTGAAAAAAGGTCATTTCTGCATCTTCTCCGAAGGAAAGGGAAAAGAAATCAACAGCAACTGCTACTATACATGAGCTGCAATAACAGAAGGCGAATGCACATGTGCGAGAGACGAGAAGAAGGGGAAAAAAGGATGCGTGTGATACAACGCAGCTGGGCAAGGATCACATCTTTCGTTTCTTCCTCTTTCTGAAAGGTGGAGCCATGATCCGCTTACACATCAGTAGTGCATCACCTCTATCGGGTGGGCCAGCGGCGTGGACGTCACACCACAAAGCCGATCCCCCACCTGCGGACCGCGCGGGTAGGTGAGGTACAAGAACTCTTCCCACTTCAGCGTTGTCTCCTCCGCGAGCGCCAGACGCCGCTGCACCGCTGCGACATCCGCCGCTGAAGGTCGTGCACCGTAGATGTACTCCATCATGTCTGCCAAGTCCCGTGCGAGCACAAAGCCGCTCACGAGCGGGTCCGCGGGGGAGACGTCGATGTTGAACATCACAAAAACACGTCGCAGATTCGTCACCGTCTCCACGTCGTAGGTGCTGCCATCGATAAGCAGCAGAATGAGTACCGCCTCGGCCGTCAACACCCCTGCCGGAGCGCGCGCCCGCAGCGTTGCGAAAACCTTCTCGGAGTACTTCGACGACTCGCTCGCACGGCCCGACACGCGCAGCAGCTCCGTGAAGCCTGTCTCGAGCAGGGCGGCGTCCACCTTTCCCTGCTCCTGATGCTTCAGGAAGAGCAGCTTCAACGCTCGGATGTACACGGCGGCGGGGTGCACGGGTGGGCAGGGCCGCCCGCTGCCGGCGCGGAACTTTGCGACGGTGTTTTGCCGCGTCTGCGCGCTGATGGCCTCTGCGATGTCCGGCTCGATTGCTGCGCCGTGCACGTCGATGTGGGTGATGTTCGCATTGCGCAGCGCCAACTCGGCCAGACACATCGCCCCCGTCCAGGAGATAAACTCGTTCTTGGAGAGATCAATCCACTCGAGCTGGGGGTGGTACACGGCCATCTGAGCCAGGTGCCAGACGGTGTTGTTGCTAAGGTAGTTGTCGGCGAGGTTTAGCGATCGCAGTCGGGGCAGGCAGCGGCACAGCTCCACCACCGCCACGGCTCCGTGGGGGCCAACGTAGGTGTTGGCGAAGTCCAGCGACTCCACGTCACCCCACGCACCGACCTCGCACGGCAGCATGCCCTTCACCGAGGCTACCGGGGTGCAGTGCAGCTGTTTACATATGCGCACGTAGGCGTCCAGTGGGGAGCAGCCGGCGTACTCCTGCTGGACCGCAGCGACTTCATACCGCTTGGTGGCCGCCAGTCGCTCGTCTTCGGCCATACCGACAGAGAGAAGGTCCGTAGAAATGAAATGGAAACGGAAGGGAATGCGTCGGTTCTGCCTTTCACGAATGACGCTGCGCATTCCAATAAGTACGCGTAAGTCGGGGGAGTTGAGGAGGCGAAGGGTGAACACACCGCCGGAGAGAAAGGCGCTTGTTAAGAGGGAAAAAAGCAAAGGGAGAAACCGTTCCAGCAGGTTCGTTGTGTGGTCCTCTGCTTTCTTTTCTCACACAGAATCCGCATTATCGGCACTCTCGTTCGCCGCTTCTCCATTACGCCGTGCTGACACGGACGTGGTCCGCCCCTCACCGTGTCGAGGAACAACGGCAGCTGAGACAGCCGCCGGAGGAGAGAGGGCTGCGCCGTTGCACAGGGCTGCCGAACCCTTCGATACCACTCTGATTTCACGAGGCACTAAGAAGCGGCAACGCCACATATTCATACTTGCACACGATAACCGACAAAGGGGAGAAAAAACAGAGAAAAAAGAAGGTACGCGTCTCTCCGTTGAAGGAAGAAGGCGTGCCCGAGTAGTTGTACACGTAAACAAATCAAACCCAAAGTAAAACACAGCGCAATTCGACGGTGGTGCGCAGCTCATAACGGAGGGGCGGCACCGCGAAGACGCATCTGGTCGACGCACATACTCCGCCCTAGCAAAAAATATTAAAAGCAAAACGTGTTGGCATCCTTCAAAGCACCGAAAGCCGAGACAGCGAACTACAATGAAACTTCGCAACCTCTTGTCTCCTCTCTCTCTCTTTCTTTCTACGACGCGGCATCGAACTGCAGGAGCAGTCGGCTTTGGGAAAGGCGCTCCAGCACGCGTGCTCGCTCCTGCGGGTGCTCCGTGAAAGCCATAATGGAGGAGCCGCTGCGCAGACAGAGCATAAAACCGCATGCAGTCCGCACAGGCAGCGGCACCGGCGGCTCCGTCTCCGCCATGATTGTCGTGATTTCTGCTGTCGCACACGTCGTCACTTGCTGGCTTGGCAGCGAAGTCATACGCAGCGAGTCGTCCGTCACCTCCCAACTCTGTCGCTCGTACGTGGAGGTGCCCTTCGCGACAGACCACACACGCATTGTCTGGCTGACTCGTGAAGAAGAGGAGGCGGCATCCGTTACACGGGAGTGCAGCTTTGACGGCGAAGTCGCAGAGAGCACGGTCGGCAGGTCTGCATCACTCCCACGCCTCGACGGGCTCTGCGCACCGCTCCACGCACGTACGCCCGCCAGCAATCTGTCGCCTACGTCCGATCCTTCCGGGCAAACAACCACCTGCAGCGGCGGATTGCCGGTGGTGAGCTGAAACACGAGCCCGTTGCGCGCGTAAGCAGGTGGGGCCCCCGCGGCGTGGCCGTCGCGGAAACACTGCACCACCCGTGAGAAGGGAATGCGCATCTGCGGCTTGGCCGATCCAGGGACGCAGATGCAGAGCGTGTCCCCCTCCGCAGACGTCTTGGCCCAGCAACGATCCCACCGCGGCATCACTCGTGGTTGGACCGCGCGATGAACCCAAAAGCCGGCAGACAGCGGCGCGGGTTGACGCTGCTGTTGTAGCACCGCCCGGCGACACGTCTTGACGAAGTCAGACATGCGTTGGATGGCGCCATGGACGGACTGCACGGCACGCTGCCGCTTCTGCACGCCCTTCTCCGTTTCACCAACGCAAAACTGCAGAACGCAGTCGCGCAGTTCCACTTCCGAGACAAACTCTTCGGCGCCGGCTGACGGTGTGTCGCGGTCGCGTGATGCGATGAGGCGAGATGGGTCGGGATCAATCGCACGCAGCAGCGTGGTGGCAACGCGCATGGTGACCACCTCTTTCGCAGACACGGTGACAGTTCCCAGCACTCGGAAGAAGTCGTACAGGGTAACGCCAAACAATGGGGTTCGGCTCACGCACTTGAGCACGGCGGTAGCGGCATCGAGCGGCGGTTCGTCGGGTTGGGCTACGAGGGACGATGGAGGGGCCGCCACTTTTCCAGAGGGCGTTGAAGCGCTTGGTTGAGCCGTGGAGGGGAAGAGGGTAAGTGCTATCGAGTGCGGCTCTGCGTCTACAGCGACTTCCTCCTCACGTGCCCTCGCTTCCGCAGCGGCAGCAGCGGCTTCCTCTTGATGTGCCCTCGCTTCAGCAGCAGCGGCGGCGGCGGATTCTTCCTCACGTGTCCTCGCTTCCGCAGCGGCAGCAGCGGCTTCCTCTTGGTGTGCCCTCGCTTCAGCAGCGGCAGCGGCGGTGGCTTCTTCCTCACGTGTCCTCGCTTCCGCAGCGGCAGCAGCGGCTTCCTCCTCGCGTGCCCTCGTTTCAGCAGCAACCTCCATCGTCTTGTCTTTCCTCTCCGCATCGCCCGCCTCCGCCGTCAAGCCCGTTACTTTCGCCACCTCCCCCACAAGACCGTCGCCCCCTACCGCTTTTGTCGTCGCGGGGCTTTCCCCATCGGCGGAGGGACGCTCAAGTGGCGCTCCTCCGGGCCCGTCGCCATCAGGCGTTGGCTCTGGTCCGTACTTCGCCACCGCTGCCTGAATGACCTCCTCTTCCCTGCCAGGGTAGCGCTGCAGTTGCCGGGTGGTGTGGTGCACCTTCGCAGGTGCGTACAGCGCGTAGAGGCGCGTCAGGCGCTGCTTGTAAGTGTCCTCGCTGTCGGGAGTCGCAGCTCTGAGTGCCGCTGGCGTTGTCGATGGCGGGGCAGACGCGTTCCCAGTCGAGGCCGCGCTGTTTTTCTTGTTGTCGCCTGCAGTGGAGTTCTCCTGAAGTTTCTTCTCGAGAGCGCGGAGATACGCCTCCTCACGCCCGCTAAACTTGGAGAGCTGCGCGTCAACCTTGTGAGCCTTGGAGGGGTCGTAGCGCAGGTAAAGCTCGACGGCACGACTTCGATAATCACGCGAAGGTGCGGCGAGAACCGCACTGCAGTTGGGAGAGACGGCGTTGGCGATGCTGACGTCGCTCGTCTCGTTGGGGGGGACAGCAGAGATGGTGACGGGGGCGGGCGGAGCGGGCGGCTCAGGTCCGAAGCGGGCCACGGCTGCTTTAAGAAGTTCTTCCTCTCGGCCTTTGTACTTCTCCAGCTCGTGATCGACGCGGCTCACTCGCACAGGGGCGTGCGCCTCGAAGAGACGTGTGAGGCGCGCACGATAACTGCCCATACCTGCAGCTGCTCTTTTGTTCTCTGTTGTGGCTCCACTTGGCAGAGACGACGCCTCAGTTGCCGCTGCCAGCTGACTGGTGGAGTAGCTTGCGTTTTCTGCTGCGGTGGAGTGCTCGGGAGAAGGCGCCACTTCGGCGATTCGCTCGTGCAAGTTGGGTGCGTTTGGCGACAGCCCACGGTGAGGAGGTGAGCTCGACGGCACCGCCTGCTGCGTGCTCTGCGCGTACTTGCGCTCCACAGTTCGCACAAGCGCCTCCTCGTGTCCGGCAAATCGCTGGAGCAGGTCGTCGATGTTCACTAGTTTGGCCGGGTCGTGTTTCGCGTAGAGAGCCACTAGCTGCTCGCGATAGAGCACTTTTGCGGAGGAGCTCGACATTGTGCAACACACCTCGCTGATTCAGTTCTACGTGCAGCGCGGAAAGGCCGGATTCAATTGCCCTCCAGATCCTACCGTCAAGCGAGAAAAGCACCTTCTTTGAGTCAAGAACAAAAACCCAAACACATACGGCTCTCCAGTAGCCACCTTTCGGCAGAGACGATGGCACGATGCTCACACCGTTGTGTTGAGCCCTTTCCGGAATTCCTATTAAAACGAATTTTCTGTTGTTGCTGCTGCGTTGGAGGCGTCTGCGCGACGTCTGCCACGGCGCAACGTCCTCAAAAGCAACGGAGGCGATAAATCAAACACAAGAAGCTGGCAGAGAAGAAATACCCAGCAAAGGTGGGAGAGGGGCGAAAGGCGAAGGATGAGAGTACAGCTGTTGACCACGTTTTTTTTTCTCTAGAACGATAGCAACACGAAGGACAGCAGTTTTGTTCTTTTCGAAATAACCGCATTGTAGCTCAGTTCTCCTCTTGCATGTGTCAGCATCGTCGTTTTTTTTGTTTTGCTTTCTCGCATTACCGAGCGAGCTGAGCTGATTTCATCAGCGGCCCTTCGTAGTGGGAGCCGAGGGGAACAGCGGTGTTGAACTCGAAGACTCCAGCACGCCACCCACAGACTCATTTCAGCCATGCTCGCTTCTTTCATAATAATTACTTATCAATGAACGGAGACCCAGCTCTCACCATACACACACACACACATACACATACACACATACACATACACACATACACCGTCTATCACCTGTGGGCCGTCTTCAGAGTGTAGAGCCCCGTGTCCTTGGTGGCCTGAATCAGAACATCCATGTTGCAGTCCCTCTTCACCTCTTTGGAAAAGCCACGCCACGCCACACTCGCATCACGGACGCTCACGGCGTCGAAGGTGGCCAGAAAGACTCCAATAAACTTCGTGTACACGTTGGGCATCCGCTGCTTTGGGGGGTGCCGCTGAGGCTGCCGCGACTTCTTCGCCTCAAAGATGCCCCGCTCCGCCTTGCAGATGCGCGCCGTCTCCTCCTTGGTGCGAGCGGCGCCCATCACGTAGGCCCCGCCGTCCTCCACCAGAAAGCGGCCTCGTGCGTCGACGGCGCAGATGGTACACCGCTTCAGCCGTTTCGCCATCTTCCCTGCCACGAGAGCCGTGGAGCGCGGAAGGGGCGGCGACGGCGACGGCGAGGCCGACGAGGACTCTCTCTTGGGACCCAATCGCAGCAATACGGCTTCATGGCCGTAGCGGCTCTTCACTTCATGGCAGCCCACACGTGTACGATAGGGCACGCCGTTCACCGTGAAGGGCACGCCCACTGGTCGTTTTCGTTCTTTGCTGACCATGAGAGGCGCCAGGTGGATGTCCTTTGTCCAACTCTGTTGAGCACAGTAGATGCGTGAAAGACCAGGCTACTGCGTCGTCAGCCGCTCAGCCTTCGACAACAGCTGCGTCGTGACAGGGCGGGTGTTTGAGAAGTGCAAAAGAGGGCCGTTTGCAACGAAGATGGCGGCCGTATTGTCGCACTTTGGAAGAAACAAAGAACAAGACGGGGTTCGAAAGGTGGGGAAACTGTGCGATCCTGACGGTTGGTGTTCCGGGACGGGTCCTTGCAACGAGTCAGCTAAAACACCCGGAAGCTTGTGCCTTCCAGTCGAGTAAGAAACCGGAAGGACCTGGAAGCCGCAAGCACGCGTCCTACGACGAATGTATCATTCTTGAGTCAGGCGCTAACAGACGATTTATATATCCCGCGCACAGTAGACAGCAGTGGCATGGGCGCTCCAGCAATGATGAGGTCTCGCGTTTGTTGGATTATTAATAGTATTATTATTATTCCGGTCGTGGTGGTGGGTTCAATGCCTTCAACGTTTGCGATGAATCAAGGTGCAACACTCTTCTTCCTCGTCAACGTTTCTGTTTCCTCCTCCGCAAACGAAATAGACGTGCCCACGTGATCTTTGCTGTGGAGTGCACGCAGCAGCTCTTCGGAAGGTGCCGCCTGCGCGCACACCAGTGCAGCGATCAGGTAGGCCTTCTGCGTCGGAGTCCATTCGGCGCTGCCTTTTAACAGCAACTCCGCCCCTCGCCTGTCCAGTGCCGCGGCCATCTCTGACACTCTCTGAAACTCCCCGATCACGTCGAGACGCAGCAGCAGGCCAGCCGCGACGAGTCCGTCGGCCGTCGTGCATGCGGGAATGCAGCGCTGCACGAGATGATCCAGCACCGTCGTCAGGATCACCGTGCGCGTCGCCGTGGCCGTTGCGTCCCCCTGCGCCAGCGGCAATCCGTTCGCGAGCTCCACCAAGTTGCACATCGCCTCGATCGGCAACGACGCGGCGCTTAAAAAAGGCGCCGACTGCCCCAGCCGTCGTGTCATCAAAATCATGAGCGCGCTTTCGAGTGCGGCGGGTCGTCGCTGCCGCTCCTGCAGGCACCACAACAGTAAGCTTGCCTGCACCGGAGGCAGGGGGTGCTGTCCCTCCTGGGCGAGGAGGCGCACGTAGGCGTCCAACACCGCGTCAGATACACGCGGGTGAGCCGAGAGCCTTGCACCCGCGCCGCCACCGTCGCTACCCAATCCCCCGCTACCGAGGGAGCGGGCGTTGGACAAGTACCGAATCACCTCCGCCAGTGCGCCAGACGTGCGGGAGGTATGCGTCTCCAACTGGGAGAGCAGCGGCGGCCGCAACAGGTGCAGGAGAGGCAACACCACAGCAGGCGCCTCGTCAACGGCGGAGAGGAGACGGAGTGTTGTCGCGACGGACAACGCGCGGACCCCGACTTGTACTTCCTCCACAGTCGTCTCGAGCAACCTCAGTGCGGTCGAGCTGTGAAGTCCAGAAGCGTACGCGAGCAGCTGAGTCCCGCCGCTCTGCGCAGATGCCGCGATCAGCTCCGCACAGTGCGCTTGCCGCTCTCGAGCATTCGTCCAGCAGCGCTGCACATCGCTGTAAAGATCGAGGCGATCCAGCTTGAGCGGCTCATCTTTCTGGGTTGCTGAAGCTTCGGGAGAGTTGCCGGTGTGTGCTGAGGCATCCTGGACGGACCTCACATACGCCCTCGTGCACTGCCAGCTCCACAACTCCGCGCCGTCAAGGCTGTGCAACGCCGTGGAACCGCCGCTGAACGTCTTCGAAAGCACCGCCACAATGACCTCCCAGACCGCGTCAGCGGACAGCGCCTCTTTCGACACACGCGTGGGCGTGGAGGGGCCGCTGCTGCCTCTGCAGCTGTAGTAATGGTGCTCCAGGCAGAGCGCCTCTGCCACCTCTCGAGGTGCCCGTGCAAGGCCTGTGCGAGCACTCTGCAGCAGCAGCTGCGCAACGTGTTGACGCGCCCCTCGCACCAGCTCCGACACTTTGGAAGACGACGCCGTCGACGACGATAAAAGCGCGTGCGCATCACTGGACGGTGTGGTGGCCCTGTCCCCCATCAACGACGCATAGCGCTGCGCAAAGCACAGCACCTGCAGGCACAGTCGCTCCGACAAGGACGTGCGCTGTGTGAGATGGGCAAGCACGAGCGGCAGCTCCTCCTCCGCCGCCGCCCTCGCACCGCTGGTGAAGAGTGTGAGGAGCAGACGGACAAGCGCCTCGTCGGATAGGCTGTGCGTGGTGTACTGCAGCAGCTGCGACGTCAGCTGCGACGGCGCGTCAGTGCGACTGTTGCGGGTGTTGCTCACAGCGTAGAAGTGAGCGCTGCGTCGGCCCCGTCGGTCGCCGCGCTGCGATCCACTTTGGTGGAGTTTACCCTGCGCGGCGCCAACGCGCTCGATCTCGCAGTTCACCTCGTGCACCGCACGCAGCAGCTCTGCCTGTGACTCGCAGAGACAGGTGTGTTGCAGAAGCAGGGCCTGCGAGAGCGTCAGCCGGCTGACCGCGTTCATACGCGTCAAGTGGAAGGCGGCTCGCTTGCACAGCGAGGCCCACATGCGCTCCTGAGTCTCCGCAACGCGCAGCACCGCCATGCACCACAGCAGCGTCGCCACATCCCTCTCGGACAGCTGCGCCTCCTGGTGATGCAGCAGGGCGAGCGCGTCGCGGAGGAAGGATAAGTGGGCTTGAGAAGGGCAGGCCTTGGCGATGGCGTGCACCGCTGCGAGAAGAACGCGCGGTCGCCACGTCCGCAGCACCAACGCATCCACCCGCTCGTTCAGCTGCTGGGCCAGCTGCGCGCTCCTCTCGGCCTCCCAGAAACCCACCGACGAGCGGAGAATGCCAAAGAGGACAACGGCGACGTCGGGTGCGACGTCTGCTGTGGCGGGGAATTGACGAAGTGTGGTGAGGGTGTGGTCGGCGCACCGCTGCAGGCACTGCACGATGTGTGCGTCCGCCGCACTCTCACTGCGGGTCTTCGTCAAGAGCACCAAAGCGCGGGTGCAGCTCACCAACTGCGGGAAGTCGTGTGCGCTGGAGGAGAGCGGGGATGCCGTGGTCGGAGCCATGTCGAATACCTTCACCGCACGCGACGCGAGTCGGCACAGCGCTGACGACGGGATCATGTCGCCTGTGCTCGATCGAAGTTCGCCGTATTGCTTTCAACAGCAGCCGTTCTACTAGACCCACTGATAAGAAGAGAAAAAGACAAGGCAGTGGGTTTCGCTAGTGTCGTACGGATGTGGCGCGTCCGGTGGAACTCCCACGCATCTCCAATAACAATAATAATAAAACTGTTGCCACCGTAGGTACGACCGCTAGCGGGCGCGTTTAAGAGCGAGAAGAGAGAAGGAGAGAGAGAGTACACGTTGAGAGCTGGCGAAACCGCACTATAAACTACAGGAAGAAGAGCGGCGAGGATAAGGACCCCAAAGCCTCACATGATGAAGCATCGGCGTGCGATGAAAGGCAGAGGAGGCCTCGCACGGACTCTTCAGGAACCGCGCCAGCAGCTTTGCATCTTCACAAAAGGAAAACACAGCATCACACGCGCGGTGCAGCGTGAGCGTTGCCGCACAGAAACGCATCGAGAGAATGACACTGTTCAGTTTTTTGGGGGAGAGGAAAGAGAGGACGTTTGTGCCTCATTGAACAAAAAGGTGCAGGAGGGGGAGGAGGGGGCGGGGAAGCAAATGCATGACTGTAGCACGTTTAATGGAAATGGGGGGAGGGGGGGGGTGAAGGTGACTGCGCCAACGCAGCCACGTACGATGCGCTCCACGTATTACACCCAGTGTGTCTGGTGAGCCACAAAAATAAAGAAAGAGTGTGGACGATTCTCACTCGTCATCGCATCGATAGCGACGACAGGAGAAATAAGGAAAAAACACAAGGTCAGCTCTGTCTGCTTCAGCAATGCATGTAAGACTCGAGTGCCCGACGAGCGCCAAGGGAGAGGTGCACCGACGGCCATGCAGACGGAAAGGGCGGTGGCGGCGTCTGCTGTGGGGACGGCAGCCCAATCCACCGCGCCACGTTGTCCCGCAACGAGAGCGCGCAGGAGTAGCCCAGCGGGAGCGCAAAAGTCTCGTTCGAGTACGACGCGTCGTGCAGCACCTCCATCGGTCCCACCTCACCCCCGACCAGGTAGAGGGAGGAGCGGGCGAAGGCGTAGGCACAGCCACTGCGGGGAGAGGGGCCGGTGCCCGCCACGGAAACGTGCTCCCACGATCCATCCGCATCGCCGGCTACACGAATGCGCCATACATCAGCAAAGTACCAGGCGATGTCCTCCTGGTTCGCATCGCCGCCGAAGATATACACGTAACCGTCATGCACAGCCATGGCAGACGCGTAGCGCCGCGGTGGCAGCGGAAAAGGACGAGCCGGTCGCACGTACCGCCACGTGTTGCTTGTGGCGTTAAACTCACTCAGCGTCTGCGCGTACGCCAACGTGCCGGAACTGTAGTCGCCGTCTCCCTCGCTGACTAGATACCCACCAAATGCGTAGATGGAGTTGCCCGACACCGCCGTGCAGCAACCGCACAGACGCCGCTTCGAGTCGTGGGAGTCCAAAACGTGCTCCCGAGCGGCGGGGAAAGAGGACACAACTGTCGGCCGCACGTCACGCCACACACCCGTGCGCAGGTCAAGCGACCACACGGGAGACTCCCCCGTCTCGAACGGGGTGCCGAGCAGCACGTACATGCAGTCGGCGATAACGTGGGCGCTGTGCAGGCGGCGTGTGCCAGGGCCGTCGGGGAACGGCGGGGCGCGGTGCAGCAGCGACCACCGCCACGTCGCTAAATCCAACTGCAGCACCTCGTCGTATACCACGGGGCTGTGCAGGTCCTGCCCCCCGTACACGATCATCGTGTCGTGGTAGATCACGGCGGAGTGTCCGAGGCGCGGCGCGACGATGTCGCTGTTCTCCGGGTGCCTGTATGACCAGCGGCGGCAGTTCAGATCGTACACGTACACCTCATTCGAAAACCGGAAGAGAGAGCCTCCGCCAAAGAGAACGAGGAGGCGCTCCTGGTAGCAGACGAGGGTCTGGCAGCAGCCCGGCGGCGGTGCTCGCTGCGGTGGCGGCGGCTGCTTGGCCGGCGCTTCATCGTGGGAGTCGGCGCGCCGCTCTGCCAGCCAACGAAACGGGAACGACATGTACGCCTTGTCTGAGCCGCGCCGTCAGCGCCCCTACAGACCCCCAGAGGGAACGTGCTCAGAGAGTGAAGAGCGGGCGATGGCGCAATGAAAAGCGGGCACACGCGTGGAAGCAACAACCCGTCTGGCATATCGCCGTCTGCGTGTGTGCGGGCACACAGCTCGGCAGCGGAGGAGAACGAGAAAGCCGCAAGGAGTACGAATATACAGAAAAAGGGAAGAAAGACTCTGACCACGTCTGTCTGTCTGTGTCTGTGTGTAAGTGTAAGTGTGTGTAACTGAGCAAACCGTGCCGGTTCGATCACGGAGTAAAAGTGTGAAGTCGCTGCGTTTAAAACGTCGGCATTCGCTTCAGCTTCCGTGGAAAAATTGGTTGATGACAGCCACCGTTTTTCTTTGAAGACGATTTCCGCTCTGTAATGCGTCTTGACCGGCGACGAGCCTGCGTGTGAGCTCTTTCCTCTGCGCGAGAACTTTTCTGGTCAGCAGGGGCGTCTTTGTGCAGCGCTGAAACGCCGCAAACCAGAAGAAAAGCAACAAAAACGCAGAAGGAGAAAATGAGAAATGATGTGAAATGATGTGAAATGAGTCGTCCTTTCATCACGCCGGGCTGTGTGCGCCATGTAGCACGAGTGGTGGTGCCTCGCCCCGCTATCAAAGCGCTCCATCAGCGCACAAGAAGATAACGGATGAACAAAACCAGCCCAGTACTCTACTGTACCGCTGGGCTCGACTGCGTCAGAAACATCTCAAACTACTGTCGCGAATGGAGCAGGCAATGGATATTGTTGGTTTATGTTGGTTAAAGATGCAACGACGATGGTGCATCACGTTAGCGCGAGTAAATAATTAGCTGTGATGAATATACCGTGCAGTGGACTCGCTCTCCGCAGCAGCACCACCGCTTCATCGAGTCACGTGCGCAACACACAAGCACGCAGCAACAACGTCGACGGGAGATGTGCCTCAGAGATTCTTGAGTACCTCCATCCTTTCGTAGTCATCCTGCGCGCACTGCAGACTCGCCAGCCACCCAGGCGCATTCACGGGCAGCTCTGTCAACTCAGCGGCGCAGCGACTCCACACCGCCAGCTCCTCCAGCACCTTACGCTCCACCTGTGCCTCATCCTCCACTTCGTCCTCGCCGTCCGCGTCGCCGTCGTCGTTGCTGCTGCTTTCCGCTGAGGGGCCGCTCAGCGCCGTCGCCGCCGTAAACTCCTGCCAGCGCGCCACGCACATCAGCAGCCCCTCTACCACCTCCGACAGAGTCAGCTGGGGTGCCCCTTCCCACACAAAACGGCCACACGTGGCCAGCGCACGCACCCGTCGCCCGCCATCCGCGACAGTGAAGGATGGATGAGGCTGCAGCAGCCACCGCAGCAGCGAATACAACGACGCTGCAGTGGGGGACGTTGCCGCGATGGGCTGCACGAAGTCCAGCGACAGCACGGCAGCGAGGTTCGCCGTGGAGACGTCGCGGTTCTCGGGGATGTGGAAGAAGCGAAGCAGACCGGCCAGCATCAGCGAGGGCTGCAGCGGCGCTGAGACGGTTGCGGCCAACTTCAAAAAGCACAGCGCGAGTTGGGGGTGGCGCGTGTGCCACCGATTCAGCATAGCGGCCACCTCCTCTGCGGACCACTCACCTACCTCCATATGTCGACGTGCACGCGCTACAACACCCTCCAGCACACAAGCCTCTGCCGACTCCTCCTCTCCCGCTGCGTCCGCCGCGCACTCGGACAGCTGCGCCAGGCAATCCAGTGTGTGCGCAAACACCTCCGGCGTGTCCATGCGCGCGTTCGTCGCGCCGCCGCCGGCAAACAAAACGGCCTGCGTGTACGTGTCTGCTTCCGTGAGGGCGGGGATGGCGCTGTCCGGCAACGCCACCACGCCGCGCTGCAGCAGGGTGAAAAGTTGAAGTACGGCGCGGTGGCGTGTCTTGCCACCGAATACGCTCTCGACGTTGCTCGTCACGGAGTGCCAGAGAAGGGCCACGAGTGGCGCACAGCTCTGACGCACCTGCGCGATGTCAAAGCCAGCCTGCTGCACCGCCACGACAACCTTCACGGCCGCCTCTGCCACGGCCAGTACCGCCTCCACAGCACCGCTGTCTTGCACGGCGTGCGCCTCGTAAAACGCCAGGGCGCGCAGTAAGACGTTCAAGACCGTCAGCGAGGCATCGGCAGACCACGCCGCTGTACAACTGGAGCCGACGCCGCCCATGACGTAGCGAGTCACCGTAGGCGGCAGAAGCACAGCCTGCAGCAAAAGGGTCGACGGCTCCACTGACTGCAGCCACTGCAGCATCAAGTCAGCGTTCACTGTGACGAGCAGCAGTTGCTGGTCGGGTTCTTCGGTCATCGCGTGAAGGACCTGCGCCGTCAGTGGGCCGAGAAGTCTGCTGAGACGTTCGTAGGTCGTGTAGAGCGCCAACTCGGCCTCCTCGTGCGCGACCTGAAAGTCTTCTGCCTCTCGGTCAGCGAGGCGCTGCGTGACGTAGTCGGCAACGCTGCGCCACTCCGCAAGCGCAAAGCCGCTCCGCGCAAGACGAGTCGCCAGCGCGGTCTCGCACGCCAGCAGGAAAGGCCGCAGCTGCTCCAGTGCCGTCACCTTCGTCGCGTTCGCCGCCCTCAAGCACTCCACGATTTCCTGGAAATCCTCGGGATCGTCGGTGGGCTCCATCGCGGGTATCGGGGCGGGCTGCAGGACCTGCGTCAGTGCGCTGATGCCCTCGCAGACATGACGTAGCGCACATGGCGGGGTGGCAGGCGTCTGCAGCAGCAGCACGAGACGCTCCGCCGCGGAGGAGAACAAGCGAAAGAGCGGCGCGTCGGGGGGTTGTTCGGTTATGATGGCCTCCGTAGACGCCTCTAACGCAGCGGCGATGACGCGGCTCATCGTCTCCCAATCCGTCGTCGCCGGCGAGCTTACCGGCTGAAGAACTGCTGGTAGCGCTTCAAGCAAGATGGTCTCCGCTGCCGCATTCATCGTCGTCAAACAGCGAAGTACGTTGCACACCAGATCCAACACTTCTTCTGGGCACGGCGGAGTCGAGCGAGATAAACACTCAATGCAGTGACGCCACACTGCACTGGTGGGAAGAGCAGACCAAAACGTGTTGGCGACTTCCTGCGGCTCCCCGTACATCGCCTCCAGCAAGAAACGTACGGCGGTGCCGGCGACACGCACCAGCAGCTGCATGTCCTCCCCTCCATCTAAAGACGACTGCAGCGCAATAGCGAGGTGCTCTTGCAGCTGGCGGCGCTGCGTGGCCCGGCGAATCGATCCAATGGGCACGCGGCGGTCCGCCAGCAGGTCCATGGCGGCCATTAGCACGTGTAGCGCCATGCGACAGTCCTGGGCAGACACGACGGCTCCGTTGTCATTGCCGCGTACCCATGAACACAGCCGATCAGCCAATTGGTCCTCCAGCACAATGAAGAGAGCTGCGACACACTGCGTGAGCTGCTTGCGCGCCGCGTCTTGCGCTGTCAGGCGTGCGGCGGTGATGTAGAGATGCTGGAGTTCGTCGAGGCCAGACGGGCGGCGGTCTAACGGCTGCGCGAGATGATCGAGTACCACACGCAGGCAGAAGTGTCGGTTAAGAACCGCGACGTAGAGCAACGAGGAGGCGGAGGTCTGGGCGGTGGTGTCCTCCAACGACCACCGCAGCAGCTGCGGGGCCACCGTCTGAACAGCATTGGTGCCTCCAACGTCAAGAGAGTGGTCGATGAGGTGCAACAGCTCTTGATTCGCTGCGGTGTCGCCGTACAACGAGAAACGACGCACCGCCGCTACCGCCGACTCGTCCATCGAAGTATATTTCCTATTGCTTTTGGAGGGGAGTTATGCGGACGAGTAATCAAGCCTGTACGTCTTCCGACAAATACATGCAACGCACACACCCACACGAAGAGGTGCGACGAGCATCTCAACGGAAGGAGCGCATCGAAGCGGGACACAGGCGGGTCGCAAATTTTTTTTTTTAACGATGAGCCAGAAAAAGAAAGGAAGAGAAGATGAGTGCTTGGCGACAAAAGAGACAGCTTTTAGTGCGGGAAAGCCGCCACACGTTCGAACGCCGTGGAGGTCGATCTCCCCGGTAGCTCCGCTTGCAGCAGTGCACCACACGGATTGTGTCACAACACGGCCAGGATACATTTTGCAGTTCACTATATATGTATATTAGTATCAGTATTAAGGAGACCCGTTTGTCTAGATGATGGCAAGCCGTTTTGTTTGCGCTATCCATCGGCCATTTCCCCTTCCGCCACTGCTCCAGCATACGAAAATCCAGCGGCCACGCGTGGAACCGAGAAGAGCGCACCCCTTCACGATGATTTCTTGTCCTTTGGTGGGATGTTGTGGTGATCGCCGCGCGGCTTGCATTCCATTCCTTTATGAATTAATGTATGTAAAGTAAGTCACCCCACACACACGCACACACACAGACCTCACTAAAGGAAGAAGGTACGATGCGCCCCTCCGTTGCTCATGTGCAGAAGCCAAATAACGAAAACTTTATATATAAAAAACGTGTGAGAGGAAGTGCGACTGTGAACAGTGAACAAAGGAGATGCCGGCCCTACACACCCTCGAAGCGGCGCTTCACGACGGCCTTCTGTTTGCTATAAACACCCTCCAGCACCGAGAGCCCCACCATCTCATCCACCGCTTCCAGCTGCTCCCGTCGTGCCGCTACCTCGTCCGAGTACCCGCGATCGGGCGAGTAATTCGGCCGCAGATCATCGGGGTAATAATAGTTGAACACCACCGCATGGGCGGTCAGGTAGCCCAGCACGGCACACGAGATCGCCCAGTAGTACTCCTTCGTCTCTGCGCCGGCTTTGCCAGAGCGATCACGGCGCGCCGCCTCCTCCTCGGCATTGGCGGCCTGCTCGTACTGACCGCGCTCCGTCAGCTTGCGCTTGCGGTAGGCGAGCTCGTCGCGACTGCTGCGGTGGGTGAGGGGGTGGTCGGTGAGTGTGTTGCTGTGCATTGTATCCACGTAGAGAGAGGTGGGGGACTGACGCATCTCGAACAACGAGTTCGTGCGCGCGCCCAGCGAAGCGTCCGCAGGCGTCGAGGCGGGAGGGGTTGAGGAGGAGGAGGCGGCAGGGGTTGAGGAGGAGGAGGCGGTAGCGGTGGCGGTGGCGCCGGCGCCAGCGGCCGCCTTCACACAGAGACAAGCACAGCGCCGCATCGTGTTGTATCCTTGAAGAAAACAAAAGCGGCGATCACGAAAGGAAGCACGCCTCTGCAAAAAACGGTTTGAGGAGTTCTGCAAAAAGGGAAAGAAGAAACCAAAAAGAAAAGGGTCTGGTGTCCGACAGCAGCAAGCACCTTACAACGTATCGCTGGGCGCGGTTAAGTGGGGACGTGCAGGAAAGTGCAGGAGGGAGAGTGTAGTAGAGGAGGGGGGAGGGAAAGTCGAAAGCACAAAACCGATGGCATGAAAGAAAGGTACATAAATCGTCGTTTGGGGGGAAACACTCCACCACCGAAAGAAAACGACTATTACCCATAAACAGCAGCGATGCAGCAAAAGCATCGATACAGCCTCGAGAAAGCACCGTCGACAGCACGTGCCACCTTCTCCGCTTACCGTCTTCTCAGCACCGCAAAGGCGCTCCGCTGCCTCGATAGGACTCCTTTCTCTCTCCCTTCCTTGGCGCGCAGTCGTGCCGACATCGTTTTTTAGTGTTGCAACTGAGTTAGAAAGACAACTGGTTAAATACGTGGCCGGTCGCCGAGGGACGGCCAGCAACAAAGACGAGCACCCACCACTGCGCTAACATGCAAGCATGAGAGAAAACAACACAAGGCGGCCAAAACGACTTCCAGAGAATCCACGCAGACGAGAAGCGCACTTCGTTTCTGTTTTCTCTCTTCGCCTCTCGAAACAGCAAAAACAAAAGAATAAATGAAAGCCCCGGGGTGGGGCTGCCAAGATCCGACTTCAGCCCTTCAAGTTCTGAATGAGTGACATGCCGATGGGCAGCACGATGTACATCCAGTACTTCTGCAAGAAGGAACGCTCATCGACCGGGACCTCCTCCTCCACGAGCTCGCCCTCTGCGTTGCGTACCTGGCGCACCTGCACCTTCGGCTTCTTCTTCCCCTGCTTATCGTTCTCCGAGGCGATGAGCACCTTCAGATCTTCGTAGTTCACCTTGCGGGAGACCCGGACGGGGTGCACCAGACCGATCTTCGTCTGCAGGCGCACCGTCGGGAAGAGCTTCTGCACGACGCTGCGATCGCACGCGTCGCCGTTGACCATCTTCGAGTGGAAGAAGTTCGTCTCGCTGCTCACCTGCAATCCCAACAGCGTCGTGTTCGGGCCCGGCACCACGCGGATGTTCTCGTTCAGCACCACCGTCTTGCTATCAACGGCGTCGAAGCCACGAATCAGCGAGCACGGCGTGACGACGACCGTTGCGGGGTGCTCCGGAGCCGCTTTGCCCTCCTGAAAGGGATAGGCGCGGTAGTAAATGAAGCTCGCCCCGGCGAACTCCTCCCGCTGCTCCATCGTCATGCTCAGCTCGCCGCGCAGCTGCGTTGACACGCGGGCCGGGGCCTGCGGAGAGATGCGCGAGATGGCAAAGGAGCCGATGGTGACCCAGTCCGCATCCGCCCCAACACGACGCTCGAGCACGTACGGCTGCGAGGCGGCGTGCGCGGTCACCGTGCACAGGAGGACGAGCATCGCCAACAGCGCGCATAGGACACGAAACACAGCCGTCATGGTGGAAGAGGAAAGGAGACTAGCGAAGAGGAGGGCGGGTGTGCAGAACAGCTGTACGGGTGCAGGGACAGAGAGAAGCGACACGCAGTGAAGGAAACAATAAAAGAGAGAGAAATCGGTTTAAAGCGACGCTACAGTCCGCGTGCCTTCACACGTGCTTTCTTTTATTTAGTTTTTGCAAGAAGCGCTTCTTAAAATGCAGTAGAGCTGTTGATGCATGAGTTCCGACAAGCGATGGAAGGTGTAATCGGAAGACGTATTCGTTGGCGAAACCGTCAAAGGAAGAAGAAAAGAAACGGTAGGCAAGACGGAAGTAGAAGAAAAGAGAAGAAAAGGCGCGGTGCAGGCGATGGCACGCATCGGTGCACTTTGGCGACAGTCAACCTTTTGAAGATGCATGACAGCACGATTGGAAATGTCCCACACACACACACACACACAGAGAGAGATGTATTCATGCCGAAAGAAACACGGCGGCAATTTGTGCTTCCGGGGCTGAGACGGTGACGTCATCATACAACTTATCGGCATGAGTTCACCAGTTTTGTCGTCTTCTTTCGATTTGCTTGCTGGAGACGAGAAGGGGGCGTTGTGCTGAGGAGCCAACAAAAAAACAAGGGCGATGAGGCCTCCGTTACAGAACACTGAATACGCTTCTCCTTGCTCGACAAGCCGCTTAACTATAACACTGACCAACCCGTTACTACGGCACACACACATACACACACACACACACACCAACCTCAACTCTGAGGTGCCTCGTCCACGATCATCATCAGCGGAAACACCACGGTGGCATCCCCTTGCACGCGAACCACCTCCGTATCCTTGTTCAGCAGGCCACAGGCGATATCGTCGGCCAACACGCTCGAACTGACACAGCCGTCCGCCTCTAGTCCCGTCGTGACCATCACCACCGCGTCCATCGGCACCGTGTGAAGTAGGTGGTGCTTCGGGAGCCCGCCGCCTAATACGATGGCGGTGTTGCGGCCCGTCCCTCGCGCCGCCGCGAGCCCACGCAGGCGCAGCACGTCCTTCAGCGGATCCACCACAAGTCCCTTCTGCGAGAAGTTATAAAAGTAAATCATATCTCCCATCGAACCGTCCGTGAAGGCCGGAGAAAATACGGGGATAGAGTTCTTGTAGCACCAGTACAGCAGGCTCGATGCGCACGTGTCGGGGTGCTCCTTCTCCATCGCGGCGCCCATTGCCTCAATAAAATCGGAGGGGCGGGTGTGCGTCTGCCAGCGCGAAGCCCGCTGCGCCTCGTGCAGAGACCCCAGCACCGGCATGAAAAAGTCTTCGAACCAGCAGTAATTGTCATTCGGCACCAACAAGTTGCCGATGCGGTTGATGCCGCGGCGACGCAGCGCGCGGCCGTCGAGGTTGAACTGGCCCAGCACGGTACTCCCGCCACACTTGATCACGTCCTCCTCGATGCCACCGGCGGAGGAAATAACGCAGTCCACCAGACGCTCCCGCGCCAAGTAGGCAAAGGTATCTCGAAGCCCACAGGAGATGAGATTCGACGTGTAGGCGAGAAAGACACGATCGCCTTTAGCGCGATGGTGCAGCATCTGCTGAACCATCTCACGGCCCCGGCCAACCTGGGTAGCCTGCAGACCAATAGAAGGCAGGCTTGTCACCACGGCCCGCAGAGTCTTCTCTTGCGACGCCTGCACGAGCGATTGGAAGTCCACGCAGTGCACTGCCGTTGAGGAGGTAGTGGAGTGCCTTGCTGCTGCTGCCGCCGCCGCGGTGGCATCGGTGGAGGAGCTGCCAGCTTTGCGTTGTGCGGCCCGCCGCCTCCCGCCTCCGCCACGACGGCGGCCGTTGGAAGGCGCCGCCACTGCTGCAGGAACTCCTGTCTCCATCGCAGGGCGCACGGCTACACCTTTTCGACGGAGTGGAGGAAATGAAAAGAGCAAACTCCAAGACTAGGAATGAGCGCACGTGTGTGGGTGAGTTTTCGTTGATGAGGTCCACAGCGGAGACGAGAGAAGAGAGAAAGGGAAAAGAGGCACAATAAAAAGATATGAGAGAGAGATGACATGTGGCGTAGTTGGAAAGCGAAAGAAAGCTCGAACCGAAACGCACACTGCAAATCTTGAACGTGAGCAGGTTAACGTCGTTCGGGAAATCCCTGCCTGGTGAAAGTCAGGGAGGAAGGAAATACTAAAAAGGAAGCGCATAGGCTTGGCGCAATCGGAAGCACCTTCGCATATATATATGTAAGGTTTGCCAGCAGGACGAATGCAAGTCACTTGGCAGATTCGTTCCAGGCCTGGAGATATGTACTTTATTTGTTGAAGATAAAAGAGATTTAATTAACGGATAGTCGAAAAAAGGAAAAGAAAAAGCGACGCGACGAGTGCCTCAGCACGGCTCTGAGCTCGTTCGCGCAAACCGGGGTTCTTCAAAGGTCATCCTTCGAGGTGAAACAAACTCGTTAAGTTAAGATTTCTCGCAAAAGCCGGTTGCAAGTTAAACGTGCTTCAAAGAGTTACGTCACAAATCTGAGCCACCCGCAGACAAGAAGTAAAAAAAAATAGAATAAGAAAACGGCGGCCATCGGTGACATGGCACAGCTGAAAAGAGAACGGATTCGAACGGATCCGCCAAAACGCACCGTACCATCATCGTCGTCAAAGAGAGAGAAAGGAAAACAGAAAAAGAAAGGTCACGTAGCCTCGCCTTTTGAGGCCTGTGTCTCCCCACCACCTGCACAAAAACACTCCTTACACAATTAAACAAAAACCAAAGCAATACTCCTCAATAGTTTCTTTTAATTTCACGCACGTCATCGCCACAGAAGACACCGCGGGGTACCACCGTTGCGTCCCAGCAATTATTGACGAAAGAAAAAGGCGATTCAGCACACACACACACACACACACACACAGAGGGAGAGGGGGAGAGAGAGTTAGAGGCCAGCATTCAGCAGCTCAAACCACTGACGCATCGCATCCGCAATAATCTCCGGAAGGTTCTGAATGTCGCGAATAATAAGGTAGTAAGGGAAGGGGAAGTCCTCCATGTAGGGGCGGCGCACCACCGATTTGCCTGAGAAGCTCACGATCTGCATGTCCAGCACAGATCGGGAATTTGACTTCACCGTCTGCATGCGCTTCTCGCGGTCCGCCTTGAGTCGTCGCAGCTGCTCTGCCACCGACAGCCCCTGCAACGACTTGGAGTTCTTCGTCAGTGGAGCAGCAGGAGCAGCAGCGGGGGAGGCTGAGGCGTGCACAACCTCCGCGCCGCCGTTTCCCTCTGCTGCGTTGATGTCCAGCAGCACCAGCACGACCATCTGATGATTCTCCTCCGCGCGCACCATCAGCTGCCGCAGCGCCGCGCGGTCCTCGGTGATCTGGCCATCGCTGACGATGAACATAATCTGCTGCAGCTGCTGTGTCGTGGAGCGCGTCTGCTGGTGCATGCGGCCCTGTGCGTCGTCCAGGTAGGTCAGCGTCGTCTCGAGCATCTTCTTCATGTCCGTCGACTTCTGCTCGAAGGTGATCTCGCTGAACAGGCGCGGGCCGCTGTCGGCGAGAAACGGCTCCTCGAGCGGGTGCACCACCGCCGTCTCCTTGCCGAAGCATGCCACACCGAACTCGCCAACCTCCAGCTGCTGCAGGGCCTTCGCGATGAGGGCCACGGCGCGGCACGAGAGCACGCCAGCGTTGTTGCACTGCATGCTCAGCGAGTCATCCAAGGCAATGAGAATTTGGTAGGTGCGCTTGTTCGGCTTGGTGCGGCGCAGCCAGATGCGGTCCTTCTTAAATTGCGAGGCGATGTATGGGATGATGCGCTTCATGTTGAGCCGCTTGCCGGTCTTGTAGTCCCCTTGGAGTTTGTCCGCGAGGGTGGGGGCGAGAATGAGGCGAAGTTGCTCGCACAGCTGCTGTGACAGGCCCTGCACCGCCGTCTCCTGCTCCAGCCAGAGCTGGCGACCGCGCTCGAGCTTCGCGTTGGCCTCCGCCGCGATCTCCTTCTCATCCTCCATGGCCGCGGTGTCGTCCTCTTCGTCATCCTGCGCGCCCTCGTCGTCGTCACGGGCAGCCGTGCGCACCTTCTTTTTGGACTTTTTCTTGGAGGACTTCTCGCCCGTTTCCTTCTCCTCCAGCTTCGTGGGGTCCTCCTTGTTCTGGCTGCGCTTGCGGCGCGCGTCTTGCGGCGTCTCTACAGCGGCGTCATCATCATCGTTGTCGTCCTCACCGGAGTCGGTGCCCAGGTCCTCGTTCTCCTCATCCTCGGCCTTCGTCTCCGTCGGCTTTTGGTCAGTTTGCTCAGCCGCGGCGAGGCCCTCGCGGTCGCCGTTTTCATCCCAATCGAACTCCTCCATGTCCTCTTCGGCGTCCGCGTCGTCAGGTCGCGGGGGCTTCTCCTTTACCGGGGTCTCCTCCTCGTCCTTCACCTCGACGTGCTGGCTCAAATTGAGCTGCTGCATCTGGCGCTGGTGCCGCTGCAAGGCCTCCCGGACGGCGCGATAGGGGTTATGCTGCGAGCGGGTCTGCTCGGTGTTGTCGCGACGCTGGGCCTGATCGTTCTGTTCCTGCTGCTTCTTCCAGTTTTGGCCCGCGTCGTCCTGCTCCTGCTCCGCGCCCGGCTGCTCCTCCTCGTTGGCGGCCTGCTCCTGCTGCGGCTTGCTCGACTTGTCCTTTTTCCTGTCCTTGTCTTGCTCCTCCGTGGCTTCTTCGCCCTCGCGGTCGTCCTGGCGGCCGCCCTCATAGACGTTTTCATCCGCGGCGTCACTCGCGTCCTCGACGTCCGTCGCGTCCTCGTCGCCGCCGTCGCGCTGCTCCACCTCCTCCTCGCCAAATTCGCTGCGGTTGTCATCCGTGGAGGCGGCGTCGTCGGCGTGGTTCTCGGAGCCTGCATCGCCCTCCTCCGGCTCCGCGTCCGCGTCCGTCGGCAGCTCCTCATCCGGCGCGCTCTCCTCACGCTCCTCGCCGTCGGCGTCGCTGCGCTCAACGGAGTCGCCGCTCTCGCTGCCGCCGTCGTTGCCGCTCTCGTCCATCTCGCTCTTAGCGTCATCGCCGACGACATCGTGCTCGCCGGCGCGCTCCTCCTCGGCCTCGCGTATCTCCTCCGCCCTGTCCTCGAAGCCACCGGTCTCCTCGGCGTTGTCATCCTCATCTGCGTTGGGCTCCGCGAGCTCGTCCTCCGGCACCTCCTGGGCGGCATCCCCGCCGTCTTCGTTCATGTCATCCGCATCGCCGGCGTCCTTCTTGGACTTCTTCCGCTCCTGCTCGGTGCCCTCGTCGACGTCGCCCATCTCCTTGTCGGACTCCTCGCCCTCCTCGTCGCCCTCCCCTTCGCTCGCCTCGCGCTGCTCCTTCTGTCCGTTGAAGTCCGTCTCCACATCCGCCGCCTTGTCCTCCTCGTCCTCGTCTTTGTCGCCCTGCTGCTGCTCCTTCTCCGGCTGCTCCTCCTTGTCCTTCATGTTCATGAGCTGATCCTCGTTGTCGATCTGATCCGTCACGTCCTTCTCGCCTTCGCCGTCGTCCATGCCCGTGCCGCTCTGCTGCGCGCCGCCCTCGCCATCGCCCTCGCCGTCCTCCGGCTCCTCGTCGTCCGTCTTGCAGAATCCCTTCTTCAGCAGCACGGTAAAGAGGCGCGATACGACGAGGCCGAAGTGGCACTCCGCCTCCACGACGGCGCACCACGCGTCACGCGCCCGCGCCACCTCGCGCAAGCACACGGACAGTCGCGGCAGCAACTCCGTCTTCTCCGCCAGCGAGAGCGCGTTCAGCGCGACCGTGGCGGACGTGGGGGCTGTCACGGCGGTGCTGAGCGGCACCGCACCAGGCGTGGAGTCCCGCGCCGCGAGGAGGTCCTCGAGCACCGGCGCCAGTCGCTGCAAGGCCGCTTCCACGTTGGTGCCATACTGTGTGTACTGGGCGTAGACGGCCGATGCACCAGCTGCGACGTCATCGCCGTCTTCTTCACCAGCGCTGCCGTCCTCACCGAGCTTCTTCTCCGTCACCGCTGTTTCCGCAGGTGCGGTGGGCAGCGCGTCATCGACAATGGGCACCGCGTCGTCATCCACCGCCACAACGGCATCCAACTCCGCCAGTGCCCGGGAGAGCCGCTGACCCCACGACGCCGGCGGCTCCTCCGTGCGACGGCGTTTGGCATCACTACCAGGCCGATCTGGTGTCTCACTGGCACCCTCATGCCCCAGCTGCTCATGCTTGTGCAGGACGTTCGTGACAGCCTCGACGAGCGGTTGGGCGGCAGCAGATACACTTGACGTCGGGCCTGCCTGCAGGCGGCTCGCCGCCCCGAGTAGGCCGTGCAGCGCCTCCAACACAGCAGCGGCGATGCCCGGCGGGACGACGGTGACGGCGGAGCGTCGCACCGGCTCGTGGGCGGTGCAGAGACCCCACAGCTCATGCGACAGACTCCTCAGTTCATGCACTAGGCGAATTGACTCGGCGGCGTCAGATGGGATCAGCTTCTGCTGCACCATCCACGACAGCCCATCACAGACCGACTGCACGAGGCACGCCACCTCCACCGCGTCGTCCAAAAGGGCACGCGTAACAGTCGGAGTGGAGGCGCTCGCGCCCTCCGCATCCGATACAACAGCGGCGTTCTGCACCGTCATGTGAAGCACACGCAGCTGCTCATGCATGTGGAAGAGCTCGCACAGCATCGTGGCCGCGTGGACGGCGGAGGCAAAGAGACTCTCCGCCGTGCCGGTCCCGCGCTTCGCCTGCGCGGCGGAAAGGTCGTGGTGCGGCCTCCGCTCCACCTCGCGCAAACGCTGCAGCCACCGCGCAAAGCGGTAGTGCTCCGCCGCAGCAGCCTCCAGTGAGGTGACGGCAGCGGTTTGGTCGGCGTGCACCTCGCGGCAGCCCAGAAGCGCCTCCGTAGACGAGAAAACAACCTCCCAGGCCCCGACCTGGTCCACGTGGGTGTGCGGCACGCCGGCCTCGGCGAGACGGTTGAAGAGCGTCTTCAGTGCGCGCACCTTCATTTGATGCGGCGTCTTCGGCTGCTGCAGCGCCGTCACGTTCTCGACGACCTCCTCCGCGGCGTCCTGCAAGAACCGGTGCGCCTCCGTGAGACATTTGTGGCCCATCGCACGGCCCGCAGCAGCGTTGTCGCCTTCCTGCGACGGCGGCACCACGACCGTCTTCCCGTTGCGTCGCCTCTTGGCGCCTTGTGGCTTGGCTTTGCCAGCCGCCTCTCCCAGCTTGGTCTTCTTCGGCTTTTTCTTGTCGTTGGCATCCGCCTTTGCGGCCAGCACGAAGCCGAGCGACACGTCATCCTCGCAGCGCTGCTCCTCGGCCGTGATGACGGGCAGTACGGGAGTGCGGAGTGCCTCCTCCAGCGAGCCCAGCACACGCGCCATCTTCAGGTGCGACTTCTCGGCCGTCGCCCGCACGGCGTAGTAGTTGGCGTCCTCCCAGCGCATGATCTTCGCGAACTCGGCGATGTCCTCCTCGATGGGCTGCACCGCGGTGCGACACCTCTCCGCAATAAAAGGCTCAAACTGCGCAAAGAAGTCACAGACGTGCAGGACAGTGTTGGAGAGTGGCGCCTGCGCCCCCTCTGCGGCCAGCAGCTGGAAGCCAAAGCCCTGAAGCACACGCAAGCGGACGGAGTAGTCACCGAAGGTGGCGCTCCACATAAACTGCGAGGCGTACTGGAATGCCGCTCGGCAGCGGCGCAGCAGCCTCGCCGCGTCGCTCTCCACGCCGCCGCTGCTTTCCTCTTCCTCCTCAACATCGCTGAGCAGCACGTCGTACAAGGTGAACCATTGCTGCGCCGCCCGCAACTCAAACTCCGCCCGCTTCGCTTTGAAGACGTGCGACCAGCAGTGCAGCTCCAACCGACGCCACCGCAGCACAAAGGAGGAGAGCTCCGTCATGTGTCGCATGAGCGAGACGTCGTGGGCGGCGTTGCGCTCCCACTCGTAGCACTCCCGCAGCAGCACCTCGCAGCCCGCCATCACCTTCATGAGCGGGGTGCTCATCACGGGGAGGGCGGCAATCTTGTGGCCAATGCGCAAACACCGCTGCAGCGACGGCGTGTCGGGGTAGGTAACCGCCAGCTTCTGCACCGCCTCCAGCAGCTCGTACAGCGGTTTGCTGAAGCGGCTCAGCTCGTACACGTCAGTGTCGAGGAAGATGTTGAAGCCGCCCTCCTTGCGCTCCTCCAGCGAGACCGCCGAGGGGTGGATGTCAGACCGCAGCATCGACACACGGGCTGCAAAGCCGTTCAAGAGAAGCTGCTCTGCCTGCCCGCTCGAGGCGTCGCGAATGCCGTGCGCACCCGCCGATGACGGGTACATACGCAGCTCAGCTGACAGGGCATCAAAGCGGTGTTGAAAGGCAGCGAGCAGGTGGGACGATGCGGCAGCGGGATCGTTTGCAGGGTCCGGCATGCGGCTCGAGACAAGGCGCCAGTAGAACGCTCGGTGCACCTCGACCAAATGCCGTAGGTAGTGGCCGTCTCTCTCCTTAAAGAGGATGCGCGCGAACTTGGCGCGGCGGCCTTCCATCTGCTCCTCTGCCTTCCTCTCCGACGACTCCGCCGCAGCGTCCGCCTCGAGCGCCTCCACTGTGAACTCCTTCTCGTAGCTCGGGAACAGCTCCTTCAACTTACGCAGCAGCACCTCGTCGTCGCCCTCGATCACGACCGCCTTCTCCTTGTACAGCACCGCCATCTCCTCCGTCTTGCGTTCCTGCGCCTCCCACTCGTCAATCTGGCGGAAAAGCGTGTGGTACTGCGCGAAGACGTCCTCAACGAAGGCACGGCTGGTGCCCTGCGGCGCCGTCCCGGAGATCAGCGAGAGACACGAATCGAGATAGACCACACGATGACGCAGCAGCGACGAGGTGTGTTGCACGGACGGCATGGGCAGCGAGTGCACCAGCGGGGAGGGGAACTGCAGCAGGCGCAGCGTGTCGTCGCGATGAAACAGCGCCGGCACGGCAGCGGAATTGGCGAGAGCGGCCACGAGCCGACGGTCTGTCGTGCAGCTGGCCCGTGCTGCCATGGAGGCGAGCAACGCCGCCTCGGCAAAGTTCACCGTGACGTCCTCGTAGCCGCCGTACTCCGCCAGGAGCTGCATGACCTGCTCAAACAGCAAGTCGCTCCAAGCCTCGCGGCTGGCGACGATTTCCTCCGCCGCCACAGCGGCGTCCGCGGGTGACAACGACGATGACGTGAGAGCAGAGAGGTCAAACATCCCCAGCACACGTGCATCGGACAGCAGCGTCGTGCACACCTGGTAGAGCTTGCGGATGAGGGTAGCGTACTGCATGCCCGTTGCCTCGGGGCGGGCAACGTACTTTTGCTGCGCACAGCGCCGCATCTCCTTCTCCTGCGCACGCAGCGTCTGCAGCACTTCACGCTGAGGGCTGTGTTGACGCAGCGACAGCCTCTCCGCCCACGCAAAGGCGTCGTCTAGCCGCTCCAGCAGCGCCAGTTCCTCGGTGGCGACGGCCTTCTTGCACTCCCGCCGGTACATCGGATCCACCGGCGACCGCGGCAGCAGCAGACGGCACTTCATCACCCACAGGAGCGTCACCGCCGGCAGCATGTCGGCATCTCCGTCGCTGCTACGCAAGCGGTGCAGCAGAGCCGCCATAATCGGCTTCTGCCTCTCCAGCAGCGCGGAGTGCGTCGGAGCAGACACGGCGGCCACGGTCGTCTCGGCGGCTGCAAAGAGAGGCTGCTGCGCGAAGGCGGTCGCCGTTAACGTGCGCGCCGGTGGCAGCGTCGTCGGTGCCTGCGCCGCCAGGTCCGGAAAGCACGCACACAGCACCCCCATCAGCTCCCGCTGCGAGTTTACCGTCCACTCCTCCAGCGGGGCGGGGGCGGCCAAAGGGCAGGTCAGTAAGAAGGCGTTCAGCCCGCTCAGCACACGCACGCTTGTGCTGTCCGACCGGCCAACGTCCATCACCGGCACCTGCGCACCGTACCGCACGCACTCCGCCGCCGCCACAGTCCATGATCCGGCGAAGAGGTGGCGGGTGCCGGCCACACCGTAGCGGTGGGCAAAGCGGCTCACCAGCAGCGGCGTCAGCTCCGCCAAGGCGCGTGTCGTCTGCGCTGCGTCGGCAGGCGAGATACCCGGCACGCTGCACCACAGCGCCATCTCCAGTTGCGTGAAGAGTGGTAGCTGCGTCGTGTAGGTTTGCACAAAGGTCTTCAATCGGGCCTGGATGGAGGGCAGCAGGTGGGAGGGCGAAGGGAGGGGGCCAGTGAACGCAGCCGCGACGTTGGTGTTTGGCGCAGAGGCGGTGGCGTGGAGGGCGGCAGTGGCGCGGAGGTGCAGGAGCTGCTGCAGGCATGCAAAGCCCTCGCGAAATGCCGCCGACTCCCACAAGCGGTGCAGCAGCGCACGCGAGACGTCGGACGAGCTCACCGTGCCTTCCGCCTTCATGTTTGACGAAGTGTTGGCTGCGGTGCTCCACGCCTGCAGGACGCGCCGCTCCTCAGATGTGGTGATGTGTGGCGTGGGCACGTAGCGGTGCAGAGGGGCCTTGCCTCCCAACAGGGGAAACGGCAAATCCAAGTGCTGTTGCAGCGTCTCCAAGAACGTCGTAGCAGCCTCCACCACGTCCACGGAGTGCCGCAGCGGCGGGTGAGTCTTCTTTGCCATGCTGCACACGAGGGCGGTGTGGGTAACGAGGGGGATGTAGTTATCTGCGTGCACGCCGTCGTTCTCGCGGGCGTGGTGGACGACAAGACGGGCAAAGGGGGCCACAAGGCGCAGCAGTCGGTGGAAGGTGCTCGGCGGCACAGCAGAGGCACTTGCGAGCGCTGCACGCAGGCCTTCGTTGAGACGCGCGAGGGCATTGTTGACCAACGTCGAGCTCACCACCTGCGGGTGGCAGTTCCACAAGGCAGCAAGAGAGCCAGCGTGAGGTCCGACCAGCTGCACAGCGCGCGTGTACAAGACCCCAAGCATCTCAGGGCAACAGTAGGCGCTGTTTAACAACGGCTGCACACGTGCGGACAGCTCTGCAGGCAAGTGGTGGCTGATCCACGACTGACGAGCAGCAGTGACGGCGTCAAGCGGCACGCTGTCGATGCACTGATCCAGTACAAAACACAGCAGGACATCCTCCAGATGGTACAGTGTCGAGAACTTCTTTGTGTCCTCCCGCTTCACCACCGTGCCGCCGCTGACAAGGCTCATATCGCTCACATAATCTGCCTCCGGTTGCGACCTCGACAGCAGCTGCTGCAGCGCAAAGGCGGCGCGGTGAACTCGTCGACGCACCAACGACACGGCGACGTCGATAGAAGTTAGACGCGGCGTCGTGAACGCCTCTCCTTCCGGTTCTGCACTCGTCGACGGCGTGGTGCAAAGCTTATCCTCCTCAACAAACGCCTGCAGCTGCAGCACACGCAGAACATCCTCCGCGTCGCTGACGTCTCCCTCTGCGCTTTCGTCCGGGCTGCTCTCCATGGTGCGGCGAAGCAGCTCCAGAAGTTCTGCCTTGAAGCCCGTCCAGTGGCCGCTGCGATTCTGAACGTATCGATGCAAGATGAGCTTCTCGAGGTCGCCGATCTGGCTGACAGACCGCAGTAGACAGCTCGTGCGCAACAACGTGAACACACTCGGTGCGCCGGCGGAGAGGGCGTCGCTGAGCTGTGCGGAGCCGGGGTGCTGCGAGTCTGCGTGAAAGCCGACCGAGGCAAACGTGTGGTGGTAGCTCAGCAAACGCGAGAGCAGCTGCACTGGTGGCGGCCGGGGCTGTGCCACCTGCACAACAGCCGCCTCCGCGTTGTTCTCCTCTCCTCCCTCCTCGCGCGCTTCCGAGGTGGCACGTTGCTGTTGCTGGGTTTGTGTAACGACCGAGGCATGAGCGCTGAGAGCCAGGCTTTCCAGGGAGGGGATTGCCACAGGTGCAGCGTACAGCTCCACCGCACGATTGCGCATCGCACGCGAGATATCGCCATAGCGCGGGTTCAGTGTCGCGAAGAGGCGGAAGCGCGGGTGCGGGCGAATCACACGCACCTCGTTGTTCACAATGCCTTGCTCATTCACGGACAACACCCCGTTGGGCTCCACCAAGGGGTTCAGTCTGTCGAGCACGCTCGCGTTGCAGTAGTTCACGTTGTCCAGCACGAGCCAGTGTCCCTGCAGCATCGCCTCCAACACGAGGGAGTCACGCCACTCGAACTCGCCCTGCTTGCCTTCCACCTGGTCAAAGCCGCCCAGCAGATCCACCGTGTCGCAGCTGGCGGTCATGGAAAAAGTGACCAGCTTTGCCCCGGCAAGGGCGGCGGCGGTGCGTAGCACGAACGTCTTGCCCGCACCCGACGGCCCAACGAGCAAGGCAAATTGGCTCTGCTCCACGCACACCAGCACAGACTTGACCAGGTGTGCCTGCGAGGGCAGTAGGAGCAGCGAGCTGAGCACCTGCGCATCGGCAGCGTGGAGGCTGGCCTGCTCGCGCTGCACCAGCCGTTGGCGCGCAAAGTAGACCGCGCCGTCGCGTATGAGAAAGTCAGAGTCGCACGCGGAAGGAACGTCGCGCGCTACTTCGTCTGCTGAGAAGCACCGCACGAGGCAAGCGCGGCAGCGTGCCACGTCCTCCTCGGTGCGCATGCGTTGAAGGAAGAGCATGTCTGCATAGGACGTCGGTCGATCCCGCATCTCGAACGACTGCAACAGCTTCGCCCACCGCAGCACATCACGCAGGTTGAACTCCCACGGACTGCCACGCAGCCCGTACAGTCGACTCACCATCGTGTCCTGTTGCAGCTGCCCAACAAAGTCCACCATCCGCCGCAGCGTCGGCTCCGCAATGTCGGGGCACACCGCCTTCGCAATTACGATGAGGTCACTCACCTCAAAGGCCTCGACGTGAACCTTGATGAAGCGGTTCAGGAAACTGCGCGGCAGGCCCTTGCGACCACCGCCCTCGAGGAGCGGGTTTTGGCACGCAAAGACGCGAAAGTCGGGGTGCGCGTGGAACTCTTCGTTGAGCTCGGGAATGAAGACAGTAGACCGGTGATCCAGCAGAGCGTTGAGGCCCTCCAGCACCGACTGACTGGCCAGGTTCAGCTCATCCAAGATTACCCACGCGCCATCTTTGAGCGCGCGCAGCAGAACACCGTCGGACCACGCAAATTGGGGTCCCTTTGCCCGTCCCGGAGCTGGCGGCGTGGCGCCCGTCTCCGTGGGCACGCCCTCGTCCTCCTCATTGCCAAGATCCGCTCCGTCCTGCTGGCCTTCCACAACACTCACAGCTGCGTCGTTGCATGGGCACGGCAGGTAGGTACCGAAGAGATCCATGATGTCGGTCTGCTCACTCAAGTTGATGCGCACCACCGGGCGGTCCAACGCGCAGCCAAGTGCTTCGACAATGCTCGTCTTGCCCACGCCAGGGCTGCCCTCCAGAAGCACCGCCTTCTTCACGAGACTAGCGCGCATCAGCTTTGACAAGTTGCGTCGCGTCGCTGGGGCGCCGAAGAAAAAGCGGCTCTGCATCGACGCAGGCAGCTGCGGCTCAGCCAGGCCCTCGCACACCTCCCAGAACGGCTTTGCGGACAGCGAGGCGTAGTCGAGCTCGCCGTGGCCCAGCCGCGCCACCTCCTCGACCGCTTGGGTGGTGCAGCTGTTCTTCACAATCGCGCACGACGCCTCCGACTGCCCGCTACCGACGCCGATGCCGTCCAAAATAACCGCGTCGAGACCTTGCAGAAAGGCCACCTCCGGCGGACAACGGCCGTGCGCGGCGTTCATGAAGGACACCCAACCAATAATGTCGCGAATGCTAATGTGTTGCGGTGCGCCGGAGATGGCGGTGACCTCGGAGACGCGGCACAGCACGGCTGCCATGCGTGATGCCCAAGGCTCCAGCGCCGGCTCCATACGCCGGGAGAGGATCATGCCAACCTCTGTCACATCCGTGGTGGGCCGCACGTAAATCTCCGTAAATCGGTTGCGCAGCGCGGGTGAGAGTTCCTTCTTGCCAAAGTCGCCACCGGGGTTCATGGTGGCCATCACGAGGAAGCGCTCATGCGCCACGATGCAGTCGGCGCTGCTCTTTTCCGCAAGCGTGACGCTGCGCGACGGCTCCAGCACACTGTTCAGCCGCTCTAGTACGCTGTCCTCCGTGAGAGAAATTTCGTCGAGAACGAACATGTCGCCGTTGATCATGCTCTGTACGAGAGGACCGTTTCGCCACTCGAACAGAGCCTGGTCACGCCGGTCCGGTGGGGCCGGACGGAGACTACCCAGGAAGTCGGCTGCTTCCGTATGCTGGTGGCAGTTTAGAATGTGGAGAGGAATGTCCAATAGAGCTGCCCACAGTTGACACACGGTGGTCTTGCTGCTACCCGTCTCGCCGACTAGAAGTACGGGCTCCTTGTGCTCCAAACAAATGCCCACAATCGTGAAAAGGCGCTGCATTGATTCCGTCCACACGATCTTGTACTCATCAATAACGCCGCTTTCAATCTTCTCGAAGTACCTCTCGACAAAGGGCCAGTACGACGGGTGATAGATCTTCTTCTCATCGAGCTGCGTCTTTGTGATAGACTCCATCACATCACGGACAACCTGCCGTTCACTCGGCTTGCGGCAGCGTTCGCCAAGCAGCAGAAAGCCATGTTCGGCAAGCTGCTGATACGTCTCTGGGCGGCGCTCGGCCCACCGGAACAGGTCACGAGGTGTAATAAAACCGTGGCGGCCCGCGAAAATCTGCGAGTTCTGGCGACGAATCTGCAGCGCAGTCATTACCTCCACCATTTTCTCTGCGAAGCTTTGTGGCAGGGCGTACCGGCGGCACAGAATAATACTCACTTCTTTGGTCGGAATCTCATCCACAGTAATCTCGAGAAATCGGTTGCGGAAAGCGCGTGAGAGCATCTTTCGGCCGCCATAAATTCCTGCGGGGTTCTGTGTTGCAAAGATGCGCAGCTGCGGATGCGGCTTGATAGTCTCCTGAGTGTCCGGCACAAACAATTCGCAATTGTCGTCAAGCAGACGATTCAGCGCCTCAAGGACATCGGTAGGCGCTAAGTTCAGCTCATCTAGCACGACCCAGTAGCCATGGCGCACGGCGTCGACCAAAATACCGTCAACGTAGCGCAGTTTCCCAAACTCGTCAGTAACGTAGTGGCCCAAGTATTCCTGCACTTCGGTGCTGTCGTGGTTGTTGATACGAACAAATTTGTTCCCCGTAAGCTCAGCGAGGTATTTGACCATGGAGCTCTTCCCCGACGACGTGGGACCTTCCAGTAACACGGGACGATTTGCAAACACGGCGCGCCCCAGATTTTTCAGGTGACCTTTGACACTGTCAGTCAGAATGAAAGCGTCGTCGCAGAACGGTGTTTCAGTGCCGGCGGGTATCCACATGTGTTCATAAGCGACGTACGAGCCTTCTTTCGGGGCAGTCGGCAGTGTAGGTGGGTTTGGACGCTTGCTGCGAAAAATATTCTTGATAATTAGCTGCTCTACCACAACGTGAAACTGGCGCTGCAGTGGAGTTGCAAAACCAAGCATGAGTCCATCGAACAAGGCAATCGTGAAACCGTAAAGCGGTGTCGCACGGCGCACGTACGAGAGAGCACGCGTGAGGGTTCGCAGGCTGAACGACGGCGCCTTCGACTCTCCGTCAAGCGCGCATAGCTTCGACTTTGAGTTGTTGACGCAGTCCAAAAAAAAATCGGTGATTTCATCCACTTTTGCGTCTGCGGTGAGGAAGCCGATGTACTCCCGTACGACAATGCTGATATCGTTACGATTAAACGGCTCGCTTACGTAGAACTCCACAAACCGCGAGCGCAGCGAGGGCGGCAAATCTTTCTTGCCCACATCCGTCGGTGGATTCATGTTTGCGAAAACGTGAAAGTTTTTGTGCCGCATGATAGGCTCAGACGAGTCTTTGTCAGTGAGGAAGAGCCTATCGACGTCGCCGAGGACGGAGGAGACGCGTTCGAGCACCTCCGTACTTGCAAGATTTAGCTCGTCCAGCAAAATCCAGTGACCTTCTCTCCACGCCTTGACAAGCGAGCCTTCTTCGAAGAAAAATGCAAAGTTTGACTTCGCCTTTTCGATCGTGTCGAGTAATTCATTTGCTCTCTGCTCTAATTCGTTCCATCGCTGCAGAGTCGATATGTCATACTCTACAGTTGCGCTTTTCGCCGCAAATGAGCTGCAACCTTTGATAATTTGATGGGCCGCGCGATCCCATTTTCGCCCGTTCACGGATTGCTGCAAAATGTTGAGAAATTGGGCGTTTTTTTCTGCGTTAAAGCAGAGTGCAAACAAATCGGTAAACTCGCTGTACAGTTCGCGAACTGCAACGCCGACGTCGAGCGGTTTCCATCCCCCCATGAAGTCGGACGAGTCCGTCTGCTGATTCAGATTGTGGACGATCAGCGACTGCCCCAGTTGATCCGCCAGGTATTGAACAATAAAAGTTTTGCCCACACCGGTCTCGCCAGTCAGTAAAACGTGCTCGTGGGACTCAACAGCAGCGCCCAAACGCTCTAAAAGCGACATGGCATGCGTTGTCGGAGCAAACGCCACACGGCTCTCACGAGAGAGTCCTGACACGGCAGAAATTAATGGAATCTGCGCTCGTCCCACTGCGTAAGTCGTAGTCGAGAGCGACTCCTGTGGTTTGCACTCAAGAACAAGTGGCTCGGCTACGTTTTCGGGGACACCGCATGCTTCTGATACAAGTTTCAGCACCGCATTTCTCTCATTCCCTGGAGGGTATTTTGCCACGAAGCAATCGAATGCTTCTTTCACCATTGTTTCACGAATTCTGGATGAGATGAACACTGGACCAGTATCGCTATTAGTTTTTATGTTATTGGATGCGTTCGGCAACCGCTTATTTACACGTTTACTCCAGCGCAGTAGGTTTTGCAGACTCGCCAAGCTGGCGCCAGATGACAGCGATGTCAGGGTCGCCAATTTTCCGACGATTGAGACAGGAACGTTAGAGTATGTGCTTTGAACAATAGTGCACATTTCTTCCGCCGAAAGGGACTTCATAATGACGGTTCCCCAAAGTTCCGCGTACGGGACTGAATTTGTTTTGCGTGTGAGCAGCGTTGAGCCGGAAGAATACAGCTGTTGCGTGGCGATGAGCTTAAATCCTTTGTGCGCGCGCAAAAACGTGTTTTTATCGGGGATAAACAGCGTAGAGCTCTCGAGAAGGGACAGGATGACTGAGAACACGTCGAAAGAGGCAAGATCGATGTCTTCCATCAGAACCCAATATCCTTTCTGTACGGCAACGGTGAGTGAACCAGGAACCCATTCGAAAGCGCCCGGTGTTTGGGTGGCACTGAACTTTCCCAAAAGATCCTTGCTGTCAAAGGTATCATCCACATTAACTTGTATCATCGTTTCCTTTGCGCCGTAACACTCCGCTAGGTGCAGCACACAGGCGCTTTTACCGCAGCCGATTTCGCCCTGAATGAGAACCGCGTTGCTCGTCTCCAGCGCAAGCTGGATGTTTTCCAGATTGGCCTCCACGGTAGGAGTTAATATCATTTTCGTCATCTTTGCCCGCGAAAGTAACAAGTGCTGCAAGAGCAATGTGTATGTGTAGTACTCAAGCCTGCGTGTTTAGTTTAGAGGGCTGTAAGTCAGAGAAAGAGAAAGGAATGGAAAGATCAAGACGGAAATGAGAACAACATACAATTAGACATTCTTTTCTTTTGGTCGAGGGATTCATGTTCAATAACTCATTCTAGAAACAGTAAAAGATATATTTAATTAAACTTCAATTTTTCATTAGCTTTGCGCAATGGCTGCTAAGGAAGTGCGAAGAGAAAGGTAGAAAATAAACGACTGATATCGACATTTCTTCGTAAAGAAACAATAATTGCTTTTCTAACAAGTACTATTTTTTTTTTGTTAAGCTGATAATAACTTAGCGTTGCGCATTTCGGCTTCTTTTCGAATTATTTACCATATTTTGGCGCTAGGAACGCATGACGCAAGGAAACGATACGAGGGTAGCCTCCGGATGCGCATTTGCCTAAATAACCAGTAGTACAGTATTGTTATCAGTAGTACGTTTTGTACCGCAAGAAGACCGTCTCCCTGAGAGCAGAAAAGACAAAGAAGAACACGGAAACAGTAAAGGCAGCAACTTCGATGACTGCGAGCGTATTAAAAAAAAAAGATTTCCGGTACTACCAAGTTCTTCAACTTAACTCGTTGCGCACCATGAGCCTGGAAACAGATCTTGCGAGACTAAAGCACGCCGTTTCGATGTCTTACAACCTTGTCCCGACTCGCTTTTCAGCAATGCAGCTAGCAGTCGCCAAACGGGCGGACATCAGCATCGGGCGTTTACGCTCCACACAGCGGCATTGCCTAACCAACGCGGAGATGAGTCAAGAACACAACTTTTGCGCGCCCCAGCACTTGTTGACCATCGTACCCACAAAAGATCAGTTGAGACGAAACACTACAGTTGTATACACGCGGCCTTCTTTTTCAACCTGGAAGACACTGCTCTTTTCTGTCGAACTCGTACCATGGGTTCACACAAGGAAGAGAAGGAAATAAGGGGAGTTGAGAGGAGGGGGGGGACTCGCGGAGAGACGAAGAAACTCTGTGTGCGTATTCGCGCCCCCACAGCCTGCACCCCTTTCATTTGGCAGCGCTTGCTTTATTTCGTGACGAACGTTAACAAAGCTGGTGTGAATGTGTGTCGTATCGTTAACAAGAAAACAGCGAGACGTGGCATAACTTCCCCTGATTGTGTGACTGTAAGTCTTCCAAGCGTGACCGTTCCGCAAGCGTGTTGCACCGCGCGATCGCTCACGAAGAGCTCTGTGTGTAAAATGGATTGCGGGTTTCTCCAGCAGATGTCACTCAGTCTTTAAGCTCATCGGGCGGCAACCTCAAATGGAAAACTAGAGTGCCCATCTTCCGTGGGAGCAAGAAAGCAACTGATGATGGTCGGGAGTGGCACAGGCATTGCCTTGGAGCTGAACGTACGTTTGTTTATTGCGCATATTTCTTGTAACGCTCAGTTGATGCCAGTCGCCTGTAGTAGGGTCACGTGCACATGAGGTGGAAAAACCTCGTTAATGAGCTACTGAGCTTCATTTGCAACGAGCTCTTTTCGTTGCGACAAATCCCAGCTTTCTTCGGCTCTCCACATATTTCTTTTCATTTCCAATCTCTGCTTCTTGTACCTCTGCAACCTGTTTCGAAAACCGGATGAATCTACAGTTTCCCATAAAATTTGTCGAGATGCGCGCGGCGTCGCGGGTGCTGCAGCATGCATCGCTGGCAGCGCCGGTGATTGAAGATGGGCAAGAATCAATGAAAAAACTTGTCTACGCGCCGCTAGGTTTTCTTTCGTTAGGAGGAAACGCGTCTTATATTGCGTCAATCCTCGCTTCTGCTGTAAGCTTCCTCGAAGGCTACAGTGTCGAGGACCTCGAGACAGATGTGCGTCTTGTTCAAAACTCGAACGGAGAGTACACTGCTCATACCAAACTCACACTAGTCCCATACGCTCTTCCGCGCCAAGATGCTCTCATTGACGCGGCGTCAATACAGCCTCTCGGCGCTGCTACAGACCTGACACTCCCAAAGGTCACCCATTACTTTTCGATGTCTAGAACCCTCCCTGTTCGTAGGCAGGAGGTATCCTCGACGCTTGAATTAGATCGGTTTAGGGATAGCTTCTACGGGAACGTCATGTCAGCCGACATTGTGGCGAATGATATTCTCCTCACGACGGATTCTGTCGAGGTGGCGAATGCAGTGCTGCGCTATTCTGCGCAGGTGGGGCTGACGATCCCGCGTTCCACTCTTTCAGAACTCATGCGGCGAATGAAGACCTGCGAAAATTCTCTTGTGCATCATGTTTTTAAGGAACTTGAGTTTGAAGTCAATTTGGGGATGATGCAGCAAACAAGTCTGTTCACCTCCCGCTCGACGGTTAGCGATGTGCCACCTCCGAGAAAGCGTAAGCAAAGCAAGCTCGAGCGTTTGCGCAGCTCATCCTCACGTTGTTCAAAAACGTAGTATTATCGAATCCCTGCGTCAACCGACGTCACTGCTTTCCATTTGTGTTTCATGTGTATGGCACCAAAAAAAGATTATTTTCCTCAGCATATCAACTCTATTTTGGCTCACAGTTTTTATATAACTAGTTTGCTAGCCGCTCTACGTTTCGCAATTACGGTTTTGCTCTCTTAATCGTTCTAGTCAAGTGAAGCTTTCTGTTTCACTCAGAATTAGCAGACGTTTTTCAGAAGAACGTTTATCAATGAGTTTCAGTGTTAGATGTCCTTATTATTTCTTCCTCTTCTGTTTTTTTTCCTACTCCTTATATATATATATATATATCTGTGTATATACTTCTTTTCAAAGTGTAAGAATAACAGGATTCTTTGCCTCCCTTTCAACTTTTTGCTAGGTGCTTCTTTCCTGGAGAAAGGAACTGTACTTCCTTTTCTTTCCTGGCGTTCGGAACGCGAAAATGAGTGGCGAAAGCATTTACGGCCTCTATGCTAAAAGCGCAGCTGCTGAGAAGCAGCCGGAGCAAACAGCGTCGCCATACACTGGAAAGTACGAAAAGCACCTGGGGGAGCCGACTAAGCCGGTTTACTCCACTTTCTTCGAAAAAGGCAAAGAATACGATGGCACTAATGTCCGCTTTTTCAAGCAGCGTGAGGCTGTAATTGGCAAAAACGTCGGTGACTCGGTTGCTCCGCAAAACTACTTGAAGAAGGGCGGCGGTGTTCACTATGTTGTTCCGCCGGTGCACGAGGAAAAGCTGTACTGCAAACCTCCTCTGGACGAGAATTTTCGCCAGGCTGCAAGTGGTGACGGGGCTGACGGCAGCAAAAAAGATGGAGAAGGTGGAGACTTCGACGAAAACGGCATGCCGCGTTCAGGAGGCTACGGTTCTCGTCCAAATGAAGGCACCGGCTCCCGCCCAAACAACGGTTTCGGTTCTCCTCCGACCGATGCCGGCGGCTCTCGTCCCACCGGAGCGGATGGTGAGGGTTTGGACCGCGGCGAAGGCATGCAGCAATATGGTGGAGTAGAGTACGACGAGAATGGAAATCCCTTGAACAGGCAACAGGGAGTCGGCAGCGCCGACGCAAACGACGGTTACGGGGCTTCTCGTGACGCCACAAAAAACTTTGTCGCCTCGAACATCGTAGAAGTCAGCAACTTGGTCCCCAAGCGCCGGAAGCAGCAGGCGCCGCTTGCTACGAGCCGAAAAAGTTTTGGTCAGAATCCCGCCTATTTATCACGTGTGAAAGGAGAAGTTGCGCAAGAGAAGGCGTTTGTCCAGTCGCTTGAGGAAACAAAACTGAAGCGTCAGCAACAGGCTTACTCCAAGTTTGTTTATCTGCTGTCTCGCGAAGAACACGAAAAGTTAGTGGCTGATCTCAAAGCGCGCCACGACGAGTGCATGTCGGAGATGCAAAAGATGCCTTTTTCTAAGGACACGCCTTCGATGCGGAAGAGGAGAACTGAGTTGGAGCGCACCATCGCTGATATTGAGGCTGCTCTCAAGAAGCTGGATAAAGATGCCCTGTTTATCTACAAAGATGATCCTGTAAACGGTCAATGGGCAAAGGAGGCGGCTTTAAAGGAGGCTCAAAAATACGCCGCGGAATTACTATGAGCCCACGATGTACAATATCATTTTTTTTTTGCTCTTTCAAGAGGTTAGAAGGTGAGAGGCATTTCAGCATCCTCTTTCCGTTTTGCTTTCAATGTTCAATATATTAATGTACCTTACCAGCAAAGAAGCCCACAATAAAAATGCGAATCGAAGATGCGTTGCGTTGAATGCTGCGCGTTGTGTTCTTTTCATAAAGAAGGCAGTTCTTGCCTAGACCGACTTCTTGCCCACCGTCGCTTTTGAAATCGTACCCTAACATGTCTCTTTAATCATGGTTGTGGTTCTTGTGGCGTTGCAAATACCCTTTTTTGCTAATTTTAAAAAGATTCGGCTTAAATGCATCACGACTGTTTTTCTGGCGCCGTAGTTAAGTACGTTATCCGCTTTTTTTCATTACTTTCGTATTCTCTTCTTGCTTTCCTTCGTTCTGTTCTGTTTTTCTTAATCCCATAGCTTGATTTACCTCAACACGCACATCGGGAAGCCACTTCGTTATGCGCCGCCTTCTTCTCTCCCGTACCCTGGCATCGGTATGCGGACTGCGCTGCATTTCGGCGAATGACTCGGACAGCGAGCGTCTCGAGCGTTTGCAGGAGCAGGTAAATGGAATCAAGGCAACTCTGAAAGCCATGGAAGAAAGCAAGAGGGCCAACGGTCTGGTTCGCCTGTACGGAACACAGAAATTAGCAAAGTTGGATATCAAACGAATCTTGGCCATTTTCAATGGAAAAACGTCCCACCCACCTATATTCTGTCATAAGACACTTCCAATTGTCTTGGCACACTTCATCTCAGGTCTTGACACACTTCCTGCTGGCCTCAACGCAATGCCATCTATACTTGCCGTCCGTGGAACACTTCTGCGCTCTTTTCAGAAACTGGTCAGCTGCGATATCCCCGTAACGTACGATCAAATACAGTTTTTTCGCAGAGTTCTAGAGGACATCGACGAAGAGCATGCTGAACGCGATCTTTTGCAGACGATGGCATTCGGAATTCTGGAGCTGAAAGACGATCTTTCAAGACACCGAAAGGCGTTGTTGGAGCTCAAGACGACGTCTGAACGCTGGTCTGACCTTCCCATCTCGGAGGAGCAAGTACTTCCGTACGAAGAGCTCGCGGATGCTCAGGCGCCCTTGGACGCGGTAAATCGGTCCATGGTAATGTACAACTTCATCTCACGCATGTTCCTCAACAGCGACTCTGAGGCCGCTACAGGAGAGAAACGCTGCAAGGTGGGAATGGTAGACCTCGAGATCAACCTCGAAAACGTCGTTCGCAACGCGGTACATGAGGCGAAGCAAATCTGCACTGACCACTACGGCGACTGCCCTGACGCGGAATTTGTTATCACCTCGGAGTCGAAGATGTTCAAGTTCCCGTTCATGAGCACGACTATCCGTTATATAATACTGGAGCTCATGAAAAACGCCTTCCGCGCTACAGTGGAGGCTCATATGAAGCGCAACTCCATGGGTATGATAACTTGCGACGACATGCCTCCTGTTCGCGTACTGATCAACCTTCAAGAAGGCATCGAGCACGCGTGCATTTGCATTTCTGACGAAGGAAAAGGGATGACGGAGGAGGCGCTTGGGATGGCCATGGCATACTCCTACACGTCAGTGAGCAAACCGGCGATGGACTTAAAAGACGGTGTTGGTACTACCTCTTCGGAGCCGTCGGCGCTAGCTGGTTACGGTTACGGTCTTCCGATGTCCAGAGTGTATGCCCAGTCGTTAGGCGGTGACCTTGTGCTGCAGACTATGGAGGGCTACGGTACTCGTGCATACTACTACATCAAAATTGCGTAGCTGTAATTGTTCAAGTCAGACCAGCACATGCCACGTTACGAGGAGAGACCTCAGCTGTCAATACTAAAAGAGTTGGGTAGCGAATTCCAGGTTTCTGCTGAACCTGCCTCAATGCAACTGTTATTGATGAAACGTCTCGAATCTTTCCTGTGACGGAGTCAATGCAGGAGCGATATATTTTTGTGGGTTTTTTGTCTTCCTCCAGCCTTTTATGAATATGCTCTATTCTTTTTGTTGTTGTTGTTTTAATCGTCGAGTTTTGTGACACATTTTTTTCTTTCCAATACAAATCTGCGAGCGCTGCTATTTTTTATGATTTTCTCTTTTCCTTGGCATTTCTATAAGTCCTTTTTTCTCCCGTTTGTAATTGGTCATGCTCTGTGTGAGCGTGTGTCTACATAGCAGATTCTCACTGAATGTGGAAAAGGCGGCGTATCGTTTTACTTTTATAAGGCTGACTCGTGCAACGCTCTGCGTCTTTTTTTTTTGCTATATATTTCCATCACCTTTCTTTTCTTTTCCATTCTTGTCTCGTTCTAGCACACATACACCTTTCCGTAGCAGAAATTCGTCGCAAAGTTTGAAGTTAAATGGAATGTGAGCATTTCAGCTACACTGATTTGCAGTGCAGACGTATCGCTGTCAGGCGTCATGCACCAAAGCAGCTGAACAGTTACTTACACAAACGCGCAGGTAACTGAAAGAAATGACGACATGAACTAGTTGTGTTCAACGCGTGGTATCAGCTGGACCTCAGAGTCACTTATTTGCGTTGTTGTTTTGTTGTCTGCTTTCTGTCTCGTTTTGCAGAAAGAGCATGAATGCCGCGCTCTTATTACCTTCCGAAAGACTCTTACGGTTCTGTTGCGAGCTCGAGGTGTTAGGTCATGCAATGATCTTACCATTGCGTTTCAAATGGAGCACTGCTGGTTCTCAAAACAAACAAAAGAGTACGCACTGTTCTGCAAAGAGATTCTTGCGGTTACGTTTCCCACCTTTTCTCCTCCGTTGAATCAAAAAGGCTCTTCTTTGATTTCCTCTTTTTTGCCGAACTCTCTCTTCCTCTCGGCCACAGTGTGAGGGTTTTGTGACGATACATTCGATTGCACGAGCGCGTCCACACACTTTCACTCACCGACCAAGTATAGCAAAGTCTCCGCTTGAGATACAGCCTTTTTTTTCATTGTTTGTTTGACGTATCATGTTGTTCAAATCATGAGTAAATCCTCATTAGGCACAAACCGTACCGGTGACGACGACGCGCCTGCCGAGGCACACACATGGGAGGAGCTTGCCGAATATGAGCGGGGAGAGGTTATACTCCGCTTACTCCGGCGCATCACCGGGACGTGCCTGCGCAACGATCGCTTGCGCGTTCTTGAGCGAGAGGAGTGGGTGTGCAGCGGCACCAGCTCCGACGATGCGTTGACGTGTACGCAGCATCTGCTGCTCTTTGGGCACGTGCGCCACCGACATCGTGAGGCGCTCCTCGCTCTCATTCGTCAGATGCGCCTGCACGCGGTGCGGGACTTGGACACGTCGGTGACGATTGGCCTTCAACCCGGCGATGCCGTTCCTTACGTTTTGCTGGAGCCGCTCTCACCGTCGCCGCAGACGGACGGTTACATCCGCTGGAACCGCGTGTACTGCGCCATGCGGTGCGGCATTCTGCAGAAGCTCCGCGCGAGAGAAGAGAAGATTCGACACCGCCTGCGGGAGCTCGTTCAAGAGACGGATGCTACGTCATCGAAGCTGCCCTTCGCCGCTGCCGCTGCGCACTCTTCTTTGTCTGCAGGTGAAGGCGGCAGCGTCTCAACGCCAGCTGAAACGCTCCGCTTCTACACCGAGGAGTTTGGTCAGCTGTTCACAATGGATGATCCACCGGGAGCAGATGGAGCGAGTGGAAATGGGGCCCGCTCACCTGTTGATGCTAACCACAAGCGGGCCAAACAATTTCTCCCGGTAAGTGAGTTCATGGCTGCCACGAAAGCGTCGCAGGTTTCCTTGGTCCAGCTCGCCGCCAGTGTTCCTACTGTCCTCGTCGCGTGGTCTGCCCGCTACCCGGAGTGTGTGGCGTGGCTGCGCCGGGAACTGTTCGACGACACGCACCTTAAGGAAATACGCAGCGCCACCGGTCTTTCGGGTCGTTTCGCGGTGCTGATGGACAAGGATCCGTGGGTCAGTTTTGCCGAATCACACGGGGGTATTCTGCCTCGCCTTCCCACGCTGCGCGCAGGCTTTAGAATTGAACTGCTGCAGCCGCTGCCAAAACGTGCGCAGATCGTGCTGTTGAACATGGACAAGGACACGGAGGTGGCGCGGACCACCCTCGAAAAGCTTCGAAGGCGACTCAGCGGCTGGGTGAGTCCTGAGGTCGATTTGCTGTCCTTGTGGTCCGGTCCGAAAGGGCTGCAATCGGAGCTGGCGACGCTCTTCAACGTGCAGACGCTGCCGTTTGTCGTGCTGACTCGCCCCGGGCAGCTTCCTCCGCACGCTACGATAGGAAGTAAAAGCTCCACACCCCACACCACTGCCAACACCGATCCCGCACGAACATCGCCCGTGCCGGTCATCGTGGACGTGTCCTGCGATCCGGTGCAGGTGTCCAAGCGGCTTTACGGCGTTCCTGACACACCGCGCTCCAGCGGGGCGGCTGCAGACAACACCTGGCACCGCCTCGCTCCAGCGGAGCGTGCGCGCATTGTACAGCGTTGCGGCGCCTACCTCGTCCAGCAGCGCCTCCCGCTGTACTTCACCGCCACCGTCACCCGCGACTACGTCCTTCGCGACTCGACGGCAACAGATCCATGGCAGGCGGTACGCGACACAGCCAGCTCGCACGTCTGCGTCCTTGGCGAAGTCATCACCACACACGACATCCAACCGATCCTGGCCGAGCTGCGAGCGCTGGCGAAGCTAAGAGACTTTGAATGGGGCGTGCGACTGATCGAGCGTTCGGCCCCCTTGCTGTCCTCTGTGGATATGACAACGCCGCAGCGTCTGCTGAAGGGTGAGATGCGGTGCGTCACGTGTTCGAACTGCCTCACACGGCTCTTCGTGGACACGGAGGCGCATGTGCGGTGTCTGTGCTGCAGTTCCACCAACAGCAACGACGGCGCCTTCTGCGAGAAGTGTGCCTTCACTCTGCGCTGCCACACGCCGCACCACTTTCTTCTTCGCATCCCAGCAGGTCAGTGGCGCCCGTCGCTGTCGCTGCTTTGGGGTCCGTCGAACGTGGTGCCACTTGATCTTTTCATGGACCATTTTGTGTCAAATATTTCAGACTACCACTACGGCGTGTACTGCGATCGTTGCCGCGGTATGATCCGCGGAACTCGTTGGAAGTGCGCCGTGTGTTACCAGTACGACTTGTGCGACGCCTGTGCACGAGCACGACGTGCAGCAGTTCCTGCGATCGCAAACGGCGATCGGGGCACAGAAGCGCCCCCAGCGCCGTCGCCAGTCACGGAAAGAAAAATCGATGGCGATGCGGTGCCGGCTCAACACGACGACGCAACGCACCCAATGATTTACATCCCCTTTGCACAGGGATCGCAGCACGACAAGTTTTTAAAGCAGGCGTGTGTCGGTTCATTACAGGAGTGGCTGGATTCAGTCCACAGGTGATTTCGTACTGGCTTTTTCTTTCTTCCTTCTCTTGTTCCAGAACTACGCTACCCGTTACAGTTTCCCTGTGTGTCCGCCTGTTGTGGCCCTTCCTTTTATTCTCGTGTTTTTTTTTGATTGATGGATGTACATTACAGTTCTTTCTTTTGCTTGCTCTCTAGGTGTTCGCTGACCGTAGTGGAGTGCGACCCCGCACGTAACACACACGCCGGGAGAGAAGAAAGAAGGAAAAAAAAAGGAAAGAGTCTAGAACGAAGTAGCAGCTACTTTTGCTTCATGGCGTGGTGCTTCAGTGCTTTTGCCACTGCGAAGAGGAGGAAAAGAGCAGGATTGACACGCATAATTTTCCAAGGGCCTTTATCTTGGTCGCATGCAACGGGCAGGAAGAAGAAGCAAAAACTCCTCTTTCTTAGGGAGAGGGGGAAGGCCCAACGCGTTCGTCCTGTGCTTCCACTCGCCCAAGTAACAGGTGCGCCGCAGGCGTGCGTGGATGCCGCAATTTTACCTAAATCAACACCAAGAACCGTCAAAAAGAGGCAAACAATATTTTCTTGTTTCGGTACCACTCTGTGTTCGCTCCTTTTCTTGTGTTTGCTCTTGTTGAACCCGATGATGATTGTGAAGCACTAGCGTCCACGCAGAGTCACACACCCGCACACGTTGCCGCAAATGGGGTGCGAGCAAAGTTCTCTGAAGCCCAAAAAGGCCGCAAAGACCGGCAAGAAGAAGAATACAAAAGCGACCGATGCCGCCAAGACAGGCGAGAATGCCGCAAATACGAAGGATGCAGGGGAGGGCAAGGGTCGGTTGAAGAAGTCCGACTCCCTCGAGATCCCCGTACCTGGGACCGAGCCGGTGAGGGAGGAGGAGAGGGGTGCCTCATCACGGCCGCGCAGCGTGGCTCACACGGCGAAGGGAGGACGAAACGGCACGGACGACTCTCCCTCGCGTGGGCGCGGCGGCAGTGCGCGGCACGACCCCAGCGACGGCAGACCAAGCCCCCCTTGCCCGATAGAGCTGCAAACGATCCTGGATGAGATGTCCGATAGAGCCTCGATGAGCACCTCGTCCAGCACCCCGCAGCTGTTCCGTATTTCGCCCACCACACGTGACGAGGTGGAGCCCGGAACGTGGCTGTGGTGGCGGCTGGAGGTGCGCCGCGAGCACGTCACCAAAGACGGCTACAGCCGTGTGCAGCTGCAGGACATCGCGAACCGTCTGACGTGTCAGCACGACGACAACCCAGAAAGCGTAGACTTAGACTTTAGTAACTGCTACATGGAGCGCACCGCGCCGTACGTGCTGGGGCGTCTGCTCGCGTCAGCACAGCTGCGGGAGTTGCGGTGGATTACGTCGCTGCGCCTGGACGGCAACTACTTCACCGACGACGGCTTCGGTGCGATGCTGGCGGTCATGTCTGCCGAAAATGAGACGCAGACCATCCTGCCTCTCCTTCGTCAGCTCTACTTGAACAACATGAACCTTGACAGCAGCTCGGCGACCGGGTTGCTGGCGTACCTCTTCCCGGTCGATCGCAGCGCCACACGACGTCTTCCGAGTGACTCCGCCCTCCGCATCGCCGACAGCCGCGTCGCTCGCCCGTCGGAGGCGTTCATCCCAGGCAACAGGCACGGGCCTAGGGTGCCACTCTTTCCCTCACTCTCGGTGCTTAGCCTGAGCGACAACCCTGGTCTGGGTACCGGGGGACTGATTCAGCTTCTGCGCAACCTGCTCGCCGTGCACTACGAGCCGAATATCATCGCTTTGGTGGACCTCTCACGCTGTGGCGTGAGCAAGGCGGCAGCCCGGCTTTTCCGGGAGTACTTTGATCAGCTGCCGAGAGCCATGGAGATGGGCTGCTACCCGGTGGTACCGCGCCGGTTTGTGCTTTCAGGCAATCCACACGGCATCTCCGACCCGCATAAGATATACTCTCCAGAGGACACGGGTGTGCAGCTGGTGTTGTAGGGCGGTGTAACCGTGTCGTTGGATAGAAATAGTAACGACCTCTTTTGTTTTGTGATCACGGCGTGACTGACACGCGTACCTGCAAGCGGTCTGTCGTGTTCTCTCGTGTATGGAGTGTCCGTGTTTGGACCCCATCTGCTTTATGACTGCAATAGCGTAGGGCAGTATTTGTTTCCTCCTTGTTTTCTACAATAGCGATGCACGTTGTTTTATTTTTCTGTGAATGCGTACGTGAAGCACAGTCTACACATGAGCTCTATCTGTGGTGATGGCGAACGTGCTTTCTGGCCTTCCTGCTCGTCGGCACTGACGTTTACGCCGTGAGTTATGGCGGGGGGTGAGCATGTGTGTTCGCATCGGCCCGTGTATGTTCCCCTCCCTCTTTGCAATCAGCCTCTCTGTGTGTCCTTCCGTCCCCCCTCCCCAAAGTGTTCTCTTCCGCCAAATGGCGGCTTTCCCGTCTATCGTGCTTCTCTGCAGCAACTTCTACTCCCTCGCACGTTGATGGCTCATCTTGGCCTTTGTCATTTTCTCTCTCTCTCTCTCTATATATATATATATATATTTCCACCTGCATAGAAATTCAAACGTTCGACTTGGGTCAGCTTTGTGCGGTCTTCGTTCTTCTTTCTTTTTCTTTCCGTGTGGTGCTCCTGCGTTTGTGGCCCGTCCTCTACGACGGTGCTCGTGTAACTTGAGCATTTTTAGAGAAACGCTCCCTCTCTTCAGCTTTTCCCTCTTTACTCAGCCTCGATGGACCTTTATGTATATTTATCTAGGTTGGATCTTGCCGTCAGCTCTTGTTTCTTTCCTCCACTTCCTCTGTTTCCGTTCGTCGCTGTTAACGAGTTGGTGGGAGCGGTCTAGGAGAGAAGCGGACATGGGTGTTCATGGCAGCGCTTGCTTAATAAATATGTATATATATAGCCTGCCCAGTAAGGCACAGCGATCGAGCAGTACACGGTGGTGTGCGACGTGCAAGAAAAGAAAAAGGAGGGGAAAATGACGACTGGTGGTGCACCAAGAAGGACGCGTATGATTTGCTGAGAGGGATTCTCCAAAAGAAAAAAAGAGTGTGAAGCTACTACCCACTTTTAGGGCTTGCTGTTTTGGTTATGTGACACCTACTGTGTAGTCTATGAGAGAGAGAGAGACGTTGGGTATTCAACTGCTGAAAGCGCAGCGGCAGGAAGCGGTGTACCGCAGCAGCGTTTCTTCTTAACCGTCAGCGGTCTTCCGTTTTTGGCAGGTGGCATAATGCACGACTGCTGGGTCACTCAAGAGCTCGCATCCTTTTTGCTCATCTACACTCCTTCCGCTTCTTTTTACTATTGTCCATGGCCGTCGAACCTGTGCTGCGTTTGTCCCTTAAGAAGTAGCCCCCGGGAATAGCATAGCCTAGTTCTCTTCTTCCATTTCGTGTGCCTGCTGGTGACATTTGCTTTTTGTAAAGAACAGTAGCTCTCTAAAGTTTTTTTTTTCTCTTCGTTGAAATATATATATACCCCCACTTAGCTCAACGGGTACAAGAAGCAGCAGAATGCTCCGCTGCTCACGTGTCATGCGAGGCGGCTTCTCGCAGGAGGCGTTCCACCGCATGACCAAATACATCACATCCCGCAACCCGAACGAGAAGTACCTGCGCACCGGCCACATTGTGCTTGAAACGCTCAAGCGCTACCACGCGTACGTGCTAGCGGTGTGTTTGATCAGCGCCTTCACCGTGTACGATCACCGGACACACCCCGAGAAGATGCCCGGCGCTACACACGATGGCCGTTCCCTGGTGTTGTAGGCACGGAGAGCCTCACGGCAACGATGCACAACGCGTTCTCTGCCTTTCCACATCGCCCGCCTCCGGTGCGGACTGCTGCTTTTTGTCCCTTTCTTCTAAAGGACTACCTTTAAACATAAACGCTGCGATGATGTGCCTTTGAAAAAAAGACGGAAATTTTTGTTCCCCCGTAAAGGAAGAAGAAGAAAGTCCTCCTCTTCCTTCGGTCTTTTCCCTCTCTTCTGTTCTTTACATACCTGCCGAATTGAAACACAACAAAATTGGAATAAGAAAGGAGGAACATTCTTTTAAGGAAAAGGAGGAGCGGCACAAGCACCCGACTGATAATGGTGGATCTGCTGGGAAACGTGTGGGGCCATTACCGACACATTATGTTTCCGACCCTCTGCAGCTCGCCTCTTCTTCTTTTTTCTTTCTGGTATTGTTCTTCTTTAGCGTGCCGGCCGATGTCGCCGATGAATTAAAATCTCCTGCGGATGGTGCAGCCACACGCTCCCCGCTGACTCTCGCTCCCTCGCTCGCTCTCTCCCTCCTCCTCGCCTTCGTTTCTTCTTCGTCGTCGTTTGCTGCGACGTTCTCAGCAGCGGAAACGATTAAACGGAAAGAAACCACTTCGTATTCGCCCTTAAATAAGAGGAAAAATATATATCGCTACGGGGACGTCGTACGCACTACCACTGGCAGGTATGAGAACCAATTTCAAGGCAGCAAAAGGCGCCCCTGCGCCGCCGCCGCCGCCACGCAAACGAGAACGCACCGACAAGAAGTTCTCCCGCCACAACGCCGCACGTGCTGGGCCGTCTACTCAAAATGCGGTCGAGCTGACACGCGTGCAGCAGCTCGAGGCGAAGGCGGCCCGTGACACCGTGCTTGCCACGACCCTGAAAGCCTCCCCCCTCATCGCGAAGAAGTTCGTTGAGGCCATTTCGTTAGACGTCGATGTCGACGCTGCGCGGCAGCTGCTGCTCTCCAGCAAAGCGCTCACGGCGTTGCCGTCCTCCATTGGCGTTCTGTGCCAGCAGCTGCGCAAGCTGGACGTGGCGGGCAACGATCTGACCGACCTCTCCCCCCTCGCCTCTCTCCAGTACCTGTCGAACCTCAACGTCTCCCGCAACCCACGGCTTGCCTCGCTGAAAGGGTTGTCGGGAACGTGCCTGTCCGTGCTGAGCATCTCCTACTGCGCGGTGGAGTCGCTCGTGGGACTCGAGCACACCGCCCTCTCCCTTCGCACCTTCATCGCTAACGACAACCGTCTGCAGTTTCAGTCCCCGATCTTTCGCAGCGAGTCCGTCGTGCCTCACCAAAGGGATGAGGAGGAGGGGAGCATGACAGACATGGATGCTGCTGCCCCGCACCTCCCTGCGTCGCTGAGGACAGGCGTGGAAACGAACGCCGTTGCGATGCGCAACTACGCGATCTTCGCCACCTTTCAGCAGTGTGAGACGGTGGTGCTGTCCCGCAACACGCAGCTGGTGCAGAGCTTCCCTGCCTGGAGTGCGGAAGAGCTGGCGGTTCAGTGCGGCGACCGGCCGAAGCGCCCGGCTCACGACTCGGGGAAAGAGTCTGGAAACGACTCGTCGGCGGAGGAGAGCGACGCACGCAGAGCAACCCACCGCGGTGATGGTGGTCCTCGAGAAGCTGAGCCGGAGGCGGACGCGCAGACCCACAAGCTGCTGAAGCACGCCGTTGCCCTCGCTCACCCCCTCTCCGTCTTTGAGCGCCTCCCGCGACTGAAGAAGCTGTCGTTGAGTGGGTGTGCGCTGCACTCCCTGCCCTCGCGCTGGTTCCTGCCAATGGTGACGGAGCTGCGCTTAGCGCAGAACCACCTCGCCTCGCTGCAGCCGGACGGCGTCATCCTGCGCTCGCTGCATATTCTCGACATCAGCAACAACCTTTTCATCTCCGTCATCACGCTGCGTCGCTGCCGTTTCCTGGAACAGCTGAGCTTGCGGGGCAACCCTCTCGTTGAGGAAGGCGCCACCCACAAGGAAACAATGGGGCGTGCTTCCATCCACAGCAACAGCAACGACAAGGCGGCCACAGAGGAGGGGAAGGATGGGGATCCGACGGCGCCGAGTGACGTCGCCATTCCACTACACGTGCAGCGGTCTGTGGCGCGTCTTTTCCCAAGTTTGAAGCTACTTGACCATCAACCGGTGCTGTCGGCCGCGGAGATGCAGGCGGCGACCGAGCGAGAACGTGATGTCGCGGCCGCTGCTGCCGCAGCACCGTCGCAGCAGCAGGTCCATGACGCGAAGCGCACGGGTGGCGGCGCTGACGGCGGAGGCGAACCACGGGAGACGTCGACGAGAGAAAAGACGGTGGGTGGCAGAGGTGCGAAAAGCGGGGCTTCTTTGTCAGCCCGCGCCCCGGCTTGCAAAGCTGCTCGCGTTGACCCGGCCGTCATTGCGGCGGAGGCGGCGGAGAAGGACGTCGTGGTTGAGGCTCCGTCTTCCGTCCTCAAGACGGCACACGCGCCGATTATCCGTCGCGAACGTACACTGCTTAAGCCCGGTACCTCGCTGGCGGGCCAAGGCGGCGGCAGCAGCAATGTGAGTGCGACGCGCGGGGACGCACGGAAGAAGGAAACCAGCACTGGAGGGGCCAACTCGGCTGCACCGACGGTGCTCGGGCAAGCTGCCGTGGACAAGCTGCTGGAGCAAAGCCGCAAGACTAACGCGTGGTAGACGAACGCCTGTTTGTATTATTCAGAACATGGGACGCACGCTCTTGAATTTCTGTTCTCGTTTGTTTGTTTGTTCTAAGATGTAACGTTTAAGGGTCTGCCTCCATCGGTTGGCTGCTAAGCTGAGATGGCCAATAATGCTGAAACGGGAGGTCCACCTCTCGGTGTTGCGTCGACACCAACCGACGCGATGCGGCAGCTGCTTATGTTTTTACATTTGCGATCCCCCCCCCTCCCGCCACACACACACGCACGAAACAAAGCAAAAGCGTGCCTTGTTGGTGGGATGTCTTTTCTTGCTGGCAAGAGGGATTCGTGGCGTTGTCGACCCCAGTGAGGTACAGACTTGGCCGTACACTGTGCCACTACGAGGCAACAAAGCTGCAGCGCCATGAGCTGAGGGCGGTCATCCTCGGCTGGGAATCACTACGTGCGCAATCCCTTTCTCCTTCTTATACATGTATTATTATTATTATTAGTATGTTCGTTGTCGTTGTACTTCTGCACGCAACGCAACCTCATACTCTCCTCCGTTCACGGTAGCCGCTTTGCATTCGAAGCGAGTAAAACAAAAGAAACTGCCCCTTTGTCGATGTTTGAAGAGGCCTTGCAGAAGGCGCCACGAGAGGAGCTCGTAGAGCACATCCGGCTGCAAAGAGAGTTGATACAGCGACTGCACCGACGCGTCATTGAACTGGAGGCGGCACTGGAGCGTGCCTGCGTCACCTCCAAGAACACAAGAGAAGACGTGGACGGACCCTCTTCCAATTCTCCGGTCAGGGACGTAACGACTGCTGTTATTTTGAAAGAGCCACGACAGGCGCAAGCTGCCTCGAAGAACGGCAGAACATCGGCCGCCATCACGGCACCCGCCGCTCCTGGCTCACCACGAGCGCGGAAGCCCGCCTGGTCGTCGTCGACGTCGTTGTCCAAGTCGCGCAGCTCTTCGGCTTCTCCATTGCCTACAGAAAAGCGCATCGTCTCCGCAACCTCCAAAGGTTCTGCCAATCCCCACGCAGAACACACGTCAACGGCAGCAGCACCCGAGCCACGCCGAGAGCCTCCAACTCCACACGTCGAAAGGCATCTCGATGCGGTGGCGCCGAGGCAGCAGCATCAACAGCAGCCGAGCATGGCTGTCGTGCCCGCCCCGCCAATGGGCGCCGCAGCTTCGACCAACGCGCTGATGAAATCGTTGTCCTCCTCATCGACGTTGTCATCGCCCTCTGCAGACCACCCCACCGTGTTGGAAGGTATAAAAGAAATCAATTACGTCCTCGCCGCCCACCGCGCGGGTCGACCTGCGTTGCCGCTCCCCGTCGTGGAAGAGTTGGAGGAGATACGCGGCCGCCTTTTGCAAGGGTTTAAGCAAATCTACTTCGGCGGGGGCGTAGCGGCGGAAAGAGACGGTGCACATGAGGAATCGGCTAATTGGATGGGAGACAAGCCGCCGCTGGACGACGCCGCGCACGCCCGCCTGCGCGTCATGCGTGAGTCATACGGAAACTCACGTGGGAAAGTGGAAGCGGACCGGGTGTGTCCGCGCTGGGTGTCTCCTGACTCCTCCCGTGTGGTGTATGGTTCGTCGCCCTATCGAAGGTGGTAAGTGGCGGCTTCGGGGGGTTCGACAAGGTTGGCCCATGCACGATAGGCCGTTCGTGTGCGTTCCCATCCGCGTTGCACCAACGAGAACAACAATAATATCCCTGCGTGTGAAGCAAAAGTCGTGCGAGTGTGGCCGCTGTCGCGTATCGTCCGTTAGACCGGTGTATACATCTACTTTTAGACATGTCTGTACAGTACATCACACAACCTAACCAACAAATCAACGACCAGGCAGACATGGTTTCGTTCTCCAAGTTGAAGGATGGGATTCACTAACGCGCTCTATGTCGCCTCGGTGTCCCATCACGTGTCAACAGATCTGGCTTCACAACTGGATGAATCACGTGCACGGCTCTCATCTCATCGGTGACATCAGGCGAAACGAATACGTATATATTTGTATTCACTGTACGAGCCTATCCTCGCCTCTTTCTCCTACAACTCTTTTTCGTCTCTGTTGAGCAAAACGTGCGTGCGGCGGCAGGTTATTTGGCTCCGTCTGTGTCGCCGTTTCTCTCCTGTCGGTCTCGCAGCTCCCCGCTATTGTGCCGTCATGCAGTTTGTGTTTGTGGTGAAGGGTCAAGGGGCGAGCGTGCCGCAGACCTTGGTGACGGACCGCCTCCTCGTCGTGGCCACCCGCGAGACGGTGCACCGCAAGCGATACGGCCGCGAGCGCGAGAAGAAGAAGTATGCCGGCGCCGGGTTGACGGCCGCCGGCGCACCGCTGCAGATCTCCGGCACCCGTCTGCGCGACCTCTGCTGGAGCGCGTCGCCGCTGTCGGCCACTCTCTCCATCGAAAGGGACGATCTGACCTTCCACTGTGCGATGGTGCAGACGCCGTACGCCCAGCGCAGCGCGGATGCCGAGCTCGACACGGTGCCGCTGCGCGTCATCGCCGCGGACGAGCTCGAGCACGTCTACTTCAACCTGCACGAAGATTTGTTGCTGGACGGCCGGCTAGTGGTGTTTACGCACGCCGATAATCTGCTGCACGTCGGTATCGATGCGGATGCGTGGGCGGAGGCGCAGGCTGCGGCAGCGGGTGCGGCGGGGAGCTCCGAAGCGGGACCCACTACGACCACTGCCACGCCGATGACGGCCGCCAGCGGCGGGGGAGCGGCGGGGAGCAGCGGTGGCGCGAACACCAGCAACAACACGCTTTCTGATGAGGCGGCCGCGGCGGCCAATTCGCAGAAGCGGCAGCGCCGCAGCGGACCGGTGTGGGGCGAGGACGAAGGCCGCCCCACGGCGCGCCGTCTCGACTCACCGCACACCCCACACTCGCTCCTCAAGAAGGAGCAGGTGCTCGCCGTCGTGCCAGCAGCGGTCAGCAGCGAGGATATTAAAGCGCTGAATGAGCTGTGTGATCGAGGCCAGATGGCGTGTCTGGACGCCAGCCTGGCCGATTTCTTCTGTTGCCAGTGTGGCCATCTTCCGCTGTTGACGCTGACCATGTCGTGCTGCGGTGCCGTCTTGTGTGAGCGCTGTGCGCCGACCCCACCCACGGTCGAGGGCGTCTCTGCGGCGGACCGTGCGTGTCCGGTGTGCGGGGAGGAGCCGCTGGACCCCCCGCTGAGCCACCCGAGCCGGGATGTGAAGGTGGCGAAGCTGGTGAAGGAGCTGAAGGTGCTGTACCACCCGCAGCTGCAGGCGCTGCAGGCGCCGAAGGAGTCGCAGCCGCCCTCCACGGCGGTCTCCACGCCGTCGACGCCGCCGTTCGTACTACCAAGCACGCCCGTCTTGGGACCGCGCTGAGCAGCGACAGCGAAGGAAGAGAAGGCGAGGAGGACAGCAACGCCGCAGCGGCCGCTTTTTGTCTTTTTCTTTCGGAGAGTTGGTTGCGTGAAGTGGAGGAGCGCAACGACGTCTGTAAGCGCCGGGCAGACGCCCCTTTTGCACTGCGCGACGCGAAAGTCGCTGCTGAAACGGTGAGGCGGCTGTGGTGGCGACGGTGTCTTCTCGTGTCCGTACGTGAGCTGCGGATGCAACCGATGCGCGCCACGCAGCACACACACATACATCCTCGCATGAACGCCCATCACGCAAGTACCAACAGACCGGAGGGAGATGGAGGTTCTCAGCGCACTTTCTTTTCTCTTTTGATCGCTAAGACTAACCGAGGTACAAAGAAAGAATACATGAGAGGACAAGCCGTACTCGAACGTGGAGAATGGCAACGTTGTATCTCGCCCATTTCCGTTGTGTTGAAGCACTTGAGTGAGACGGCCTGCATCGGGCCAGGCGACCTCATAGCGCCATTGACGGACAACGCAGCCGCTCCCCCATATCTTTCTGCTTCCTCCCACGTTCTTTTGTTTCGCGCTCAAAACACGTGCAACAACGATATTTGTCATCGTGCTGATGCAGATTCAGCCGCTGCACGCACCATTCGCAGCGGATGCGGCGCAATGCTCACGGATGGCGATGCAACAACTGAGGTCGCGCTTCCGCAGGCGTGGCGCACCTTCGAACACCTCAAGGCTCAACTAACCGGTCCAAGCTACGCACGGCAAGGCGCACCTACCGAGCTGTTGGACGGTGCTTCACAAGCCCCTAGCGCTACGTTGGTCCTCTACTCTTTCTTCTCTCGTCACTCAGCGAAGAGGCGGAGGGGCGATGCAGTGGCAAGCGCACGAGAAGAGATCCCCGCTGCGAATGAGTACACACGACGAAGGACACAACGGCGAGCAACGGAGGGGGCAGTGTCGGCTGGCTGCACACCTGCGCTGCGTCGGGCAGTCCACAAGGCTCTAGAGATCGCACGGACATCCATGGGCAGCGTCGAGACGGATGTGAACAGCGGTGCTGTGCTTGTTCTTCATGTGCAATTCAAGCCAATGAAAGCAGCACGCTCCGCTGTCAAGCGCCGTAACAAGCGTCCGTCCCCCGCGTGGTACATAAGCGGTCTTTGCGTTAGCGAGTGCATACCACGCGTCTATCGCGCCGCAACAAGTGCAACGCCGCTCTACCCGTCAGCGGCGGAGGTTCCGCACGAGCAGGGAAGCGGTGCAGCTGCCGCGTCTTCGCGAACGAACGCGGGCTGCGAGCAAGCCACGCACATTGGCGATGTGTGGTGTTCGGGGACGACCTTTTGTGGCATCAAGCTCTTCTGGGTGTCGGCAGAGTCGCGCGGCTGTGGCCTGGCTTACGCGCTGATCGAGGCGGCCCGTCGGTCGGTCTGCTACGGCTACGAGGTGCCAGCGGCGCACGTCGCGTTTAGTGAACCAACATGGCTGGGCAGTCGATTTGCTGCGCGTTACCACCAACGGGATGACTTCCTTGTGTATTAGCGCCCCTGCGGAGAAGGAAAAGAAAAGGTAGAAGAGAAGAGAAATACATGCGCCGCACCCTTGAAGAGGGCGAGAGGGCGCTCACTAACCAATGCAGTACGTCTGGCACCTATGACAGGACGGAGGCAGCGTTGGGCCGCACCTCTACGGCGTCACCGCGTCGACCTCACATCTGCGTGGAACCGCACGGTCTGCTTTCATTACTGTCACTTACAAGTTCACAACACGATGGGGCACCTACCTCACACGGCTTCGAGCACAACTGGCGGGGCAGCCTCAAGCATTTCCGTTGCATTTTCACGGGCGCTTCCACATGTCTGCGCTTCGCACGATCTCTCCTCCTCTCTCACCGGTATTCCCTTCCCGTCTTCTTCCTTCTCCCGGACTGATGTGATTTGTTGCGGTGCTGATGGAGTCCGCGTGTCTTTAAATGGACACCCCTCCGTCGCACGACGTTCCGGCGGTGCGGCCCGCGGAGTGCCGACGCCCAACGACCGACCGACACACACGCCGTGATGATAAACCAAAGCAGGGAATCTCTTGTCGAGCGCGGCGCACGCGCTGCGTGGTGACATGACACACTTTGCGTTATCCAATCCATTCATACAACATCTGACGTGTGTCGGTCGGTGCGTTCTGTTGTGCTGTGACGCAGATGCCGATGCCGCTGCCCCGCGCCGCTTCTGATTCCCAAACCAAAAGTATCTGATGTAATGAGTCCGAGCCGCGCACGCCGTGGCCGCGAGTCGACAACACTTCAACTCTGCAATGAAGCGCCGCGCTGCGTGGCTGCATCTGTGTCTGTGCTGGTGTTTGTTGTTGTTGTTGTGGTGGTGGTGGTGGTGGTGGTGTGCTGACGACTGCGAGCTGCGTCGGCTGCCTCGGCCGCCGCGACGACGTCCCCATGAAGATTGTGGCATCTCTCCACGGACCCGCATTCGCACTGCGGTGAGTGACATCATTGTTGCCGTCGAACCTAATACCAAGGCAGAGGGACTGTGCGTGTATGTGTGTGGGTGTGTGTGCGTGCGGTGTGTGCTGCGCGGCTGCGTGATGACTCAGGTTTACGACGAACAACTCGTCTGACTCTTCCTCGTGACGACCCTTACACCTTTTGCTTCCTCACTGATGGCCCGCCCCCGCTGCGCTGCGCTTTGCTGTGATGCGCTGTGGACGCGTGCCGGTGCGTACGCGCGCCTTTCCCCGAGTCTGCCCGTCTGCCCCCCTGACTGACTGCGTCGCCGACGCGCGGATGATTCAATACACGGATGAACTTGTCCTCCGCAGAGTGCCGCTGGCACGAGGCTGTAGAACGACATCCTAATGACCGCGTTGTGCGACGCACGCCGGCGGTGCGGCCCGCGGAGTGCCGACGCCCAACGACCGGCCAGACACACACGCCGTGATGATAAACCAAAGCAGGGAATCTCTTGTCGAGCGCGGCGCACGCGCTGCGTGGTGACATGACACACTTTGCGTTATCCAATCCATTCATACAACATCTGACGTGTGTCGGTCGGTGCGTTCTGTTGTGCTGTGACGCAGATGCCGATGCCGCTGCCCCGCGCCGCTTCTGATTCCCAAACCAAAAGTATCTGATGTAATGAGTCCGAGCCGCGCACGCCGTGGCCGCGAGTCGACAACACTTCAACTCTGCAATGAAGCGCCGCGCTGCGTGGCTGCATCTGTGTCTGTGCTGGTGTTTGTTGTTGTTGTTGTGGTGGTGGTGGTGGTGGTGGTGTGCTGACGACTGCGAGCTGCGTCGGCTGCCTCGGCCGCCGCGACGACGTCCCCATGAAGATTGTGGCATCTCTCCACGGACCCGCATTCGCACTGCGGTGAGTGACATCATTGTTGCCGTCGAACCTAATACCAAGGCAGAGGGACTGTGCGTGTATGTGTGTGGGTGTGTGTGCGTGCGGTGTGTGCTGCGCGGCTGCGTGATGACTCAGGTTTACGACGAACAACTCGTCTGACTCTTCCTCGTGACGACCCTTACACCTTTTGCTTCCTCACTGATGGCCCGCCCCCGCTGCGCTGCGCTTTGCTGTGATGCGCTGTGGACGCGTGCCGGTGCGTACGCGCGCCTTTCCCCGAGTCTGCCCGTCTGCCCCCCTGACTGACTGCGTCGCCGACGCGCGGATGATTCAATACACGGATGAACTTGTCCTCCGCAGAGTGCCGCTGGCACGAGGCTGTAGAACGACATCCTAATGACCGCGTTGTGCGACGCACGCCGGCGGTGCGGCCCGCGGAGTGCCGACGCCCAACGACCGGCCAGACACACACGCCGTGATGATAAACCAAAGCAGGGAATCTCTTGTCGAGCGCGGCGCACGCGCTGCGTGGTGACATGACACACTTTGCGTTATCCAATCCATTCATACAACATCTGACGTGTGTCGGTCGGTGCGTTCTGTTGTGCTGTGACGCAGATGCCGATGCCGCTGCCCCGCGCCGCTTCTGATTCCCAAACCAAAAGTATCTGATGTAATGAGTCCGAGCCGCGCACGCCGTGGCCGCGAGTCGACAACACTTCAACTCTGCAATGAAGCGCCGCGCTGCGTGGCTGCATCTGTGTCTGTGCTGGTGTTTGTTGTTGTTGTTGTGGTGGTGGTGGTGGTGGTGGTGTGCTGACGACTGCGAGCTGCGTCGGCTGCCTCGGCCGCCGCGACGACGTCCCCATGAAGATTGTGGCATCTCTCCACGGACCCGCATTCGCACTGCGGTGAGTGACATCATTGTTGCCGTCGAACCTAATACCAAGGCAGAGGGACTGTGCGTGTATGTGTGTGGGTGTGTGTGCGTGCGGTGTGTGCTGCGCGGCTGCGTGATGACTCAGGTTTACGACGAACAACTCGTCTGACTCTTCCTCGTGACGACCCTTACACCTTTTGCTTCCTCACTGATGGCCCGCCCCCGCTGCGCTGCGCTTTGCTGTGATGCGCTGTGGACGCGTGCCGGTGCGTACGCGCGCCTTTCCCCGAGTCTGCCCGTCTGCCCCCCTGACTGACTGCGTCGCCGACGCGCGGATGATTCAATACACGGATGAACTTGTCCTCCGCAGAGTGCCGCTGGCACGAGGCTGTAGAACGACATCCTAATGACCGCGTTGTGCGACGCACGCCGGCGGTGCGGCCCGCGGAGTGCCGACGCCCAACGACCGGCCAGACACACACGCCGTGATGATAAACCAAAGCAGGGAATCTCTTGTCGAGCGCGGCGCACGCGCTGCGTGGTGACATGACACACTTTGCGTTATCCAATCCATTCATACAACATCTGACGTGTGTCGGTCGGTGCGTTCTGTTGTGCTGTGACGCAGATGCCGATGCCGCTGCCCCGCGCCGCTTCTGATTCCCAAACCAAAAGTATCTGATGTAATGAGTCCGAGCCGCGCACGCCGTGGCCGCGAGTCGACAACACTTCAACTCTGCAATGAAGCGCCGCGCTGCGTGGCTGCATCTGTGTCTGTGCTGGTGTTTGTTGTTGTTGTTGTGGTGGTGGTGGTGGTGGTGGTGTGCTGACGACTGCGAGCTGCGTCGGCTGCCTCGGCCGCCGCGACGACGTCCCCATGAAGATTGTGGCATCTCTCCACGGACCCGCATTCGCACTGCGGTGAGTGACATCATTGTTGCCGTCGAACCTAATACCAAGGCAGAGGGACTGTGCGTGTATGTGTGTGGGTGTGTGTGCGTGCGGTGTGTGCTGCGCGGCTGCGTGATGACTCAGGTTTACGACGAACAACTCGTCTGACTCTTCCTCGTGACGACCCTTACACCTTTTGCTTCCTCACTGATGGCCCGCCCCCGCTGCGCTGCGCTTTGCTCTTGTCGTTCTGTAGCACCTCGTGGTACTGTCCCGCCTTTTTCTTTCTTTCAGGAACTGTGTTGGTTTTTGCGCCGCTGCGTGTGGCGGGAAGTAAAACAGCAAAGATCAAAAATGGAGGTACCAAAACTGTTCTGAAGTCGATGTGCACGTCAACGATGCGTCGTCTCTCCCTCGCTGACGCGCACGTAACGCCGTCCAAGCCCGTGTTTCGTGGAAGTTGGAGGGGGGGTGGTGGTGGCGGGGTGACGGACCCGTCTTCCAACAGCGTGCTGTACACGTGAGTGTAAGTCGCCGTTGCGAGCCACTTCTCCTGCTTCACCGTTCCACCGCCTGTGTTTTCTTCCTTGCATGTGTTTCTTCACCTCCGTCCCTACCCCCTGTTGTTGTGTCTTCTTTCATTTATTATTCGGCGCCTCTGCTCTTTTAAGCCAAGCATCTCTCGTACATCTTCTACGTGAAAAGCTGAGTAATCGTTATTGTTTTTCTAATCTTTTGTCTTTGTTGCCTACTAATTATCTCTTCTGTTTGCACACACGCACACAGGAGCCCCGCGACCGTTGCACGTTTGACGATACAAGCAGCGCAACTTCGGTGATCGTGTACACCAATCTTCTACGTATCTCTCCCATTTATACGTGTGCGTGCAAATACCAATCGCACGAAAGGAGAATAAGTGTCATCCTTTTGAAGTGTAACCGAAAGCGATGCCTGGTGATCTTGCCCTCGAGAAAGGTGACCCGTGGCGGTGGGTGGTGCTGGGCATGTTCTGCCTCTTCAGCTGCTCCAACGCAATCCAGTGGATCACCTACTCCTCCATCGCTGGCCCCGCACGCGTCTTCTTCAACCTCACCACGAATGAGCTGAACTTGCTGTCCTCCGTGTACATGATCGTGTTTGTTGTCGGCGCCTACTTCACCTGCACCACCTTCGAGCGGTGGGGCGTCCGCCTGGGTGTGTTGATCGGCTGCGGTCTGAATGCGCTAGGGTCTATTCTGAAGGTAGCGCCGGCTCTGATGAAGCCAACGTACTCCACGCTGATCTGGCCGCAGGCGCTGAACGCCATTGCCCAGCTCTTTGTGCTCTCCACGCCACCTCTCATCGCTGCCCAGTACTTCGCCCCGCATCAGCGCACCTTTGCAACGGCCGTCGCGTCCACTGCGAACAGCTTAGGCAACGCCATTGCCTTATTCGTGCCTCCGCTGATCGTCAAGAGCGGTACCAAGAACGAATTTATGTTGCTCTTCTGTCTTGAGATGGGCCTCTGTGTCTTGGTCACGGTTGGTGCCGTCTTCTTTCTGCGGTCGCCGAGCTACAAGGCGCCGAGTCGCGCGCTGTTGGGGAACTTGAGCTCTGCTCCGGGCAGCAGCCGGGCCAGCGAACGCACTGTGTCACGTCGCCCGTCCGGGCTGGGTCGCGGCCAGCGCGAGGAGGTCGAGGCGGAGCTCGATGAGCCGCTGAACGGGCTGGGGGGTGGCGGCTTCGTGGATGACATCTGGAGCCGCAGCCGCAGCAGCAACACCCGCAGTGACCATGGTGCGGAGAACACCGCGGCGACTCGTCCACCTACTCGTGAGGAGTCGAAGACGGCACCGAAGAACTGTGTGGTGTCTGTGGAAGCCACGCCGGCAGCTGCGGCGAGGTCCGATCTCCGACCTTGCCGCAACGGATCCGCGGCCGTTTTTGCTCGCCCGGACGGCGCCGCCAAGCCTGCTCTCGGCATCAGCCAAAGCGTCCAGGACGGTGTGGTGGAGCAAAGCGCCCCCTCCAACCGAGTTGGCCCGCAGCAGCCCCAGCAAACACAAGAAGAGGACTCTCTGGCAACTTGTCGGATTCCACGAGCACGTCGCCACTTTTCTCGAGGTGGGCCGCAACGTCGGTCTTCTCTTCCGTCGCCACAGCTTTGTATTTCTGCTCGGTGCCTTCAGCATCAGCATGGGCAGTGTCTGGACCTACGCGTCGGTGCTGACGCAGATTCTGGAGCCCTATGGGGTGTCGGCTGAGCTGTGTGGCATTATGGGTGCGGTGAACGTGGTGGTGGGCACCATCGTGGCCTACCTGGTGGGTATGTGGGTGGACCGCAGACGCCGGTACAAGTACCCCCTTCTCGGCTGCCTGATCGGCTCCGTGCTCTGCTGCGTAGGACTTATCGTGATCCTGCTGAAGGCGCCTGCGAACACCCCCACCATGGACGCCCTCTGCTCCGCCATTTACATTTTTGCCGGCGTCTTCCAGAACACCGCCATTCCGATTTGCTTCGAGTTCGCCATGGAGATTTCGTACCCGCTTACGGAGTCGGTGCCCGGTGCACTGCTCATGGCTGGGGCCAATCTGTGTTCGTTGGTGATGCTGTCTGTGTCCTCCGCGATGCTGGGCAACGGCGTGGTATCGAAGTCGTCGTGCGTAAATGTGCTGATTCTAATCACGTGCGTGTGCTTTGTCGGTGCGCTGCTGGCCGTCTTTCCACACGAGAAGCTGTACCGTCGTGATGCGGAGCGGGAGGCCCAAGCACGCCGGGCGGCCGAGGTAGCGGTGAATGAAGCGTTGAACATGTCGACGGACCGCTCGGTCATTTGAAGCGTTGTCCCGTTGGCTGCTGCGCCGGTGGTGAATGGAAAGCGCGTCTCTTATAGAGGTCTGGAGTGGTCGAGGAGCCCACGCCGCTGCTCATGCCTCGCAGTTTGTTTATCGGGGGGGGGGGGGGGTAGGGGAACTGCTTTTGGCTGGGGCGGCGGTACTGTGCAGACGGGGACTTTCTTGACGTTGCTGCTTGATGGATGTCAACTGCGCTGTGGTACCCCGTGAGATGGCATCAGCGGCGCAGCTCGTGAGCTGCCTCTCGAAGGCGGTGCAGCGAGACTTCCCGGCGCCATTCGTGAGGAGGGGGCTGTCGTGGTTGACGAGACGCTAGCCTTTTGCGGTGCCATTTTTTTTTCTTTTTTGCCTTTGTAGCTGCTGTGCTGTTGTGTTTTCTTCTTTCTTTCTTTCATTCTTGGAGATAATTATTGATTCGGTGTATGTTCCCCCTAGTTTTTGTTTATCTGCTTTGTTTTCAGTGACCGCGCAAGTGACCGAAAAAAGGTTCTTGTCTATTCCTCTATCCTCCCAAGAGGTGCTGCTGCCTAACATGTGCTCCGTGTCGGGCGACGAGGAGGGAGGAGAAGATGCGATGTCGCTGCCAGCGCTGGCCAATTTGATGGGCCTGTCGCCGTTGTGAACGAACAACGGTTCTTTGTGTAGGAGTTTACATTCCATAATTGTTGCTACTTCTAATGCTTCTATGCTTCTTTTTCTGGATCTAACTGTTTTCAGCTATGTTGACAGAAGAATCGTACAACGTCCTGGTTGGCGTAAGCTTCCTCGTTACGCCCTGCAGTTGTCTCCATAAGTAATCCTCGCGTTTTCTTTCACTCTTCACGGCGTAAGCAAGAGCCACATCGTTTCCTGTTATTACAACTTACCACTGTTCAAGAAGTTGTGTTTTATGTATGTATGGGTGTGTGTGGTTCTGCCGTTCTTATAGCATCTCCTTTGCCTGCAAAAGATATTGCGCGTTTACGGTGGCTTTTCAGTACGCGCGTGATGCGTGCTTTTGGTGCCTTCGTTAGCACCTCAACTCAGTGTGATCATCCGCTTCGCAGCAGACGCGTTTCCTTTCGCTTTGTTCTCTCTTTTTATTCTTAATATGTTTTTTAGTGTTATTGCCCCGGGGACGTCGGCGCTTTTTCCTGGCACACGGTTCGAGGCGTGTGTGCGTGTGTATTATCTGTTATTCACATAAGCGAAGCAGCCCACCCTTTAAAATAAATAAATAAATATATATATGAATTACTTCTCGTTGAGTCTACTTCATGCAGGTCTCTACGCCTGGCTTGTATACGAGTATGGAAGAAAGCGAACAGGGAAGACGGCCGTTTCGCTGTCGGTGGACGAAGCAGACCTGTGTGACCGACGCTCATGGAAATCAGCTCTTTCCGTTGTTGGCTGCGGCGATGAGCACCGGCAGACTGGCCAAGGAGAAACCAAAAGGAAGAACCAGCAGCTCCGTCGTCTAAGTCAAGTTGTTTTGTCCGTCGACAGCTTTGAGACGTCCGCTACCTACGTCTGCAACTCGCACCGTTGCTGCTCAGGCTGTTGGTGTGCTAGGCAAGGCCGCTGAGGAGGCATCAACGGTTGTCACTCGCACCTTTCTGTGTCATATCACGGTGGGAACGCCGTTAGAAGAGGCGAAAACAGCGGCAGCACCGCCTCCTCTCTCACCTCGAACACTCATTGCACTCTTTCCTTCTCTTCCCCTCGCCGCAGTCAGACGAACACACCTGTCGCGGAGTAACAGAAGACGATCTTTTTTCTTTTGACGCCTCCAAGAAAACGCGTTTTATATAAAGCAAGGCGAGAAAAGGCAAACGACGTTTTCGCCGTGGAGGTGAAAGGGCCTCCCCCTCTCCCCTCCCCCTCACACACACACCTCGCCCACCTCGCCATCTCTTTCTCTTGTCTTCTCAAGCCGCTTTCACACTCTGTGCTGTTCTGCTTCTGTTTTCATTGTATTTTTAACTGCTGCACCTTGTAAATGACGTTTTTGGCTACTTGTAGACCCTTCTTTTTTTCTAGGCTTCCATGCATGGTTCCACAATTCAAACCGTGTGCGCCGCACCGCCATGCAGAGCCGTGTGGCTTCTCTTGCTGGCCATCACCGTGGGTGCAACCGCTTTTACGGGGAACGCACAAGACGGTGATACTTGTTCAACGGCTCGCACGCGTCGTCTCTCTCCCTCAGCTCTTAGGGGCACGGTGCAAAAGGGGCCGCCGGCGGCAGCAGTAGCAGCACCAGGGATCGCCAACGTCACGTCGGCCCCCACGACACATTTGCTGGCTTGGTGGGTCGCCGTCTTGTTGGTCGTTGGCATATTAGGCCTCGTGGCGGCGTGTGTGCTACCTATTTATGACTTCTGTAAAGGCCGCAGTCGGCACGTGGAGGAGCTCGCCCGCAAAGCGGAGATCAACATGTCAATGCAGGAGATGACGGCACGCCTCTACCGCACTCGTCAGCAGCAGTACGAAAGGGACTTCGGCGTCGCTGCGATGCAGCTGCAGGCCATCGAGGTGCAGGCGGGTGAGGACGGACGACGCGGGTCGAGGGAGGAACGGAAGACACCGCTGCTGCCAGAAGGTGCCATGCATATTACACTGAGTCCGCTGCGTGGCAGCGCGGAGGTGGTCGCCGTGCGGCCTCGCAGGCAACCGAATGAGGCACCCTCCACCCAGCCGTTGCGCGGCCCGCGGGGTGGCGTAGGGGGCGAGGCCTCCGTGCCCGACAGCAGCGAGAGCGGCCTGACAAGGCGAACGCACCTTCTTCTCACGCGGCCCGATGAACCACATAGTGACGCAGCAGCGTTGGAGTGGTGCCTCTCTAATCACTCCATCGGATCCTCAAGCTCGTCGACTTCGTATGGGCGGTCCCACGCCCTGGTCTGCACCCTCGCTGCCCGCTCCGCCTCCGCGCGTACTCTCATGCCGACGCCGTCGTCGGGTCAGCTGACGCACGCGCCGTCGGTGCGTGCGTTTGCCGGCATGAATAAAGTAGAGGCGCTTCGGCGGGCGTTGGGCGGTCCGCAGCTGCACCCCGTGCCGTCAGCGCATGCCGTCGTGCCCTCCACCTCGCCGTGGCCGAAGCGGCAGTACGCCACCGTTTTCGTGTCCCCCGGTGCCTTCGGGGAACAAAAGGCGGTGTCGCAGGACCAACTCACCGACGTCATCGTGGAGGTGCGCTGCAGTACGGCGGGCGTAGTCGATGACGCCGATGACGACGCAGGGCACCGATGCAGTTCTGGCACTGTCGTGTTGCGTGGAGCGACGGCGGGCCTCGCCGACAGCGCCACCTCCTTTCCGCCTCCCCGCCCGCCACCCCTCAGCGGCGCCGCGGCGGAGCCGATGGAGCGATACACCTTCCTACAACGAGCGGACCACCCTACTGACAGGGAGGGCGCGAGCACCGACGTCGACAGCACGGATACCGAAATCTGCGATGCGATGGGTCGCACTTCCTCGAAGATGCAGCGCCTGCGGACGCCGGCGCTGGACCCTGCCGCTGCGGCAGCATCGACGACTACGACCACAACTGCAACACCGACCGTAGCGATGAAGGAGTCGGCAGAGCTGGGGGATGTCGCAGTGCCACGCATCCCAGGCGTGATGGCGGACAGCAATTTGTGTCCTCCGACCGCGCCCCGCGCCGTCTCGAAGAGCGAGGTGGGGGCGGAGGCGTATGCTGCGGAACAAGCAGAGGAGGAAGTGGAGGAAGAGACGGAGCCCTCTTCGAAGTGCTCTCGGTTTGTGGTAGCTCGCAACCGCCCCGGCAGCGTGTGTCATCGGGCGGCGGGCCGTCCCATGACAGTGGACAACACTGTGCATAGCCAAGGAAAAGCGGAAGAAGAGGAGGTGGACGGAGACCAATCGAACGGTAACAAATCGAGTGAGGTGGTGAGAGACGACGAGCAGCATTTTCTCTCACGGACTCGCACGGTAAAACCGCGTAGAGGGGACCCCACCATCCCTGCATCTTCGCCCGCGTGGTTACGCCAGCGCAGCGCCGCCCCGCTCAACAGGCCGACTGAGGACGACGAGTATTCTAATTTGATGGACTTCCAGTTTAAAAAAAAACTCTGATCGGGTTTTTAATTCTTAATTCTCGTCTTGACTTTCCGTTGTGCACGTTCATTTGTCTGTGTACTACTCCCAGCACCAAATAGATACCTTTGCTGTGTTTGTTTTGTCGTTGTCCCCCCCCCCTCCTCCTCCCTCCCCCGATCACATCCGCCAAAGTTGGACTTTTCTTTCAACGACTCAGCGCTTTCCTGTCGGAACGTTTGTGGCTCGTTTTGCACAACGCTTCGACTTTTCCTTTTTCTTCCTTCTCTTTCCTCACTGTTTGTTGCATTTCGTACGCTTTTTTTTCTTTGATACCTGCTGACGATGCATTCGTCTGATTCGGAAGCGAGAGTGGCAGCCGTTGTTGCGCAGGCAGTTTTTTCCACTCGCTGACGACGGTCTGCGTGCAGAATGTCGTGATGATGCCTTTCCCTCTCTGTTTTTTGTTTTTCTTCTGCAGTGCAGCGCGTACGATTCCCGTGCAAACTCCTGAGTCGAGGTTATTTCGTGATCACGGGTGTGATGAGCGGCGCAGTTTATCGCCCCTTTCACTCGACTGGAGTCTCGTCGTGACTAAACGAGTGTGTGTGTGTGTATGTGTGTTTCTTTCTGCTCTCTGTATATTATACCTTTCGCTCTTGTTTTGTTTCAGTTGCTATGTCACAACATTGCCGTCGTAAACAAACACAAATACGCATGGGATAACCGCTGATGGTGAATGGATCCCGTCTTTTTCCTCCCTCCCCGCTGGTGTCCATGGGGGATATGTACACTCGAGCTAATCGCCCTTTTTTCATCCTTTGAACTAATTTTCGTTCTCTTCCTTTACCCAATTTGGTCCTCCTTTGTTATGTGATGAACGTGATCGTGTGTGTGCGTGTGTGGCGGCAGTGCTCAGCTTTATTGATAGTTGCGAAGGACGTCACTTCGCGCGTTCGTGCCGATAGAGTTTGAACCCACTTCTTTCTTTTCCCCCGCAACAAATACCTCCCAATAATAATAATAATGGTGGTGATAGTGGCAGCGGTGACGACGCACAAGCTCGTGTGCTTTCCATTTTGCCTAATCATCGTTGTTTATCTGAGGAGAATAATGAATGAGATAGAAGTCTTCCCCCCCCCCCCTCCCTCTCTGCTTGAGGTTTTTGGGGGTTGGAAGAAGTTGAACATCGTACAAGTTGCATGGCGTGCCACGTTGTGGTGTTTGTCTTGGTTTTTTGTTTGCGTTTTCGATCCCACTCTAAAGCGAACCTTTCCCCCTCCCACACCTTCTCTCTTCCCGCTTTCCCTCTCCTTTCTCGTTTCACTTAACTTTTATCCTCTTGTGCTTCACTCAACGTGTTTTTTTTTTGTTTTGCGCTGCATTGGCCCGCACACACGCACATGCGAAACAAACAAACGACAACACTGCAGAAGGTGAAGGTGTAGAATCACGGCTTGTGCCTCTGACAAGAATTGCTTTAGCCCTCTTCTTTTATTTTCCCTCTTTCATTTACATTTTAAATTTATCATTTCGCGTTGCGGCTCCGCACACGGGACACGCAGCTAGTTTTGTGCCTTCCTTTCTTGCGCATCATGCCTGCTCTTTCCACCGCCCGAGCAGCGGCCCTCCTCCTCATGGCGGCGCTGCAGCTCAGCATCCTCACCGTGGACGCCTACTCGGTGCGCTACGGTGCCAAGACGTCCGCGCCCGGGATGATGAACTTCGGCCTCACCGGCTATTGTGCCGCAGGGGACTCGGGTCACTCGATGATGCCGAAGTTTGCAGCCTACCAAGCCAGCGCCTACTCCGTCATGAGTGCGAACAGCTTCACGAGCGCGCCGATCGGTGGTGAGTCGCGCCAGTCCGCCTGCCTGGACGCGAACTGCACCTGGCAGTTCAGTCACGGACTTTACTACCACAACGAGATCACCTTCTTCTACGGGGTCTATTACAATGATTCGGGTCTACACGGTGGGCCGGCGGACGGCGTGTTCAACAACTTTGCGTCCGATCAGCCTCAGTTGTGGACCAACATGAGCTACTGGGGCAGCCGCCAGCCGTACATGCGGGGTGACGGCAAATGGGCCAACACGAACGTCGTCACCTTCTTCACGCAGTGGGTCTGCGAATACTACGAATTCAAGAAGTCCGACGCATCCCTCTTTCCGACCTACCCGGATGGCGATGTGATCGTGCCCAGCTCCACCTCGTCCTACACCCACTGCGGCAGACGCGTGGATCGCGACTCGCAGGGCCGTTGGTTGTATTATCAGTGCAAGAAGCCCTTTCCGTGGTGGGCCGCGCTGACCATCGCTGTGGTGGTGCTGATCGTGGTTGTCGTCATCATCATCGTCGTGTGCTGCTGCTGCTTCTACTGCGATCGCAACGAGGAGCGCCACGAGCGGGAGGAGAAGTTGGAGACGATGGCGGACAACCCGGCGCAGGTGCCCACGCAGACGGAGCTGGGACTGAGCCGTCACTCCTCCGTGTTTCGCGATGGCCGCGCCGACGAGTACCCCAATGAGGACGGCGACCAGGATGACTCGCGTGAAAGCCGTTAATTGAGAAAAAAAAGAGGGGAGGGATCAGAAAACGAAGAAGGAAAGGAGAAGTAAAGAAGACCCCGAGGAGATCATTTCGTCTGCCACAGCGGATGACGGCGGTGCTGCCGTTTCGCGCAGTTCTTTCTCCCGCTCCTTCTTCTTCTTGCTGTTCGCTCCGCGTCGTCTCCGGGTCTGTTCTTTTCGCAACGCTGTGAATAAAACCTTTTCTTTTCTCCTGTTTTTTGTTTTTCCCCTTTGTCTCTTCTTTTTACGTACCCAACAATGTATAGTAACACGAACTTCTTACTGTGTCTTTAGGTTTTTCTCTTTTCCTTTTTTTCTTTTTGTATAGGGTGAAAAGGACAGGGCGTACTGTCGTTTCCACACCTCATCGGCGCAGCATCCGGCACTTTGTTCTCCTTTTCTTTCTCCGCTTTTTTTTTATTGAACTTTTTTTTTTTACGCGATTTCGTCCGCCGTTGCCGATGCTGCGCCGTGTACGTCTCTATCGCATCGCGTAGTTCTTTTTCCTTCGTCACCGCGCGGGATGAAGAGCGTGGGGTAGAATAGAGGTGAGTGTGTGTGTGTGTGTATGTGGAAGACAGCCCTATGTAGTTTCCTTAGAAGAAAAAATATATAAGCCCTTCTCTTTCCTTTGCTTTTCTCGCTTGCTTTCCACTACCTTGTATGTGATGATGTTATCTACTTTCTTTTATTTTGTCTGTGTCTGTAGTTCGTGATGTTTCTTTTCTCATTTTATGTCGCTTAGAATCCAACGCGCAGCAGTGAGCCAACAGAGTTTCTTTCCCCCACCTCAGCCGAGCTTTGTTCGTGTGGAAACGCACGGTAGCTTCCAATTTCTTTTTCCTTTTACCGCGTTCTCGCGCTCTCGTAGTTGACGTGTCCGTGAAGCAGCGAACACGGCCGCCGCACGGATAGACGAAAGACAGAAACAGCAAGAAACAAAGACTTTCCCTTCGCTGCTCTTTTATTATTATTTCTGGAATAAGTAGAGCCATACTTTTTTTTGTTTGTTTCGCCCAACGTTATGTAATCATTTCTTCTTCTTTCACTGAGCGTTCACGGCGAAGGCGGAAAGCGGCCATGCGTGCCTGCGCGCACGCAGAGAGAAAAAAAAATAATGTGTGCAATGTACCGAAGCGGAGGGCGAAAGTTCACGCCTCGCATCTGCGTGACAGTTCTACTCCTCACAAGACAACTGCGCACTTGCGATGCTGCGCATCCAATATGACGCGTTTCCTTTTATTTTATTTTCTTTTGTTTTTTCTTTTGTTTTTCACTTTTCCTTTGCTGTTTTAGTTTAAGTTTTTGTTTTCCACTTTCTTCTTCGATTCCTCTTTTCGCCGTCGATGTTCCCTTTGTTTCTTTCTTGTTTGACTGGCAAAACACCTCTTAATCCAACAGCAAGTGTCAAGTGACAGGAAACAAGAGTGATCGGGCTCTCTCGGAGCTTGTGTGTGTCTGTGTCCAGACGACGATGACGACGTGCGGGTGACAGGAAACAAGATCGTTGCTTTCACCTGTTCGCCGCACCACGCCTCACACGCACACAGTGGTTGGGTGGTGGGTGGGGGGCCACACACGTGAAGAGAAGAGACCATTCAGTGACCGCGCTATGCGAAGGACGTGCTGTTGAGACGGCCCTTCACAACGGTGCGTTAGTTCAACAGTGGTTTTACCCAAGAATGCGTTACCTCATGGCGGAAAAGTGCGATGTTATACCCCTCCCCCGGTAAATGTGATTTCGGATGGCGCAGCATGGAAAGAAGGCGAGGCTGCCTCTTCTGTTTTTCTTCTCTCCTCGCCGGACTGGGACTTCAACAAGTAGGAACGAGTCCGTGTTGTGATCCTGTCTGACGTCTCCGTATCGCCTTGACAACTCCCTACGTGCATCTTCGCTTGTATTTTATTTCCTCTCTTCGTATGCTCGTGCAAGTAACACACACGCGCTCACACACACTAAGACAATTTATATATATTCACACACAGGACGCCCAGCAATATGACCGCTAATCAAAATTTTCCGTCTCTCTCGCACTGGGCCGATCGCGTGGAGGCGGTCCTCGTGGCTGCGGTGGGGCGACTCACGGTGGTTCGTTCCGGCATCTTCTGGACACTCTCGTACGTTATTTTGCTGGCGCTGATGTACCTCTTCCATTCGCCCTTCCGTGCGCAGGTGAACACGCGTACGGACTGGTACGCGCAGCTGACAAAAGGCTTGCAGATCTGGCTTGGCGTCGTACTTCTGTGCTTCCACGTGGGGCCGCATCTGTACGTTTCACACTCCACGCACGCGAGGAGCTCCAACGCCGCCACGATGGCGCAGCGCATGTTCGTGGAGGACACCGTCGCCAGCATCTTCTTCCCCACCTTCTGCTTCAACAGCTTCCTCTTCCTGATGATTCACAAATTTAAGCGACGCTACACGCTTGCCTTCACGTACGGCCCGAGCCTCACACTCATCCTGATCAACTCCGTGCTGCTCGCAACCTTTGCCGCCATGCACTACACGGTGTGCGAGGAGCTCTTCTCGACGGTGGTCCCGGCGGTGGCCGCGTCGAACAGCGTGTCGGGGAAGGTCCGCGCCGCCACTGTCGATCGCGCCTCCCGCATCGTGTGTCCCCGTCCGGTGAACGAGAACCCCTTCCAGTGCATCGCCTTCCTCTCCACCATCTGCGTTGTCTTCGTCGTCGTCGACTACGTGTATAAGGCGTGCTGGGCCGACGGCAACCCGTCGCGGGGGATTCTGTGGGCGGAGCTGTACCCGCCGAAGCCGAAAAGCGAGTCCGCCGTCGGTGGCGCACCGGCGAGTGGCGCCATCACCGCCCCGATGGTGCTCCACTGGTGGCGTGCGCTGCGGGCTCGCGAGGAGCACTTAGACCTCAGCGCCCAGCTGCACCTACGCGAGGGCGATCCCCGGCTAAAGGAGAGTTTACCCAAGACGATCCGCTTCAACCACCGACACGGCATGGAGGCGATCAACGTTGCCTGCCCGGACGGGTGGAGGGACAAGCAAGATCAGCTCTCCGAGGCCGCGGAGAAGTACATGCTGCAGCCCACAAACCGACCCGGCATGGTGCCGTGGTTCTCCACCTTTATCTTCAACACGACCTGGCAGACGATTGCGCGCCTTGCCCTTGATTTTCTGACGTTTGACGTGCGTATCCTGCAGAAGAACGCCGCGCCGAAGGTGTTTCATCTTCACTTTGCAAAGTCGCTGGCGACCCTCCCGCGACTGCCACCGCTGCCGACGCCACACGACGATATCAATAACAGTACGGTGAAACAAGAGGAGAAGGAGCGACAGTCGAAAAGCGCAGAGGGGACAGCGGGACAGAGGAGCGATGCACCCGCCGTGAAGAGCCCGGAGCAACGGCCACGCAAGACAGCGGAGAGCACGCCGCCGAAGTCGCCCTCTCCGGCCCCCAAGAAGACGACCTCCCCAGCAACGACCCCATCGCTCTTGCCGTCCATGGCAGCAACAGCAGCTCAGGAAGGAGAAGCAGACGCAAAGCCGGATGTGTGGTTTGACTGGATCGCCGACGTGGGGGACGGCTTCAACTCGACCTACTCCATGGCCCGCCTGTTAGCGCAGCCTTTTCTGAGGCTGCCCTGGCACCACCCCTCGACCCTCCTTCGAGGTTTGGCACGGCTGACCGGCCAGTGCGATGTGACCCCGCCGGAATCCTCTATGACGGAGGACACGCTGCATTACCTGCCGCGGGGCTCCTTCGTGGTTGTGGGCGGCGATCTGGCCTACCCGAGCCCCAACGATGAGACCTTCACAACGCGGCTCTTTGTGCCCTACCGCGATGCTCTCAGCGACAACGCACACCTGAAAGGGCTTTACAGCGCCGCGCAGCCGCACGTGGTGGCGCCTGGTGCGGAGGACAAGGATGTGGCGCACATGCATCTGTTAGATGCCATGACGGTGTCGAAGATGGCCAGCGGTCGCAGTGGGCTGCCGCGCGGGACGGCATCTACGGAAGTAGCGCTGCGTAGCGTGCCGCTGCTCTTTGCGATCCCCGGCAACCACGACTGGTTCGATGGTCTCGGCACCTACATGAAGTACATCTTGGAAAGGACATGGATTGGTGGGTGGCTGATGCCGCAGAAGAGCTCGTACTTTGTGCTTCGCCTGCCTTACAACTGGTTCATGCTGTGCCTGGACGCTGGCTGCGAGCAGGACATCGACGCTGCCCAGCGCAACTACTTCCTCGACGTCATCGAGAAGTACATGAACGAGGAGAGCTGCGTCATTCTATCCATTCATGAGCCGAGTTGGATCTACGATTCGATGTTGCACGCCGACAGACTCATGCAACCAGAGACGTCGCGGCTCTGCGAGGCGCTCGGCACCCGGCTGCGCATGCAACTTGCGGGCGACATCCACAACTACTCCCGCCACGTGCCACGCGATGCGAGCACAGAGGCGCCAATGTTGGTCGTCAGCGGCGGTGGTGGCGCCTTCATGCACGGCCCCCGCCTCACACCTGTCGTGGCGCACTGTGCGGCGTATCGTCGCGCGTGTGCCTTCCCAGCCAGCAACACGTTGGGCACCTTGCTGAGTCGTCTCCTGGGGTTTCGCGTGATTAACTGGAAGTTTGATCTCATCATTGGCGTGTGCTGTTTCATGGTCGTCGTGTCGTTGCTGCCGCAGTCGATCAAGGACACCCATCGCGGCGCCTCGCCGGTAGTGCTCGCGACGCTGCCGGACGCCGCCGGGGTGTGGTGGGAGCGGACGTGCACGTACATTGACCTCCTCTTCTCTCGCGGGGTGGCGTCGGTCGTCGCCACGGTGCTGTTCTTTGTCGCCTTCACCGCGGCAGGGACGGAGAAGAGCGCCGCGCTGTGGAAGCGTGGCCTCCACGCCTCCTTCTGGACCGGCATCACCGTGCTCATCTGCTGTGGCATGCTTTCCTTGCTGCTCTGCACGATGGAGTACATGGTGGACAACCGCTTGCTGGTGTCGTCGAAGGCGCACTGGGGCAGCGCGGTGGAGGACCAGGTACGGCTGACGGTGGACTCGCTCTTGAACCACACGCAGGTCATCTTGGGCGGGACGGAAAGGAGCCGTCTGGCGCTGCAGATTCGCCGCGTGCAGAACGCCCTGTACGGACGCGCGCTGGTGAACTGGGGCGGCATTTTTCTGCGCTGCCTCGACCCTCTGGAGATGCTCGCCTACCTTTCGGAGAAGGTGAGCGCCGATGAGATGGGCAGCTTCGTTGCGGGAGCCAGTCGCATCGACGAGGTGCTCTACTACCTCTACTTCCTGTTCTTTTACTGGATTCTCGTCACGCCGCTGGTGTCGTTCGTGATTGGGAGCTACCTTGTGTGCTCCGTGACCTTCTTTGACTGCATGTACGATGCCACTTACTCCGCTTTTCAAATTGAGGAGTTCAAGAACTTCGTGCGGTTTAAAATCGACGCCACCACGCGCGAGTTGCACGCCTACGTGGTGACGATGCGCCACGTTCCAAAAGCGTGGCACTGGGACGCGGCACACCAAGCCGAGCTGAAGAGCGATGTCGCCAAGTTCGCCCCACCGCACCTACGCGCCAACCCCAGTCGGTGGAACGGCCGCCCCTTCCGTGCTGGTGCGGGGCTGGGCGGCGGCGGCGGCAAGGATGGACTAGCGGAGAAGGGCAACGAGGATGGGGCAGAGATTCTAGAGCACTTTGTGTGTTCCCCGCACGTCATCCCCGGTGTTGTCTCGTAGAAGAACGTTTCCACCGTTATTTGTGTTATTCCCTTCTACGGTTTTTGTTCTTGATCTGTGCTTCCACGCACACGTAGATCATTCTTTTTTTCTCTCTTTTGGTTTTAACGCACGGAACGCATGGCGGAAGCCGGTTTATTCCCACGCCGTGACGCGTGTTGCCTCGTTCGTCAGCAGTGCAATGGTGTACTGTCTGGCACGCATTCTGACAGCATTCTTCAACGGTCCTTGCTTCCTGTTTCTCGTCTCTCCTTCCCTCTCTGATGCTGCGGAGTTCAGATAAATACTAAAAAGAAAGAAAGAAAAAGCGGCCGAAGAGCTGCGACTATGCGATTTAGGTCGTGTCGGTGCTGCTTCATCAGAAGTCTGCGTTGCAGTGCACGGAACGTGGGGGAAAAGAAGATGCTCGCCGGGTTCCCAACGATTCGCACGTGTCTTTGTGCTTGTGTGTGTGTGTGCGTATGCGTGTGCGTGTGCGATGGTGCGTTTTCGATGGAGCGAGTATTATCCTTAGTGTCGTTTCATTCGCAGACTTTGCTTTGCGGGGCTCTGCGGTGCAGCAACAGTAGCGTGGATGCACCTCTCCGGAACGGAACGGCATGCAGCCACTTCGTGCTTCATTTCTCTCTTGTTTCTCTCTGTCTGTTTAAGGTCTTCGTTGCGGATTACTTCTTCTGTGCGGTGTATGTGCGTAGGTTGACGAGACGGATCCGCCACGTCGACTTCCTTCTGGTGTGCCTCCCTGCCCACCTTGAACGCTGTGTGTGTGTGCGTGCGTGTTGAACCGCGTTCGCGCAACAGCCGACCTAACTCGGTATTCTCCTCACCCCGCATTATTGTGGTTGGTTGGTTCTTCCCATTGTCGCTCGACGACTCGCATTAACTCTTCGTTCTCTTTTTCCCTTTTCGACTTCGCCCACAAGAACAGGAAAAAGTAGTTTAGCGTGTCGCCGCTACTCACTCTTCTTCTATTATACAATTTAGCTCGACACCCGTCTCGTGTTTTCTTTTCTTTGGATTTTACGGCTGCAGGCTCCTTTTCTATATCTACTCATATATATTTATATTAACTATTCTTTATACGGTCTAACGCGTTCTCCAATGGCGCAGCGATGGACATGGGGTGTGCTCAGCACGAACCCGCTCGTCGACTTCTCAACGACCTGGGTCGAGCCGCTCATTCAGCGCGCCGTGGACCTCACGCACAAGATTGAACCGGACTTGTTGTTCACTCTCGCCTACATCGCGGTGCTCGGCGTGGCCTACCTCTTTCACTCGCCCTTCCGCGCCCACTCCACCGCCGCAACGGACACGTACGGGCGGGTGACAAAGGTCTTTCAAACGTGGAGCACCGTGGTGTTCTTCTGCTTCCACCTCGGACCCCGGTTTTTCTCCTCGAAGCAGCACCAAATTGAGCAGGCCCGCAGTGGCAACGAGGCGGTGCCGATCCTGTATCTCCCCCTTTTTGCGGTCTTCACGATGCTCTTCGCGTTTCTCCACAAGATGAAGCGACGGTGGGGCCTCGGCGTCACCTACGGCAGCCGGCTCTCCGTGATCGGGCTCAACGCCCTCGTCCTCGCCGCGGTGGGCACGGTGCACTACGCGTACTGCTCGACTCTGTACGAGAATTCGTCCAACTGGTTGTTGAAGACGCTCGTTTACAGTGCTGCCCCCGCCCCCGTTGCCCTCCACCCCTTCCGGTGTGTGGCGAAGCTTTTTTTCCTCTCCTGCTGCTTTGTGGCGCTGGATTACCGCTATAAGAAGTGGCGCGGCTTTGACCCCTCGCGGGGTATCCTGTGGAGCGAGCTCTACGAGCTGCGCAAGCAGCCTCTCGACGCGGCGATGGCAGCAGAGAAAAATGCGAAGCGCGAGAGGCGGGACTGGCGGGAGCTCGTGGCGCCACCACGCGTTTACGCGTCGACCGGGCTTGCTTCAGCTGCAAGTCCGGTGCGACCCGCCGCAGAACACGGTGCATCGCACATCTCCCCCTCCTCCTCTTTTCCCGCGTTGCACGGCGCACGCCACCCCACCGAGAACGCCTCCGCGGTATCTGTGCGGATGCCAGGGACGCCCACTGCCGCTTCCGCGACGGCCTCCCCCGCGTCCTCGTCGCCACGACCACGCATGCTCTATCACGAGAGCCCGCCGGATGTGAACATGAGTGAGGTGGAGGCGTGGTTCGACGAGGACGACGCGCTGTTAAAGCGTGTGGTTAACAGCACCGCCCCTTCGGTGCCCCCTCCCCCTCCCGCCCCCACGTCGTCGTCTTCCGAAACGGAGACTTCTTCTTCTTCGCCGTGTTCCTCCGCGAGCCCGTCTACCGTCGCGGCGCCACCGGACGACGGCCGCGACACACGGGTGCGCCGCGTCGATCACGCTGATCGAAGCCTTACACGTCTCATGTCCTTTCGGGCGCCACGTTTCGTGGTTCAGCAGGTGCAGGAGGCCCAACACCCGATGAACCGCCCAGGCATGGTCCCGTGGTGGTCCACGTTTGTGCTCTTCACCGCGTGGCAGACGGTGGCTGGGGCGATGTTGCACTTCCTCGCCTTCGACGTGCGCACCATCCAAGGCCTCACCGCACCCAAAATCTTTCATTTGCACTTCAGCGCCTCGTTGAAGCGGTGTGTGGCGAGCGCGACGGAGTGCGCGACGGGGGAGTCGCAGGCCCCAGCGCCGACGATGCTGCACCGCGCTGCCACGTCTACCCCACCAGGAGAAGACCGATCATCCACTTCTGTGGAGGAGGACGGCATTCACAACAAAGCGGCAATGCGGAACAACCGCAGTGACCCTCTTGGCGCGACAAGCACTGTGGATGAGGTGAACGCAGCAGAGACCGCGGCTCCCGCTGAGGCAGCGGAGGAGGCACCGGATGTGTGGTTTGACTGGATTGCCGACGTCGGGGATGGCTTCAACCCGACGTACGCCATGGCACGTCTGCTCGCCCAGCCCATCCTGCGCCTGTCTGTCACGTCGGCGAAGAAGTCGCGACGGCCACGCGCGGCAGGCGGGGACAGTCACGCCTCCGATGACATGCGCACCGACAGCGCGTCTACGCAGTGCACGGCGAAAGTGTCCGCCTCTGCACCAACGAGCCCCGCCAGCAAAGCAATGCAGAAGCCCACCTCGCTCTTCTTCTCTGCCGCCGCCTCCTTCCCAACGAAGAACGTCAGAACTTTCCAGACCACAGCAGGGGCAGAGAAAGGAGAAGGGGAGGGGGCCGCTGCTGGGGAGGGCGGAGGTGTAGAAGACACCGCCCCCGCAGCGGGGACACCTCTGCGCTCAGCTGGCCAGACAAACTCATGGGATGCAGCGAGGAAAGCCTCCAGAGACAATGACGGCGAGTCCCTCCGCAGTCGAAAGGCAGTCTTCGCCTCGTACGACAACCGCACTCACCAGGCCCACACCGCCATCATCAGCATGCACCACCGTAAGACAGCGGCAAGCCGGGCCATGCTGGGTGTGGAGAGGGACGGCGTCGCGACGCTGCCGCGCGGCTCCTTCGTGGTTGTGGGCGGCGATCTGGCCTACCCGAGCCCCAACGATGAGACCTACATGACGCGGCTGTTTGAGCCGTACAGCGATGCCTTGGGGGGCAACGTGCGGCTGCAGAGCGTCTTTCACGTGGAGCAGAAGCGCATTGTGGTGGCGGACCGGCACGACGTGGATGTGGCGCACCTGCACATGCTTGATGCGAAGACCGTCGCGGACATCGCCAGCGGGCGTGGTGGCCTCGCCGTCGGCCGCGGCACCGCTGAAGAGGCACTGCGTAGCGTGCCGCTGCTCTTTGCGATCCCCGGCAACCACGACTGGTTCGATGGTCTCGGCACCTACATGAAGTACATCTTGGAAGGGACATGGATTGGTGGGTGGCTGATGCCGCAACGGAGCAGCTTCTTTGTGCTTCGCCTGCCTTACAACTGGTTCATGCTTTGCGGCGACACAGGAAACACGCAGGACATCGACGCCGCCCAGCGCAACTACTTCCTCGACGTCATCGAGAAGTACATGAACGAGGAGAGCTGCGTCATTCTTGCTGCCCACGAGCCGGGGTGGTTGTTCGATGCGATGGAACGCGAAGACACGCCCCTCCAGCCGCAGCTGAACCGAGTCGTCGAGGCCCTCGGCACCCGGCTGCGGCTGCGCCTTGCGGGCGACATCCACAACTATTCCCGCCACGTACCGACCGACCCGTCGTCGGAGGCGGCCACGCTGGTTGTCAGTGGCGGTGGTGGCGCCTTCATGCACGGCTCCCGCAAAGACCGCGTCATCGCGCAAGGCACGCGCTACGTCCGCGTCTGTGCGTTTCCAAGTCAGTCGACCTTCACGAACATGGCCGCCCGCCTGTGGGGCTTCCGCGTTGTGAACTGGAAGTTTGACATGGTCGTCGGGTTTCTGTGCTTCGTTATTCTGCTCTCCGTGCTGCCGCTGCCGGTGGGGATGGAGGTGGAAGGGGCGCCGAGCCGCGGCAACGCCGTGGGCCCTGTGAGCCTCGCGCAGGTGTTCTCCCTCTGGGTCGCCTACGCCACGATGATCACGTCGCACGTCATCGCAAAAGGCGTCATCTCCATCTTTCCCATTCTGTTCTTCTGGTCGTGCTTTTCGACCGCCGGTTCCGATCGGCACGCGACGCGGCAATGGCGGCTGTGCTACGGCGCGGCGTGGACCTTCGCCGTACTGCTGTGCTGCAGCGGTGCGATGGCCGCGATTCACGTGTCGATCCTCTATTTGATGGACAATGGCTTCTTATACTCTTCCGAAGGGAGGTGGAACAGTGTGATGGAGGCGCAAATGCAGGCGATTGTGTCAACTTTCACGACGCACGCGCGACAGATTCTCGGCGGCGAGCGACACACCTTGTCGCGAGCGTTGGGCTCTCTGCAGGACTTCATTGCAAAGACAGTGCCGATGCGGTGGCTGCTCGTCGTGCTGCGCTGCAGCGACCCTTTCGAGACGTTCAGCTTCCTCTCCTCGAAGGTCAGCAGCGGGACGGCGGGCGTGTTCGCCGCTGATGTGTCTCGGCTCCAGGTCATGATATATTACCTCTACGTGTTGTTCTTCTACTGGATTGTCATCACACCGATTGTGTCGATGCTCATTGGCACCTTCCTGCTGATCTCCGTGACGTCGTTCGACTACATGTACGACGGCACCTACTCTGCATTTCAGATCGAGGACTACAAGCACTTCCTGCGGTTTCGCCTGGATGCCAAGACGCGCCAGCTGCACACCTACGTGATTGCGGTGCAGAAGCCGGCGAAGGTGTACGAGTTGGATCGCAAGTTCGTGTGGAGCCTCACGGAGGCCGGCCTGCAGGAGCACCGCCCACCGCACTTGAAGCAGTACCCCAGTCGCTGGGCACCCGTGCAGAAGCGGCGGCGTCGCGGGAAACCGATGACGGAGCTGCTGGAGCACTTCACGGTGCACCCGCACCGCGTTCCGCACTCGTCGTAAGCGAGAAAGAAAAGGAAACAAAAACGGTGATTGCTTTTTGTCGCAGATGCGGCGCCATTCCCAACGCTTCATTCAATTACGGCTGAAGTTTCATGGCTGACGGTCGCTTTGAAACGCAGACGCCGTCGTATACACAACGGACGCGGAAGGAGGGAAGGGGGAGCGCTACGCAGCACGTTCCAAATATTCTTTTTTGTAGCTTCCCCCCCCCCCCTCCACATAACACTACCGTTAGCAACTGCGAAACACACACAAACACGCACGCTTATACCTCTACGTGAGCTGACATGTGCAGTATACACTAATAAGAATATTTCTTCTTCATTATTACTTTTTTTGTCACCGGCAGCTGCTTTTCCGACTCTTCAGACGATGAAAGGTGGTGCATTGAAAGGATGGAAAAAAAAAACAATAATAATCCCCTTCGCTCCGTGCGTGAAGCGCGCTGCAACTATTTCTCTCCCCCCCCCCCCGTTTCACTGCGACCTCACAAGCTTTGTCAGTACCCTGAGTGAAGCGTGAAACTTCGCTTCCGTGCGTTGCGTTGCTGTGCCCCGAGCGCTGCTCTTTTCATCTCCTCCATTTTTTCTCCTCCTTCCACCGACTCACTTGTTTTTCCCTTTTGCGCATCGCGGACAGTCGAGTCCGGCCGCTTTCACACGTACTCTTTCCTCGACATATCTATCTTACTTAACAAAACAGAACGCACCCTGCGATCATAGACGCGTCTTTCACCTTCCTCTTCCTTCTTTTTATTTGGAACCCACACTTTGGTATTAGGAACGCGCTGCCTTCTTTGCGTGCTGGGTTTACATGTAAAGCGTCTCTCCTATCAACTAGCTTTATCGTCTCTTGGACAGCTATTTTTGCATGCGTGTGTGTATACACATGTGTGTCCCTCAGCGGAGTATCGAGTAGCAAGGGTAAGCCGTGAGAAGGAGGTTTTTCTTCTTCTTGCGAGATCAGCAGGATGAGTCAGAAGACGGCTGTGGCGGTGCCACGAATGGCCTCTACAATTTTACTCCTCGCTCGCAACCTGCGTCCTACCACGGCATGCGGTGATACTGGCGGCGCCCCGGAGAACGATATTCACGTATTGATGATGAAGCGGCACAGCAAGGCACGCTTCCTGCCCAGCGTGTATGTTTTCCCAGGCGGCGGCGTCGATGTGGTGGACTACGCCGTTGCTAGGGAGTACCTGTCGCGGCACTACGACGTGCAGACCCCGCCGACGGCAGCGGTGCCACCGACCTCGCCCTCGCCGTTTCTAGAGTCGACGGTCACCGCCTCTCCGGCGGAGGCAGAGACGGCGGCGTGGGCGTGTCGGGTCGGGGCCCTGCGTGAGCTCGCCGAGGAGACCGCCTGCGTGCTGCGGCGCGACGCGACGGTCTGCACGGCGGCGGAGTGGAAGGCGAGGCGGACGACCCCAAATGAGGGGGCCGCGTCGCCCGGTGTGTACGACGTTGAGGTCACACCGTCGTTGCGGCCGGTGGCGCGGTTTGTCACGCCATCGCGCTACAAGTACCGCTACGACACCTACTTCTACGCGGCGTTGGTGAAAGGGGCAGCGCAGGCGCTCCCCCTCGTGGCTCAGGCAAGCGAGGTGGCGGACCTCGTGTGGGTGAGCCCGCTGCAGGCGTTGCGTCGCCACGACAGCCCGTCGGACGCCTTCTCCCTCGCCCCTCCCACGTTTCTGCTGCTGCATGCTCTTTCTCGGCAGCCGAGCTACGCCGCCTTAGCGGAGACGTGGACCACGACGCTGCCGGCCCCCGCCTCCTCGACGCATTCCGCATCGGCGGTCACCCGCGTGGGGACGTTGCCGTACAGCAGCGTGCTGCCCTGCATCGAGTCTGACAGCCGCGTGACACAGGAGCAGCCGCTCATTGAGGATATCGTGTTGCCGGCGCACTACTTGTATGAAAAGGGCTGGTCGGAGCCGGAAGGGGCGTACCGTTTCCGCGGCGCGGCGCTTGGCGAGGCGACGCACATGATACGCCTGTGGGTTGGATCGCATTGGGCACAGAAGCTGAAGGACGGCAGCGTGGACCCGAGCAAGACCGCATCCCGGGAGCTCGTGCACTGAAAGGGACATCTTTTCTTCTTTGCTGTTGTTGTTGAGGCGCGGCGGCGCTTCTTCTTGTTGCCGCCTTGACACCACCGGGTATTGCAGAGTGGAAGGCTCAGTCGCACTAGCCGACGTTCAAACTAACGTCGACGCTGCCCCTATATGTGTAAGTGTAGTGGGTAAGATTGCTTGATTGCTTTGTCTTGCCCTTTCTTTTCCTTTCACATTTTTTTATATATCGTGAGCGCGCTACTTCACGAAGGTTGCCGCTCTCCTCCTCTTTTTTTCTCCTTTCATCACCTCTCTCCGCCACTGCGGCGCATGCACCGCTCATGGTCGGTCATCGCACTTCAATTGTCACACGTGTGTCGTTATTCGTATTATTGATAATTATCGACTTCCTTTGGCATTCCTTTCTTCTTTCTTTGACAGCATTACGCCTCATTGCACAGGACTGCGATTGATTGGAATGCAGGAGGAGTAGGTAGTGAAAGTACGTGCGCTTGCTATCGAATATATGATGCGCGAAACCTACAAAGGAGAGAAAAGGAGATATGTACCCCAACGTGTTTTGGAAAGAACAGTACGGATGCTTAGTCGCATTGTTGTTGGCTCAATAGACCCCGTCACCATTCATTCTATTCATCTTTGGATTTTCGGTTACCGCTGTCCACGGACTCTCGGAAGCTCTTTGTGTAGCCGAATGGAACTTCGTAGTGCGAGGAAGGAAAACAACGTTTTATCATGCACGGCATAATTCTCTTTCTTTCTTACAGTTCTCGTCTGCGTCTCTCTCCCTTCATACTCGTTGTGTTTAGGGTCTCCGCTGCAGGCTTCCTCTGCAGGCGTGCAGGGGCGGAACGTCACTTTCGCTGCCCACTGTGATCGCACTGCCAAGCGTCGACACACAGCAACTCACACACAACGCCCATAGATTATATATCGACGGCGCTTTCATGTCCGTGTATTGTCGCATTGCCTCGCCGACGGTGTTGCTGCGCGCACTGCACACCGTCGCCGTCAGCCGCGATGGCTGGGCCACCGTTGTCTTCACCGACTCGCACGTGGTGCTGCACGTCGAGGGCACCGATGAAAACATGACCGCCACCTGTACGCTGCCCAAGGCGCTCTTTGCCGAGTACGCCGTGGTCGATACGCGCTTCGCCGTGCACATTCCCACGCTCATCGATGCACTGCTCATGCTGGGCCCTGCGGTGCTCACTGCCTCCACGCGGGCCGTTCTCGCCTACCCGACCGAAGACGCGAAGCTCTTGGTGGAGCTCACGCCGTCTGCGCGTCTCTCCTGCAGCTACCCCGCCAGCGGTGGCGCAGCGGAGGTGGATGCGCAGATGGCCGTCGGTCAACGCATTCTTCAGTCGCTGTTGGTGACCCGCAACGTGAAGGATCACGTGCTCGATCTGCGCTTTGCAGAGGCCACCCTCCTCGCGCAGGTTACCCTGCAGGGCGACGTGCTGCGCGAGTTGATCGCCGACGTGACGGCGGCGCAGTGCACGGAGGTGGCCCTTCGCGTGGATCCAAAGCAGGGATTACTGATGCGTGGAGAAGGCGGGCCCTTCGGCGAGGTCACCGCCCGGATCGCGGCAAACTCAGATGTTGTGTTGGCTCTCTCGCGTGAGCAGGCCGGGGAGACGCGGGTGTACGCGCATCACTTGGCGCTGGCGTGCGGCGTGCGAGGCTTAGGGAGCGGGAGCGGCCTAAACGCCGGCGGAAACGCTCGGGGCCGTGGAGGACCCACACCAAACACCGCCGCTGGCTTCTCAGCGCGTGATGGACGGCTATCGAATGCGGACTTCATCCTTATGGGACTCGCGGCCGCTGGCGGGAGTGGCGGCGGCGGCGGCGGCGCGGCTACGTTGTTTGGTGGTTTTGAGAGATTGACGCTGCAGATCAACGCACAGAGGCAGCTCAGCGTGCTGCACACCCAACGCGAGCACGAGCAGAAGGTGGCTGTGACGGTGGTGGTGATGCCGCTCTGCTCCGTGTACGACGTTCTCTAAATGCGTTGGATGGAATGCACGTCTTCAGAGCGCAGGTGTATTCCGGCACACGCACAGACACAGACACGGCTGCGTTTCCACGGAGGTGGATCCACGCCGAAGGAAAGGGTGTCTCCTGCATCTATTTGATAGGTAGGCTGGAGGGAAGGAACGGAAGGGATGCATCTGTGCGCTCTTCATATGTTTTTTTTTTTTACCTCGGAAACGGATTGCATTACACCGGAAAACAACGTGGCACTTCAACTTCTTTTCTTCTTTCGCTGGGCGTGAGGAAGTCGTGTTGCGGCGCAATGCGATGTATCGGAGGCAACGAAGTAGGGGAAGCAGTATTCGTAGTAGCACTACTACCTAAACAGAACAGGTCTGTCGTAGGACGCTGTTACTACTATTCTTGTTCTTCTTTTTTAAATCATGGATGATGCACACAGTTCTCACGCGCGTGCGCGCCGAACGCGGTCATGTGAACTTCAGTAGCGCTGAATTCAATGTATCCTCTCTTCCTTACTATATATACATTTATACATTTCCTATCTTTTCATGTGTGGTGCAACTGCATGCTCACCAGGTACTTCCAACATCAATAGCAGCCGAGGAAATCCCCAGGAAGCTGGTCATCAGTTCCGGGCAGAGCACTTTCCTCTTTGCTCGCTCTTCACGCCGTCATGAGCAATTTTCAATACATCCTCTCCGCTGCACAGCTCACGAAGCACTATGAGGTACTCCAGTTCCTCGCCCAGCACCCCAACCAGGAGTACACCCTGGCCCAGCTGGATACGCTACTGCCCCACGGCGTCGCCGTGCAGCGCTTTCCAGAGGAGTGGTTTCACCTTGTCGAGGAAGGCGCGTGTTGGCACCGCAGCATTGAACTGCTCCGCCCGGCTGCCAGCAGTGGCAGTGGTGACGGTGACGGCCCCACCGGCTCCCCCTTGCCAGAAGACAGCGCGGTGGACGCGTCGGACCAGCAGCGTAGTCGCGCGTTGTCTGTGCTGGAGGCGTCGGCCGCCGCGGCCCACTCCACCGCCGCGCGCCGGGCACAGTACGTGCTGTTCTGCGCCAAGGCGGAAATCCACACCCTCGACGAGCTGCGCGCGCGATTGGAGTCGCCGTCGACGCTGTTGGACGCCGAGGGCTGCGTGGCGCTGCACACGGATCAAATCATCATCGCACCCGAACTCCTTCGCCGTGCGCAGCGGACAGGGCTAGTGTACTTTTTCCCTGACGTGTACGACAAGAACGAGTTTCGCCAGTTCGGTGTAAAGGACACTGCTGCATCGTCGTCGCCGACGGCCAGGGATGCCGTGGGCGGTAATGGCGGTGGTGCTCGTGCCAACGCTGGGCAGGCCACCTCCGCCCTGCTGGCCGCGTTTACCGGCGAGGAGGAGAGTGGCAAGCGGAAACTGACCAACAGCAGTGGCAGCGGCAGCGGCAGTCGTGACCGCACGTACATCGCCCTCCCACCCGGCATACGTGTGCAGCACCAGCTGCTCACCCGCCGCGGCGTCACGGAGCAGGAGGAGTACTGCCTTCCCACGAAGCTGCTCGTCGGGGAGCGACTTCGCCTTCTTTTTGACAACCTCGTCGCCGTGAAGAAACTGCATTTGAAGAATGAACTGCAGGTACAGCTCTCTATGGCGGGGGTGAAGGTCAGCAAGGGTGAGGGGGTCGCCGTGGGGGCCGCCGCGGCAACCCGGCCAGACGCGCTGTCCGCCGAGCCGCCCCCGCCGCTGCGGATCCGGAAGGAGACACAAGCCGTGCGACACGCCGCCATCGCCTCTCCTCCTCCCCCTCCCATGGCACCCCCGCCGCCGCTGCTCGTCAGCACGACCACGAAGGTGGAAATGGAGGCGCTGTACGCCTGCACCCTCACGCTACTCCTCACCGTAAATGGCGTGGAGAACGTGCTGGCGGTCGAGGTGGTGGCCGAGACGGCGACGATGCCGGGCGTGTTGATCCTGCGTGATCGGCAGCTCGACAGCTTTGCTCTGCCGCGGAAGGACACGCTGATGGACCCGATGGTGAACCCGCCGATGGAATTCCACTACCCCTTTGAATCCGTCGTGCAAGCGCTTTCGTCATCGACCGCGTCCGCAGTCGGGGCGGAGGCGTCGGCCGTGGAGAACAGCTCGTGGTCGGAGCTCGTGCCACTGCCCTGGACGCAGAACCCGTCGCCCGTTGTGCTCAGCTTACGCGAGGGCAGCTATCCGACGCAGCACTCAACGGTGCAGGCGGCGACGCGTGCCGTCTTCTCTGCACAGTCGTTAGCGGATGAGGCACGGCTGCGGCAGACGAAAGATCGCCTAAGGCGTGAGGCGGAGCGCCGCGAGGGTGCCGGGGCTGGTAGGAAACGAAGGCGCATGCGATACCGGGACAACATGATTCTCAGCAACCGTCACTTGCTGCACTTTGGCTTCGACTTTTCGATCCCCTTTGCTCGTCAGCCAGATTGAGGCGCTGATTTGCCACTAGGTGCGTGGCGGCTCCGGTCAGTGGCGAGAAGGCCTCAAAAGGAAAAGAAAAAGCGATCAGCAGCCGCCCTGCCGTGCGATATCCACCGGCGTGTGTCGAAACGCAACGTGTAGTACTGTGGTCTCCACGATTGACGCGCCGATTAGACCTGCGTGCGAAAAGACACGGACAATACATGTCAAAGTAGAAGGAGAAAGGGCGATTACCGCCATCGCAGTTACTCACCGGCGCACGGCACAGCTACTGCGAAGCCCTTTTGCGTCACTCAACGGATTCTGATCAAGTGGGGCACATCTCGTGTCGTTCACCTTCGGTTTTGCTTTCTCTTTCACATTTCTATGGTGCGTGTGTGTGGGGGGGCTTTCTTATGGGCAACATTTCACGGCTCTTCTGACTTTTCCCCCCATCTTCGCTCTTTTAATCGGTCTTCTTTTCAACGGAAAGACGGCCGCCAGACCGCGGGAAAGGTATTCAGCGCACTCGCCCTTGCTGTTCATTCCAAATACACCGCATCCTCACAAAAACACGTGTGCTCCACTGAGGGGACCCACCATTAAAGAGAAAACCCGCGTGTTTTTCTCAAAGCGTTCTGGGATGTGCAGGCGATGCCGAAGGCTGCGTATCCTTCAAGGAACGGGTGCCGCTCTCCGTTGCGGCGAACGATCCAGCCGGCAAAACATCGTGTAGGTGTTCGTTCTTCTGAGCAGCGTCTTCTTCTCCGGTGTTCGGTGGGCGACAGAGCCGGCGAGGCGGCACCGTCGTCGATTCCGCGCGCCACAGCGGCTGACGCGTTGCGCCTTGTTTCCTACACCGATGCAACGCTGCCACAACGCAGTGTACATCCCTCACGGAGCGGCGGGGAGGTTGCACTGCATCAGTGTGGCGCCCCCTCGCCTGCCTCTGCGCGTCGCTCCTTGCTTTCTGCTGCCGCAACGGCGCGACTTGAGATGGAAACGGTCTCTAGCTGGAGTTCGACGACCAGTATGGACGCGCGCACGGAGGCCGCCCGGCCTGACGTGGGCTACGTGGCTCCGCTGAGTCACGAACGTCCACTGCTGCCGCTTGGCAGCGGTGTAGCACCGCAGAAGATGCCGTGCAAGCGCCTCCCTAATGCTAGCTCGATGCGTGCAGCGTTTGACCGCCTCAACGCCCGCCTTCGTCGCATTCGTGAAGGGAATGAATCGGCGTCGTGCTCACGCGATGCGGGTGCGCCTCCCCCGCCCTTGTGGTGCTCGGAAAAAGCTCTACACACGAAAGGCATCGCACAAGACAACACGGGGTGGAATTCGAAGCAGTCGGGGTGTTCTCCCGGTGCAGCTGCGGCCTCCGCTTCCACTGCGCCGACGCGCAGACCCGTCATCGTCAAACGCGGAAAGCGCAATGTCGGTCGCGTGCGCCCCTCTCGCGCGCCATCGGCGCTCATCACGTCCGCGCAGCTCCACGACGACGACATCGACGTCTTGGCTGAGAAGGACGAAGAAGCGGACCGCTGCAGATGGGCCGAGTCGCTTTAACGGTTTCAGAGAGTTCTCGAAGCACTCACTGCTTTCCTTGTTGTTTCGTCTGCTGATTTTTTCCCTTTTTCCCCTTTACAGCAAAACGGTGCTTCGACACCCCGTACACGACAACTGCTCCGTCTTAGGAAGAGAAAACGTGACTACAGAAACAACAGTAAACAATAGTTGTTGAAGCGCGGCTAACAGCCGACTTATATTGCCACTATTGTTTGCTTGATGCAACGCGTGGTGCACGTCGGTTAGGCGTTCGCGTTGTCGTTGAGACATCCGTAAGCGACCTCGTCGATGTCGTCCCGGTCCCTGTGGGGCGGCCTCAAGGTCACCAAACACGTTCGCCTTGTGCCCTCCCCCCCCCCCCCACCTCCGCCTTCTCCTCTCACATATATAATTTGATTTGTCGCTGCTTCTTTTTGCTGTTGCCTTCTCTCCGGCAACTCCGATGAAGAACGGTGTAAAGGACGTACGCAGCGCAGACAGGAGGGGAGGGATATACAGTCGGCACACGCTGCACTTCAACCGCCCGTTTTGTGAGGGGTATTCGATGTGAGGTCGAATGCTTTCAGACTGCTTTGCCTATCGCGTTTCTTTGTTTCTTTGTTTGTCTGTTTCTCTTCTCCTTCGCTACCAACACCGTTTTCCACAGCACTTCCGCTGCAGTCGCGAAGCGGCATCGCACTCGAACAACGCAGCGAAAAGCCGGACTGTAATTTTGTCCTCGCGAGAAGCGGCCGGACAACGTCGTGCTGCAGCGATTTGGTGTGGTTTTGTTTTGTTCTGTTTTACGTGGGCCCAAAGAAGAGAAGCGACGCTGCGGAAACTTCTCCTCGACGGCGAAGAGCTGAAAAGGCAGGTTCGTTGCCCACGTTGACGGCTACATCTGTAACACTACATCTGCGCCTCGCCCGAATCTTTTTTGCAAGCCGTTGAGACACATCATCGACGTTCCTTGACCCCCCCCCTCCTCCGCCCCTCCTTCCTCCTACATACACACACGAGAAGCCAACATGCCGTCCAACTCGTACAACACAGCCGATATCCCACGCGAGCTGCAGCGGCTGATCGACCACACCGACCGCGGCATCGAGCAGCTGTACCAGCTGGCAGGCGAGAGCGCCAAGCTCACCGAAGGTGCCCGACGTGGGGAAACAAAGCGTGGGCCCACGCAGCGGCAGCGTCAGCAGCGAGCGCAGCGGGATTCCTATTACTATGATCCAGTGCCGGCACCGCGTGCGTCAACGCAGCGTCGCGGTGCTCCTTCAGCTGCGTCATCTAGCGATGAAGATGATTATCCAAAAGAAGAAGAAGCAGAGGACTCTGACGACAGCGACGGAGACGCCTACGAAGAGGTCGTCAACATCTCAGGAGACAGGGGACGACTCGCAGGAAGCGGATGGAGTGGTCAACGCGACAGCCGGCAACGGAAAGGGAATCGGTCTCACGCGCCGACTGCACGCCCCCACCATAACGCGACGTCCTCCTATACAACACAGACACGCGCCGCCGCGTCGCTGCGGGGTTCTCCCGCCTCCACGCCGAACCGCAACGTGAATCACCTCAGCCGAACTCCTTTCTCTTCTTCTCCCGCCTCTCTCGAGAAACCGCCGTACGCACCGCAGCCCGCTTTGCCTTCCCCTTCTTCGTTTTTATCCTCCTCCCTGCCGAACCTCAGCGCGTCTGCCCCGCCACCACCGCCGCCGCCGTGGCAGCTGCGGCGACACAGTGGACGGAAGGCAACGACGACAACGGCGACGATGCGCAGCAGTGTAGTGGATAGTGGGCGTGGCTTTAATGCGCTATCAAGAGGGCGTGCTGGAAGCACTCATCACGGTGGCTCACCGTCTTCGCTCAATGACAGCGCCGCCTACCGCACGCACCTGGCTGCGCAGCAGTCCACGCAGAAGCCGGACGCAGCTGCTGCTGCAGCGGCGCGTCAACGGCGCTACCGCTCGCTTCTCTTCACGGATGCGGACGAGGACGCCAGCGCCGCCACTCCCGACTCGCACCGGGCAATGCACGACAACTCCCTGGCAGAGGCGTCGTCGCACCACCACAGTGGCTCTAACGTCAACACCTCCTTCGCGTCCGCGGGAATGTTGTCGCGCTTTGGCAAACGATGGGGTGCGGTGTTCGAGGATATGCTGGCAGCACCACCACCACCACCGTCACCTCCAGAAAAAGCAGCGATCGGAAAACCGGCAAGGGCAAAGCTGGCGCGAGGAGAAGCCGCTGACCGGCGGCGCGTGTCGTCAATGACGTCCTCCTCCTCTTCTACCAACTCTGACAACGAAGTGGAAGACGAAAGAAAAGTGAGACCGCAGCCAAGAAGCAAAAGCGCTGCCGAGAAGGAGAAGCGACCACAACGGGAAGAGGAGCGTTGGCAGGCAGCCCCGCTGACAGCCAGCAGCACGAGTATTCACGCCGCAGCGGAGGCACTTGCAGCACGACCGCGCACCTCACCCAACAGCAGTGGAATAGTCGCCACCGTGAAGCCTTCTCTTTCCCCTCTCCCCGCATATCAAAGCAGCGCCGATGCGCGCATCATCGAGCAGCTCCGGGCAGATCTACAGACGAAGGAGGAAGCAATGCTCCAGCTCCGTATGGATCATGCACGGGAAATGGCGGAGGTCCGGCAGTCCAGCTCGCTCGAGCGCGCCTCGGCGGCGAAGAACACGGCGGATGAACTCGCCACCACCTACGGCATTCAGCAGCAGCTGCTGCAGACGTCCCTGCAGACGGAGCGTGAGCGGGTGGCGGAGGCGGAGGAGCAGCTTCGCCTGACGCGTCGCGAGGCAGCGCAGCGTAAGCTGGACCTGGAGGACGCCACCCACGCTCTCGAGACACTTCAAAGCAAGCACACGACGCTGGCGAACGCACATCAGGAGCTTGTCGCGCAATCCGCCCAGTGGCGCGCGCATGCCGAGAAGGCCTCCACGACAGTCCGTCAGCTCGAAGCACAGGAGAAGGTTTGGAAGGCAAAGGAAGTGGATTGGCAAGCGCGGGAGACGCAGCTGCAACAGCGCCTCGAGGCAGCCGAGGTGCGCCTTCGGCAGCAGGAGGCGTCGGCGCAGGAAGTACTGGCGCAGGTGGAGACCGAGTTCACGCAGACGTCGCAGAGCTACCAGGACCTGCTCGCCGAGGCAACGAAGCGCATGTCCTACCTCGAGAAGAGCCACCGCAAGTACAAGGTGATGAAGGAGTCACACAACCTGCTCAAGACGGAGCACGCGCAGCTCGTGGAGTCGGCGCTGCAACGGACACAGCGGCACGAGAGTGAAGTGAGTGCGTTGACTGCGGAGGTGCTAGAGCTGCGCCGGCAACTGCACCAGCGGGACTCCGTCTCACAGGAGGCGTCAGAGTCGTATCAGGAAACGCTGAGGGACTACAAGCGGCGGTTGGAGCTGCAGGAGGCGAACGCCGCGGAGCACGCGCAGACGCTGCAGCAGCACATCGCCACGGCCAACCACACCATCGAACTGCTGCGCACGCAGCTGGAGAGCGCCAAGCAGGAGGTACTGGAGGAGCAAAGACGCAGTCAGCAGCAACAGATGGAGGCAGCTCAGGCAGAGCTGCACGCGCGAGAAAACTTAGCGGAGCAGCAGCGATCGGCAGCCGCGTTCAAGGTGCGTACCGAGGATGTCATTGCTCAGCAGAAGCGCCAACTGAAGGAGAAAGATACGAAGATGCAGGCCCTGGCCGCCGGTGCAGCGGAACCCGTGCAGCGCCTGCGAGAGCAGCTCGAGGACGAGCGAGGACGACGCGCCCGGCTGGAGGAGCAGCTGAAGACGTACAAGCGAAAGGCGAAGCAAGCGGAGGAGCACGCGGCGGCGGAGATACGGCGGGAGCAGCTGCGCAACGCCCTCCTGTCAACTCCCGCCGCCTCTGCCTCCGCCTCCGCCCCGCAGCGTCTCTTGCGGTCTGCCACGGCGACCCCGTCTGTGCACAGCACCTCCCCGCCGCGGCCGTTCTTCGCTGTCAGTGGTACTAGTACCAGCGGCCAAGGAGGCGCCGCACCGCCTGTGGCTCTGAGCTTGGCGGCTCGTCGCAGCGCCACTGCGTCGTCGTCGGCCGATGGAGCTCATAGAAATCGCGGTGCCTCACCCTTTCACGCAGCGCGGCCTCCGACGGCGGTGGTGAGGGGCACGACGCCGTCCGCGGAAGGGACGCGGGTGGGAGGGGCAACGAAGCAGCGGCAGCGGAGCCCACCGCACACGCCGACCTCGTCGCCCGCGGTGGACGGCTTCCCTCCTACGTCGCACGCGCCGCAGGGATCTGCCTTCACAAGAGCCGGTGGCCACCCACATATCTCCTCCTTGTCGCCTCCAGCGTCCGCCCAGCCGTCCGCTTCGAATGAACGACGGCGATCTGCGAAAGAGAAGGACGTCGCTCCTGTGGCCGCCGGTGCTGGTTTGGTGGGCACGCCTGCGATATCGCCCAACGCCACGGTGCAGTCCATCTCCGGCATTTCGCATTCTACGCCGTACACGAGCACGCTGCTGGGGGACGCGGAGTTGGAGAGGGCGACGGCTATGGCGGCTGCCTCTGGTGGTGGTGCGGGTCCACCAAGCGAAGGGAGTGCATCAGGGCAGAGGAAGAATGACTTGGAGAGCGAACGCGAGAGCGATGACGCAGCGCACGGCGGCACCGCAAGCGCGCTGCCTTGGTATGCCCAGAAGGCGAGACGCCAAGGCAAATGGAAAGAAGAAGAGGAAGAAGAGCAGCAGGATCTGCCAAGACATGAGCGCCCACACGCCTCGTTCTCTCCTCCGCGCACGGGGCAGGAGGACGCCGTCGCCACGACGCAGGTGTTCACCGATGCTGGCATGCAGGAGCACGAGGAGCGCATGCGCACCTTCCACTCTAGCGCCCTGGAAGTGATGCGGCGTTTTGCGGGCAGCCGTCAGGAGGCGCTGGCGCGGTGTGCTGACATCGTTAAGCAAACCGCCGTCGAGCGCCGCCGCGATGCGCAGGCACGTTCGCTGCGTGAGAGCGACGGTCGCGCAAGTCCGGCAGCAGCAGCAGCTGCTGATGCCTCCGACAGCGAGAGCGAATCGCAGTAGAACGGTGAAGTGCTGCCCATTGCGTCCGCCCCCTCAAGTAGTTTGGCTGACGATATAGAAAAGAAAGATGGACGCGCGAGGGGACGACTTTGACTGCGTAGTTCTTTTTATTTCCAGCAAGGCAAAAAGAGTCCTTTTCATTTGCGGTGTTCTACACATAGAGAAGGTCTAATCGTTGTCGATGTCGAACACGAGAGACGATGGAAAAACTATAAACACACGCAAGTTCGTGTGAAAGTATTTTTTGCAGTTCTTTCTCTTTTCAAGTGAGACGAGTTGACTCGAAGTCGATCACTTCTTGGCGCTGCCCCCTCCCCCCCCCCCTTTCCCTCCATCTCCTTTTGTCTGTGTTCGCGGCGTATCGGAGCTCTGTGGGCCGTTGGGCTTGATGGCGCTGCTTTCCCGTGTTCGGCGATGGTGGAGTTGTCGAGGCGGTGGATCTTACCTCGTCTTTGACGATCGCCACCCACCGGGAGCGACTGCGTCGGGTAGAGCCAGGTGATGCTAACATACACAGGCTTTAATATATTTGCGACATTCTTAGACGAATTGCGTTGGCTCTTGCTCTCCTCTCCTCTCCTCTCTCTCTCTCACTGTACTCTGGTGCTGTCTGCGCGCTCTCTCGTGTCGTACGTACGCACTCGTACGCTCTTCTTCTTCTTTAATGTTTTTAAAGCTCCAAGTGCAGCTCAAACGCCCCTCTTTTCTTTCGTCAACGTCGGCAGCACGTAGCGTGTGTGTGTGTGTGTGCCTGTGTGTTGACGGGAAAAGAAACAACAAGCACACAGCAACAACAACAAAAGAAAAATGTTAGGCGGTCGCCACTTTCAGAAGAAGTTCGACAAGAAGCAGAAGAAGAAGAATGCAAAGAGAGAAGGTCAGCCCCATGCGCACGGCAAGAGCCCAGGCGGTGGCGATGCGCCGGCCGCGCTGAAGAAGAAGGACGGGAGCAACGTCAAAGGCCCCATTGTGTCGTATGGCGACGTAACGGCCTCTCGCGACTCGGCCAACAATCGCAAGAATATTCCCTTCTCCAGTGCGATGGAGGAGAAGATGTACCGCAAGGCGCACCGCGTACCGAAGTACAACGCTATTGTGAACCCGACGCAGCAGAATTTGGCGAAGGCGACGGGGGCGAGCAGCGCGGCACAGCGACGGCGTGTGCTGCGCCAGAAGGGCGACGACGAGCTGCTCGACCACTTCCGCAACCGCCTGAACGCCAGCACTTTTCGTCTGCTGAACGAGCAGGTGTACGCCGCCCCGACGACGCTGGCGAGCCGGCTGCTGCGCGATGAGGCGACCTTCAAGGACTACCACACCGGGTATCACCAGCAGCTCGTGCAGTGGCCCATCAACCCCAATAGCGTCATAGTGGAATCGCTGCTCGGCGACCGCCGTGGCCGATTTCTCGCGAACAAAGGCAAGAGCATGCCCGGGTACATTCCACCTTCCTGGGTGGTGGCGGACATGGGCTGCGGGGAGGCCCAGATCGCCGCGGCGCTGAAGCCGAAGGGCTACACGGTGCACTCGTTCGACTTCTGCGCACTGAACCCGAACGTGACGGTGGCGGACACAACGAAGGTTCCATTAGAGAGCAACAGCGTGGACGTGTGTGTCTTTTCCTTAAGTCTCATGTCGACCGACTACGAAAGGAGCCTATTTGAGGCGTTCCGCATTTTGAAGCCGAAGCGTTTGCTTAAGATTATCGAGGTGCGCTCACGCGTGCCGTTCCCGCGCAAGTTTGCCGAGATGGTCGAGGACATCGGCTTCGATGTCGACTACACGGATGTGGCGGGCGATTACTTCGTCGTGTTTGACTTCATAAAGAGGGACGGACAGGCGAAGGCGAACACGGAGTTGCGTCATCGACCGGGCGACGTGCTCGTGCCGTCCTTGTATAAGAAGCGATGAGAAGCCTGCGACGCACCGTGTTGCGGTCCTTGTGGTTGCTGCGGTGTTCTTCGGTAATAACGATTGAAATTGTTAAATAATCTGCGATTAACCAAGCCGAGTACATCATAGCACTTTTGCATAGTAGTCAGGAACAGGTCCTAATATCGAGAAGGCGTGTGCGTGGGTGTGAGGTGGGTGCGCTGCTCACCTTTCGTTGCTAGGTGCGTTTCGGGGTTTCCAAAAGAACACTGCTCAGACCTGCTTTTTTTTTTGCCGTTGGTGCTGACGTTGTTGGAGATGTCTCTCTCTCTCTCGGCAGACGAGACAAAGAAATAAGCAAAGTGGAAACTCTTCTTTATCTCTCCTTCAGCATTCAGCCTCTGTCAATAATAGTAGAGGAGTTTGACTTCCCTCTTCTCCTTTCCTTTATTATTATTATTATTATTATCTGATAGTCGCGGAACGCACCGGCGGTGGACAACGGCGATTCTACTCCTTCTCTTCTTTACCCGTTCCTCTTATTTTAATTCTCCTCTTCATGGAGTGCATCGGCCCTACTTTGTTCCTGCTTGCGAAATAATTAAAACGAGAGGCGAAATCGTGAAGAGCGGGGGCCTCGCCTTACAGTGTGCGCGACACGAGTGTTGACGTAACGCAGATAGCTCGTCCTGTCTTGACTTGCCGGCGCAGAAGCTTGTGCGTGACTCACGGCGCCCCCTTCGCGGTTCCCCTTTCCCACCTGCTGAAGCTGAAACGCACTTCGTAGGTAAATGAGCCGCAGGAGCCGTCGCCTCCACGTACGTCTCGTGCGTGCCGCAGCGGTGGCAGCGAGCGCCGCTTTCCTCTATCGTCGATGGCAGCTGCGTGCCTTCGGCGTGTACCCCGCCTCCGCCTATCACTCCCCGTCTCCCTCCTCCGCACCAACATCAGCCCCCGAAGAAGCTGCGCAGCCGTTGTCGACAACACGGCGCAGTCGTTGGTCGCGCCTGCTGTCTAGTTCACCTGACAAGCCCTTCGACGTGCTTGTGGTCGGTGGCGGCCTCATCGGACTTTACACGGCCGTCGACGCGGCACAAAGGGGCCTGCACGTGGCGTTGATAGACGCGGCGGATATTGGATCTGGCAGCACCACATCTCACATGCCCGCCGTTTCTCCTGGTGCGTTCCCCTACGTGCAACGTGCCATCCGTCAGCGCGACGCAGGCTGGCTGCGTGCCGCGGTGACCACGATGGCGGAGGAGACGACCTGGCAAAATGTGGCGGCTTCTTGTGTGCTCGCACCGGACACGGTACGTCAGCGAGTGCAAACTCGCCTGGCACGCGTACGGCGCTACTTTGGTCGAAGCAGGGAAGTGGCAGCGAACGGTGGAAGCGACGGAGGGGTGTCGGTGCGGACGGCCACCACGTTACTCCCCGCGCTGCACTCTTTAGAGATGTTCGAGTACGTCTGCGCAGCCGTGATCAGCACCGCGCTGAGCGTCTTCTGCGGACCAATGCGTCCAGTCTCGGTCCTCTCTACCGCTGCGGTGGAGCGTCGCTTGCCGGCACTCGGGTCGAACGCCGCCTGTCCTTCTCGCAGTCCTGCGGTGCGCGTAAAGGGCGGGGTGGTCACCAGCAACACGAGCATCGCGACGCACACCGCCGCGGTGGCCTTGGCGCTGACAGCGGAGCAGCTGGGCGTGGCGTTGTGCACCTACGCCCCTATCGTTCACCTTCGCGAGCAAACGGCAACGGAAAATAACGTGCCGAATGGGAAGCGTGGAAGTAGTGCGCAGGAGGTGCAGGCGGGACACGGGCTCACATCGTGGCTTGTTGGTCCGTCAGTGGAGCGCACGTCCGCTGCCGGCCCGTCAACGATTTTTGTTGCCCACGTGCGGGACGCCCTCTCCGCCGGCAGCGAGGTTGACCGCAGTGGCAGCCGCACCCCGGCTTCGGCGTCGACGCCTTTTCTTTTGCGCTGGCTCGCGCCACGTACCGTCATAACGGCGTCGTCGACGACTACGCCCGCGCTTGTTGCGCACACGCAGAAGGGCCACGCGTATGAGGCGGCGGCGGTATCGACCGCCTCCTCCGCCGCCGCCGTCGTCTACGCGCGGAGCGTCGTGAACTGCACTGGTTGCGACGTGGACGCGGTGAAGACCCTCTTCGACGGCAACGCTCGCGATGCCGTGCCCGCCGCCTTTGCCGGGTACCTGACTTACTCCTACCTGGTTGCACCAGCAGACGCCGTCTACGCAGCTCCTGCCGCGGCTCAGCCGGAAGATCACAGCCATTCGACGGATGCCACGAAGGCTGCATTGACGTCACCGCTTTCCCAGTCCACGCGTACCACCGGCCTGCATTTCAGCTCCCCTCGTCTCAGCTTCGCCTCAGCGATGGTGCTGCCGTGGTGGGACCGATGTGTGCTGCTCGGGCCGAGTATTTCACCTCTTCCGCTCCTGCGCCGCAGCGAGAACGCCGTAGCTGCTGCAGGTGCCGCACCAGACGCGTTCCCGCAACGGGGGGCACGGGGACTCTGCGAGTGCACTGGAAGGCTCCTATGTGGTGCAGTCCGTGGATGGCTACGCGGCGCAGCGAGAGCGGGTCGTGACGATGCTGGCCAGCTGTGGCGTCGCGGTCGACGCGTCACGACTGCTCTCGTGCGTGTCGCAAGTCGTCCCTTACGTGAAGAGCCCAAAGGAGGTGCCTTTCCAGAGAGAGTTGCTGGACAAGGGCTACGCACTGCGCTTCTCGTCTGTCCCGGTGCAGGAGCGCGATGACGCGCCCACACCGGAAGCCGTTCGTCCTTCGCCCACTCCAAGTGAGATAAGTCGCCATGACGAGGAAAAGCGCCACCGTGACGTCGCCCTTCTTCACGTGTATGGCGGCTCCCCCGTGCTGGCGCGGCGCATTGCCGAGGACGCGGTGAACGCGCTGGTGCGCCATCCGGCGCTAGTAGCCGCTGCCCGTGAGCAGCAGCTGCATCGGTGCCGCACTCATCGCCTGCTGCTCACCACGCCGCCTTCCCTTGCAAAAGAAGCCGCTCTACCCGATGAGAAGGCCGAGTCTCGGCTGGAGGCGTTAATCCTCGATACCTACGCGGAGCGGCTGGTAGATGTGGTGGCGCGGCGCACACACGTTGCCTACACGAGCCCCGATGACGCCATGCGCGCGCTGCCGTCGATTGCTGCGGTGATGCGCCGGTTGAAGGGGTGGTCAGCGGAGCAGATGGAGGCGGAGGTGGACGCGGCGCGTCGTCTTGTCGCCTCCATCGCTGTCGTCGCGCCTACGGCTGCCTCGTGAGGTTTGCAGAGGGCGGATCTAAAATACATATATATATTTCTTTCTGAAAGCACTGGACCTGGACTTCTTGTTTCCAGTGTGTGTTTCTGCCGTCGTTGCGTGTCATCACATTCCACGTCAAATATACATATATATATATCGTGCAACGGAAACAAACCTGTCCTCAGCAAAGGAGTGAGGGGGAAGGGTGCTGTACTTCGCCTTTCTCCGCAGGCAAAAACCGGAAGGAGAGAGGGGGAGGGCACACGTGTTCAATCCGGCAGACTTTTTTTGTTTGTGCTTCTGCTGTGCTTTCTTTTGCTGACGAGCGATGAAGCGAGGGGGGAGATGAAAAGTGGCGTCTGCGTATTGTTTGTCTCCCGCCGTTCAATGATGATTGGCGATGCTCGTTAAACCACACGGTGTAACGCAACTTCGCATGTTTTTTTTTTCTCCCTTTTAGACGGAGTAAAAGATAGTAAACCGTGCTCACGGCAATGCATTCTCTATCGTCGCTTTCCACGTTGTGTCCCCACTCTTGATGCTCCTCCTTCCCCTTTCCTTGGCAGAAAAAGTTGTTTTGAGTACTACAGCTCTACCGTTGCCTTTCTTCTTTCGTTGATTTTCGTATACACCTCCTTGTTCCCCAAACATAGCGGAACTTCAGTTGGAACGCAGCAGCTGCCTCGACAGCAGGAACGAGCAAACACACTTCGCTCTCTCCTCCTCCCTCTTCTTTTTCTTTCTTTTGCTGCTGTATCTCTTTTCGTTTTTCCCTTTTCTCTCTATCTCTTTCTTTTCTTCGTTGAAAATAGTTTTGATTTGTGGCTCTCGTCTCACATCGCACGAGGTCACACACGACCCGTTGAAGCCCCCTTTTCTATTACTCACCGCCTATCAGCGTCCAGCTGACCCCCTCCTCCCTTGTGTGTGGGTATGTGTGGAGGTTTTTCAAGACCCGCTTTCCGAGCTCCCTTCGCACTTCTTCTTCCGCACCTCCTTCGTGGCTGAGTCCCACTCCGACCCTTTTTTCCCCGCAGAGAACACGCATCGAAACGAGGCGAAGGAATCCGACAATCCGTGCTGTTTTTGTTTTTCTGCCTTGTATCTTATTATTGTTTAGGGAGAGTTATCCCTCTCCTTCATATACACACACACACACACACATACAGAGATACTCACCCATGCAAGCGATGGCGTCCAACACGATTGGAAGCTTCTACTACTTTGCCTACGGCACCTATGTCGATCCGGAGGTGATGAAGCCGGCCCTCGCCGCGGTGTCAGACGGCGCCGTCCCCGTTGTCTTGCACGCCCGGCCCGCCCTTCTACCTGGCTATCGACTTGTGTGCGACGCTGTCAGTGTGGAGGGCCCGCGGTTCGGACGCCTGAACATTTGCCCCTACGCCTTAGTGCCGCAAGAGCCCGCCGCCGTACGCGACAAGGGCGCGCACCACACCTCGAGGCACCACGGCAGCCACCGGGACGACTCGCACGAGTGCGTGGCGGCCTTCCGTGACGGCGTGCGTGGCGTGCTCTACGAGCTGCCGGCAAACATGCGCACCCCGCTGCTGCAGGCCGTCGCACGCGAAGGGTCCTTCAACGTGTACGGCACGCTGACCTGCTTCGAGCTTGACGACGTGCGTCACGGCGGGCAGAACGCGGATGCTGCCATGCACGAGGCGCTCGTCATCGCCGCGCTGGACCTGCCGCTGCTGGAGCGCAAGTACGTCCTGGAAAAGATGATGACGCTGCGGTGGATGGCGCTGCCGGCCCCGCAGGATGTCACGGCGCCGCCTGGGCTGGCATCCACCGCTGCCGCCCCCACCGCAGGTGCAGAGGCGCATAAAGCGAACACCGGCAACGCGACAAGCAACGAGAGCGGCTCGTGCGGTGACAACCGCAGCAGCGGCGCCGCGGTGGTATTTCGCTGGCCTGGGCTGCACTGGTGTAACTGCATTAGCTCCCAATGCGTCGCCCCAAGTCGTGCGTACGTCGCGGCGATTCAAAAGGCGTACACGGAGTACCTGCTGCTGCAGACCGCCACCGAAGAGGACGCGGAGGGGCAGGAGAAGCACAAGAAGGACGAGGAAAGCGCACACGCCGGCGAGGGCAATGGGGGGGACTGCGTCTCCTACGGACAGGCCATTTACCGCCTCGTGTACATGCGTGCGCGCGACACGGCGAAGGATCCGCTGGAGGCGAAAACGTGGTATTTCGCCTACGGGTCCAACCTGTCGTGGGAGCAGGTGTCTCTCCGCATTGGGCCACCGTACCAGCGTCGGGCGGTGAAGCTGCGCGACTACGTACTCGTGCCCAACAAAACTCCCTTGGATCAAATCAAGTACGCGTCGTTTGGCTACTGCAACGTCGAGCCGGTCGAGGTGCGAGAGGAAAAGGTGGCGAAGGGGCTCGTGAAGCACCACAGCACGATGCCGCCGTACGTGTGTGGGGCGGCCTATGAGATCAGCATGGCGCAGTTGGAGATGATGGACGGCTACGAAAGGGGCTACGACAGGGAGTGGCTGCGCTGCACCGACCTGCACGACCCCGACGCCGCGCCGTGGGACTGCTGGACGTACATTGCACAAGAAACCTCCGAGGATCTTCTGCCGTCGCGGGAGTACCTCGCACGCGTCCTGGAAGGGGCGGACATTCTTCCGCTGGAGTACATTGAGGGGATCCGCGCAATCCCAACCAACCCCCTGCGCAGCCCGCGTCAGGAGCGGCGCCTACGGAAAGAACTTTAGCCGCTTTTCTTCTTCATCACTTTTCTTTTCTTTTCTTTCACGAAAGGGTCTTTCTTTGGGCTGAATGAGAGAGAGTGCTTCCTCTTCGGCTGTGGTGGTGAGTGGGTGCGCGGAGGAGCGCAAAACCTCTGGTCGGCCCCGTAAAAGCCCTCGCACGGACGCGACCAGACTTCATGACCCCCCCCCTCGTCTTTTCTGTATTCTTTTTAGTAGCTGTTATTATTATTATCATTAAGATTTAAGTGGCGTACAGGGGTGGGGTATCATCGCACCAGCTACTACACAAGCACACACACGCAAATGGCCGAAGCAAAGCAAACAAACAAACAAAAGGTCCACTACCGGGGATGGATATTTATAGCCGTCCCTCTCGCAGCTATGAATGGCGTTCCGGACAAGGTGAGATGCGCGGAACTCGCCCCATATCTTTCTGCGACTCCGCCGTGGCTCTGACGCCGACTGTTGTGCACAGCAAAAAAAAACTGCCGTGCTCGTCCTCCGACGAGCCTATGTGGAAAAGAGGGAAACACATGCTCACGAACACACATGCACACACATTACTTTATCGCTTATTCCTCTCCTGTTCTCACACCACGACGATGATGACGCGTATTATCATTATTTCTTCCGTGCTCGTGAAGTATGACAGATAGAAGAAGAAGCTAACCTGTCCATAGCGCTTGGCTTCGATAACTCACAAAAGGACAAGCTGAAAACAAGAAGCATTCACACCGCCGAGTAATACAGTATTTGATTCACACCAGATCCGCGTGACACGTAGGAACCTACAAGGAAGAAAGCGGCTGGATCGGCCGCTGATTCTCTGTCCGATTTTTGCGTTGCTGACTCCCTCTGCAGTTCCATTCATATTTTTTTTGAAGAAGCTGCTTTTCATGAGTACCTTCCAAAAGAGGCCTAATGCTTTCAACGGACCGCCATCAAGGGCGACGGCGTGGATGCGCATCCTTGACGATGGCGTTGTTGGTGCTGCACCTGATGTGTGCACCGCGGCTCGCCTCGGCGTGCAACTCCATGGACTGCTACACGCCATCGCAGCAGACAAACACGCTTCAGTTTCTCAACTTGATTCGGACAGCCTTTACGTTGGACCTCGGCTCGCAAGATGACTTTTGTGAATGGCGCGGTGTGACCTGCGGGGAGCAAGGCGTAGATGTCGTGTTGACGCACGACAAGCTCCGCGACACGCTGCCGCAGCTTCGCAGCGACATCGACGCCTCTGAAGTGATGCTACGCCTGGTCGACTTCTCGTCCAATACGTACCTGGTGGGGGCGCTGCCGATGAGCTGGGCTACGGTGACGCAGCTTCAAGTCGTGTATCTGCGCAGCACCGGCATCACAGGGTCGGTGCCAGCGGACTGGTCTGCTCTGGCGTTGTTGATGGACTTTGATATCTCCAACACATCGATGTCGGGCACCCTCCCACCCGAGTGGAGCTCCTTGACTCGCCTGCAGGCGTTTAACGGGAGCAGCACGCGGCTGAGCGGCACGCTCCCGTCGACGTGGAAAGCCATGAAGTTGATGGCGAAGTTCGACGTATCGCGCACAGGCGTTAACGGAAAGCTCCCACCGGAGTGGGCGGCCATGACCCGTATGACACGTGTCTCGCTGACCTCGACGGGCGTTGCGGGCTCGCTGCCGACACTGTGGGGACTCATGACGATGCTGGCGCACTTCGATGCCTCACACACCCTCGTAAGCGGTACCGTGCCGTTGGCGTGGTTCTCCATGCCCAAGTTACAAACGTTCAACGTGTCGCACACGCACCTGAGCGGCGTGCTTCCGGCCTTGCTGTTGCTTTTGCCAAGCATAACGCACCTGGATATGTCCCACACGGACGTCTCTGGTGGTCTCACGTGGCTGTGGCGCAACATGAAGTCGCTGATCAGCCTCCGAATTCAGAACACCGGCATTGGTGGCAGTCTGCCATATCAGTGGTCGACGATGACCGCCTTGACAGACTTCAACGCCTCCTCTACTGCCATCACGGGAACGCTGCCCTCGGTGTGGCGCAGCATGAGTCAGATGACCAGCTTCGATGTCTCGAACACCGACATCGCTGGTTCACTCCCTGCCGAATGGAGTGCCATGACGGCCTTGGAAGTGTTGAAGGTATCCAGCACCGGCATCAGCGGCACGATTCCTGATGTCTGGTCCGGCCTGAGGTCTTTGCGGGTGATCGACGTATCCAACACGTCGATCAGCGGGACTCTTTCCGATGCCTGGGGCGCCATGTCGAACATGACGTGCGTGAACGTGGCGCACACGAATATCTCGGGCGGGCTTCCTGTGGCGTGGGCTTCGCTGACGTCGTTGGCAAACTTTCACGCATCCGGGTCCGCCGTCCGCGGCACTCTCCCACCGGAGTGGGCCGCCCTCACCTCGCTGTCCAGCTTCAACGTGTCGAACACCTCCATCTCGGGCACCCTGCCTTCTCCGTGGAGCTCGTTGACGAAGATGCAGATGCTTGACGTGACCGACACCTCGGTGAACGGGACGCTGCCCTCTTCATGGAGTGCCCTGACGAGCATGACTTGTTTCGCCGCCTCTAGAACGAGCATGTCTGGACGCCTTCCGCCATCCTGGGTTGCGATGACGCTGCTTCGGCAGTTTGCCGCAGACGGCACGAACATCAGCGGCGCGCTCCCACAGCGGTGGGCGGGGCTGTCTAACTTAGCACGCTTTAGCATCTCTGACAGCCGCGTGAGGGGCTACCTGCCGAAGTTGTGGGGCTCCATGACGTCCATGGGTCACTTCAACGTGTCAGGGACGGACCTGGATGGCAGCCTGCCGCGCTCCTGGAGTACGATGACCTCCCTCGCCACCTTCTCGGTTGCCCAGACAAGAATTGGTGGCACGCTGCCGCCGGAGTGGTCCACCATGCGAGAGTTGCAGGTCTTCGACGTCTCTGGCACACCGATCGCGGGCACGATCCCCGACACGTGGGGCACGCTGAGACCACTGAAGGAGGTTCATCTTGACGGCACGGGAGTGACGTGTTGTCTGCCCTACGAGTGGCTGTGCAGCAAGAGCTTCACGCCGAGCAGCGTTGGTTTGACGGCGAAGGCGTCGGATGCGTGTACGGCAGCCATGGAGGTGTGCCGGGCTTCCTCGGACACGTACACCACCGGGTGCGCCGCCTACACCCCTCCCAAGTCTACTCGGTCGTCGTCTTCAGGTTTTCCGGTATGGGCCGTTATCGTGATTGTGCTGGGCGGCGCTGCTGTTCTCTTTGTGCCGCTGACCTTCTTGTGGTGCTGGCTCATGCACGGGGGCCGCAATTGGCAAGATAATCTTTCCTCCGTCGACTCACGCGCATCGCAGGAGCTGGACGAGGACCACGACGCGGATGGGACGCTGTCTGAAGCGGCGGCGACCTCCACTGGCTCGGACGATTGCGCCGGCGTGCCGCCCGCCCCCCCCCCCCCCAACGCGAGCCCGCTTACGTCTTCTTAAGTGCGTGCTGTGCAGCCTTTTTCAAGCCTCACCGTGCGCGCTGCGCAACGTGGAGTGTATTGCCGCTGCTGCTGCTCCCCCCTCCCCATTTCTCTTTCACTTTCAGCAACTCTGTTTCGTCCCTTTTGTGTGTGTGTACATCCGTGTGATTCTGAAGGACATCTATCAATCTAAACTGCAGCCTGTGTGGGTGTGTATATATGATATTCCTCTTTCGATAAGTTCGTTTCAGCTGCGAACACGTGTGTGTGTGTGTGTGTGTGTGTGTGTGTCTGCTGACTTACCCGTATTTTGATCTCCACGAGCCTCTGCCTTTCTCACCGTTCCCTGATTCGGCCTCCCATTCTTTGTGGGGCGAGGAGCCCACGCACACCCGCACTCTTTCTTCGGTAAATGAAAAAAGAACGCTGTCGCAGTTTTATATCTTATTATCTCTTTCCTTTTTCTTTTTGGCAGTAGAAGCCGTTGACAAAAATAGAATCGTTCTTTCCTCCGCCCTCACAAAGATATATATATATATATATATGTATATATGGTTAAGGAAGTAGACCACGTCCAGACGTGCCGCTGTGTGTGCAGACTCTGCCAAGCGGAGATACGTTGCGGCGTGTCTCTTGCCGTGCCATACCCGCACAACAAAGTTTTTGTTTTACATTTTTCTCTTCTCGTTCTTCTCTTCCTTCCTTCGCGGTGCGGCGTTGAATCCCAGCATCGTTGCACCAGCATGTGCGTATAGATTATGTAGGCTTATTTTTTGTGTGTGTGTGTTGGTGTTGTTGTTTGTTTTGCCTGAAAATGAGCCTCTCAACACGTGTCTCCGCTTCTGACCTTCGCAGCAGCTGAGGAGCACCGTGTGAAAATATGTGAAAGAGAGACACCGTTTTTCCCCCTCTTTTTTTGATGTTACACGCGGAAGGGCATGCTTGTAACCGTTTATTCTTTTGTTGGTAGTGCTTTTATCCGTGTGCGCCAGCATTAGCGTATTTCGTTTTTAAAGCCATTCGATTTCTATGGGTTTGAGGAGACACCTTTGGAATCTAGCAGTTCATGTTATTTTTCTTGTTGTTTTGTTTATGATGTGTTCTTCTTCTCTTTCCCTTTTGATGTTATTTCCTTTTTATTCTCTCTATGCGGTAAGTACTCTCATTTTATTCCCTTTAAAGCCCGCCATTTGCTGTATGTGCAGCTGCCACGCTTGCAGCTCATCACTGTATCTAAAACAAAACAAAATAAATGAATCGCTTCTGTTTTGATTTGCTAGCGCCGTTTGTCGCACCCCTTTCGAAGGGGACGACTGCGAAACCGTCATGTTGGATCGGAGCTGGGAGTGAACAATGCCTGTAGGGGGTTGTCGCCTCCTCTCCTTCTCTGTCCCTCTGCACGTCTCAAGCGATGGGTGTGTGGAACGCTCTCTCTCACAGCTACGTTAACTAAAAGGGGCGCTCAGGGAGTCAGCTTCTTCTCTGTTGTTTTCAAACGCTCCTCTCCGCTTTTTGTTCTACCTTTCTCCAACTGCGTCTCTCTTCTGTACACGTAATCCCTGGCGCGAGGGTACCTTTGCGGTGTGTTCACCTCTCCGCTCGTCGCGGTTCCGTAGCCCAGACATCGTAGCCCTTCCACAGAGCAGAAGCCTGTTCTTCTTAGAAAACTATTCTGCACATCCGCCGATTTCCTCAGCATGCAGACGGAGTACAAGTTCAACGCCGAGGAGCTGTTTCACGATCCGCCGATGAACATCCCGGAGCGCGCGCTCGACTACGGCCGTCGCGGCAGTACTCCATAGGTCGAGCATCGTCGTCCCACCAGTCACCCCGCACATCCACGTGCGTCAACGCATGCGGCGTCGTTTATCGTGGTCTAAACGCCGGAGCCGAGCTTTGTGCCTGACACGGTGGACCCGTCGCCCTGTCGAGCACACCGCGCGTAGACTGATTGTGCTGCGACGGGCCACGGATGCGCTGAACAGCGCATCTTATATATATCTGTATGTGTACCATTTTTCGTTGGTAAGAGGATTCAATGGGTTATTGTCTCCGTTTTGTTCATTTTTTCTTTCTTTCTCCATACGAAACCGCCAAATGCTTCTATCTTATTACTATTATTATTGTTATTTGGGGTTTCTACTCCTCTGCTTTGCTCTCACCCAACCCACTCCGACTGCTCTTGACCTTCTCTTGTGGTCCTCCCCTGTGTGTGTGTGTGGGCTGCCTCTCTTTCTCTCTCTCTACATATCAGTTTTTTTTTCTCTTTTTTTTTTGCTTAAGTACTCCACTCATTTTGTTTTTGTTGCTGTCACTGTTGCCGTGGCGTGTGGCTCCTTCTTTTCCTTTCTCCCCTCCCCCCTCCTCCCCCCTCCCTCTGCCATCACCATCCCCACCACCCTTCGTCGCGTGTTTTCCCGTGACGTTGACGGACGGCGACTTTGCGGGTGCTTTGGTTCTGTTTTCTTTTTCTTTCTTTGGCAGTACGTAAAACCGTAGAATAAAGGGAAAGGGGCGCCATGCGGGGCGGGAGAAATTATACAACGCAACGAGAAGAATCCGCTGTTACTCCGACATATCCGCCTACTCGCAACGCTTCTTATTTGTGTATTTATTCAAGACGCCGTTTTCCCTTTCTGACACACTTTTGGTTTGCGATTGAGGTGAGGGAGGGGAGGGAGGGAGGGGGGCGGGACGGGGGGAATGATGAAGACTGGACTGTAGGTGGGGGCGATGCGTGCGCCGAACCCATTGTGTTTCCAGCAGCGGCTTCCCTCACGAAGACTCGCTGCACGCCTCTCTGTTCTAGCCAATCCGTTTTCATCTCCTCCTTTCTGTTTGTTTCTGAACATATTTGCCTACACGACGGCATGTTCTCCTTCTGCTTGGGTTTTCCCCTGCTTTTTGTTGTTCAGCAGCAAGTCAAACGTCTCCGTAGAGCCGATAACGCTGCTTTCTTATGGTCATCTACCCCCTCATTACACACTCACACGTGTGCGTAACACGGTGCTCCTTCATTGATTCTTTTTGATATGCGCAACGGCTAAAGAAAAGGAAAAAGAAGAAGAGTAAGAGTAAGAAATGCATAATAATAATAGAGACCCTGTTACCGTTGTGCGTGCACGGGTATACGAAGTAAATAACGGTGTCGGAGGGGAAGGTCTAGAAGATCTTTGTGCCCATTATATATATATATATATATATATATATATGCACGCACGCATGTACGCAAAGCTGTTGTGATTAATATAATTCCACGATTTCGAGCGCCTCATCTGTTCTTCATTGTTCGACTTGTGATGCCTAATGTTTCAGGTAATGAACAATACGAACATGATGTGCATGTATACAGTGTGAAGTTGTCTTCGAGAACAAATACTGCGTATCTAGAGTTTGCGCGAGCGAAAGCTAGTCAATCTATCTCTTATACCGTGTTACCACGCCTCCGTCTTCAGCGATCTACACGAATTTGATTGTTGGCGCCGTTTTCCTGTTCTCCACAACACGCACTCCTTATTACTTTTTGTTAAAGAACCGAAAGCAGCATTGTTCACTGCGCCTACTCTCCTCCACTTTTATTTCCTCGGCCCTTATGTGTTTCAACTTGGTTTTATTTTGTATTTGAAGAGGAAGAATCTGGTCAAGGGGTCTTTTTTTCTTGTTGTCCTTTCGAGCGTCTGCATTGCCGATTGCGCGGCGCAGGCCTCCACGCAGCGTCGCGAACTCTCAGCCAGCGTACGTAGACTTCCTACTGCACAGAGCGGTAGAAACAAACGTCACATACACACACACACACTTCATAGAAGTCGATCGAGCAGCGTGGGAAGTGACGCGGTAGAACAACAAGAGAAGACGAGCTCTATCATTGTATAAGAGCTTCGGGGCTCCCTTGTACCAGCCCACTCCAGTTTTCGAATATATAGACATATATATTTCAACAACACGATGGAGCTGTCGCTCTATCATGAGCACTACGGCGTGCGCTACGCCCCTCGCGGGCTCGCCGCGTGGCTCTTCTACGTCATCTGTCTTCTCGCCATCCTCGTCATTCCGTTTATTATCGGTCTCGCGATGCAGAACTTTTGGGTGGAAACGAATTACTTTTATGAGATGCCCCACGTCACCTTCACCGAGCGGTGCGCGCTGCGTGTGAGCACCGTCCTCGGCGAGGAGTACCTCTGGACTTGCTCGGAGCTCGTCAACGCGGCACTGCTCGGGACGCCGTTGAGCCTCACGCCGTACTTCGCGCTCTACGAGGAGGACAGAGACGGCGATGGCAGGACAGATGTAGTGAACTTCTTGATCAGCTTTCCCCTCGGTAACTCAACAGACAGCTCCATTTACGGCGGCGGTGGCGGGGTGGCAGCGCCGACCACCGTGCGCGACGCCGTGCTCGACGTGACCTTTCTACCGGAGTTTGTCTACTACATCAAGCACTACCTCGTGAAGGTGAACATGACAGCTGCACCGTTGCTGCGCTACACGCGCTTGCCTCTGCAGCGCAACGCGGGTTCCGTCACCACCACTGTGGACGTGGGGGACGGCGGCGGCGGCAGTGCGAGTGCGAGCTCCGTTACGTCCACCACCTTCGCCTGGAGCGGTGCCCCTGTGTGCGCTGTGACGAAGGCCGACATGCTTTTTCACTCCACCGAGAGCCTCATCAACTCCCCCTACGTGTCCTACCAGCACACCTACACCGGAAGCCCGTTAGCGGAGCAGTCACTCCAGCCGGCTGATTTGGCCGACCTTTCACAATTTGCCAGCGCGTACACCTCGCGCAATCAGTCGGTCGTGTTGCGCCCGTTTGTGGAGACATCTGGCGGGCTGGAGTTGCTACAGCGGGACAGCACCGTCGTGCGGGGTTTGTGGGAGGACTTGGATGACCTGAACGCCTTTACGTGGTACATCCAACTGCGCATCCCAAAGGCAGCGGTGCAGTACGTGCCCTCGTACGCGGAGGTGCTGAAGTGGGGCTGGATTCAGTACTTCGTGATTGGCTACATTATTCAGTGGTTCCTGTGGAAGGTACGCATGGTGCTGGTGAAGATGGGCCTGATCGACTCACGTGCGGCGTTTAGCGTGATGCGCCGGCAATACTAGCAGCTCCAAGAGGAATACCTTGGGTAACGTATACTCTTTAAATATATAGAAATCGTTCATTACGCACGTGTACGTTGCAGCAGCCAGAAACGGGCTCCCCTTTCCCTCACCCCCCTTCCCTCTTCTGCATTGGCCATTGGAAGCCGGTGGCGTTGAGTGTTGGAACCGATATAGACCTTTGCTTACCCTGTGTGTGTTGTCAGAGCGAAATCGAAGCGGCAATCCGCCAGGAAAGCCGAAGCGGTGTTCCCCCCCCCCTCCCCCACTTTTTTCTCCCGTACTGACGAGCACGCATGTGCGGCGAACCACGTGTGCTCCATTTTCTGTCGTCAAAGACTTGAAACACAGATGAAACAAGACGATTTCTTAGCGTCACGTTGGCCGCGGTTGTTCTCCGCTGGATAGACTCCTGACAGGGAATTGTTTCGCTGCAGCCGTCGCTTTCCCTCCTTCCCCCTTTCCTCTTTATTGCTGTTGGTGTAGCGGCGGCGGCCACATCCACTCATCTCGCCTTCCATTCACTCTTTTGCCTTCTACACTGTCTCCATCGGTTTGCCCAAGCAGCACAAAGAAAAAGACATCGCCTTGCGATGCATTCGGTGTGCAGCCAGACAGCTCACTGCGTTGTATAGAACAAAAGAGAAGACCGAATATATATATACATACATTTCAGCTACTCGAGCAGGCTTCGCTCCGCTTCATCGGATTACCTGAAATTTATCTCCCATTTAGGTGCAATGGCGATCGTTGTGGTGCTGGTCGGCCAGTGCGGCAACCAGTTCGGCGATGAGCTCTTCACTCAGTTGGCACTCTGCACCGGCATCACTTCCAGCTCCAGCCCGACTTCGAAAGCGGCCAAAACAGCTCTCCCCTCCGTCGCGTCGCCCTCTGCCTCCTCCTCTGTGGTCTCTCCCTTCTTCACACGCGATGGCATGGCCCGCTGCGTCCTCGTCGACACGGAGCCGAAGGTTGTCTTGGGGGTTCGCCAGCGCCACGCCAACTTCATGAGACAGGAGAACGTGATTCACGGCCAGTCCGGCCGCGGCAACAATTGGGGCCTCGGCTACCACGGGGTGAAGACGGCGGGCAGCAAGCGCAACGAGGACAACGCCGCGGTGCAGCGCGCCTTCCGCAACATCGCCCGCGACCAGCGCGAGGACGACGACAACGTGCTGGGCAAAGCGCTGCAGGCCATCTACCGCGAAACACGCCGCACGAGTGACGCGGACGACGGCACGGGCGGCTTTGAGGCGATCGTGATTATGCACAGCCTCGTTGGCGGCACCGGCAGCGGGCTTGCCTCGCGGCTGACGGAGCGGCTGCGGTTGTACTTCACGGCACCGCCGCCTGGTCAGCAAATCGATGAGGTGTACGAGTCGACGATGATGCGCATTGACGGCTTCGATGGCGGTCTGTACGGGGCACAGCGGCGGGCGCGGCACCTCGTGAACGTCGCCGTCGCACCCCAGGTGGTCGGCGAGGTCGCCACGCAGGGCCTGAATGCGGCCCTCACGCTGCACGTTTTGCAGAAGCACGCCGATGCAGTTGTGCTGCTGCGCAACGATGACGCGATGGCGCCTGGGGAGGTGCGGGGGAGCAGCGTCTGCGACGGTGCCTCGGTCCTGCATCGGTGCGTGACCTTCAAAGAGGCGAACGAGGTTCTGGTCGCGCTGCTGCTGCCGGTCCTGCGCTACGGCGTGGAGGTGGGCTGCATTACCCAACTGCTCACGCAGTGCATTCCTCCGGGCTACCGACGGACCACCGGTGGAAATAAAATACTGACGCTGCTCCCCACGCCACAGCGGAGCTACGCCGCCCTGCGGCAGTGTGTCCATCGCGCGCTCTTCTGCGCCATTGAGGGCGGCCGCGTGTTTATGCCAGGCTACAAGCCAACGGTGCCGATCGAGGACCTGCTGAGCAAGACGGCCCAGCAGCTGTCGAGCAGTCAGCCGCGTCGGGCGTCCAACGCCAATGGTAACGGCAGGACCGCGGGCTTTACCGGCGGCACCAAAGCCAAGCTAAAGCCGTCCCCTAGCACACGCAAGGGGCCACCACCATCGTCTGCCCAACAGCCGCGGCAATCCACAATAGCAACAACAAGCTCCTCCACTTCACGCACGCGCATTACAGGCGAGGATACGGACAGCTACGAGGTAGTCCCCTACGTGAGGCAACGTCGGCTGTCGGGGCAGCGGCAGCGGCAGCAACTCGGGTTTCGCGTCGAGGACGAAGGCGGGGTGGCGCGAGCGGTGCCGTCGTCCGCGAAAGGGCCGTTTGCCTCCGCGAGTGCCTCCGCGTCTTCCGCGCGTCGACCACTGGTGACTCCGTTCTCTTCTCCGCCAGCCAAGGCGCGGTCACGGGTGCAGGCGCCTGTGCGTGCGGTGGCAACGCGTCTGCGTTACGGCGATGAGGAGAGAGAGGGAGAAAGGGACGAAAGAGACAGAAGCTCTTGCATAGAAGGCGACGAGCAGCACGACGCCGACGGCGACGGGGGCGAAGAGCAGGAGGACGCGAACCGACGGGTCTTTCAGCGGTGCAGTACCAAGATCCCTCCGCCGCTCTACCGCCACTATCAGCAGCTGTCTCGTGCCCCTGTGACGAAGATGTTTGAGACAATTGACGGCGTGCTTTTGCTGAATGAGGCTGTGGAGCTGGATCGCAGAGTACTTTTCCCACTGCTGAAGTCCGCCGCGTTGAAGGTGTCGTCGGGGGCTTTCATGTCGTCGTATGAGGACGTTGGGGTGACCTCCGAGCGCGTGACGCGTTCTATTCGCGAAGTCGCAGAGGTCATGGCAGACTCCGAAGCGCTGTGAAAAGGCGAGAAGGGGGGAGGGGGTGGGGGAGAAGGCGATCCTCTCGCTCTCTCTTGATGTTCATTCTTGGGGGTGTGACGGCCATCATCCGAGTCGTGAAGCCACCGATGGACCATTTCACCTGCCCCTGCTCTCTCGTTCCTTTTTGTTTTTCTTCCTTTGCGTTAGACTGCTGATGTTGAACAATCGTAGAGAATTCCTTTTTTCCTGTTTTCTTTAATCCCACTCTTTCGGTTGTTGCTGTTGATGGGTCCCGTTGGTAGACATGCACGCCTCTTTCGCCACACCGTGTGATGGAGGAGATATTAACAAAAGTAAAAGGTAGCTTGCCAATTCCAAAGTCGCGGCATATGTCTTCGGAGTCTAACCTCCTTTTTCTTTTCAAGAAAAGCTACTGTGGATGCCAGCGAGAACGCTCCACCGAGGCGACACAGAAGCCAGAAGTCACCGTTGCGATGCTTCTCGCACCGGTACCCCCCCCCCCCCGCCAAGAGCAGCCGGGTTGATCTGCCTCCCCTCTTTCCTTCTCTTTCTCTTTTTCTCCTTTCATTTTTGTTTTTCTCTCTTCTTACTGCGTCTCAAGCATGCGCATTTTGATGCCGGTATTGCAGCACGTCATCAACACCGCTTTGGGTTTACTTGACTGATTTAAAAAAAGAATTAGAAGGAAAACGGGAAACACTGAGTTTCACCCTTTGTCATTCGCACCTATTCATTCAAAGCAGCGGGCACTCCGTGCGCATGAAGTGGCCGACGCATCAGCTCACCACAATAAGGGCGCGACGTGTGGCTGCTGCCCCGGCCCTGCGCGTCTTCGTATCCTCCCACCCGCTCCTACACGCCTCCTTCCACAACTCACCCACCGCCCTGTGCAGTCCGCGCGCGTCCTTCGTCATTCCTCCGGTGGAGCGGCTAACCAGTCCGCGGTCCCCTCGCCTCTCCAGTAGCTACGTTGACGCGGGGCACGGCCGGAGCGCCACCGGAAGCGCGGGAAAAGAAGATGACTGCACGGATGGATTTCGCTTCGCGGTGAAGATGGACGAACGCGGACTGCACGATCACGGCGTGACGCCCGAGGCGAAGGACTTCATCGCGGATGCGGAGGAGGAGTACAGAGCTAGCTCCGCGTATCTGCACGAGGTGCCGGGTGGGCCGAGTTTGCCAGAGACGGAAAGCTACATCGATGCCGCAACAGGGCAGGAGGTGACGTCTCGCCGCATCGCGGCCCCGTTTGGGGAAACTTACATACCTTCCAACAAAGAACGCTTTGCGAGCCGCGGCCACGCCGGTGAGTTGGCCCGGCAGCGCGATGTCGTCGACAAACCTTTTATGTTAGACGAGCACGCGCAACTCAACTTGAAGAAGGAGCGTCAGCTGATGGAGCTGCTCGACGCACCGATGCCAGCGCTGGAGAAAGCAGAGGAGGTGGCGCATTTCTTGCTCGAAAGCTTCTACCCACAAGCCTTGGCCCTGCAGCCGCGTACCGGCGAGTCGATCATGCTGCTCTACTCCCAGGCGAGTTACCTGAAGCGACTCAACGGCCCGCCGGGTGCAACGGAGAACAGCGCGGCGACTCCGCAGCTCGCAGCGGGTCCGCGCGCCGCGTCGCCGCTCGCCGCGCAGGACGTGGTGTTTCTGTCCGACATGCGACTGCTCTACACGCATCAGAAGCGTTGCTTTGTGTGCCCGACCCCGCTACTGCTGGAGCACTTAATGGTGGCCCTCAGCGTCGTGGCGGAGCCGAGCACGCCAGCATTTCACCTTGCAAATCGATTGCTGCTAGACGCGGATCGCTTTGTGCTCTTGCCGACCCGCACCACGTACACCGCCTTCCTCAAAGTATGTCAGGTGAACAACGCGATGCAGTTTGCGCTGGCGCGGTACACTGACGCGCTGCAGGCGCTGCAGCTGCCCGTCGATGCGCCGATGCTGACGGCGCTGCTGAAAGGGTTGAATGAGAGCGGCTATGTGGAGGAGGCGGTGGCGCTGCTGGCGCGCGTGGCGCACGTGCCGGTGTCGACGCCGCTGCTGAACGCCTCTCTCGAAACGCTTCTCTTGTCCGACCAGGCCCTCTCGTGCTTTTCTCTTTTTGACTCTATGAGCGACTCCCCGACGAAGCCGGATGCGGCGACCTACACGCTTCTTCTCCTCGCCTGTGAGAAGTCGGGACAGTGGAAGCGGGTGACGGCGATCTTGTCGGACATGCAGCAGCGTCGTGTGCGCGGAGATGCGCGGACGCTGAACTTGCTGTTAAAAGGTCTGCTGCAGGAGCGGCTGCACAGCTTTGCCGCGCAGCTCTATCAAACAATGCAGGTGAAGCACGTGCCGGTGTGGCCCGCGCTGGAGGCCGGTGTGCGACCGCTGCTGCGTTAACGAAGTGTGGCAGATACCTGTTGGCTGGGCTGGCTGTTTGCTGTTCTTCTTCACAACTTCTTTGTAATGCACCTTCGTAATGGAAAAGGGTGGAAAATAGAAAAATACAAACAGGGCAGAGTGAAGTTTGTAGGTGGGCTGTGCGAAAAAAAACCCCTCAAAAGGAGGACTCAAACCCGTGCCGGCCTCGGTGGTCCCTTTCCCATGTCCCCATCTCCACTGTGGAATTCTTCTTCGTATTTTCGACTCCACATTCATCGGTCTTTTCTCTTCCTTTTCCAAGCAGCTCGCACTCCCGCAACCTCTACTCTTACATTGCATGGAAGCCTCTCTGCTGCAGCTGCTTTCATCTTCTGCTCGTACGCTCTCGCTTTCTTGTGACTAGGTGCATCGCCCCTCCACCCCCTCCCCCTGCTGCTGTCGGCTGGTAATGCGTCATGGCGGCCCTTCCCGTTAAAACAGAGATCAATCAGGAGTCCAAGTACGGCAGCACGCAGGACTCCAAGGGCAACATCTTTGCCGCGCAGGACGTCGCCAACCTGGGCCGCGACGACGGCGAAGAAGGCACACTCTACGTCTGCGGCAACTGCACCGCCCAACTGTACTTCCGGCCCGACTCCCGCCTGCTGTGCCCAAACTGCTCACACATCACCGGCGCCTCTACGGTGTTTTACAAGATCCGCACGGAGTCCACCACGTACGACACCATCTAACGCCGCACTCACCAACAGCTTCTTCGAAAACCGTGAACGCAAATATCGGTCCCGCTCCTCAACGTACTGAGACGATCGAAGCAGGCGGAGGTTTCTGTGTCACGTGAAAGCTCTTGTGTGTGTGTGTGTGGAAGGTGTTTTTAAGCTGTGTTGTGTCAGCAGGGATGAAGCAAGTTCGTTGCCTTGTCCTTGGAGGCTATTCCTTTTTACTGTTCTCGATGTGAGTCGATCATACCCGACAGCCATTTGCTAATCAATAATAATAATAAAGAACGCCATAACTTTTAACGAGTGCCCGTGAGGTGTGCGGCACCTCGTGACATTGCGCATGGTTTTTGCGCTCAGTGTCCACACTAGCATATATATATGTGCGTTATCTGAGCAACACCTTTCGCTGGAACGCTGAAGCTCACGTCTTCCCTGATAAGAAGAAAAGGGAAAACAAAGAAATGTAGCCGGACTTGAGGAAGGGAGTGACTTTTCTTTTCCTATTTCTTCTCTTCTCCTCTCTCTGTTTCTGTTTTTCCCTCTCTTTGTGTTCTCAGTTGCCGGCATAAAGCCCCTCATCTGCTCCTGCAGCGTACGTACTCCCCGTGCCGCGACGCACCTTCGTGGGTCCCATTATCAAAAGAAACCTGATCGGCAACGCGAACCTGCTCCGCCTGCCCTGCGCCCGTCGAGAGGCGCTGCAAATCTGGCGCGAAAGCAGACCTCCCCTCCATGAGCAACTTCCCCAGTCCCACCGCCTCCACGACTGGTCGGGTGGGCGGCAAGGACGAGCCAGCGGAGCCGCAGTGCGTGTGTGCGACATGTATGATGCGCCTGCCGATGCCCCGCTCCTCTTCCATCTTTACGTCTTTTCAGTGCCCGCAGTGCCGCATGAACGGCATGGACGCGAAGCTGCTCTATATCCGACGCTCCCAGCCCGTTGAGCACTCCACGCGCTGAGAGGACGGAGAAAAGAAAAGGAACCCCAGATTGCGGGTTGAAGAAGACGTGTTGTTTTCCACTTGGTCCTCGGTGGGATTTCCTGCAGTCCTTTTTAATCGTCTCTCTCTCTCTCTGTGTGGAAGGGGGGGGGGTCGTGGTGTGATAACCTTTTCTTCGTGTAAACCGTTTAAAGTAGATTGCGTTGACAACTGAGGTCTTGAACTGCTTCATCTTGTCGAGTACAGAAACAACGCGTTCCATGCAACCGCGCGACGGTCGCACACAGAGATCAGCGTGCAGCGCTTCCTTGCGTCAAATCTTTTCTCTTTTGATAGGAGAGAGGAAGATGGGAGAGAGGAGAGGGGAGAGTTAACTACAGGTCACATTAGCCTTCTTGTCTGCATGTGGAACAACACAGCTGTAAAAAAAAACTGTTCTTTCTCATGAGTTGTGCCTCTTCGCTTTTTCTGAAATGAATAACCAGTGCGCGCTCAACGACCTCCCTTACATTGCCTCACACTCTCTCTGTGTTTTTCTAATAACTGCTCTATATCAAAAACAGGTGTCTTCTGAATGATCGGAAGCGTTGTGTGCTTCTTCGCTCCCTTCAAACAAAACTAGCAGTATCGTACTGCGGACTTCTTCCCTTTTTTTTTGGGAGCAAGACGCTGTATTTCCTAAATACGCTCATCGTCAGCAACGGACACCAGCTGCGGTGACACATCCACGTATTAATACCGCTCTTCTCTTTCTATCCCTTCGATGTCGCTGGAAGCCCTCATCGAGGCGATTCACGCCTCTCCGGTGCGCCTTTCGTTGTGCATCTGCGGAGCCGGTGCCGGCGCTGTCGCACGCCTCACGCAGGTGGCGGAGTGCAGCCGCACCCTTCTCGAGGCAGACGTGCTGTACCACCGTGCCTCTACCCGAATCGCGCTGGACGGGCTGCCGAAGCACCTCGTCAGCATCGAAGCCGCTCGCCGCCTCGCGCAGCACGCCTTCAACGTCAGTCGCACCGTGGCCACGGCGGAGGCCCGAGTGAAGACACCATCGAAAGAAAAAGCTCATCAAAGGGGAAGTTATCTGTTTGGCATCGGTGCCACCTCCGCCGTGAAGACGAGTCGGGCACGTCGCAGCGGGGATCAGGTATTTGTGTCGGTATGGGGCGGTGCGGTGCTCCCCCACACGTTTGATGCGCACGCTCTCGAGCAGGACACGATGGAGGAGGCGGTGGGAGGCGTCTTTGACTACCACATGCACATGCCCGACAGTCTGGACCGTGCGGGACAGGACAAACAGGTGGAGTTGATGGTGCTGCACGCGATTGCCGACACTGTCGCGCGCACCAGCCGCGCAGGTCCGACGTCTCTCCTTCACTCGCTGTTGCCTGTATCCTCCAAGGGATCTACCTCGACCTCGATGGATGGAGCAGCAGCAGAGAAGCCGACGCGGCTGTGCGCCGTTCCTGCACTCAGTGGCCCGCATCGAATATCGCTCGACACGGCGCATGAGATGGCAGAGGCGATTCAGGCCGTGCTGTCCTACCACCCTGCGCCTGGAAAGCCGGAGGACGTGTGCGTGCTGTGGAACCGGTATGGGGAGCTGCGGTGGGCGGAGCACCTGCCGTACGATGGGGAGTGGAACGAGCTGGAAGTCAGCACACCAACCGAAGCCCACTCCTCTGCTCCCGCAACCGTCGAAGCGATGCGGCCACTGCGCCTGCTCTACCCCGGCTCCTTCAACCCCCTGCACTACGGTCACACCGAGCTCGTCCAGGCCGCCATACGCGTGCTTCGTCAGCAGCCGTCGTACCAGCACGACCCGTACGTCCCCGTCCAGGTCACCTACGAGATTGCTGTGAAGGTGGTGGACAAGGGCGCGATCGCCTGCAGGGACCTGCAACGGCGTGTCGCGCAGTTCCTCGAACGCGGCGAGCGCGTCGCCGTGACAAACGCTACCCTTTTCATCAGCAAAGCCAGCCTTTTCCCCGGGCACGGTTTTCTGATCGGCATCGACACAGCGGTGCGGGTGGTGGACCCGCAGTACTACAGCACGAGCACCGACCCCCACGAGGCGGAGGCGGCGATGGTTGCCGCCCTCCAACGCGACATTGGCGATCGTGGGTGCTACTTCGTGGTGGGCGGCCGCCAGATGAGCGACACGACAGGCTGGCAGGACCTGACGACGCTGTCGATTCCCGCCGCGATTCGTCACCTGTTCGTGGGCATCTCCGACGAGGAGTTTCGCGTGGACATCAGCTCGACGGAGCTGCGGGCGAAGAAGCGGGCTCGTCTTCACCCACACCCGGAGGCGCACTCAAACATGTAGCGGTGGCGGGTCCTACATCAAAGTAGACAAAAATCAAAATACACTTTAACGTCTTTTTTTTTTCTCCTTGCGCAGAGAGGTTTTCGGCCTGCCTCTTTGCATACATCGACTGTGTTTTTTTTTTCCTTCTCCGTTGTGATTTAAAGAGGAGGATGAGGGAGGCTGAAACTGTCTGATGTCAGCCTACGAACAGTGTCGCCGGCGCACTTGCGTTGCCTCACTTCGCGGAAAGAAAAGAAAGGAAGAAGGAAGGGCCAATGTGAAGGATGGAGATGGACCGCGTTTTCATGTTTTTTTTTTTGCTTAAATTGCGATGTCGTGCACTCATGTCGTTGCTTTCAAGGAACTACGTTATGATGTATGTGGTCTTAAAGCCCGACATGTATGTTGAAGAGGCACGCGTCTCTATTTCTATTAAAGTCCTGCACCACCTGCTTTGTCTATTTGTCTCTTTGTCTCTTTTTTACTATTATTTCCTCCCCCCTCCTCCTTCTCTATCATCTGTTGCCTCGCTGCGTAATAGTAATACGTTTGGGCGTACTGTTGCCGTCGCTGCTGCTGCTGCTGTGTTCACGACAGCGTCTTCCTCTTCTTTTTCGGGGGGTTTCAAAAATTAGAGAAAACCGCAGTCTCGGTGTACACGCGTGTGCTGCCGTCTTCCACAGCTTTCTGTGGGAGTTTTTTCTGTGTGTGTGTGTGATAGGCGTCCCACGTCGTTTCGTCCATCCACCCCCCCCCCTCCACAGCCGTCTCCCACGCGAGATCGGCCATCGGACTTCGCTGTCCGTTCATTAAAGCTGTGTTGGCTCTTCTCTTCCGCCGAGCGACGCTGTCCGGAATAGAAAAATGTTGTCGCGCTGCGCCGTCCTGCGGCGGGTGTACAGCCGCAAAAACAAACAGCCGCAGCTGATGACGAACTTCACGAAGGTCTCCAACATGAACAAGGCCGAGAAGGTGAAGAGCGAAACGGTCGACGGCGATGTCGTGAAGGGGCGGGGCCGGTGTGCACCGCCGCTCGCACAGTGCCCTGAAGGAGGCCATCGACAAGATGGAGCACCCCGCGATTTGGCTGTGGTACCCGTGGCGCAAGAACCCAGAGCCGCCAACGCCGTACATGCCCTCGCGGCGCGCTCTCAAGAACCTCCACGGCGCCGTCTTCGCCGATCTTAGCCCGGTGCACAAGAAGAAGCAGGAGCAGATGCTCTACGGCGTCAACATCCCCGAAACGCGAACCATGAAGTTCGAGCAGCAGCACCCCCTGCTCGCCACGGCGCTGAAGCAGCTCGACGGCCAGCCGAAGGGCTTCCCGTTTTGGTACAAGAAGTACCCCACTCGCCGCCACGCCTACGAGCAGCGCTTCAGCGTGCCGGCGGAGATGCTTGAGGGCTACAACGACGACATCAAGAAGGCGCTGAGCGCGAGCATGATGACCATCCAGGAAAAGCAGTTTGCGCAGGAGGCGATGTACATGGAGCGCTACGCCGAGCACGACTTCGATACCACCAGCCCGGCGGTGTTGGCGGTGAAGCGCGCGCTGAAGGTGCGGGTGCTGCGCAACCACCTCCTCACGAACCCGCACAACAACATCGTCAAGACGATTCTCGCCAACACGGAGCGAAAGCTGAAGCACGCCCTGCGCCGCCTCCGCAAGGTGGACTTTAAGAAGTACTGGGAGATCATTCGCGACCACGACGTGCAGGATGTGTTGCAGCCGCCAAACCTGGTGACGTACCGACAGGGCTCGTACTGGAGGTACGACTGGAATGCCGGGCTCGCCATTAGCACGCAGCTGGCCGACGTGTTGGACCCGCGTGGGCTGAATGGGTGTGTGGAGACCGGCCGCTCCCGCTCCGAGGTGGCACGCGATCTCGGGCTGTCCTACACGCGTCCGCTGCAGGACAACGAGAAGAAGCAGCTGTCCGACCAGGCCCTCTACTACGAGCGCCTGGCGAAGTTCAAGATGGAGCAGCCGGAGGCGGCGCGGGCGCAGGAGCGGGAGCGCTTCGTGCGTAAGTTCTCCGGTATGTTCCTCAAGATGGACCTCAAGTCAGGGGCACCGGACTTCCCGAGCACGTATCGCAAGCTGCTCGGCACGCAGGTGGCACGCTGGGCGTCGAAGCGGCACGGGCCGATGTAAGGAGGAAAAGACGGAGGAGAATGTGTATCACAGCTCTGTTGTTGTTGTATGCCACTTTTAGTCGTCACGTGTGTGTGAGCACGTGGACTGTGCGGGACGCCAAGAGCTGTGTGGCGAGTGTGTTCCCCCCCCCCCTCGTGACGCACGTTACACGTGCTTACGTCGCTTCGCATATGTGAAGTCTTTGGGGAAGGAGAGGGGCGCACGCTGTCTAGTGGGCCTTCGTGCCTTTTTTTCCGTTCTTTGGAATTGTTGTTGGTGCGGTCGTGGTGGTGGTGGTCGTAGTTGGCGGTTGTTGCGATGGGGTGGCCTGGACGTCGCGGTCTCCCTTCGCGCTACTATACTCTTTCACCTTCAGCAGCAACCAAAAAGGAAATCAAGGAAGAATCGAGAGATACCAAAGCAAGCAAATTGAGGTGCGCTGCGTACGCGTGTGGCCTCGCGGCCTTTTTTGAAAGGGTCGATGCGCAACGCTCGTGGGATGCCCTTCAGAAAAAAGGAAAAACATGTTATTCTCTTTGGAGAACAGCGTGAAGCGTTGGAGCGCCTTTGTGATGTGGTCTGCTCTCCACCGTAGTACGAGCCAAAGAGCGCGATTAGAACTCCACGGGACTGCGCATCATACCTGTGAGACGAGGGCCCATCGAGACACGCCACTTTCTCCCTTTCTGCTTTACAGCATCGCATTCGCTTCTACGGTTCGGCGGACAGTTTTTCTTCTTAGTATTTTAAAGGCAATCCCTACGGAGGAAGCGTCGCTTCAGTTTCTCTTCCTCTTCATCCCCAACTTTCCTTATATGTATTTCTTCCCCCTTTCTTTGTTGTTGTTGTTGATCGATGCTCTGTGCCTGCATCTTGCGTTCGCTTCACCTTTTTTTTTTTAAAGTAATAATCAAAGAAGCGGACGCCGATACGTCTGTGCGGTGAGCGCCAATCTACGACGTCAGAGCCCACCAGCTGTGGGACATACCAGGCTTTTCCGTCACGGGCCGTTCGACTCGAATCCGCTCGAATTATCTCTTCTGTACGGCGACACCCTTCGACACTGCATAGAACTCGTGAGATCCCTTTCGCTCCGCTTTCCACTCTCTTACGATAGACACACTTCTTCTAATCCGCGTCAACGTTCTCCTTTGGCTTCTTTCCGCTGCAGCAAACTGTAGAACACTCCCCCACTGGGATTGAAACGCAGAGGAAGGGGAGAGGGGAGGAAAAGCACGCACCAGCATCACCAGTCGGAATGCCTGGTGTGCCCGCCAAAATCCTCGTCGGACCGACCACCTACGTCCACCTTCGGCGCAAGCACAGGGACTACTACGCACCTGATTTTCTCCTTTCGCCAGAACTTCTTGCTTCTCCGGACGCAAGCCCGCACGTGTGGCGCTACACCATCTCACCGGATCACCACAACACCGTCTTCTTCTACAATGCGACGAGCAAGACGTCGGTCTGGGTGCTTCCGGTTGTGCATCCTGACGGCCGCACCGAAGAGCTGCCAGAGGGGGAGGTGATGCGGGCGATCCGCGAGGCTTCACCGGGGGCCGTAGGCGCGCATACCGAAGCAGGCGGACGGGATGTGGCAACGGCACCGGCAGCTCAAGGCAAAGCAGAAGCGGGACAACCGGAGACGGGTAGCGGCCGTGCTGCAGTTGAGGGCGAAACGGTAGATGACCAGAACAGTGCTGCCCGCAACGACCTTGCAGGCAATCCTGTTGCGACCCCGGCAAACGCGCTGCCCGCCACAAAGGCGTCGGAGTCTGCCGTGCCGCCGGCGGGAACGGCAGCCGAAGCCCCATCCGACGCTCCACCAAGCAGTAGCGGTGGCGCCGGTGTCTCCCGCGAGCGCGTGCAGGCGGCGGTGCTCCGAGCACAACAAGCGAATCCTTTAACCATTTCCATCGGTGCCGGCGAGTCGGTCACGGAAAGCAGTCCTGCGGACCACAGCGCACCAACGACGTCGCTACAACGACGACTGGCGGCGTGGCGCGCAAAGCGGCTTCAATCGCCGTCCGCCACGGTCGACGATGGTTCCACCTTCGCCTCGAGCCCCCTCGCTGTGCAGCGGCAAAGTAGTTCTGTGACTCAACAGGACGGCTCCCCGCCACCGCCGCAGGACGCGAACACACCTTCACCGATCACCGTCAACACGGATCCGCTGCTCGCCGTTGCGCGTTCCACGTCAGCCCCTTCCGCAGCGTCAGTAGTAACAGCATCCATTGGTCCTTCTCCCAGTTTCGCGTCTGCTGTCGCCACGCCACAACTCGTCGCGTCGGCTTCTGAGGCGACACACCCGGTAATGCCGGCATCCGTGTTTGCAACAGTACCTACAGCACCGCAAGGCAAGTCCGCGCCTCTCACTCCTCCCCGTAAAGGTCAAGAAGCAAGCTCTCCTGAACAAAGTCGAGAGCCGACCGCACCTGTTCGTGGCAGCCCCGACTCCTCTCCCGCACTGAATCTTGCAGCGCAGCAACGGAAGGCGCAGGAGGCGGAACTGGCGAGAGTGGCAGCCCTCCTGCACAGAGAAAAGCTCGCCGCGATGGAGCAGGAGCGGGCTGCGTTGGAGTGCCGACGGCGGGCGGTGGCCGTGGAGCAGCAGGAGGCCGAAGAGCGCGCCCGCATGATGGCTGTCCGAGTTGCGGCCGAGCGGAACCGTGTGGAGGCCGAGGAGCGTCTTGCGGAAGAAAGGCGCCGTCAGCAGCGGAGGCTGGAGGCATCTGCCGCGGCAGACGCCCGCGTGGGTGAGGTAAACCAGCATGTCGTGAAGCACAGGCAGATGGAAGAGGAGGCGGAGGCGACGGTGGCGGAGTCGTTCAGCTACGCAGCACGTATTGCGGCGCAGCTCGCCGCCGCCGCACCGCGACCGGAGGAGATCACATCAGCTCTTTTAAAGGAGCGAGATGCGCTGCCGATTCCTTCTGAGTCCGCAGGTGCACGCCGCAGCCCAACGCTGTGTGAGCAGCCCGCCCGGCGGGGACGCCAAAACGCACCAGCTGAAGCGCCAGCACTCCGCGCCTTGTCCCACAACATTCAAGCGGCTGCGGCCCACACCGGCAGCGCGTCAAATAAGCTCATGAGTGGCACCCCGGCGCCGCCTGTGCCTGTTCCTGTGCCGATGCGCACCCACGAACACATCTGCTACGGCGTGCCTTTTGTCTACGACGGCGAAGTAGTAGACTACAAGCCCGCGCGTGCCTTTGTGTCGAGCCCTCAAGCGCTATTAAGCGTAAAATCAAAGTCGCGCGCTGGTGCGCTCGGCAACAACGAGATGTTGGCTTCCGCGTCGGCTCCGGAGGTGCCAGTCCTGCTGACGTTGAAACGCGAGGGGCAGGGCACGCAGTACTACGATGCAAGTCGGCAGCACTTTTTTACTGGTGAATGGCACGATGACAAGCGTGCCGGCGCCGGCGTGCTCTCGCTTCCCAACTCCGCCGTTCAGGGCCGCTGGCTGAACGATCAACTGACGGGATCTGCGGTCGTGCAAACAAGGCATGCCAAAGCGAACCTAGTCGTCGCCGGTGCGTCATCGAATACGCCCTCCACTGCATTGTCGAGGGAGAAATCGGAAGGAGTAGCAGCAGTGACCTCGCAACGAGCAAAGGAATCGCCGTCGCCGCACGTCGCGCTGAACGGCAACGCCGTGGTGGAACTCGATACCAACGCATTATTTGTTGGCTTTCTGAGGGACGGTCGCGTCGGTGCGCCGTACGTCCTTCAGCTGGGCGAGGGCGACTACGTGGAGTGGCTGGGGCCGCCAACGACTACCCCGCCCCCGACACGGAACAGCGCAACTCCCGGAAGGGCGGCGACAGGCGGCCGACAGCGTCAGCTCGCCGTGTCACCTCCTGCGCGCAAGAGCGGTGCCCCGTCGTTGTCTGCCCCTCGCGGCCGCACCGTCGCGGGATCGGGTGAGTGTCGTGTTCGCTTCCGCAACGGCGACACCTACGTCGGCCACGTCCGCGGCTTCCGGCTGCACGGCACGGGATACTATCGCTTTGCGGCGGATGGGCAGTCCTACACCGGCGCCTTTCAACGGGGTCTCCCGCATGGGGCGGGGCTCATGATCTTTGCGAATGGCGATCTCTACAAGGGACAGTTTCGGAACGGCCTGTTTGACGGTGTCGGCGCCTATTCGTGTAAAGCTGGCCGTTACGTGTATGAAGGTGGCTGGGTGGATGGGTCGATGACAGGTGCTGGCACGCTGTCGTACGCGAACGGCGATGTCTGGGAGGGAATGTTTAAGGACAACGTGCGCGTTTCAGGTGCCTACACAGCGGTGGCCTAACGCGATCCGTGCCGCTCAGCCGGATAGTGGAGCGAGGGGTGTCTACCGGAATTTACGTTTGCTGGGATGAGACTTTCTTTTCCCTTTTACGCATGTGTGCATGGGAGTGCGTGTGGGATACATAGCGGCTTAGCTGTTATTTTGTTTGTTTGTGTTTACAGAAACCGCGTTAAGCGCCTTTACACCCTTTTGAACTTAGAGTAAGCAGCAGAGCTGCAGAGCAACAGCAATAAAGGGATGAACAATAAGTGCTCAGGCGACGCTCCCGACGCTTATAGGAGCGAAGTCATTCTAGTGCGGTTTTTTGCGTTGCGGTGGTGATTTCCAGATCCCAGGTGTGTGTGCTCCGCGCTCCGCACCATCGCCCTCGCTAGGCGCTCGCTGCTGTGCCTCCCTGCCATGTGCAGCTTCCGGGGCAAAGAGAGACCACCGCGAAGCGCCTCCTCCTCGCTTTGGTAGGATCATTTACGCCCATTTCCTTCAGCGATTTCCTCCCCACCTTTCGTTATGTACGATTCGTTTTTTTTTTCTGTTTGCGTGTGTTATCCGAGACTTCTACAAAAAGTGTTTGCCGCGCACGCACATCAGCTTTAGAAGGAAGAAAACAAAGAAGGAAGCGCCGAACGCGCCATGGGCTACACGCGTGAGCGCACGAACCGGCACTTCTTCGTGTCGCGGGCCAACGCCTTCTTCTCCCGCCTCCCGATCGCTCGCATTCAACGTGCGATGGCGATGGAGGCGATCAAGAAGGGGACGATGAAGCCGTGGAAGTACACCAAGGAGCAGATTATCGGGTCACCGATCACGTGCAACTTCGAGTACAACCCGCGTCCGGTGCGGTTGATCGGCACCGTCATGGACGCGCACACGACGGAGACGAGCATGAAAGGCGGACTGAAGGTTTACGCGCGTAATGAGGAAGCGAACATGATGCTGTGGGTGCCCGCCGGTAATCCAAAGCTGAAGTACGAAGTGACCTCCTCGAAAGGCAGCTTCGAGCACTACCTGGATGAACGTAGTAAGTGGGACGAAGCCTGGCTGACGGGACGTGCTCGCATGAAGTGAGCAGCATTCTTGTTGTCCGAATCGGTGTGCATTCACGTGGTTGAGCTGTTCGAGCTGAGTGATTACAGAAAGAAAAGTACAAGAAGAAGTATTATTAAAGAAAAAAAAGAACGAGTCAAGCTTCTTTTTGCAGTGCCCGGTGCATATACCGCACATCCTGGATGGCGACGTGTGTTATCTGTCTCTTTTTCTTTTTCCCTCGATGTGGGAACTCACCCCCCCCCTTTTTTTTTCAGCCGCCATGGCAGTGGGGAAGGAGCTGCCTTGCACTGCTTCGTGTAGACGTCTCGTTCATTGCCATCGCAAACGAGCGGCCGGGTGGTGTAACGGCCTGGCCGGCGAAGTGCGGATCGTGTGAAGTGCCTTAGCTTCTCGTCAACACGTCTCAGAGCCGTCTTTCCGCGTTGTTGACCTTTGTCCTTACCGCCTTGTTTTCTTCTTCACCTCCCTTTCATTATTATTTTTTTTTTAGAATCAAAGGAAGTATCAAAGAAACGGTAGTCTGCGTTGCAGCTGGACGACGGACGAGATCAACAGATCGCAGCTCCTTTTTTTATCTCTTCCTTTTTTTTTAGGTTAAGGGACCTCCTTTCCAGCCTTGCATGTGCAAGCACCTTTTTTTTTCTCTTTCCATAATCACTACGGCAAGTATCATCACAACTCTCATCTCTTAGTCGCCATGCCACCCGCCACAGAAATGCAGGCGATGGAGATGGACATGGTGCAGGGCATGTACGACACCTACACCCTCCTCTCCGACGACCCGCCTTCCTTCTGCGTCTGCCTCGCCGCCACGGAGGATGAGCCACCCCAGCTGAAGGTCACCATCGTGTACCCCACCGCGGACTACCCCGAAACGGCGCCGTGCACCGTGCTCATCGAGTGTATCGCGAAGACGCGGCGTATCCAGGTAGGCAACATCGCGAAGCAAATCGCTGCCACCTGTGAGGAGAACATCGGCATGCACAGCGTCATCTTAGCCCTGCAGCAGATTCAGGAGTTTCTGTCGCACGCCGTGGAGGAGGAGGAAAAGGCAGATCTGCTGCGGCGCGGGGAGGTGATGGCGGTAGAGGCCGGGAAGCGGGCGGGGCCGGTTGAGGACGACCCCACGATTCGCCTCGGCACCGCCGTCACGCGGGAGCTCTTTGCGGAATGGAGTCGAAAGCACAACGCCGAGAAGGCGAAAATACGAGCGGAGCGAGAGAAGCGCGAGGCGAAGGTGTCGGTGTCGAAGCTGACGGGGCGTCAGCTGTGGGACAACAGTCTCAAGTCGGCGGACTGGGCGTTGTTTGGCGGGGAAGGCGAGGAGGAGGAGGGCGGCGAGGACGTGGACTTCGACGCGCTGGGCGAACTGAACGAGGATGAATTTGATCTCGAGTAGTACATACACCCGTCGCTGCTCAAATAAGGGGCGATAACGGTGCGGGAGTTCGGCCAAACAGCTTTGTGTTGCCGCCGCTTTCTCCTCCCGTGCGGCTGAGATGGCGTCTGCTGTGACTTGACTTTTACATCTTTGTTTTTCTTATGAAGGTCTTGTGTAGTTTTTTTTTGTACTCGTGTTGGCGTGCTTCCGTTTCCGTTGCTGTCCTTCGCCGATCATTCATTATTTGTTCTCTCTCGCTGTTCTTTCTATCGACGCTTCATGACTGCGCGGCGGCGATTTGCAAGGGCAGTGAAATGTGTGGCGCTGATGTACGCTATCATCTTTTGTAGCCGTGCCTGTAATAACACCACAACTCGTTGTTTTACTCACTAATAATGATCAGAAAAACGAAGCGTCTGTGTCTATGACTTTATTCGCTGCGAACACCTATCGGAGCTGCAAAGTCACAACAGCATCACGCGGCGTGTTGTCCCGTGAAGCATCTGCGGTGCGTGTCTCTGTGAGAAGCACCACCTCCTTTGTTTTCTTTTCTGTACTGCTTGTGTGCACGTCATTCTGTCCGCTGCGTTCTTATTTTCTATTATCTATTATTATTGCTGGGTTCTCCCCCCCCCCTCCTCTTCCCGGCAGCATCAGTAATAACGATAGGAATAGGAATGGAAAAGGAAGCCGCAGTAGGAGAGACATCGTACGATTCTGGCCGGTATCAAAAACGCTTTTTAGAAAGACCCTCGGCGAGAATCACGAACTCTCCTTTTTCTCGATCCCCTCCCCCTCCTCCCTTTCTTCTCATTCATCGTTTTCACAGGTTTTATTCTTGGTGTTGTTGGTGTTGTTGCTCTACAGTGGCACCTTTGGGCACTGTTTTGTATTGTGCTGTGTGTGTGTCTCTCTCTCCATGCACCGACGCTTTCGATAGCCGTGGTGGATCATTCGACGCAGCACGCCTTTCTCTTCTTTATTTCTTTCTTTCCAGGTCACCCCAGCTGATACTTTGGCTATAATTTTGTGTGTTGTGTATGAACACGGACACGTGAGCGGATCATCGAGGAAGAAGAGAAGAACATCTGGGGGGAGGAGAGGAGACAGCGGTCCTCAGGGGCGATCTTTCAGTAGTGCTGAGGGGAGCGACAATGCGCCGTGCGTGTCGGGAAAGGCAGCTCTACCGTTGGCCTCCGTGGCAGTCACGCCGTTGCTTTCAAGTGATTCAGCGCGGCCACGACCGGCCACAGGAGTCGTTGTACGACAAGCTGGGCTTTGCGAAGGATGAGGAGTCCCACCGCGTCCGCCGCAGTGTGCCGGAGCTTCAGCAGGGCCTTCTCCGCCAGGTGGAGAAGCTGACGGATCCGGTGCACAACCCGCAGGATATGAAGAAGTTAGCGGAGCTTAAAACCGCCTATACGCTGCTGCACGACAGCAACTTTCGCGCCAACTACGGCAGTCATTACTACGCGTCCAACGATGCTCGCCTGCACGTGTTGTGCGATGGCGGTCAAGTCGCCGCGAACTACAACCCCGAGCATCAACAGTTCACCTACGTGGACCACGCCATGAATGTGGGTAGCCGCGATGTCAGCGGCAGCAGCAGCGTCGCGGCTGGTTCGTTGGAGGGCCAGTACAGCAACGGTAGTGAGGCACCCACCGCGGAGGTGCTGCGAGGCGCCTTCCGCAACGCCACCGGCGCAGGCGACAGCGCCGGCAGCACCACGTCCTCCTCCGCACAGGCTTTCAAGTCGGCCGAAGCGGCAGGACCCCTCAACGGTGCTGACATTACCCATCTGCTGCGCATCACGCTGGAGCAGAGTCTCTTCGGCTGTGATGTCGTGGTCGAGTTGCACAAGCACGCCAAATGCGTCACGTGCCGCGGCTCCGGCCGGCAGCGGCTGTCGAGGCTTCGGAAGTGTCCGCAGTGCCTGGGCCGCGGGTCTGCCCACCTGCCCAGCGCCACCTACCACATTGAGCGCCGCTGTCTCTACTGCGGAGGCGAAGGAACAGTGCCGCCCCCACCCTGCAGGTCGTGCGAGGGCAGAGGGGTCACGCTAAACACACCGACCCGAGTGACGGTGCAGGTACCATGTGGCACGGTCTCCAATGCCTTCTTCCGTGTACGTCACTACGGCCACGACGGTGTCCGCGGCGGCCACGCAGGCGATCTGCTCGTGACGGTGTTGGTGAGCGAGCACCGCTACTTCTACCGCCGCAAGGAGAAGCAGGACGAGCTGCACGCGATGCTGCCGCTGCCGCTGTCCGTTGCGTTGCTGGGCGGTCGCGTGGAAGTGCCTACCCTGACCGGGCGTGGCCTCGTGCACGTCCCGCCGTGCGTGCGCAACGGTCAGGTGTTACCGTTTAGCGTGTACGGCGTACCGGAGCTGGCAACGTCGCCAGCGGGCACCGCACGGGCGTCGTCTCCGCTGTTCTTCCACGCGCTGGTGATGATCCCGCGTGCCGGTGACCTCTCTGGACGGCAACGGCAGGCGCTGGACACCTACGAGCTGCACCATTCCTCACCTTCAGTAGCCGCAGCATCGTGCACGGCGGAATGTGTCACCGAGGTGGAGACGACGGAGGCGCACGAGCAGACCAGCGCGACGACTACATCAACGTTGCCACCGCCACCGCGGCTTCCGTCACGAGACGAGTTGATGGAGGAGTGCGCGGCACTGAAAAATGCATACCGGCACTGGTTTGCACACAACTAAGAACGCTATCGGCAGAGAGTCGGAAGAGGTTTTGAAATGCGAATAGGGTCTCTTTGTGTTTTTTGCAATAGACTGTTAGGTCTGCCTCATTGGACTTTACAGCCCCTCTTTTTTAACTACGGTGCCTTCTATTTTGAAGTGAATCCTTTCCATAACGAAACTAACGCATCAGGTTCGTACAGCGTGCATGATAATTTCCTCAGCACTGGAGCTCAGTTCTCCAGCATGTCAAACCGAAGCGCGAGTCTCACACGGGAATGGTTGCATCTTGCCACACCCACAGAGAGACAAAGGGAAAGAGAGTTCCATGCTTCTCCTTTGTTTTTCCGCGGCGGTGATCCCCTCCTGTTCTCTTCCCTTTTCTCCTGTCTTTTATTCCCTCTCCTTGTTTTTTCGCCTTCCACTTGCCGCTTCACAAACTCCGTACGGTCATTTCTCGCCGTTGGTGCTGTTCGCTTCGCCAACTCCCACCGCCAGAATCAACGCAACTCCGCCCGTCTTGCTACCACTTTTTCTTTCCCTTTCTCTCTCTCTCTCTCGTTCTTTCCCACACACACATTTCGTCTGGGCCTCAGCAGTAAGTACTACGTTACTATTTCGTACTTTTTATATTGTTGTTATTCGAGCTGTTGTCGATTTCTTCTTCTCTTGTCGCATGAAGATATAGATTGTCTCTCTTCTCTGGAGAGGCATCGCAGGAGACGAAAGGAGTTACGGCAGGAGCGCCCCCCCCCCCAAACAAAAAACGCACCGCGGTATACAACGCCAGGCGCCGCGCACCGCGATTGTGGACCCGAGTGGACTGACCTCTCTTTCTTTCCTACGTAAACACGTACACACATCTATATATATACACACACACATAGAGCTGTTGTTCTCAGTAGTTTCTTTTATTGTTTCCTCTTCAAACAACAACAACAACAAAAGAGAGGCAACTGCTGTATAACACCGGTCGCATAAACGGAGTAAGCGAACGGATATAAAGTTTCTAAGAAGGAACGGAAAAACCGGCGTTGGACCTCTCAAAGTTGATAAGAAGCCACTTCCCGCTCTCTTTCTTTTTTCTCCTTCCTTCTTCTTCTTTTGAGTTTCCAACAAAAAGTTGTGTCTTTCTTCGGTTATTTAAGCTGTTAAAGAATCATAATAAGGCGTCATTGCATGCAAAGCAAACAGAAAAACACGAGCACGCATTAAGCACCTGGCTCCCGTGCACGTAAGCGAATTTAAACTGACCTTTTGTTTTTATGCTGTTCCCCACGCTGTCCGGTTTCACCGCTCACACCTTAAACAACTAATACATATATAGCGTTAGAAAAGGAGAAAGAAAGAAAAAAAAAACAATGTCCGATCGCAAGATTGCTTCGGGTAGTGCGTACTACCTCCCCTCTCCCATGCTTCTGTCGCAGAACCAGGGCGAGGAGCACGTAAAGTTTATCGTGGTGAGCGGCGGGGTGTGCAGCTCCCTCGGCAAGGGTATCACGACGAGCGCTACAGGGGCCATGCTACGCGCCGCAGGCTACCGGGTGTGCAGCATCAAGATTGACCCGTACATCAACATCGATGCCGGTTTAATGAGTCCATTTGAGCACGGCGAGGTTTACGTGCTGGAGGACGGCGGCGAGGCGGACCTGGACCTCGGCAACTACGAGCGCTGGCTGTCCGTGCACCTTACCCGCGATCACAACATCACGACCGGCAAGGTGTACCAGAAGCTGCTGACGAAGGAGCGGGCCGGCGGCTTCCTCGGCAAGACGGTGCAACTCGTGCCCCACTTCACGAACGAGGTGGTGAACCACATTTTCAAGATCTGTGAGACACCGATGAACGGGACGAACAAGCGTCCTGAGATTTGCATGATTGAGCTGGGTGGGACGGTCGGGGATATGGAGTCGCAGCCCTTTGTCGAGGCGCTGCGCCGGCTGCGGTACTCCATCTTGCCAGAGGACTTCTGCCTCCTCCACACGACCTACCTCCCCGTGTTTGGCGGGACGCAGAAGACGAAGCCGACGCAGCACAGCTGCCGTGCGCTGCTCTCGTTGGGCCTGCAGCCGGACTTTTTGATCTGCCGCAGTGAGCAGCCGCTGGCACCGGAGGTGAAGAACAAGCTGGCGGATCAGTGCGGCGTGCAGGCGAAGGACATCATCGGGGCGCCGAACGTCCCTTGTCTGTATCAGATCCCGGTGGAGTTTGTGGACCAGGGGCTAATCGACCGCATCGTGCACAAGCTGCGTCTGAGGCCGAGCGTGCCGCCGATGGACGTGCCGACCTACGAAACCTTCAAGAAATTCACGCAGATTCTGCAGAACCCGGCGAACCCGAAGGTGCGCATTGCGTTTGTCGGCAAATATGTCACGGGCGGCTCGGATGCGTACTTCTCGGTGCTGCAGACCTTCGAGCACTGCCAGCTGGCACTGGGCATCAACGTCGAGGTGTTCTACCTGGAGAGCGAGGAGCTGGAGGGCGCGAACGCCGAGGAGGCGAAGGCGGAGCTGCGGAAGTGCGACGGCATCTTCGTCCCGGGCGGCTTCGGCGTGCGTGGTGTGAACGGCAAGGTGATTGCCGTGGAGCTGGCCCGCACGCACAACATCCCCTACTTCGGCGTCTGCCTCGGGATGCAAATCGCCCTCATCGAGTTCGCCCGCCACGTCCTCGGCTGGACCGACGCAAACAGTGAGGAGTTCGACGCGACCAGCACGCACCAGATGGTGCGCATCATGGACGCGGATCGAGATCGAATGGGGGCTAACATGCACCTGGGGGCGCGTGATGTGCACATTGTGGAGCCGAAATCGACGATGAGCACCATCTACTCGGGTGCCAAAGTCGTGCTGGAGCGCCACCGTCACCGCTACGAGGTCAATGCCAAGTACCTGGAAGATTTGCGCAAGGCTGGTATGACGATCTCGGCCGTCTCGGACCCCGGCGCGGGGGACAACATGCGTGTGGAGGCAATTGAGCAGCCGTCGTTGAAGTTCTTCTTGGCGGTGCAGTACCACCCGGAGTTCGTGTCGACGCCGCTGGATCCGTCGCCGCCGTACTTGGCGTTCTTCGCGGCGGCGGCTGGCAAAGCGGTGAACTGGCCGGCGGAGTGCCAAAGTCGCCGACTCGCGGCGTCGCAGCGTTGTGAGTAAGAGCGTACGATACGGTCATCTTCTTGGAGGGGAGAGCAGAGTAGAAGCGATGAAGGAGAAAAGAGAAAGGAGGCGGCGTTTCTTTTTTTCTTTCATGTTTTTCTTCTTCTACGCCTGAGAGGCGAGTGCGTCGACAGAGTTTGGTGCTCCTTGGTGCGTTTGTTTTGGTTTTGTTGTTGTGTCCTTGCACGTGCACCTACACACGCTGTGGAGATGAAAGCGGCGCGAAACGCAATGGGGCTGGATAGAGGCTTTTCGAAGGCAAGAGAAGTAGAAGTAGAGGAGAGGAGAGGGGAGGAGACAGACGGCCAGCACACGGCAGCGGCGCACTCTTTCTCTCCTCCTCCCTCTCTCTCTCTCTCTCCCTCAGTGTTCTACTATTTATTATTACTACTCCTGTTATTGCTCCTTCTTATCACCGCTCTTCGCAGTTTAAAAAAGGAAGTGAGGGCCTTTTTTTTTTTTGACTGGTGCACGCTAACATCCATAACGGTTAGACCGTCGTCGCCGTAACTGTGTCTTGCCGAATAACCATAACCATAATGGAAGGAAACAGCAATACAAACTCAAAACACCCAATAGAAACGCCGATATTATTTCATTTCGTTTTACGGCACGTACGCGACGGTGGCCGCCAAGAAAGAACAAGACGCTTCACGTACAGCTTTATTTTTTGGAGGGGGAGGAGCGAGCGCGCGAGGGTGTTAGGCGGTGGTGAAATTGAGCTCTCTTTTCTTTTGGGGCTTATTGTGTTTGTCTTTGGTCTCTTTCTGGCGGTGCTTGTGCTTTTGCAGAGAAAAAAGGGGAATGCTCTTTTCTCTTTCATGGTGTGGCGGTGCTCTCGACAGCAGGCAGCGTTGCCAAATGGCGAGTGAGGGGACTGAAACACCGGCACCATCATCAACACGTGTGTGTTTCAGGCAAACTAAAGGAAAATCGGAAAGAGGCGTCGAAGACGGTTTCGTTCTACCAGACTTTCTCGTTGTCGTTGCTATTTTTCTCTTTTCCCACTTAAAGCCGTTGCGCATCTCTCCTCCCACCCACCCCACCACCTACCCCTTCGCGTTTTACTTGTTGCGGTGTAGTGAAACGTTGAATACGAACAAGAGAGGAGTGTTAACGCTGATCTTTTTATTTTCCACTCTCCCTCTTTGAGCTTAACAACGCTAAAAATGTTCACAGCGACGACGATAACGGGTGCCTCGCAATTCTGATGCGTGCGGCTTCGATAAACCGCTTTTCTTCGTCAAGGCATCTCAGCCGTGGATGAAGAGCGCTTTGGCGGCCCACTTCGTAACTCGCTCAATGCCGATATCGCCACAAAAGCAAAGGAGTTGCGTCCTTGTGTTTGTTTGTTTTACTGTGGTCTGATTCAGAGATTATTGTTTTTACTCTCGAACGACGCACTGTACTGTACTGCGACATCTACTATCAGTATTCTGTGCTCTTTACTCCCTTCTCTCTTTTTTCTCTTCTGTGCTGGTGCTCTTCGCACTCCTGTGGTTCTTCGTTCACTCAGTAGGTCGAAACTAACGGCTCTCCACAGCAACACGAATCAAAAACCAAACCGAAAGGTGTAAAACCGAAAAGAAGAACCTATTGACTTTTAACACATAGCAATGCTGTACCAAGACCACGATAATGCCAATGCGGCAGGACAAGGCGACGCACCGATCGCCAACACCACCGCCGCCGCAGCAGCAGCAACGACCCACGTAGCTCCTCAGCCACCGGCACCACAGCAAAAACATCCAGAGCAGCTGCCTGCTTCCGCTCCTGCTCCTACTCCTGCTGCTGCGGTAGCAACGACCGGCAGTGCAGGCGCAACCGCTGCTGTCGCCTCCCTTTCTCAGCAACAATCGCTGCAGAAGCCACCACCAACACAGCTGTCTGATCCCGCTGTCCACGTCGACGCGACGCTGCCGGCGATTCCTGCCAAGGCCGTCGTGACTCAGCCGGCGGCGGTGCGGGATGAACCGGTGCTGACGGGCACGGTGGTGTGCGCCCAATCGAGTGCGGTGCGCCGCGCCGATCAGCAAAAGGTCCGCGCACAGGCCGAGGAAGACGCGGAGGATTCGCACTCCGACACGGCCTCGGCGTCGTCCTCCAGCGTGGCGACGTCTACCTCGTTTGTCGGGGACGCGGACAAGATGGAGCTAATCTTTGACTTTGGGCGCTACGTCGGGCAGGTGGACCCGCTCACGGGGCTGCGAGACGGCCAGGGCTGCCTGCATTACAAGAGCGGCAACGTGTACACCGGCGGCTGGAGGGACGGCGCCGCCGACGGCTTCGGCGAGAAGCGCTACAAGAACGGCGACATCTACCGCGGTCACTGGGACCAGGGCAGGCGCTCCGGTCGCGGGGCGTACTTGTTTGCGCAAGGCCACTTCTACGATGGCATGTACGTGAACGACCAGCCCGAAGGCTACGGCATCTACACCACCTTGAAGGGTGACCGCTACGCCGGGCAGTGGAAAGGCGGCCACAAGAACGGCAAGGGTCGCGAGACGCTCGTGAATGGGCAGGTCTTCGTCGGCAACTGGCGCAGCGGAAAGAAGCAAGGCCGTGGCAAGCTGTACCTGCCCGGCGCGGAGGGCTACATCTACGGCATCTGGAATGACGACAAGTTCTTTCGGGAGCTGACGGAGGCGGAGATGGGCGCGGAGGGGAGAGAGGACGTCGTGGACGAATTCGGTCTGCCGCGTGACGCGTCTGCCCCGCCGGTGACGCCGCCATGGATGAGGCCGGTGCCGATTGGGACAGCCGTGACGGACCGTGTCCTGATGGGCGTGGCAGCCCTGGAGGACCGCATGGAGTCCCTCGGAAAGGTGTTCGAGCGGGTAATGGGTGGGTCGAACAGCGAGGGCGGCGGAGGGAACGCCGGATCGGCCGCCGCCACGGCAGGGGAGACGTCGCGGTCTGCGGCGGGCGGGGGGACCTCCTCGCACCTCCTCTTTGCGTCTCCGGGTGGGCAAACGGCGGATGGCATTCTGGCGAGCGACTTGGAAAGGGACGACGCGTACGATGACGAGGGGACGCCGACGATGGGGGTGGAGCTGCGCCGTGCCGCGCGGGCCACCAACGCTACGCCGCCTGCCGCCGTGCTGTCGACCGCGGAGGAGCAGGCGGAGCAGCAGGCGCCAACGGCGGAGAGCAACAACATCAACGACGACAGCATCGCGACTTCTGTCGCTGCCTCTGCTGTTGCGGCAAGCGAGCTGAAGGGAGGTGCCCCACCGCAGTGAGTCGCGGTGCGTGTCTGTTAAGCGCCGCGATACACACACACACACAAAAGGCCGTCCATGCCAGCTTTCGTACGTGATGTACGACTTCACAGGAGAAGGCTCGTTGCCGGCAGCTCATCTTCCTATATATTGTGTGTCTACGAGTTTCTTTGTATGGCCGCGTTGCTTCTTCTTCTTTTCTTTCTTCTCTATTATTCCTGACTACTCTCGGCTGTTCAGAGAGGTGTATGTCTTTGCTTTATCATCTTTTTTTTAGTTGTTGGTGGTGGTGGTGTTCTGTTCCATCCTCTCTGCCTTCTTGTGGGTGATGTTGCGACGGCGGTGGCGTTGTTGATTGTGTGCGCGTCGCGTCCGTCGCAGGAGGGACTGTTTAAGAAGAAAAACAAAATCTGTCTCGATCGTAGCCGCCGGAAAAGCACGCTTCACCGCGCTCTCTTTGCCTTCCATATTACTACTACTACTACTACTACTACTACTACTATTCTTATTTTTCCGCAAAAGGAAAAGACGAAAAGCAGTGCTTTTTTAAAATGAAAATTTCTGCTTTCTTCTCCGATTTTATTGTGACACGCGAGTTTGATGCTATTTTTCTCTTTTCTTTGTTATTATTATTATCCCCTCTTCTGTTTTCTGTCGTCTACGGCTTGTCAACAACACCATCAACATCAACACAAGGAGCGGGGCGTAGCCGGTTCGTGTTTCTGATCTTTTCATGCTCGCGCTTGTTGGTATTTGGTGTTGTTCGGCATGCAGAAAAGCCTACTGCTGATTGTGTGTTGACATATATATCTTCTTGTTTTTTCTTCCCCGTCCTCTGGATTTGTAGTGATGTGGCACGTAATAGGTGGTACGTTTTGTTTGTTGTTGTTGGTAGGGGTGAAGGGGTGCTGTTCACTGAATCGAAGCACGTTGAAGCCGTTTCGCCGTCTTTCATTCCGTGAAGCTCGTGCGGATGCTCGTTGGTTTTTTGATACTTCTATCGCTATCTTGCGTGTTTCGTTCGTTGTGAATCCGCGTTCTTCGAGTGCCGCGCTTTTGCTGCGGATGCTGCGTTGGGTGTTTTGAGGGAGTTTTGCAAATACAAACAAGGAAGCCGAAAACAACGTCGTATTACCCGATGCGTTGGCCTCTTCACCGTGGCGTCGTTTTCAGATAGTGAGGGAGAGAGAGAGCCGCCGGTGATGGAAGAGAACGTCGAGTTCGACTAGCCCCTCTCCTTCTCCTGTGGGCCGTTATTGGTTTCCACAGTCCAATGACGCTCAAACAAGTAGAGGGATAGAACAGCGGAAGGAGAAAAGGATGGCGGCTCACGTTTACGAAGCCATTCGTCCGTTCTATTGTGGACCACAACTCCAAGACGCTTCCGTGATCACCTTCCTTTTTCTTCTTTGTGCTACACTTGAATAAAGCGTGATACATGCTGTGAAGTCAACATATACATATACATACATGTAAAGGAATTCACAAGAGTTCCAGAGGGTAGTAGTTTTTTTTGTTTGTTTTTTTCAAGCAAGTGGAAATGTTCGCGACCCTGTTCCACGTGGTGCTGTTCGTTGCGGCCATCATCGGCCTCCTGGCCATTAAACAACGGCGGCTGCGGCACTTCCCTACCCGCCGCACGCACATCCCACGCCGCAGCGCGGAGGGCACCATTTGGCTGCAGCGTGCTGTGAACGCCACCTTAGACATGCTTCACTGCGCTCTGGCAGAACAACATAAAGGGGACGGAGGGCCAGTGTCTGCTGCTGCCGCGAATACGAATGCGAATGCCAGTGGTGCTGCTGCGTCTGGTCCGACCCCCACAACGAGGCCGTCCGCAGCAGCAGCAGCAGCAGCAGCAGCAGCAGCAGCGGGGAAGGCGCCTTCGACGCACGATGACGACTCAGGAAGCGACGGTAGCGCCGAGGTGCTCTCCGACTTGCCCTTCTTGAACACCTTGAAAGCCCAATTAGAAGAACAGATTAGTGCGTTGCTGGAAGACAACGGCATCACCTCGTTCGCCGACTTCCGCATTAAAGACTGGGGTGGGAAGCCGCCGCTGGTGAAGGCGGTGTGGCTCTCGCACGGCGGCGGTGCCGGCCCGTCCAGCAGCCTCAGCACCAGCAACAGTGGTAATACGAACGGCATGAGCAGCGTCACCGGCAGCGGTGGTGGCCTGGGCGGAAGTCCCAACTCCAACGTGAATGGCGATGGCCCGCTGGCGGGGCAGCGGGGAAGTGGCGGGGGTGTCGTCCAAAGCATGGCCAGCGGTTCCTCCGCAGCGGGCAGTCCGAGTGCTCTTGGCCCGCAGCACTACCCCTCCTTAAGCGGTAATCAACCCCTGCATTCCAGCGTCGTGGGCCGCGGCGCGCAGCTTGGGTTGACGACGGTGTTTACAAGTAATAGCAGCAACGGCGATGATGCAGGTGGTCTGACTAGTGTTGGTGGGGGTGGGGGAGTACGGGAGCACAGCTTGGCCGGCTCGATGTTGCACGCCAGTCGGCTGGGGGGCCTAAACAGCAATAGCAACGGCAGCGGCAGTGCGACGAACCTAGCGATGAGCGCGGCGGATTCATCCGCTGGGGTTGGCGGTGGTGGCGGCAGTGGTGGTGGGGCGACGGCGGCGGGAACGACATCCGCGGCTGCCGCCTCGCTGACGACCGGTAGGAATGCTTCGGACACCACGCGGTCCCTCTCTACCTTGGAGGCGGAGGTGGAGGTGGAGTACAGCGGCAACTTCAGTGTCTCGCTGAACGCAGACGTGCCGATTGCGCGTGGGCGATATCTGCAAGTGTACGCGTCGATCAGCGACGTTCGCGTGTTTGCTGCCCACGTGCGGCTTCGCCTCTCCCTCGAGTACGAACCCGCCACCGTGGAGTCTCCGCAGCCGCAACCCTATCTCCTCGGCACGCTGTGGCTTGTATCGGACCCTGTCTTCGATGTTGCCTTCCACTCCACCCTCAGTCAGTATCGTGTTCGTGACTTCTTCCTCGTGCCCAAGCTCATTAAATTTTTCCTCTTACGCTTTCTGCGCAACAAGCTTCGACCTACTACATCGCCACCCCCGCCCTCATCGTCCCCCTCGACCAATGCGGCAGCCCGGCACGCCAACGCACGCCGCCGCCGCCAGGGAGCAGCAGGCGCAGCAGGAGGTGGCGGTCAGGGCACACCGGACGAAGCAGCCGCAGAAGGAGACCGGGCGTCATCGGACGCGTCTGGGCTTTCGTTTCGCATTCAGCTGCCGGCGGACGTGGTGGATGGCGGGGAGCAGTGGTGGTCGTCGATGGCGCATGACACCATGAGCGAACGCCCTGCGCCGTTTATGCGGGCGTACCATCCATGAGCCATTCTACCGTGTGAGTGTGTGTGTGTGTGTGCGTGTGGCGACACGGTAGGCACGGTGGCTCCTGCTAGTGCAAGGAAGATTCAGAAGAGAAGAGGTTTGATTCGATCGAGTCTTACAGTGGTGATGGGACAAGTGCAGAGGAGGGGGGGGGAGGGGAAAGCAGCGGCGTTGTTCTTCGTTGCTTGTCTCACGTGCCATCCGTCCTTTTATCGTCAGCGTTTTTGCTGCCTGCTCCTTCTGTTGCGTATACAATCACACCGTTGCCTTTTTTCCTTTTCTATGTTGATGCGTGGATGCTGCAAGAACACTCTAAGGAGAGAGAGATGAGATGAACGGAGTAAAGAAGCTCGTTGCATGACTTCACCGAGGTGGCAATGCAAGTGTTGATGCAAAGGCCATTGTTGTTCTTCTTCGTGTGTGTGTTCGTCATACCGTTGTAATTTCCTAGTATTTCCCAACACCCCTCCCCCCCCCCCCTCGCCGCATCCTCTCCTTCTCGTTCACCTCACCACACTATCAGAGGTTTCAAGAGGCCGCAGCAGAAGCAAGTCTCCCCCTCCCTTTGTTTTTCAAAAGAAGCTGCACGTGCGCTATGTACTGTGCTACGCCCTGTAGAATGCACGCCGCGAAGCAGAAGTTCATCAAAGAGGGCATCGCGCAGTACCGCGCGACGCGCTTCGACGCCGCCGGCAGAGCGGCCGTGGAGGACCTCAAAGACCGCATGCTGGACCTCGCAAGCCGCTGCGTCAACAAGGCCCACGTGGAGCTCTTTGGTTCGCTCGTGACGGGCTTCTGCAAGCCTGGCTGCGACGCTGACTTTTCCCTTACCCACCGCAGCTTCTCACCGTGGTTACAGGGCATAGACTCGGTCGCAGAGCAGGACGTGAAGAGGCTCACGCGGGTCTCGCGAGAGGCCGGTCGCATGGGCATGGAGAAGGTTCGTTTCATCAACGCCCGCATCCCCGTCGTGCAGTTCCAGGACCCGGTCAGCGGCATTCACTGTGACATCAGCATCGGCAACCCCGGCGGCGTGGAGAACTCCAAAATTTTGGCAGAGATCCACAACATCCTGCCCGACTTCTATGGCGCCTACGTGCACCTCATCAAGGAGTGGGCTAAGCGACGCGAGATGATTGATCCCGACAAGCTCATGTTCAACAGTTTTACCATCACCACCATGGCGTTGATGGTGCTCCAGGAACTGGGGTTGCTTCCGGTGTTCCGGCCAAGCGGAGAGTTCGGTGAACTCACGCTAGAGGATGTGCAGAGCACCCTCGCCACTTTTGAACTGCCCCCCATTTACGAAGGCATCGAGCAAGACGACGAGCGACTTGGCGAGGCAGTCTACTACTGCGCACTGCGCTTCGCGGAGTACTACTCTAAGTTCGACTTCGCGAACGGCACCGTCAGCCTCATGTGCCCGCGACGTCACCGCTCCTTATACGCGAGCATCGTGAAGACGCACCTCTCGTTGTTCGAGGCCCGCATGCGACAAGGGTGGATGACGTACTACTCGGGGGCTTCGCAGGAGGAGGCGGCGCACGTGTCGGGCAGTCGTGACAACTTCCCTGAGGCGGCGCTCAAGGCGGCGATGCAGAACGAGATGGTGCAGCGCACCACCGACTGCCCTTTTGTGGTGGAGGACTTTGTGAACTACGTGAACTGCGGCCGCCGAGTACCGAACTCGCGTGTGGCGCACTCGCAGAAGGAGTTTAAACGGCTGTACGACCTACTTCGAGATGAGAGCAAGGTGTCGCTGGAGGAGCTGCTGGAGCCGAGCAACACGGTCCCCTTCGTGAACGTGCCAGGCCACGCTGACGACCGCGTGAGGCAGTTCGCGACGGCGCACTGAAGCTGAGTGGGAAAGGCATATCTTGTGTTGCTGTGGTGGTGGTACCCATCAAATGAGCCTGTTTTCCTTCTCTTCAATCGAAGGCACCCCAGCCTGCGTGTTGGCTGTGATGAAAGGCGCCAATCGCCCGCGTGGGGCAGAAGCACCGTTGCTTTGGTTCATATCCACAGTTACAGTTGAAGGGGTTTTGGGGGAGGATGGGGGTGGAGGGGGTGGAGGGGGTGGAGGGGGCGATGACAAGGTATCCGGAGCTGCGGCGCATTCCTATTGCCACGGCGACGACGCTCCTTACCTCCTTCCTCCTCCTCCTCCCTCCCTCCTGGTCCCACCGGCGATAAACTGCAGTCGTCAAAGAGGTCAAATTTTGGAGCTTGAAAGGACGGAGACGCCCTTCTCCGCTGCTCTGGTGCCCACCCTGTGTAACGGACAAAAGAAAAAAAAAGTTCTCTGCTGCACTGGGCATTTGGAGATGATGATGATCTTCTTCATGTCCAGTTTTCTCATTTCGTGCTCCCACTCGTGAGTACACTTAGAGGCCATTCATCATCACAGAACATGTGTGTGTGTGTGTGCGTGCGTGTGTGAATTTCCCTTTCTTTTCCTTTTCCTTTCGTGAAATCGTGCGTTTTATCTGAGCATTAATTAGCGGTAACTTCCCTATTCTCCCATCCTCCCCTCCTCCTTAAGTTTATTCTTTCTTCTCCTCTTTGAAAGAGTGATGTGAGCAGAGCAGAAGGGAAAGACACACCCGATCATACCGTTCTCCAACTATATTTGTGCAGCGAATATGCAGCACACCTCCGACTCCTTCGACGCAGCGTCGCGGCCCCACCTCCAGCGCGAGCACCCGTGCTCCCCATCCCCCGTCTCCCACGACGCAACTTCGGGCGACTCCCCTGCAGTAAAGGTTCTGAAAGGAATGGGCCCTCAACCCTTTCTGAGGCAACGACGTCTGCCGTCCATTCTGCTCGACAGCTGGGAGTTCCGCAAGCTGGCCCCGGAAGGCTCCGTGTTGGCGAACGCGATGGTGTCGTACGACGTGGACGACGATGGGGTGGAGGAGGTCATCGTCGGCACGACGGAGGGCTTATTGTGTGTGGTGAAGCCGGACTGCCGCGCCCCGCTGTTCCCGCGTGTGCTGGCCGCCACCATCTCCGTGGTGCTCTACACTCCAATTCAGAAGCGGCTGGTGCTCGTCACGCTGGAAGGCCAGTGTGAAGTGATTGACTACTTCCTGTGCCCAGCGCACCAGCTACCGCAGCACGGCCGCACGCGCACGCCGTCGTGCGGAGCTGACGGCGGCGCACTCACCCATCAGTCCACAGAAAGTACGACCTCATCCTCACGTAGTCCGCACAATATCAATATCAATAGCAGCAGCAGCGGCGGCGGTGCTGCGGTGAGTGCTTCTCTATCGCCCGGTGCGGGCAACCCGCTCAGTGCGCCTCCAAACAGTACGCTGTGGAGCAACCGGTCCCACACCTCGACGAGGCATCCGCTGCTGTATGAAACAGCGGTCCAATCGACGACGTCACCGACGCACGTCTTCCACGTCCCCTCCAACTGCCTCTGCGCCGACCTCTCCACAGATGCCGAGGCGAGCCTCATCTTCCTCGGCTCCTACGACCGTCGCTTCTACGTTTACGCCATCGCCACCGGCTCGTGCCTGCTCTCCCTCTTCGTGCACGACCCGATCACTTCCGTGAAGGCCTTCGCCGTCCCGGCGGCGGCGGCACACGGTCGAAAGACGCCGACGAGCTCCTCCTCCATCTCCATTTACGACTGCACAGGGAAGCACGGTGGCAGGTCACGCACCGGCGCCAATCGCGCACGTGAGCGCCGCCGCAACTCCGCTGAGGTCTCCACGCACACGGTGGAGTACCGCTCCCCCGGGCCGTCATCACAACTGTACGTCCCCCTCGTGTTTGTTGCTACCCCAACGCATCTCATACTGCTGCCTGCCGGTCTGAATGAGCTACAGCAGTGGCGCAAGCTGCAACCAAAGACGGCCCATCTCCCCTTGACGGTGCAGCTGCATGGCGATACCCCGTCCGAGCAGCTCGGGCAGTCATCCACGCCTGGTGGGAGTCGCGGGCTACCTGCGTCCACCCCCTCCAAGGCACCGGCAGCTCTGCGGCAGAATTTGTTGAGCAGTGGCGAAGACGCGTCGCACCGGCCCCGCAACGGTGCTACCGCAGTGGCGGCCGGTGCTGACGGAGGAGCAGGCGGGCGGGGTGTAACGGCGCCCATGACGATGAACAGTGAGGCGGAGCCCTCGTACACTTGCGGAGACGGAGGCGCAGGCGCAGCAGCAGCAGCGGCAACACCAAATAATGGTGGTGGACGGCGACCCCCACGAGGCCTCAGCGGACCACCTGCGTGCGAGGGAGAGACGCCGCTGCCGCTGGCGTCGTCGTCGTCGTCGTTGTCGCGCAGCAGCGGCACGCAGCGCGGTGGGGACGCCGTCGCCCTCCCTCCTCGATCTTTCTCCGCCGCCCCCTCGCCGGGTGCCGGTGCTGCGGCAGCAGGCGGCAAACACAGCAGTAACAGCAGCAGTCGTCGAGGTTTGGCAGGTAACGCGGAAGGGGCCGTCACGGCCGATGGAAACGCGGTGCAAGGCAGCAACAACACCGCCTCCGCCGCCGCATCCTCTGCGAAGGAATCGCGCGGTGACGGGGCGTTAAACGCAGAAGCGAATGCACCACTTAGCGCCAGTCAGCAGCGGCGACTTGCACGAAAGCGTGCGATTCAGGCCGCTGAGATGGGCCGGCCGGTCCTGGTGAAGCCTCTCTGGGCACTTCACCTTGGTCAGCACACCCTCGATGTCGTGCCGCTGCAGTCGTCGCCGTTCCCCTTTCAACGAGTAGAGGACGTCCCTCTCACAGCAGCGGCGGCAGCGACAGTCAAAGTATCCAGAGCGAGCGCCGAGGCAGCCTCGACCTCAGGAACAGAGAGAACAGCTGTGTCGACAGTCGCCGTCAACAACCTCCACGAATACCGCACTTCTCTCTCGCCTGCCAGTGCGCACCACCCCCACCATCACCGCCGCCGCCACAGCAGCAGCAGCAACAGTCGGCAGCGTCATGACTTAGCCCGAGCCAACTCCACCTCCCCCTTCTCCCTCGACTCCTCCTCCTCCGCCTCCGACCTACGCGACAGCTCGGACGTGGTGGAGGCGCGCAGCAGCGTCACGCAGCACGGTGGCGCTCAGCACGATCGTCTCCGGCGACGGGTGGCGCACAGCAGCCGCGACGGCGGTGAGGCGACGGACGCCGCGACCGTCAGCAACATCGTCCAGGGCTCCGCCTCGGTGGCTGGTTGGACACCCGATCGCAGCGGCAGCGGGCGGGCACCAACGCACACCTCGCGACGACGGCGGCCGCCTCACCTGCAGGCCGTGCAAGCGGACAGCGGGAGTGCCAGCGACGCAAGCAACGACTCAGACGACGGCAGCAGCGATGCAGGAAGTACGAGCAGCGGGGTGCGGTTTCGCCTTCCCGGTGCGGCGGAGGACGGTGGTTCTCGTCGAGAAGACGGCGAATTCCAGGAAGGCGCCGTGGAAAGTGAACACGACCCCTCTTCTTCCTCCTCCGCTTCTTATTCCTCAACGGACGAGGATACCTCCAACGAAGGCGACAGCAGCAACGATGCGGACGAGGGGAGTTCCTCGAGGAACTCGCACAGCAGCAGCAGCGACAGCAGCGACAGCGAAGGTGCCGCAGCGGTCGATCCATCGCTGCTGGCCAAAAGTCTCGCGCGGATGCGGGTGGAGAGCGTGCCCGCGATGCTGCTGCGCCGCGTGACCGCCGCTTCATCTACCACCACCACAAAAGCAACCAAAGCAAGAGGAGCGGAGGCGACCAGCATTGCCCCAACGCCGCACACCGACAAAGACGGGGTTGGATGCATCACCGCCGCGACAGCGCTCAGCGGCGGGCACACCTCCCTGATGGACCTCGCCAACGTGGATGTGCGGAGAGGGCACCACCACGCGCGTCGCCATCGTCGTCGCCACAGCTGCTCTGCTAAACCCACGGAGACCTCCACGCAGTTTGACGACGCGCACGCAGCCGATGTCGATGCGAGCGCCGTCGGAGGTGACGGGTGTGATGTGCGCCTGCCCACTTCTGTCGACGTCGCCGTCGGCGCCTCGCAGGTGGCAGTGGCGCTCAGCTGCGAGGACGGCCTGGCGATTGAGTTGCGCTTTGCCGTGGAGAAGTTCTCGTCGCTGCATCGCCGCGCGCGTCACCGCACAGACGGGGTTCTTTGTCTCTTCGACCTGCGCCATCCCGTGTGTCCACGTCAGCTTCTCGGACGCCGGCGAAGCAAGCACCGAGACAGGGTACAGCACGACGGCGGAGGTAGTGGTGGTGTGGGTGACGGTGCGGTGGGGCGGAGAGGTCGTCCTCCTTATCCGCCGCCGCCGCATCCTCAGCAGCAGCAACAGCAGCAGCAGCAGCAACGATCAACGCAGCCGGCTTCCTCGCCCTCCTCTCCGATGACGGTCCGCAGCTTCCCTAGAATGGAAAAGCCTGCTCACCGGCGCAAGGCCAACCACCGGGGCAGCTGCCCACCGACCTCTATAATTTATCTGCCCCTGCCGACGCCTGGGTCTGCGGTGAGTCGATCCACGTCTTCATCGCCACAGCAGCAGCAGCAGCAGCAGCTGTCGGTTTCCTCCACATCCCGGGTGCACAGCAACGGTGCTCCTGCGGGTGGTTTGGACGCCTTTGGTGTTGGGGCAAGCGGCAACAAGGCGGTGATGCGGACGTGCGCTACCCGCAATGCACAGGCCTCATCAAGCAGTTCCGCGAGTGCGGTGAAGGGGTGTGGTAGAAAGCAAGACAAAGCAGCATCACAGCCGCAGCAACCGCCGAAGCAGTTACAGCACCGCGGCGGTGACGACAGAGACACGAGCATCGGCGACTCTCCTCGCTCGCGTCGCCGCGAGAAAGACGAAGGGGTGGTGCTCCGCGCGCGGTGTCTGTGGGCGGCGCGACTGGGCGACAGCCCCCTCGTCCAACGCGCGCGTGTCTTCAGTGTGAAGGACAACCACCACGACAACGCCTTCTGCACCGTTTTTGTTGCTGCGAACGGCACGTGCTATGCGATCGACGGCGACACCCTCTCCGTCGTGGAGTGCTCCGTCAAGGAGGACTGCAGCTCCTTCACGGTGATGGCAGGTCCGTATACGACCATGCCCCTCCCCCGGGTAGACGCCTCCGCGTTTGAGACGTCGCCCTCACCAGGAGGTGGAGGGGAGGACGCGGACGCTTT